GCTTCTTAAGCTATATCTTATTTACTAAGCCTGTCTATAATAGCCTATTTTAGTCTAAATTAGCTAAATAAAGATCCTATAGCTAGTCCTAGTATTAACTACCTTATTTTATTTATTTTAACCTGCTCCTCGAGCCTATACCTTAACAATTATTTTTACTATTTATAGTAATACTATTACTAATATAAACTTAAATAATATATATAATTAATTTCTATATATAAAATATTATAGAAAATAATTTAAATAATTAATATATATAATAAATATCTTAAAATAATATAAAATATTATTTTTAAAAATCTTTATATTTTATTAATATAAATAAATTTAACTAGAATATTTAAAGTTTTTTAAGGTTTTATATATTATTTATATATAATAAATAATAGTAATATAAAGAAATAGTAAATATATATTAATTATTTATATAAAATAATAAATTTCTATATTTTAGCTTTAAAAATAAAATATATTAAATATTAATATATTATAAGCTTTTTCTTAGATTTTTTTTAACCTTATTATAAATATATAATAATAATAAATATATTAAAGCTTTAAAATAAAAAATTTATATAAATTATTATTAATTTAAAGTTAATTAAAAACTTTATATTTTTAAAACTTTATCTATTATTATTATATTAAATAATAATTATTTTCTAGAGTTTTATAAATTTTATATAAACTTTATAGTATAAAGAATATATATAATTAATTTTATAATAAAATATTAAGAAATAATTAAATTATATTAAGTTAAAATTTTAGAAAATTTACTAATTTTTAACTACTTATAATATTATAAATACTAATATATTTAATAATAAAATTTAATTAATTTAAATTTTAGTATTTATAGTATCTATATATTAAATTTTATTCTAAAATATTTAATTGTAGTTGAGTTATAAAGGTTTAAATTTGCTAATTTTCTAATCGGCCCCTAGTTTTAGATACTATACGCAGCGCGGGTCTGCTACCTTAACGCAAATACCCAGCTTAATATAAATCTGTATAAAATCTATTACTTTTTAAAGCTTTTAAACCTATTAAATCTAATTAATTGCCTAGTTAAATATAGTGCTATATAGAATAAGATCCCCTTTAATCAGTCTATATCTTTAAAGCTACCTTCTGCGGCTTTATTACCCGCCTGAGCTTAATCATTACCTACTTTTATTTAGGCTTTAACTTCTATAATATCTTCTTATTACTATCTTTAAAGGTTTATAGTTAAATATAATCTACATTATATTTTATTATAATATCTCCGCGTTATAGAACCCTTTTAAATGCTTTAGCATAAATCTGATAGGCTAGCTATACCCTAGCTGAGGTCTTAAGCTCTCTCTATATTTAGTCTATAATATAGGACTAAGCAATACTACCCTTTAGCAGTTTCTAAAGCCCGCTAGTAAAGCGAGCTAAATTAAATTTAAGCTCTAGTAGATAATATTAAAACTATTTAAATTATTAGGTAGTATTTAGCATATTATCTAGAATAAATAATCTACTAATAGGTTAAGGGGTAGTAGGTCTATTATCTGTTTCTTAAAGCTTTTTTAATATAATATCTAGATTATATAGGTAAAGCCTAGTCTTTATAAACGCGTGTTTAATAATAGAAGATTTAAAGGTTTTTCTTCACATAGATTTAAGCGCTTGGAGGAACTTATGCTTACTAAACTTAAGATTACCTATCCTTATATTAAGATTAATAGCTTCGTTATAGTAGTGTTTAAATGCTTAAAAAACACTAATATCTAGTAGTTAGATTAAATAACTAGTATAAGATATTAATATAAAAAGGAGAATCTTCTTCTTTTTATAGTAGTTAAGCACTTTATATATTAAATAAGAGCTATATCTATTATATAAAAGGAGGCAATAAATCCCTTGCTAATAATAAGCTAATTAGCAATTAAAATATTATATCTATTAATAAGCTAAATAGTTATTTATATATCTAGAGTTAGATACTCTAATTATAGCGTTAATATCTAAGAGCTTAAACTATTCTATCTGGATATGCTTACTAATTAGAATAATAAAGGGAGAAAGCACTAATCTATTAGTGCTAATTATTTCAACTATAATAACTTTTTAAGAATTAATATAATTATCTATATATAGTTTTTTTTTCTGCTCTAGGGTAATAACTTAATAATCCTTCCCTTCTCCTATTTAAAAGCCTATTTTATCTATATTATAGAGATCTGCAGATTATATATATAGATTAATTAGTATTTGTTTATAGCGGCGATACTAGTCCTATATATTATTTAAATAATAAGCCCTTTTCCTATCTGTATTAAATGCTTATTGCCTTTATATAAATATCTTAGGATATTAGAGAAAGAACCGTTTAAGCTAATATCGGCTGACTCTTTATAAAAGTATTAAGGGGTCTTAATAAGCTTAAGCTAGGATTATATTTATACAACTAGCCATTATTCTTTGCGTTAGAGATAATCTAACTATATTTAGGCGTTTAATATATTTATAGATAATAAGCTCCTAAGCTGGGGAGAATAGTTAATTTATTAGAGGTCTATTAGACTATAAAACGCGACCGAGGTAGTGAGATTAAAGATATGAATAAGGCACGTTAAACTAACGCGCAGCTTACGCAAGATTGGGGTTTAACTGGTTAGATAATGTGAATAGGGCATATTAGATCTTATTTTTAATATCGCTATAAGATTTAGACATTATAGTAGATTATAAATGATGTTGGAAGTTGAAATTTAATAAATCTTAATAATTTTATGTTGAGCTGGGTGTTTGTGTTGAGGTGGCAGACCCGCGCTGCGCGCGGTGTCCGAAACTAGGGGCCGATTATGGGGAAAAGGTGGTCGTCAGGTGGAAACGGTCGTCAGATGACTAAACACAGTATGTTCTAAGCGCCAGAGTGGGGCAAGATCTACCTCTCATATCGTCTGCAACCACATCTTCTACCCAGCAACACAAGTTGCACAGTAAGGAAAAGAATACTTTCGCTTCAATAATGCAAACTGCACTTGTGTCATTTTAGATATCCCCGAAACACTCAGTTCAAATTTAACCTTGATCCTGAAGAGACTAGGATAACTACCTAGGTACCTACTATCGGTGAAACCTGAATCCCTTCGTCACGGGAACGACAACAGTATGGCTGCTCCCCCTCCTCCTCCTCCTCCACCTCCACCACCGGAGGATTTTCGTTCCAAAGTCTCGCCTTTTATACAGAAGCTACGAACCGCGCCGCCAGACTGGTATTATAAGGCTCCTAAATCGCCACCGCCAGTTGATTTCCTAGCCCCGCCAACAGGTCCATACTTCTTTTATGGCACCCTGGTTGATCCGTCCATGATTACGGAAATCCTCGGGTTAGATTATGAACCTGAGCTGCGACCAGCTTATATCGTTGGGTACGAATGCAAATTATGGGGCCAGTATCCGGCTCTCCTCGATGCCCCAGACTCGATTGTCGAAGGGGCTGTATATCATGTCTCGACAGTTGAAGACGGGGAGAAACTAGCAGCTTATGAAACGAGAAATTACCGGACAGAGCGTTGCTGGATCAATTATATGGATAAAAAGGAACCATTAAGGGAAATAGGCTCTACATTCAAGTTTGTTGGAGACCGCGGCGACCTTAGTGAAGGGCAGTTTGACTTGAAAGTCTGGTTAAAACGCATGGGAAGGACCGCGGCACTTGAGAAGCTTGAGGGTAAAGTGAAAAAAACGACGTGACGAAAACAGTGAATATCATTTAGGGACCAGATATGCGTGAGATTTATGCAGCCTCGACTCTTATAAGTCGGCGCGGAATGCGAGTTGATCGTATCTACATCTATCGAACATACATTATTGAAGAACGGAAATTATACAGCGGCAACATATAATTTGCGAGCATGGGATGGTGACGGCTAGCGTAATAATAGAGAGAACCGCATTCTATCCCAGAATATCGGCCCTCCGTCGGATGGTCCGAAGCACCGAAAAGGTGACTTACGCGGCAGACGGATCTGTCTTGCCGAGAGCCGATCGCCGACGGATCAGGATCTTGGCCAGCAAGCTGAAGATGATAAGCCTGTACGATCTGATACGGGTGATATGATGAGGATTTTTCTGCTTAATGTTGGCTAAGGGGCCCTTTGACTAGGTATTCGGCGGTGACGGTATCCAAGCTTTCGTATTGTGTTATTAGCATTTTATCTATCGATGCATGTATATCAACTTTTATAGACGCCCCAAATGCAAGTAAGTCTATGAACAATGAAAGCAATGAACAAGTCAGAATATATGTACCCGTATCATCATTAAGCCCATTACGTTCCTAAGCCCATTATGCGAACTTCTCTGGATCAGCAGCATTGCGAGACAATTCCTTCGAGGGCACTCGGGATTGGTCTTCGCTCGAGGATATCGCTTCATTTCCCTCACCTGCTTCCAAATCCGCTTCTGGGCCTTCTTGTCCTTGGTCTTCGACAATTGCGCCGCTGGTTTCAGCAGCTTCTTGTTTCCTCTTAGCTTCCATCTCTGCTTCGATTTCTGCTGGGTCTTTCGGCCTTTCTAGACCTCTGTCTCTGATAATTATGCATGCCAGGAGACACGCCCCGACTAGTGGAACTTGTAGGATAAACACCGAGTGGGATGCATGCATGTATGCATCCAACAATCTCTCCCAATCTTCCGGTGGGACACTGGATTTCGACGGTACGGAGTACGTGGCGCGCGCTAGACTCTCATATCCTGGAGGCAAGTGTGCCCTGAGTGTTGCCTGTAGAACTGCCGCGGAGACGGCGAGTCCGCATGCGCCGCCGAGACAGCGAAAGAAGTTGCGGTTGGAGATAGCAACAGCTCGCTGAGATTTGGTGCAGTGAGCCTGGACAGCTACAAGAGTGGGCTGAAACGTGTTGCCAACGCCAACGCCAACTAGAGCAAGGATGACACAAATGACTGCTTTGCTAGTAGTCCGAGTGAAGAGAAGAGTTAGGCCTGTGCCACTGTGAGAGGTTGATGTTAGATATTCGATGCTATGCAATGGTTTTCAAAACCCTATGGACGTGACAGATACTTACAGTGTCCAGACCCCAAAGCCCGTCCAAATGACTTCTCCATAGCGTTGACGGCGGGAGATATACTGCCCTGTAAGTATCGACGTGATGGATTGACAGGCCACCATAGGAACAGTCATAGCCGCAGATTCGATAGCCGACCATTGACGCGCGTTCTGAAAGTAAAGAGGCAGATAATACAGATACGACTGATATGCCGCTCCGAGCAGGAAGCTCTGGAAGAGGAGAGCCGAAACGACTTTATTTCGGAACAGACTTACTGCGCAAATGTCAGCTATCCAAACGGAAATGTATATTGGGCGTAGAGTTCGTACTCGGTGTCATGGGAAGAGCAGCCACTTTCCACTCGATGAGAAGAAAAGCAATCAACGAACATCCCCCTATGGTCAGCATGCTAATGACCAGAGGGGAATTCCACTCGAAATAAGATCCGCCTCCGGATATGGGGATCAGAAGGAAGATGATGCCAATAGAGGAAGTTATGACTCCGTAAAAGTCGATTCTGCGAACGCTCTTTTTCAAACTGTCCTTCCGCATATTGTTCGGGAGAAGAAAGAAGGCGATAACCGCGGAAATGGCAGCTAGGGGCGAGATCATCCAAAAGAAACCACGCCAAGTTGATTTCATAACGAACGCTGCGGCAATGAATGGCCCGATAACATTGCCTGTTCCCACGCAAGATCCCAGAATTCCTTGGTATTTTCCTCGATCCTTGAGTGTGACAATATCAGAGACAATGATCATTGCCAAGGAGGTCACTCCTCCACCAGCGATACCTGCAATGCCGCGAAAGATGTAAAACATAGCAGCACTCTGCGAGAGACCACAGAGCAAATCCGCAAAGCACAGCAACCCGAGCGCAAGCAGGAATACGACTTTCCGGCCAAAGATGTCTGACAGACGGCCATACAGGACTGTGAACATGGTATTGGCGATCAAGGATGATGTTCCAGCCCAGGAGATGGAGTTCTCCGCGTGCAAATCGCGGCCAATTGTGGGCAGTGTAACTCCGATTCCATTCTGGTCGATAAAACAGATTAGAAGCGACGATGCCAGACCCGCGAAAACAACAAGTAGTTTCCCCCGTGGAAGGATGTTGGTCTGATCGTGCAGAGCTCGTTCTGCCGCCTGTTGGCGCTTCATTATGGCAGGCTGTAGACGAATTGACGCCCTTTACCAGAGACACCGCAACTTCAAGACCTCTGGGAAAGTATCACAAGTTTCAATTGTCATTATACTCTAGTTTCGGTAACTTTAGGTATTTTTGCGGATAAAGTCCAGAGTTCTCGAGAAACCGGTGATAGTAGTGTTCGTCTTTATCAAAAAACAACGGGAAATGAGAAAGTGACGAAAGGCAAGAAGAGATAAACTGCAGATTTCACGAGCTCAAAGAGAAGAGAAAAGATAGCTCAGCCGTCTATGCAGAAATGTTGCATGTTTGCACACCGATTCTAATATCGGGCTCAGTGCCGAGTAACCCAGACTCCAGAACAGCAGCAGTCTTGGACAAGTAATTAATTATGCGGTCAGTGAACAAGTCGCAGTCGTGCTGCCTGACCTATCTACCGGTTGTGGAGCCTGGAAGAAGTCCGTGAATTTCCACTTGCATTTCGAATTCTGTTTTGTCGGACGTCCGATAAAATCATACTTTAGTCGACTCCAAGACGCCCCCCGGAAAAAAAAAAAAAAAAAAAAAAAGCGATGGTTATCGGAGGTATTCCGCACATCCTTGCTATCTATACTATTATTTGAGCGAAAGGTTGTTTTTTATTATTTTAACAAGGGGGAGGTATGGCGGCCTATTAATGGGTTTTACACCCCTCTATAGCCTAGGTATAATACGTAGCTAGCCAAGGCCCAGGGCCTATACTATCCCTTTAGCTGTAACACATTTAAAGTAAAAGCCTCTTTATATGAGAAATCACCCCTGAGAGTTGCCCACATACTCTTATATTACTCCCCCTTTTGAATATTTCAGTTGAGGGATATATAACTCATAGAGTTAGCATAACAAAAGGGACGAAAGAGAGATATATCTATTCCACCGTATTCCTCTATCCCCCACTATCTAATGCCTAGGAAAGCCTATTATGGGTTTAATTCATTATAATTTGTCCATGGTATCAACCAAAAGAGATATATCCTATCCTCCTTTAACTATCTTATCTGGGGTAAGGGTGGTGAGACCAAGTGCTGTTAGAAAATAGTAGTTTTGAACAGTCCTATCATTATTGATCGATAGCTTTATCACAGGTTTTCATAGTAAAGAGGCGATAATAACAGGTGGGATAGAGAAAACTCGAGGACATTCATCATTGGGCCAAAAGGGCTTAAGGAGGCGATATTATAGTCAGATTAAAACTGGAAAATGCTTCAGATAAATGGCAACCGGCCGAGGGGAGGAGTTAATTTGACCAAGGGCTCATCTTGGCTTCGTCCAATATGGACTACTAGACTCTAGCACCGCGTTGAGGTGTCGCTGGAGATCTATACTATTATTTGTATGCAGGAACCATGGTTTAGATGGTACGGCGCTAGGTAAGAACAGATCCTACCTAGTAGTCACGCCCACGGCAGGTACCTTAGGTAGTCAACAGCCTGCTGCCACGACCCAACTCCAAGTGTCCGACAACTATCTATCTACACTCAGCATCGAAGGTTTTTGTATTGGCAGCGAACGAACTCTTTATCAAGTACACGAGATACTTTGTCAATATGACCCTACACCGCAGATCCTCTACGGTGGAGAATCTCCGTTTTAACACACCATATGTCGCCTTTGCGTCAAGAGATCAGACACAAGAAGCCCTTTCTATTGATCGGTCCCATCAAGACTCCTCTGGCATTCCACATGCACACTCCACTTCTATTCCAAGACCTGATAATGCCCAAGGGTCTACTGTGGATCGAAGACTACACGAACAAGGACCAAATCTCCACAGTCCTAAGGGATGGTGGGTGTCAAACAACGGCTATGGGTCGAGACATGCGTCTGATGTGGCGCCATTTACACTCTGGGATAGCAGTCGCCGAGATTTCCGCTATCCCACGCCTTCCGAGCATGCATGGATCAACACTACTTTTCAAGCAGTCAGCGTCACTTATATCTGGCCTGAGATTATCATAGAGACACCTAATCCGCCAACTCCAGTCCCTCTGACAGTGGCATGTGTGGCAGCTATGTTCATTCCAGTCGGCCATCAGATAACATACTTGTCAACTGATATTGACTACAGCAACCCTAGAATGCCCGACCCTGTGCCTGAACATCTGCGCTTCCATAAATGGGAGAGAGCTTCGACAGAACAGTATGAAGCTGTTCTTCAAGAGCTGGGAAAGCTTGTGAATATTCAAGCTGTGAACTTCATTCCGACTCTAGTCATCGTTGAAATCAGAACCGGCGATGGCAGGACATACGAAAGAAGATCTCTCCCGGGGAGGGTTGGAGGTCAGACCACATTGTATCATCACAGCGAGACGCCCTTCTGGAAGATGGAAAGGCAAGGAAGAGAGCGCTTAATCGAACCTAGCGATATGACTCAAGACACCACTAACTATATAAGGGAGCTACATACTCTCTACCCTGGAGTTAGAGTGGAGAGTGGCACGACATCTCGATATAGTGGCTACCTTGATACAACCATGGCTACAACTGCCGGTATCTTACTCAGATCCAACAAGGAAGGGCCGAGATTGACTGTATCGAACCACGGCTTCATTGATACTGATGAAGTTTACCATCCTTCGCCTCGGACAGGAGATTGCATAGGTCAGGTTACAGAGCGCTTTGAGGCATTGGACATTGCTCTGGTGAAACTCTTTCCGTCAACAACCTTCACAAACTCAGAGTATTTCCAAGCCAACATACCCAAGAGACTCCTCCGTTCAAATGAGGTTCTAGAAAATACTTGGTGCAGTCTTGACGGTATGGCTAGTGGTCTGGTCTTCTTAAAAGTTCATGGGAGGAGATTTCGAGTGGCATCACAGCCGCCAGGTGTTGTTGTTCCCTTTGTCGATTTTCAGACCGAAAATATATTTCGCTATGTCGGGCCCGCGGGAGGCCAGATCCGGGAAGGAATATGCGGCTCAGCAATAGTAGTTGACGACGACAAAGATGGTGGTGTGGTTGGATTTTTTCAGCTAGGCGAGCACGGTTCAGAATGGACCACATGCCCATGCCTCGATGACTTAATCGATAGAGGATGGACGGTGGTTTAGACGGCACTGGCTTGATAGCATAATTCTAGAGTTCAAGGGTAGCTATATGTCGGGGAAGGGCTGCATTGCCGTAAAGAAATGCGGCCAGCCATCTGAGATACCTGGGTGCAGGTCATTCTTAAAGGGAATCAGTGATTACTATATTGTATCATAAGAACTTAGAAGCGCTGCATCAATTAGAGAAATTATTGCTAGCTAGTTAGTGACTGTGCAACGGTTATAAAGTGTGATGTTGTGTTGTGTTATGCAGTGAAGGAAAAATCCTATAATCATTGCCTAAAAGTACTTTCCCATGCAGCGATCGCTTGCGAATGCCTTTCATTAGGGTCTTCTATCAGATACAAGCCTCAGATTGACTTCATGTTAATTAGCCATTGTTTGAGGTTATAACCGTGTAATCTGACTGGGGATAATCTCGGCCGTGGCTAGCAACATAAGTTCCATGATCATAAATTGCTTTCCTGACATTTGACTGTGTATTTGATTTGCGCGCAGGTTGTCCACATGAACATGCTCTCGCTACTACCTGTTATCAAGACCTCTACAATAATATCATAATATATTAATCCTTACCAGCTCTCGCTGCCTATCGCCATAGTGCGATGTCAGGTTCAGACATAAGACAAGTTATCTACCACGTTTCTCTTAATAAATCTTGACACTCCATTTGAAAGCTACAGAGATAAGAGATTTCCGATTCAGAAGTACTATTTCCTCACCTTGTCCAATCAAAACATGAACTTCTTGTGAGAGCGTAGGGATTAGTAACAGTTGAGTAAGACTGAAGATCTTCACGTGGCATAATTGTGTTTCTTCGGTATGACTGGAAAGTTCGACCAGCGTTCACCAAATATCGTTGTCCCTTGTTCATTATCGGTCTTTATTCCAGTATCGTGCATCTCCTACCTATGGAGCAGAACGATTATTCTACATGAGGGATGGTTCGAGCATAATACCAAGAAATGACATATCGATGCGAGGAAAGTCCCATCTAGTCAAGTGGATGGCTATCTTTCAACACATCACAGAGAAAATTTCTCAGATCGCAGCCAGCATATCTTTTGCGGACGATAAGCGGTTACTAGCGATGCTATAGTTGTGACGATTCCTCGTCAGACTCGTGTATATAAGCATCTTAGTGGAGAGCACATCCCAGTTCCTGTGGAGACCATTAAAGCGATTGACTGCTGCCACACGGTATTATTTATGAGGATGGGTGGGAGGCGAAAGTCGCCATTTTTAACCACGAATCATCTAACAGTGAATAGGTATCTCAAGAGACCAGTGATTCAATCGTTTCGACTTCTCTGTGAACGGATTTCAAGGGTTGCCAGAAGTAATCGGTACCTCTAGACCACTCGCAGTCCAAGTTGACGGTATGTCGCGATGATGTCCAACAGTGTTTCCATCGTCATTACTGCTTCTTCTATTGGATACTGAAGTAGGTGGGCGGCTTTGTATACTGTTCTGTGTTGATGAGGAATGCTGCAGATAGTTGCCACCAGCGATGTTTCCATGATTAGGAAAGAAGCTCTGGTTCAAGGACCCACAGGTCGTGCAAGTGAATTCAATCTTGAAGTTCGTAAGTACCAGTTGCGGGGCAGCTGGATGTCCGGTCTGTTGTTGCTGCTGCTGGCTTTGGAGTTTCGGGTCTGGTGGCGGCAGTGCTGTGTGAGTAGATTGCGGATGGGTATACGTATTTTGTGGCATGTTTATAGGAGGCAGATGTTGAACAGGATACCTCTGATCCTGGGGGTGTCCCAGAGTATGCGTTGGCACCTGTTGGTTATGAGACTGTTGAGAGACAGTCTGGTTATTCTGAGTACTGTTCGGCTGAACGCTACCTTCGGGAGGTAACGTAGCTGGAAGTTGACTGTGAAGCCATCTATTCTCAGCAATTTTGCCGTGTCCAGAATTATCTTCGTGGCTTGCTTGAGCTTGATGTGGGGTCTGTTGTACTTCGTCATCTCCCTCTCCGTGGGCTGCTTGATCTGGGTGAACTCTTGGTCGTCGTGGCTGTAATTTAGTGAGGGCACGCTGTGCCTGTCTCATAGATATATCATAGCCATGGTAGCGTTTAACTGCGTCGACAACTTCCTGTCCTCTTATTTTATTGTTCATATCAAATAACTTTGGTATCTCCGAAAGGAGGAACCGGACATGGGACGCTTCTGAACGAGCCGGCGTGGCCCCTGGCGAACTCGCAGTTCGCCGACAACTGTGACCGTCTTGTAAACTCGTTATGTATGTTGCATTTTTGTTTGCGCGGCACACAACTCGGAAGTAGCAATTGACTGAGGATCGACAGCCTAAGACTACACTCTTCTTGTTGCTTCGTACCACTCTAAGGTCCCAGTGCTGCCTCACAGATATACTTCGTATAACATCTTTGAACTCTTCGAGCGAGGCGAATCTCTGGCCCACATGGAGGCCCGAGTACAACTCCGTCATTGCGATATGCTAATCCGGTGGGAACCAGAAGACTGAATAAATAGTGCCTCTTCATGCATTCTATGAAAATGAAACGTTAGCCATAAGCGATTGATATAACGGGGGAATTTGCGTACGGAATAGAACCTGTTCTGTTCCTTTACACTTCAAGACCTGAGCTCAGCTCCACAGTGTTAGACTATCTCATGTCAACCGAGGTGACAAACAAGCCGTGCGTCAGAATCAGGGGAGACTGCTCGTACAGCTTGGCAGTCGTGTCTGATGGATTGAGGATGACAGTTAAATGCAATACTCAACTCTCGAGACGATCAACGATAGAACGACCTTTGAGGTCTTCCATTGTCTTCCAGTTGCAAGCGAGGTAAAGCAAGGTTGCGGGCAACCTGCGCGACTAGCGTGGTTGGTCGCCTTTGGTCGTTAGCTTGCCTTACCCGACTGAGAAGCTCTTCCTCAGCCCTGTCATAACGCTTCTCCGCATTACCTTGTTACTCGCAATGGCATCTTACAATTTATTAGACCAGGCCGAGGAAGGTAAGATACTGTTCTTGGTCCTCTTCTGGAATGCAGACTGACCTAAGTTGTCGTGGTAGATGCACTGCACAAATCTCGTCTTCTGAACGTCGAAGAAAAGCCTTTTAAACGCATCACGAAACGTCTCCTCACTCCAGGCTCCCTCACATCCTCATTGACGACCATTCTTCCGACTCCTCCGCCGGATAATGCAGACGACGATGCTGCGACAGCGCTCGAAGCTGAGCGACAGAAGAAGCTCGAAGAATGGCGCCAATTCCGCGAAGACGTAACGCTCGACTTTGCAGCGTTCGAAGGCAGCATCGCTCGCATCCAGTTCCTGCTTACGAGTAACGAAAAGGAACGTGAGCGTTATGCCGCCCAGAAACTTCGCATTCAGTCCACTGCTCAATCCGTGAGCGACAACATAACAGAGCTGCGGACTCAGCTGGAGGAAGCCCAAAGGACCCTGGCACTACGGAAAACGTACGACGAGCTAGCCGAGAAAATCACAAGCAACAGACTTCTGAAACCACGGGAGGATCAAGAGAACAATCTACAGAAACTACAAGCCGAAATCACAGAGCTAGAGAAGGAGAGCAAGGAATACGCGAAGACATGGTCGGAACGGAGAGAACAATTTGGCCGTATCGTGGAAGAAGGCATGCAGCTGCGACGCTTGATTAGAGACGAGAAGGAGGAGGTCGAGCGCAGAGAGGGCATGCAGGAGGGTGAAGACGGCGACGAAGGCGATGTTCCTTCCAAAGACAAGACCAGTGGTTCGAATACACCGCGACCTGAAAATATATCACTGCAGTCTTCCCGGGATGAACATGGTACATCTGGACTACAAGTAGACAGGTCACATGACGGAACGGCAAGGGCATCTCCATTGCGTCAAACTACGAATATGGAGCAGGATACCAACATGGTGGATGAAGGAGAGGTGACTGGTGACGAAGGGACTGAAAAGGCCAACGATCTGGAAGAAGGCGAAGAAGTGTCTGATGGCCGCGTAGGCGATAAGATGGACACTACATGATGTCCCTATGACCCTGTGGCATTGCATATGTACAATAGCGTGGCGTTTGGTACGGGTTGTTTGGATCATCGCGAACGAAAATATTCTCGGTCTTGCTTTGTTACTTTCAGGATTTGCAGCCTTTATACCAGAGTTACATCTCGCCGTCTTCTCGGTCAGGACAGCCGTCGAATTAATTTTCTTCTATCACGAAACCTCTCTCACTGCAATCTTGGCTTGAGCTACTGCATCCTTGGCAGCATTTATCTGCTCAACATTGCTTTGGTCGCCTTTCTGTCCCTCCTCGACCTTTACGTACAGGTCAACTCTGCCTGGCCACACAAATAAAGGACCAAATGAATAGGCACTTACCAGTAGAGCCTCTAACTTCTGGAGAGCAGCTGAAATCTTTGGTTTCAGTGTTGGAAGTACTGCTTTGGTTTCTTCCATTGCCCGACGCTACAAATTGCCCATTATCAGTAGAATTCCATACATGTTCCCAGCTGGGAAAAAGGGACCGGGATCCATATCAAATCCAGTTGCCCCTGGCGTTCATAGATATGGGAGTACAATCGAAACATGACTATAAAAATACATACCTCTTGATTCAGTGCATACTGCCTGTTTCCATCTTCATCGGGGCCGGTCTCGGCCTCCAAGCGCTGGATTCGCTGTTCTTGCTGCTGCAGTTCACGGTGGTAAGAAGCCTCCTCCTTGACCAAACGTTGAACAGACGATGTAGCAATTGATAGAGGCGATGGGGGCGCCATTATTCCTATACTTTAAGTCAATACATCATGTCACAACGTGACAATATATACGGGAGGAACACGCGTCCGCTGGGAACTGGGACTGTTTGGGGTGTCCAGCGTACTAGGGGAAAGGCTGCTACCAACCAAGTTTCTCGTCGGTTTGTCTCTATGGTAGAAAACAATCCTTATGTCGAGACAAAGTAAATTGTGAGGAAAATATGTCACTGTCTTGATAGAAGCAACGACTGTGATAGGTGTATTTTGCACTGTTTGACTTGGTGGGGGTTTTCGTATCTGAGGGGTAACACGTGACCGCTCTGCAGAATGAAACCGCCAGATAATCTTTCCTCATAATGATGCTCTGCTTGAGATCAGAGTCTACGTTATTCGAAGGAATCTGCGTAGTATTGTTACTGATTACTGAGAGTCCGTGGTCACCCTCTATGATGATTACAATATTTGAACCCGGGGAGTAGGCGATTATATCTGATATTCAACTATCATCTAACTTCCGACTTCAATTGACAGGCAAAGTGCGGGACCTTTTCTTGTATCATATAATCCCATCTCTGTCTGTACGCGTAAACATATGTCCTTCAACTGGACCTGAACTCTGACTTTTCCTGGTGGAACGGCACTGTCCAGGTACCCTGCATTTTGACATCTCAACTCAGGTCTCGAATGAATAGTTTCCGCGTCGCCATGGTCTTTCCGGCTGATAGATCTAGTATTCGTCTTTCCCCAAAATGATTTCTTCGCAGCGGTAGATATTTGCATATTGTTGTCGTCTTCAGGCCTCTCCGTTATTCTGGTCGAAGCTTCGTCCATTGTACCTTCCAAACTGTGACCGGTACCGATTAAGTGTTGCTTAAGGCAGCTTTCGAGCTCTTTCATCACTGCTGGCTGTCTCCAGAACTCCAGAGTATGCTCTTCGCCGATAAGCCAAATCAGGCTTGCAGGGCACCCGGCTGGGAAACCGATAATCTCCGTTTCCGTTGACATGCGGTTTGTTTGGAGAACAGTTACGTTTGAGGGGACAAGCAAGAATGTGGTTTTATATAAGCCAGTCTGTCCAAGGGAGAAAACCAGAGGATTCACGTATGTCTCCAGCATATCCTCAATTCTCCGAGCTCGTGTCTCTGCCAACTGCTTCCCCAAAGACAGGGACGGCGCGAAATGGGACATGTCCTTCTTCTGTTCGCTGTTGGTAAATCGAGAAGCGTCAAGACTTTCTTCGTAAGCCGGGGCAGCCTCATCTTGGTATATTTCAGGACTATACGATGTAGGAGACATGCTGCCGAAAGCCAAATGAGGCGAAGATTGACTCGAGAAAATATGGGGCAGAAATGCTTCGGACAACAAATACTATGACGGGGGTGTTTTTAAAGTGAGATACATTGTGGTATCCCCTAAGATAACCCGATACCATTGTCTATTCGCAGGATATGACAATCTTCCAGTGCCAAGAGTAATTCGACATACATCACGTCAGGTTCTGTTTATGTCAGTATTATCGACACATGCGCGGCCAGAAATGGCTATGACCTCTCTATTACTAGCACGTTGGAGACTGGATTTCGCATTACGAGGACACTTTTTATCAGTTCCTAAACTCTCGTCTACTGCCAGGGGCAGCGTTTGGGTGGAGCAATAGATGCTGCGGTCACCTTTCCCCGCATGGTGCCAACCTCGCGCAGCATAAGGGTCTTGAAAGTCGGCTGAAACATAGAAGACAGTTTGGATAGCCTTTATTACCCCTCTCTGAGAATCGCTTTGGTGGTCTCCCATCACTGACAAATTTGATAAACGTTTTCGGCTTGTCGTATTCCATGGAACGCATGCATCCTCTTTCAGTGCCAATGCTACTATCACAAGGCCAACAGACAGATCTAGACTGCATGCATGACAATAATCGTTATCTTTTCTTTCATGAATACGCAAATACACTAGAAGATAACTTCATCCTTGTCATTAAATCCTCTACCTCATCGAAATGCGTTCTAATTATCGAAGCTAGAAGCGTTTGTCGACATCTATCTAACTCGACACGCCACTTGGGAGAGCCAAAATGATTGTTTAAGTCCCTTGAAGTAAGATGTTGTCGAATCAAGGAAATAGTCTATCAGAGAAATATTATGCTAGGCTATCTAATGCTATCTAATATACGAGGATGATGTTTCCACATGTACTCGCGTCCACCTGGCTGGTTTGTCAATGAATGAGTCAACCACTAAACTGGCCTGAGTTCGAATTCTGGACTCGGACTCCAGTTGTACGATCTCTTGACGCAAATATGATTAGTCCATAGGTTAAAGGTTACTGAACATACTTTCACTAGCGGGAGTATCATGTCGTGATATTTATTTAATATTCTATCGAAACCCCCCTTCAATCGAAAGTTATATCGACTCCAACATATCTATCTCTGGACAAAGAGGCACGCCTCCCGGTATCATCACCTCATACACTACAGAGGAAAAAAATTCCTGACAACTGTACTTTGTCATAATGGTTGGGTGAGTACAATTCCGTTAGCGGAAAACAAGACTCGATGGAAACTTGAGCTGTCAAAGCTATATCCAAAAAGGAAAACAATCTGCTGAATCGCCACAGATACAAAACCACAAAACCACACGAATATCTCGTCATCACGGGAGCGGGCATTGACGGAGTCCGCGTATGCAAGAAAGCCTTCGTGAAACCATGGCAGAAAGTACGTTATATTTTTGATTGTCATTCCGCTTCACTCTACTGACGAAAATGACTTTCAGGCTTCCCGCATTTCGCTATTGCCATGCAATGTACCCTACAGCGACCGGCCAAGGACTATTGAAAAACATGTGTTCAATCTGGATGTCGTGTTCACAGTCGGACCTGATGATAATCCCGAGTCAGTCAAGAGATGCGCTCAAATCTTGTCTCGCAATGAATGTCGCTTGTTGGCAGATGAGATCTGTGGCAGGAGCTCTACAATACGCAACATTGTCAAGGGAGAAGTAAACGCGACTGTTGCCCGCATGACTATGGAAGAAATCTTCAAAGAGAGAGAGATCTTCAAGGACGAAGGTAGGTATATATCAGCTTATAAAGCAATACACGAAAACTAACTGCTAACTTTGTGCGATATCAGTAATGGGAAACATACAGAAAGAGCTCGAGAAGTTCGGCCTTAGAGTGTGAGTGATGTGATTTCATGACATCTGGCGCGAGTAGTATTTGCTAAGACGTTTTCAGTCATAATGCCAATATTCTAGATATTAGCGACTCGTATGGAAGCTTCGACTACTTGACTTGTATGAGCAAGAAAGTTCAGGAAGCTGCTGTTAATCAATCCCGTATTGATACCGCAGAAGCCCAGATGAGGGGCCAAATTGGCGAAGCAAAGATTGACGGATTGAAGAGGCAGGAAACATCCAGAATCAAAACCGAAACAGTTACCATCGAAGCGGGCCACCAAAAGACAAGAGCAGAGGTTGAAGCGGAGCTCTCAAGACTCAAAGCAGAGCTTGATAACAATCTTGAACTCGCCAAGCTCACCGCGAGACGTCAGTATGATATGACCGATGCAGAACTACAGAGACAGGTCGAGGTGAGGAAGACTGAAAAAGAGCTTGAACGCCTTAGAGCATCGGATGTCGTCAAGAGCAAGATAGCCCGCGAATCCGCTCAGGAGAAGGCAGATGCTTTCTTGTATAAGGAGCAAAAAGAAGCCGATGCAGCCTTGTACAAAAGAAAGTTGGAGGCAGACGCCCTCTGTAGGTCTCTCAGTAATACTACTATGATATATCCCGCTAACTATGCTTCTACAGGCTACCAGCAGAAACGAGAAGCGGAAGCTATGCTTGAGATGGCCAAGGCTCATAGTGCTCTTGTGGATGTCCTGGGAGGGCCTCAAGGGTTCTTACAATACAAGATGCTGGAGAGTGGCACATATGAGAGACTTGCAGAAGCCAACGGAAATGCGATCAGTGGACTCCAGCCCAAGATTACTATGTGGAATACTGGTAAGTTTGACATCTGAGGATTCTGTGGCTCACTAGAGTGCTCTATCGCCTAATCCCGGTTGGAAAGACGACCGGGGATATAGACAATTATGACTAACAGTGTTTCTATCCAGGTAACGGAGATGCCTCTGATAATCCCATTCGGGGCCTCATGCAAAGTCTGCCACCGCTTCTCTCTACTATCCATGACCAGACAGGCATTTCGCCGCCATCATGGCTTGCGCGTATGCCCAACAAGAGCGGACAGGAAGAAAAAGAATCTCAAGACATCATCCCGAAGGCAATGCTCTTTGATTGAGTCTAGATCCTTTGTCGCGATATTGGCCGCGAACATTTGGTTGAAACAGACGCACGACTGGGAACCTAAGTTCGCAAAGCTAAGCCATATCCACGTTCGTCATGGATTGACTTTACCTCAGTTAGTTTACCTTGAATACTACATTCCGTAGTATTGGGGAGACGAAAATGTATTGGTGTTCTACTTGCTAGTGTAGTCAGTTCTTGAGGTTTTCTTAATGCCAATAATACTCTATCAATTTAATATTCTTGCCATGATTCATAAGTAATATGTAAATGGGCCTATTGTATTGGGTATTATAATATTTCCGCGTGTACTTTCTGCCTAGATAGAATCAAGCTTTTCCGATCACAGGATCTGCGGGTGATTTCCAGTTCCAGTTGTTCCTTCTTCGGGACTGGTTTCTTAACACTGTAGTCTCCAAATGTAGACAAGCAGTTCAACCAGATGATCGAGGAGCTAGTTTTCGGAACCCAAGGGAGCTGATTCAGATATCGAGTGAAAAACCCGGAGGCCAGATCTGAACGGAGTGGTCGACCATTCCAGTTTAAATAGTAATCGACAACCCCAGCGGGGTTATAAACACACACGGTCGAACTGCAGCTCGAGACCGAACAGTCACGGCATTTCTTTTGTCTCCATATCTGTGCCGAACACCCGTACGCCTAATTGCTCCCCATTCACGAAATATGCTGCAGACCCTAATGTAAGTCCGACGAAGGGGCTATGATCTCTGCTATGGGCGTCCCAGGCAGGGAAGGAACGAAATAATGCAGCTGCGAACCACTCTTGATCAATATTGGTCAAGAGTCCATTCATTTCACCACATCCCACTTGAAGTAAGTAGCTGGCACTTGGATCGCAACAAAACTCTTCCGGAGAAGTAGGGAGTTTAGCCCCGAGCCGTAGTGATTGATTCAGTCCTTCGCACTTTCCGGCGTAGCTTTGGGCGCTGTGACCATTTAAGCAGCCTTTCGGATAAACTTCTCATGTACAGTATGTCGAGACCGAAGACCTATTGAGATTCTGTGAGAAGTTGACGGAACTCGCTTCCGGATATTTCTTTCCACAGTGCAGCAGCGGCAGGAGTCCCTACAATTGGATCGCTTTCGTCTAGATCTGGTCCAAATTCACTATACCGATCCTGAACTCGAGAACCATACCTGTTTAAGAATTTAATCATCCAGCGATCCATGTCAAAGTTCTTCTCCGTAGCATTCATCTGACATACTTGATGAAATGCCCGCAGTCGCGACATAGAGAATTCAATGAATGGCCAGTATTTCTGCAAATGGAGTAGAATGATGAAGTTTTGTTCTAATAACATTCTTGCCTTGGTGATTTCTGTGTCGTCATTGCTGAATAAGAGTGTGTGAAGATGTATGGACGATGAGACAACCAAAAGGTGTCCATTGACTGGTGACCACAAGCATTCCATTCCAGGCGTCGAATTAGTGTCCCACATAATTTTACTTAATGCTGCAGCATGAGCTTTGCATTGTCCAGCATATTGAACGGCTTCATGGTCGATATCCGCGCCAGTGCTAGTTGACCCTTTATTGAGGAATTGGTAATAGAGAAGTTGAGCTTGGTGATGATAAAGCAGGTGTAGGATGGCGAACTCTCGTCCAAGGCCGGATTTAGCATGGCTCTCACGGTTATCAACCGTATTAAGGAGATGACTTGGTAGATCTCCCAGCCAGAGGTCCAACTTGATTGACAATTCTGCTACACGTCTGCGAACCGCGGGGTAAGGAATAGATTTTTGGACGATCTGGTCATTAAGCAGGACAACTTGGTTGTGAATCTCTGTCAGAGCAAGCATTGAGCTCCAAAGGCCGGATTTCCGCAGTCCCAGCGATTCTATGTCCGCCTCAGATAGGTGACTAGCCGGATCACCAGGCTGCATTGCATTAAATGCACACTCTTCCAAGGGTCTCTTGAAATTCGAATCATTCAGGCGCCTGGGAAGTTGTAGTCGTGATGTATGCCACGCATCCATCATCCAACATTGCCAGAATACTAAGCAAAGAGAATCAGCGACTCGGCCTCAATATTTGAATGAAATGCACCTACATCGAATCTCGACTTCTCGCTGTATGGGATCGGAGCTAAGGCAAACTGGTAAGCGCAACATTTGCACCATGCAAATTGCTTGGGCAGAAAGCAAGGCATCCTGATCATTGTCTCCTTCCACGAATGCGACGAATCCCAACAGGACGCTCCCTTGCAAAGACGGTATATCAATCAGAACTGAACGAGAGTTAAATGCGCTCATCGCTTTTTGATACCAAGATTTGGCTCTATCCCATGGACGGGTATTCTGAAAATATGGATTGGACGAAAACCTAATCAATCCATACTTCGTCAGAGGGATGCGAGCTCTTTTCCTCAACAGGGTCCCACGAACCGAGCTGCCAACGCAATCATCCCTAACACCAGAAACGATGGTGCCCTTCCCGCACGCTGATCAGCAATAAAGGAATCCCGATGGAAGAGAATATGCTGTTTGTCGTGTATCAAATCAAAATAGAGATCAACCAAGTCATCACAGACTGTGGCCGGTAAACCATCTTGGGTCACTCTCGATGAAACTCCTGTTCCATCTAAAAGCGTACTTGAAGGCTCCGCACTTGGTTCTCCCGGACAACTTGGGATAAGGCCGTCTAAGTGATCTAAAGGAGCTCCTCTATCGCTTCCAGAAGGCACCTTGGCTAGATTGCATTCTAGCCTCCTTGACACGCACAGCTTGCATGACTGTCCCCACTCGGGGATGATGCATTTCTTCTTGCGTAATCTTGGTAAACAGTCAGTACGTGGTAAATGACTCCAGAATCGCAACTATAATTATTATTTCATACCGACATGCAGTACAAGAGGACGTCGCGCGCATTATTACAGCTAGCTTGAAGAGTGGACTGCGTGGTGTCGTTCTTGTATGATCCGCTAGCCTCTCCAGAATCCACTCAGCACGAGGACCAGTTGAGATAATCAACTTTCCTTGATTGACAGATAACTGAGGCTCAAAATTATTCTTTCCTAGAGGTTTTTAGTTCTTTGGAGAATCGGGAGGGAATCGCATGGGGCGCAAAAAGTGCGGAGAGCTCCGCAAACTATACATCATGTGACCAATACACAATAGCATAACTACATCATTTAATCGCACAACAATAGACCCTAGTGAGGGGAATGCCACTCCCAAAATGATCATCTATGGAGCATACCTAGTTATCTCGGAAACATAGTTATATAGTCACCTTTCATCATCAAGCTCGAGGCGCGGCTTCCGTTTACCAGTCCACCATATGAGATCGGAATGCAAATGACACAGCAGGGCCATCCGCCGGTGATTACTTCCAAAGATTTCCTATACTAACTGTTGAAACTTAGATTTTCTGACTGTTGTCATATTTTTGATCAATAACCAGAAAAGGGGGCTCGTTTCCCCCCATTGGCTTCAGTTTTCCTTTTCTGGAATGTCTTCGCCCGGAGAGACTCTCTACATGGCATATCAAAAAAGCTCGGCTTCTACTCCATGATATTCGTTCATGGTTCATTTATGATAAAAGCGCCAGTGCACCGATTCCAGTCTCCTGAGGATGGAACCGGTTCATCGATGCTGACATGCAATATGAGAATGAGGGCCAGATTTCCTTGCTTTTCTTCGTCAGTCGTGGGCCATTGAGAAAATCTGTGACAATTTCATAACCGTTTTTGGTCGGGTCATATTAGCTACAATCTCAAAGGTGGAATTCGGTCACATGTCTACTAGCATATTAGTTCCTATATATAGGAAGTTGCAAGAGGAGATGCCACATTAGGGCTCTCATTTCTACAATCATTTATTTATTATCATTTCCATGTCCTTTGTACTAAAGCATCAACGTTCAGACAAGATCGCAAATCGACTCAAGTTCTGCATAGATAGAATGTAATTTTCTGAGCGAAAGCCTGGGATTCCAAACATTATCATCTAATCGAAGTCTAGCCGATGTTCAGGGATCTCCATTCACTACTCCCTGAGAGGTAGCCAGCCTCTTCGTCCAAACCCTCATTCCTCCTTTGCCACCTCGATTCGCGCGCAAAAAGTACGGAACGGCGTGTATCTCAGTAACATTGGAGTCATAACTCCAGGGAATCGATCCGTACAAGCTGGTCCACTTCTTGTTTGCGAGCTGTTTCCCTACAGCAATAATAGGAATGACATCATCAACAGAGGCAATCTTCTTGGGCAATCCTTCTTTCAAAGGTGCGTCCACCAACGCAATATGGTCGACGTCAACGTCGCTGTTATCGATGTCTTCGATACAGTAGACAAGAGGGCCTCTCATAATGCAAATTTCATCTTTGCCGGTCAGGGGGTTGGCGTAAACTCTGCGGGCTTTCATAGGGAAATTGAGCTTGATCTTTGAATCCGCTAGTGGGGGAAGGTGAAGATAGCCGTCCTTGACGTCGCCTTGAGCCGAACAAGTAAACTCCTGGGCCCAGCTAGGTATGCGAAGGGCCAAGGCTGTCGAACCCCGGACATCGATCTCGACTTCCCCAGACCAGGGCATGTCTGTTTTCTGAGAGATGATAACATTTGTACCGGGAACTGTGCATTCGCTGCCAATATATAAGTGCACGGCGACGAGATTCTCCTCAGAGTTCACAGAATATATCAGCGACCCTATTGATCCCAGCAGTTTAGCCACGTTTGGTGGACAGCAAGCGACCCCGAACCATTTACTACGGTCCTTGGGCTCCCCGTTGAAAGTCCTCAAGACGTTCCGGTAGTAGAATGAGTCTCCCTCGAGACCAACAGCACCTAGGAATCCATTGTAGAGGGCGACCTCCATTATATCAGCGTATTCACTGTGTAGGCTGAGCCGCAGCATTCTCTGGCACCAGTTAATCAGAGCGAAAGTTGCGCACGTCTCAGCATAACATGTGCCATCTCGATCGGTATCCCCAAGGCAATATGGAGCACCAAACCCTTCCCATTGGACCACTGATCCTAGGCCGCCAGTAACATAGATCTTGTGATCAACCATATCCCTCCACAGTCGATCTAGAGCGGTTTTGACATCCTTCGCTTCGTCACCAGCGAGTCGCACCAGATCTGTTGCAGCTGTATAATAGTACATGGCTCTCACAGAGTGACCTTTTACCTCGTTGGCCTTCACAAGAGGGCAATCCGCTTGGTGGTAGCCATAATCTCGTGGCTCACTGTACCAGGCTTTGCACTCCGGCCCCATGTGGTCATAGGGATCGCCTCCACGAGCTTTCGCTTCCAGGTCAAAATAGATCTCGTTGTTCTCATCTGTCTGACCACGCTCGAGAATGAAGTACTTGGCAAGTTTGAACAAAAGTTGCTTCCCTGTGAGTTCGTAGAGCCGAAGGAGGCCGATTTCGATCTCCTGGTGTCCAGGGTAGCCACGCTTCTTGCCGGGTTCAGGCCCGAAGACAGAGTCCACATGTTCAATTGCCTTCAATACTGGCGCCAGCAGCCTCCCACTTCCGGTCAGTGTCTCGTATGCGACAGTAGCCTCGATTAGATGACCTAAGCAGTACAATTCATGCATATCGCGTAGATTTGTCCACCGCTTATTGATTCCATGGACTGTGTAGTACGAGTTGATATATCCATCGGGATGCTGAGCGTTCCGAATCATATCCACCGCCTCCTCTACCATGGCCATCATCTCATCATCTGGGTGCTTTATAAGGAAGTAGCATGCGGCCTCTACGACCTTGTAAATATCACTATCCCAGAATGGATGGGGTTTGGTCTGGTGGCCCTCTTTCCATGTTAAGCAGTACCAATGATCCAGCGATTTCTGTGCCTTCACAGTGGCCGGGATTGTTTTTTGGCGGGAACATTGCTGCATTCGAGACCAAAAAGGAGACGTTATGTCGACATTGCGAATAGGAATGTCGTGCAAAATCATGATGGCAGAAAGTTGAAGACAACCTTAGTACAGAGAAATTTTTCCTCGCAGTCCGTGACTATGAGAATATAGGTAGGTAAGAGGGAATTTTCTAATCCTATCTACCTACCTAGGTATTTAAGAGGTTGAGACCCAGTATGCACTAGCAGACGGACGGACCGATGTCTGGTACCCATGGTGATTCTAGCATTGAATTATGGGCACCCTTGGTACGTATTGTCATCCCGGGGAGCGGGTTTCACAATCTACGATATGACCAGGCACCAGCAAATCATCCTGTGAAAGCGCCATCAAAGCCTCCTCACACAAAGAGTGATCCCTTTCTCCTGGTGTTATCGCGTCGGGTTTGTCGGAAATAGTAGTCATTAATTGGATTGCAGGTTAGAGTTTCTTTCCCTTTGGATCCATCATGTTGCCTCGGTAGTTAAGACACGGGCACCTGCTAGTTTGAGGCAAAACTTTGGGGTTGGAAGGCCATCTCTATCTTGATGTTATGATAATGCCGATAATCATAGAAACACCCAAGCCCTTCCCCGCGTCGGGGCTGTTCAGTGATGATTGGCTCTCTGGGCGGCTTTCATTCTTGCGCTCAGATGGACTGACAGAATGATTATCCCGATCACCTGCCTTGTTCGGGTTGAACGTCTCTCAACAATCAACCAAGGATCTGTGAATGGCTCCAATGCCCACACCGTTATAGAAGCAATAACATAATTAACCGAGTGCCCCATTTCCTCGGGAAGATTTCGGTAAAATAGGTTGAGATCTGTTGCAATCTTACAGTCAATATTTCTCATCATTGGGAGGTCCGAAGGTACGGGGAGAAGACTCACACCTATTTCTCCCACCAATCTCTCCCCGAGGATCCAAAGAGGCTCGTGTTGCTGGGCATTAGCTGTTTCCCCGCAAGCTCCATGCCCTCGGTCTGGAGCCGAGTTTGCGGGGCCCCGGATTCGTCATTTTGATACCGAGCCCGCATCTTGTTTGTATACTACGGCTATCTTACGGGCTTCTCAATATCCGTCCATGTTTCAACATCAGATGAGAGAATTTAGTGACAAGGCTGTGATGGGAACGCCTACCTGGAGCGCTCTTCCTCCTGTGTGCAAAGAGCTGGGAGCCTGATCCTGGCCACTGCGCCCGTATAACGTAGAAGATGAATTTTCCCCAGGGCATCTTGTTCTTTCCTGAGTCCACATGGTCCATGGCAGCCTTTATGGTGATTGACATGGTCCTAATATATGAGACTTTATTGGGAATGACTGTCTGGGGAAGACAAGACGCCCTCATGTTACGAACCAACACTAAACGGGCCAATGAGCAAACAATCGCCCAGTGAACTTAAAACTGGCCGGAAACATATAGATTTCAGCCATGCTAGTCATGCGTGATCCAGTGTTTATTTGGCCCTCTACCGACTATTTATTGCGATCCCTGTCTTCATCGAGGACGTTTGTTTTTTACGCAAGATTATTCTACATAGCTGGTATTAGCTATTGTTTCAACGAAAGCTTTCGTGTCTTGATGCCTCATCGGTGGTATTTGTGCTATAGCTATAATGGCTGAGACGGCCGTCCCTCCTGAGAGCCGTAAGGGCTTCAAATTGAACAACCCCGGCGCTGCTGAACTCATGCAGCGGGCACAGGAAAGCGATGCGGCAGACAGGCAATTGACAGTGTTTCAAGCCTTAAAGAAATACAAAAAGGCCGTATTCTGGGCTATGTTGTTGTCCACCAGTATAATCATGGAAGGATACGATTTGGTCATGGTCAGTACCAATTTCCAAATTCTTCCATGGAGCCACTGCCAGTCATACTGATGATAATTTCTTCAGATTACTTCATTTTTCGGCCAGACACAATTCAAAGAGCGATTTGGGGTTCTTGATCCTGCTACTGGTCAAAAGTATATCACCGCCGCCTGGCAGTCGGGCCTGTCAAATTCGTCACTTGTGGGCCAGCTTGCAGGGCTCTTGGTCAACGCATACAGTCAGGATCGATTTGGTTGCCGGATAACAATGATGCTGTTTATGACCTGGATGGCACTGGTGATTTTTATACCGGTCTTTGCACCGTCTTTGTCGGTCTTTGCTTTTGGAGAAGCACTATGCGGCGTATCGTGGGGTGTCTTTCAGGTTGATATACCAATTAAACGTCGTGAAGCATCTGGCTAACTTGCTTAGACACTCTCCACCGCCTATGCGTCCGAAGTCGTTCCCACCATACTTAGACCGTACCTTACTGCTTACGTTTGTATGTGCTGGGGTGCAGGTATCCTTCTCTCATCTGGCGTTGTTCAGGCAGTAGCAGGGATCCAAAGCGATATGGGATGGAGACTTCCTTTTATCCTCCAATGGATCTGGCCTGTGCCACTAGCCATAGCGGCTTACTTTGCCCCTGAGTCGCCCTGGAACGCAGTCAGGAGGGGTAAGATCGATATGGCGAGGAAGAGCTTGATGCAGCTGTATCAGGACACACCCGACAAGGAACACATTGTGGATTCTACTCTCGCCTATATAAGATACACCACAGAATTAGAAGATTCGGAAACAGCGGGGGCGAGTTTCCTGGATTGCTTCCGTGGAACCAATCTCAGACGGACAGAAATTGTAAGTGCGCTGATTACTTTCCTTGGAAGGAACAAGAACACTCCCTGATCTACCTCTTTTTCGCCAGAATTGCGTCGTTTGGGCAGCTCAAATTCTCTGCGGCAATGCTATCCTCGCTTATTCAGTCGTCTTTCTTGAAGCCGCCGGTTTCAGCGAAATCCAAGCATTCGATGTCAACATCTCCCTTTCCGCTTGCTACATTGTCGGTGGCATCATTTGCTGGTTTCTCTTCCCTCACTTTGGGAGAGCGACGATCTACATGACAGGCTTGACATGCATGTTCTTCTGTCTCGTGACCATAGGTGGTCTTGGATGGGCCAGTGGGAAGAACGTTGAAATGGCTATTGGGATCTTGCTAGTCATTTCAACCCTTATCAACATGATTGCTATCGGTCCCACTTGTTACCCAATTGTAGCAGAGACGCCCTCCGGAAGACTGAGGTATAAGACGATCGTCATCGGGAGGTTTGTGTACAACCTCACCCAGATATTCCAGAACTGCATTACCCCCCGAATGCTGTCCGCAACATGTAAGTCTCTTCCTTAAAATACCTAATGGAGCAGTTCATAGATACAGACTGAGGTTTATGTTTCACATAGCGTGGAATTGGGGCGCAAAAGCTGCCCTCTTCTATGCCGGCACCAACCTTCTCTGCAACATCTGGTGCTGGTTCCGCTTACCAGAGACAAAAGACCGATCTTTTGGTGAGATTGATCTGCTCTTTGAGAATCGGATCCCAGCCAGAAAGTTCAAGTCAACAAAAGTCGACCGTAAGTTGCACAAAACTGCGTTTCTCGCATGATGAAGAAGGACCTCGTACTAATAGGTGACAATAGAGTTTATGCATCAGAGTAGCTCTATTGCAAAGGCAGAATCCGAACATGTGGAGACCGTTATCTGACAACAATGTTTCATATTATGCTCCTAGTTATCCATGATGTTCCTGCGCGTGAGAATGCTCTGTACATAATTACTGCTATATTATAATTTCCGCTGTCTTTCTCACATACTCACCCTATTTTGGACATTTACCAACTTCTTTTCCTTCATGTAGATGCTACTAATTGCGACAGATCGTTCGTTCAGGCCACAGTCATAACTCCAATCTGATTCTGCATGCCAGACCATTGATGAACAGAATATCTCCACATATGCGCTCCAGGAATCTATACATAAGTTAGACATTGATGCTAAAGTTTATCTACCACGACCCGAGGAAAACACGTGGTGCTCAGCTTCAGCCGCGAACGACCGCGCGGGGGGCCTGAATGCCGATCCCTAGCTACAGAGAGCTTATATACCTGCTCCTGTCTAGTCACCTTCTGATCTTACTCGAGTCCAACCTATTTCCAAATAATATTGAAGCAGTGAATTGCCGTTGGTTTCATTTTGTCCCTGGGTCCCCTGGATTCTGCTGTGTAATTCCTACCTCAGTGAACCTGTGAGGCTGTGTGAGCACTCTATGAACTAACCGGTTACTAGACATCTAATATCCACTTCAAGCTCGATTAAGAATGGCCCCCTCCTCCCGCATCTCTCAATCCCGCGGCATTCGCATTATCACGAGTGCCCTTGGTACCGTTTGCCTTGGGCTCGGTATCACAGACATCATCCGGCCCCAAGACGGACTCGCGCTTCTCGAATTCCACTCTCTCCCTTCGAGCGCAGACCAGAGACTTTCGAACGCCTTGATGTCCATGGTTGGTGTGCGCGATCTCTTCATGGCTTCGGCCATTTATGCTGCGTCTTATTTTGGTACCAGTAAGACACTCGGTTGGATCCTCTTCGCTAGCGGTGGGGTGGCATTCGGGGATGGGATGATCGCCCGCGCAAATGGCCTGAATTTCTTGAATCATTGGGTTTTTGTACCAATTGCAGGGGTCCTAGGGAGTGTTTTGCTTGGAGCTTTTGACAAGTCATGAAAATGGGTTATAAGCGCCAAGAATTCATAAGTAGATGGCGTTAAATTGATCATCGATCAAATCTTCTTCGTCGACAAAACTTGGACTGATATTCCAGACTGCTGCACCCCTTTTTATCTGTATGCAGTCCATGAGGGACGCTGCCACAGGGTGGTATAATTCCAGATCTAGAGCGGAAAGGGAATCGATTTGAATATTGCGAATATTTGCTATCTAGATGCAATAATAATAATAGTAATAATCATCATCATATATCAAGTGAAAGCTGAGCGTTACACGTGACATCCGTAAACGGACTAGGGCCACACAGGCAGCCGCCCCTCTCGGCGTCACTGCGGCCACTGTAGCGCCTGCGAATGCACTACTTACTCTATGCCCGTTATTGTCTTGTTTCAATTGACGACATTCACTAGATCTTTGCATATCAGCCAGCCTTCTTCTTTTTCTTTATAGATATTACGCGATCTCCCCCCTCGATTTATTCTGTCTCACACAAAATTCTACATGCCATCCTCTCTCCGGCTGTCGAGTGTCTTACAACCACCACGATGGCGCCGCAATCGCTCTTACAGCTGTGCACGAAGACCGCGATAAGGAGCGTCAGATGTAAGTAGTAACTGCCCACGCCCCGGGCTTTTCATGCAATTCTAACGTGGTTGCTAGATCTTAAGGATATTGGCGAGCTTCCTTATCCTCTCGCAAGACCCTTCCTCCTTAAAGTCGAAAGTCCTCAACAGCTGGTAAGCTGAAGTGTCAAGTTCCCCCATGTGCAAGTGTGAGTTTTGCAGCTAACGCTATATCACACAGAGATCGATCGAACTACAATCGCCTCATATTATGAAGGACGACAAAGAGCTTTGGATGGAATTCATCAAACGAGATATCCCCTCTTGGGAGCAATTCGAGTTACCGGAGGAGTCCGACTGCTGGTACGACGTTTATTGCGACCTGCAGGAACAAGTCGCGAGAGAAGTGGACAAGGATGCAGAAGCGATGCATATGGCCCTTCAGCGGATCAATGCGCAGCGTGCTGAGCAAGGCGCCAAGTTCGTTAATGACAGATCAGTCCGTCTCCCCAAGGAGCGGCCCACGGAGGCACAGAAGTACGCAATGTATGATCGGAAGATGGGCGGCATCGCTCCTGTTTTCGTCTCGACTGTTGGAAAGCCATGCATGGATCCGCTGTCGGCTCCCAGGTGGACCTATGAAAGGCCAGATATTCCTCGGGAGACCAAGAGAGTGAAACCAGCGGGCATATTCGCTCCTGTCAAGAGAAAGAGTAATTTGGCAATTCCGACCCATCACCTGAAAAATAGAGCCTCCCAAATCAAGCAGGCCCCTCGCTCGCTCGTGGAGCAACACAAGCAACCTGCGCCATCACGGGTCGTCGGACACATCAGCACTCCTGTCTCTACTGTGTCTAAGCCAACTACTTCCTTTGCCACGGCAAGGCCAGGTCCCCCTGGTCCTTCAAGTTCGGATCCATTGCTGCGGGAGAGAGAAGCGAGACTTAGAGCTCTCACCTCGAAGAAGACGGGTGTGCCTGCCGCAGAGACACCTCCGAAGCCAGTCACCTCGTCTAAGTCGACAATCAGACCGTCTATCGAGACACCTACGTTGTTCGCAACTTCTCCGACCTCCAATCCTGGCAACGCTTCGTCTCCTACTGAGACCGCGAAACCAGTTCTGTTTGCACCGTCCTCTTCATCTAAATTCAGGTCCATCGAGCAGCCTTCGTTCTCCGAACCGGCAGATTCTGCGCCGGCTGCCGCCTCTCCACCCGCCTCTGCTACCACTTCCACGCCCTCACCTGAGACGAAGAAGTCGGCACGGAAGCGTGCGGGATCATTTTCTCCGACGACAATGGGCCCTTACAGGACCTCAGCTAGTCCGTCTCCAGAGCGCCGGTTCAAACGACCTCTCGAAGGCAACGCAGACAGTGACATAGGGGACAGCTCCACTTCTCCACAGGCTCGCCCTATGATTATCAAGAAACGGCCTGCCCCGAGCATCTTCATCCAGCCTAAACGGAAGAGGGTTGCTTAGGGTGCAGCACACCCGAGTGCACATTTCCTTATTCTAATTCGACACGAAACGAGTGGACGGCGTACGGTTTTCTTCCATGTTGATTTGCAAGGCGGGATTCTCATCCAAACTGTCGGTTTGCTCAAGCATTGGTTGCGGCGCAGAGCTATTGTCGGGTTTCACGATATCCCGGGAGCGATGGTGCATTCATTGGTGGTCTTTTACGTTGTCGATTATGGAAATGATCAAGGGTTTGAGCATTTTACTTCGAAATTCTTCTATGGCGCTCTGGGTGAGGGACGGCTCGTGTATTTTACGCGTCACGATTGTTTTAGTTTTTGTTTCATCAGCTTGAGGGATTGTCCTGCGGGTTTATTACGGTTACTCTTCAGCACAGAAGATGCATGACGACGATATTTCAGCAATGGAGAATCTAAACCTCATGGATCTCTTGAACTCTTGTAATTAATAGCATCAATGGTATTCAGGTAATACATAAAGTTAATGGCAGCCCCCTAGCCGTGCCACAAGCCTACCCGTGTAGCATCGCAATAAGCAGATATGTACGGCTTGGAACTGACACAGATCTGACATGAGTCCGTCGCCGTGTATTCCACCATATCTACCTCTTAGTAACCCAGGCCTCATTGCGACCTGTCTTCCTAGAACCAGGGTCTCGCATGTTCCTACTGCGATATTTGCTTATAACTTCACATTCAGATTCGGTTCCGCTTGTCGACTATTCCAATCACAGAGAAGCACCTCCACGGAGGGCAAGAACCAGATGTAACGTCGCGCCTCCTTCAAGGTTGTATTCAGCGGCAGTCTTGTCGTCCGCCCTATACCATTATGCCGTCACGTCAGTAAAGTCCTAACCCTCACATCCAACGCTGGTGTTACTATTCCTGTGCTGGGGTGTTCGCTTACATCTGCTTTCCACCAAAGATCAGACGCTGCTGGACGGGAGGAATGCCTTCCTTCTCTTCGACACGCTCCTTTATGCGAGAAACCTGGGTCGATTAGTATGAGTATTTCGTAATTCCCGATATAATATGAGTTGAGCTTTGTAGGGCGCCATATAGGAGATGTGGTTCGCTTTCCGTAATCCGAGCAAGCGGAGGTCGCGGTGGGTAAGTACCTTGTAGTCAGGCTCGATATCGAGCTCGATTTCCTTTCCAGTAAGGGTGCGAACTCTAGAAGGAAGAGATAAAAGCGTTAGCAATTTCCTATAAAGTCTGCGGAATAGTGGTAGATGCTGCTGCACCGCAGGCAACTCTCCCAACGCTTGACGGGGACAGACGAGCAAGGAAAACGCGCGCACTCACTTGATCAACATCCTGAAAGATGAGTAAAACGGAACCGCCTGCAAGCGTAGAACTGAGCGAGTTGAAACACGGCGCTAAAGTTGAAGAAAATGAAGACAAAATGAAGCGCGACGTGGTATGGCGAACGCCGATTTCAGTACCGGGATAGCTGTCGGAGGTAGTTTGGCGGGGTTAGTGGTGGGATGTCATCAATGAGACAGGCTGCGGCGCCCTTCCCGCCCCTAGAGTAACTAACACAACAGATACCTCGCACTCTGCAAAAGTGTTCAGGTATATTTGACTTTATATATCTGATTCTTTATATACAATCTTATTACCGCTTCTTGGTGTTTTCTCTGTAGTTTACTGAAATGGCCATTCGACTGGAGAACGTTCACTAGAGATGTATATATATATTTATAGACTATCCACTTTGGCTCCGTTCTCCCTTGACTCAGCTCCATATTCGCGAGCCTTCCAACGTAATGCTCACAGAGCTCTCACAACATACAGACTCTCTATTCCTCTTCCACATTCTGTACCCAGTAAACTAGACGGCCTGCTTAGGGGCTACGCGCATAGTCATGGCAGAACGTACTGCTCTTTACCAGGACTTATCTGGAACCGTCACCCCGCTTCCGGAGGGAAGCAATCCATACCAGCCGCTTATACTGGCCTCAAATGATGATCCTGTAATACCCCAGCCAAATTATATATAAGCATTAGTTTTACCTACTGACACTGCCATTAATTTAGGCTGAGCTGCAAGCACGCTATGAGACCCATCGTTCTACCAGGAATGCGTTGCAGAAAGCAAAACTTCTGGACCCAAGCTTCGCAGGTTTCAATTGCGATGAGATTCTTGCGAAACTGGATGGCCCAAACAAAGACCCTGGGTTCGTAGACACGAGACATTGTCTGGTATTTTGGGCACGGCCACCACAACATATCAAGGCAATGGTCGATATGATACAACGAGAGATTCGAGAGGTTGCTCCAAGTCAGTACAATACCACCTCATAAACCATCGTCAAACCGGTTACTGATGAGCATATGCAGCGCTTTGGTTCCCACCGCCTGAGAATCTCCATATGACGACTCTTGAGATTGCGAACACGTTAACTCGCGCACAGATTGAGGAGCGTGTTGACGTTCTGCAACAGGCGGGCGCAGTGCCTGACATTATCAACTACACCTTTGATCATCGAGCACGTCTTATCAAACCCATGGTGAGCTACGACGCATCAGCAATGGCTCTTAGCTTCGTCCCCGCAGCTGGTGAGGCAACGGGTCCGAACCGCAGTGCGGAGGCTGATCGATATACCTATCATCACCTGCGCCGGGATGTCTACGACAAGAGTGTTGAGACGGGCGTTAAGATTGGGTCTAGATATACTGTTCCATCTGCGCATATTACAATTGCTCGGTTCATAACTGAAGATGGATTTTTGGTCAAAGATGTACCCGATGGCCAGAAGAGGATCGCACATGAGCGGGTGAAGGAACTTATTGAGAGGATAGAGAGAATTAATGAACGACTGCAGACTGAATTCTGGCCCCGCGAGGATGGCACTATCAAGCGGGGTGGGGAATGGATTGTGGGCGAAGAAAAGGGATTGGATTTTCACAAGGGAACGCTGTGGTATGGAAAGGGCGACAGGATTGTGATAGGAAAAGGATTCTGACACCGTGTTGAGAGATGCCTCCATTTAATTTAAGCCATGTTTAGAAGCAAGATAAATAGGTAGGTAGCTTAGATGAGATTTCAGCAGTGGCAGTTCCTAGCACAAAAGTCAAGAAATCAAAGACTTTCACTGTTGTATCCAACTGTCACCATATAATTGCAAAACAGTGGGCAGATATGAATATTCATTTGCCATCTCATTCTATACAGGAATAAGATGAATTAAGTCTATCAAAAAGCGGTTGTGCAGTTAGTCTTGGCATGGCGGAAAGGGCTGCGTCACCAGATACGGTTAGCGTGGTCCAGATAGGGCCTAAGCGAAGGAAATCCCACAACCCACGGCCAAGGGCTCTTGATACCTCGACCGAGACACCCAACGACCACCAACAACCAGCGATCCGGCCAAATCAGTCAAAATGGTAAGGATGACATTTCATTTCTATTCTTTCGCTTTGGAGGTGCTTTGCGAGATGGAAACTCTATCGAATCGGTCGAAACGATCTTGAGGAACATGCGAGCTCGAGTGAAGGTTTTGTTGGAAGGCGTGCGACGAACTCGAACATCGGTCAAAATCGTGAAGCGAGCGACGAAGACGATACGACGACGAACTTTTGAACTCGATTCGAAGCCCGAGAGTCTCACGATCAAAATGACGGTCGTCAATTCTTCGAGCTGCCATGATCTTGTTTTCCCGAATGCGTGCGCAGGCTCGTCATGCAAAACTTCAAAACGACCTCGAAGTCCCGCTCGTCCCGATATTACTCGCATCGAATTAAATTAACCGGATACTGTTTTCGATAATTCGAAGAGTTTGGAGGGATCGGATCACATTAGCTGTGTACAGAAACATTACTGAACGGACACTAATATCTGTGCCTCCATCAGGTCAACGTTCCCAAAACCCGCCGGACGTACTGCAAGTCCAAGCAGTGCCGCAAGCACACGCAGCACAAGGTCACCCAGTACAAGGCTGGAAAGGTGAATATCTCCCGACAGATTCCGTGGTAGATTACGAGGCGGCACATGTGCTGATCGGAAATTTTGTGATTACCAGGCCTCGCTGTTCGCTCAGGGAAAGCGCCGTTACGACCGGAAGCAGAGCGGTTACGGTGGTCAGACTAAGCCCGTCTTCCACAAGAAGGCTAAGACCACCAAGAAGATTGTGCTCCGTCTGGAGTGCACTGTCTGCAAGACCAAGGCTCAGCTGTCTCTGAAGCGCTGCAAGCACTTCGAGTTGGGGTACGTATTTTTTCGGGTATCGGATGTTGTGGGATGCACGTGCTGACGGATACTTTTCTCTTTACAGTGGTGACAAGAAGACCAAGGGTGCTGCTCTTGTCTTCTAGATTTGTGGTTTCCTTACTTCGGCTCTGGGTCTCCTGCATTGCGCAAGCGCTCTACTATTATAATGGAGGGCATACGATTTTAGCAATGAAAAAATGAATAGGAATTCAAATTACATATGAGTCAGAACTGTACCCACTTGACGAATCTGTAGCCGGCGTGCAACATGGTCTGGGAATAGCATGTTTCTATCCTCTACTAGTTAGGATATCATCCTCATACTAGCTAGTAGACGAGAGTGCTTTTGAACCCCATCTTTGCTTCGACATCTATCTCTACCCGTCACATTATTGAGGGTAGGATTTGAGACTAGTCCGCTGGAAAGAGAGTTAGACAGGACATGAAATTGTTGAAAGGAAGCGCTTGCGACCAGACTCGCCTGTGGGGGTTTAACCGGTACTTGTACTGGTGTATTTTCTTATAGGCGGATGGTCAAAGGCCTCTGGAATATGGTACCCTTTGGGGTGTTTTACAATGCGATTAACCTAAATTGAGAAACGGGCTTCGGCTTAGATCCTGGCGTAATAAGTTATAAGCGGACCATTTGAACCATAGACTAAGGAGTCTAATATCTATACAAGTAACCCAGGTATTAAGCTTATCCGCGCAATATGTCGGTTGCGAAGATCACGAAAAACAATTAATATCGAAGCTAGACATCTAATAGTTCAGTATAGTAATCTGGATTAAAAGACTAAGAGGATACCGAAATCTACCACTATTTACGTTCCAGGACACCCTGAATACCTCGCTGCTGCTTCCACGTTCTCTCCACCACTAACTATATCAGTGCATCTCCCTAATGCAGTCTGTCTCCTTTGATCAATATCCGGCGGAATGAGGTGGCCGATGGCTGTTTGTTCTATATTACCTGTTATATAGTGTAGTAGTGGTGCATTGTAGCTCGGCTCGCAATAGAGCACCTGGGCGCCGACACAATAAAAGCGAATAAAGGTGGGAACTTCTTGGGTTCACCATTGACTAATCCTAATACCTTTTAAATGGGGTTGAATAAAAATATAGCTATTTGGACCAAAACACAATAAATTATGCCAAAGGCACATTCTGGTAGAGGCTCGCAGCAAATTTAACGTGCAAACTAATTATCCAATCTAGACAAAAGGGCAATAGATTGGTTGAGTTATCTCACCAGCTAATTCTTATTAAAGTTTCCCTCAGGACAGCAGCTATACTTTTCAATTTTACAAGGTAATCCCTTGGGGTTAAAACAACCTTAACCTATTCTCAAACTTTAAATATATAAGCAGCCCTCTTATCGCTTAGATAAAACTTGCATATAGCCAGTTAAGTTAAGTATCTGAATGGTAGTCTTACTAATAGGACATTCTTGGTAAATAGAACTAGTTACCTAGCAATGCGGGGATAACTTAAACGCGAGGTTATAAGTAGAGCCGAAATGCATGCAGCATGCTTATCGAATATTATAACAAGTTTTAGTTCTATCTAGATAGACCAATAGCGGCGATGGAAATTTCAATCCGCTACGGAGTGTGTGCGTCCTCGAATGTAGATCTTGGTGGTAATAAGGAAACGCTCAATTAAGAACTTCGAGGACTAAAGTGAGGGGGAGGCTCCATGTGAACAGTTGTTGGACGCGGGGTAGTCGATCCTAAAGACATAGGGAAATTCCGTTTGAAAGTGCGTTCTCGTGCGCTTTTTATCGAAAGGAAAGCTGGTTATTATTCTGGTACGCGGACTTGTGTTGGTCACACACTCTCTCTTCTGCTGAGATAAATGGAACGGAGTCGAGTATAGATTCAATAGATATATCCAAGTTATGTACCTTCACAAACTGCTTCACATCTACTCGAAAGAAATAGGTATTAGGCATTTGCACGAGCCCTCCTGCACCTCTTCCGCTTACTCCCTAGACGGACGATCCCTTTCCCCGTAAAGGAGAATGAATGACAGAACTTTATGCTGTTCCAACCATCTCCGTTCCACCAGTAATAACCCCCATCACGCATGTTATCTAAACGTACAGAATCTCCCTCTTCTTGCCTACTCACCAATATGCAGCTTAAAACCCCCGCAATATAAGGCCTCCCACTCAAGGTGACACAACGGTCATCAACAGTCCAGTTGCATTAGCGCGGATGCTCTTCCGAGTCCAGACCCGGTAGCTGAGCCCTAGACACCTCCATGTATGTACATACATACTAGCTGGGGTAAATGATAAACGTTGTCATGGTTATATTCCAATCATTGTAAAAACCAATTTTTTTTGGCTAAAACCACAATATAACCAGATGCACGGTGAGAACGGGGGTTGTCTGCGGGATCCTGCAACTACACTAAGCAGAACGAGCTGGGAGTTGTCAACGTCCGTCGTACATGAGTGACAGCTGCATGCAGCCTATTTCAGAACATGAGGGGCTCTTATCGCTCTAAGCGCATCAGGTATATCCACGAGCCATTGCATATACGAGGAATGGAGGCCTTCTCTACGGCAATCCCTTGTATCCCCGGGGTCTGGTTTAGTCGCTCTTCAGGTCGGATGCCGTATATGATAGGGCTGCGTTTACTGGGCTGCGTTAATGCGCAGACGTTGGTTCCTAATACTATATAACTGAGCAGTGTAATCCAAAGCAGTCATAGCCTCGGAAAAATATAAGCTCTCTTTGAATGAGAAGTTCAAGGCTAGATATATAGCCGTTGCGGTCATTCAAGCACTGGAGAAGAATACCTGATTCATGAAAGAGTCTTTCGCAGAGACAGCCACGTAAAGAGAAAGAGAAAATGGCTCTAAAACTGCTCGTCGTCCCTCTATCACTCTTACTCATCGTTTTCCTCATCCGTGTCCTTCGAATAGGTCGTCGACCAAAAGATATCCCTCCAGGTCCACCTACATTGCCCATCATAGGAAATATTCATCAGGTAGAGCATATACTCCCTAAGACAAGCCCTTTCCTTTTAAGAAAAAACTGTAATCGATACTAATCCAATGTGAAATAACCAGATGCCCACTCGTGATCTCCACAAACAGCTCTACAAATGGGCTCAAGAATACGGCCCCGTATACAGTTTGATACTAGGAACCCAGACATTGATCGTCTTGACGAGCGATCAAGCGGTGAAAGACCTCCTGGATAAGAGAAGTGCTATATACAGTGACAGAATGGACATGTATATCGGTATGAAATTGTGTTCTGGAGATTTGAGACTGCTTATGATGGTAAGTCGATGACCGTTCCCTCTTCGATGGCGTCGTTAGATCTTAAACTAACTACCGAGAATAGAGATATGGCCCTAGATGGCGAATGGTGAGTTAGGGTTGAAACTTCGAGTGTCTCTTTTTTTCATTGCAGTGGAATTAATCCCAAATATCTGACCCTATGTATGTACATCCAGGTACGAAAACTAGCACACAGCCTATTGAACATCAATGTCGCCCGATCCTACGTCCCGTACCAAATGCTAGAAAACAAACAAATGCTCTTCAAACTTCTTACCCAGCCAAAGGACTTCCTACACCATGTCCGTCGGTACTCGAATTCTCTTACTACGTCTATGGTCTTCGGGTATGTCCTCTTCGCCCCCATAATATCCGTGCCATCATTCTCACCTAGATTCCCCCCCCTTTTCATAGTTGGCGAGCCCCCACATACAACAACCCGGACGTCCAGCAACTCTTCGACGGCTTCGAAGAATTCGCAGTCGTAAGCCAAACCGGCACCGCAAGTGTCCTCGACTCCTACCCCTCGCTACGCATCCTCCCCGATTGGCTCCTCCCGATGCGGAAATACGCCAAGGAGCTACACGTGCGTGAAAAGGAACTCTACCTGCGGCATTGGCTGAATTGCAAAAAGGCCATCGTGGAAGGGACCGCCAGACCATGCTTCTGTGCAACTATGGCGTCGATGCAGAAAGTCGAAGGGTTCAGTGATGAACTGGCGGCATATATCTCGGGCACGTTCCTTGAAGCGGGCTCGGACACGACTTCGAGTACGCTTTACGGGTTCGTGCTAGCTATGGTGCTGTTTCCGGAAGTGCAGAAGCAGGCGCAGGAAGAAATTGATTCCGTTGTGGGTGATTCGAGACTTCCAACCATGGAGGATGAGCCTAAGATGCAGTATATTCGCGGGTGTGTAAAAGAATCGCTTAGATGGATGCCGGTAACCCCCCTCGGAGCTGTTCCTCATGCGGTAACGCAGGATGATTACTATATGGGGTACCGTATCCCTGCTGGTGCAGGGGTAATCAATAATGTCTGGGGAATCCATCGGGATGAGCGTCGCTATCCTGATCCTCGTCGCTTTGATCCCGATCGTTTCAAAGATGACTATCAAACGGCCTATGATGCCGCCGTTAACTCTGACGTTTCGCAGCGGGATCATTTCACGTTTGGGGCCGGGCGTCGCATCTGTGCCGGGACGCATGTTGCAGAACGGAGTCTCTTTTTGGGCATATCGCGCATGCTGTGGGCATTCGATATCAAGCCCGAGATCGATGAACAAGGGAATTTTATACTGCCTGATCAGGATAGAATGACACAGGGATTCGTTGCTATGCCGGAAGAATACCAATGCCGGATCATTCCAAGAAGTGAAAAGCAAGCACTGCTTGTACAGAAGGAGTGGGAAGATATACAGGAGCTGTTGGATCCGACCACAAAGCAATGGAAAGCTATACCAGAAGGGATGGGGAGGAAGGTGTGATAGCAAAGAATTTCAATAATTGGGCACGACAATTGACCTCTCCTCGTTCCTAAGCATGCGTCAATGAAAGCTGTTTACGGTGTCCATCCCACAATACAGGTAGATCAACGTGGAATAAGACAAAGTCCTCTATGTTTACTTTATGTCTAGTAATTCCCTGGAACATCCACGCATGTTCAAGAACCGATGTACATTCAGTTGTATAAAAAAAGAATCACATAAGTACAGAGTAGATCATGATCGTAACATCAATATTAAGCTATCCTCCATCGTGAACCACGTTCCATCATGAAAGTTCGTAAATCATCAGTTGTCTCCAAATCATCCATATTCATAATCATAGAATCCAGAAGTTAATCAAAAAGAATTAGGAATTATGAAAGCCCGTCTAGGAGAATACAGAATAGAAAATAGGGAATCAGAGACAGGGCACTATCTCAGTAGCACACTGCCTATACCGTTCAGGAGCTTTTGGATGTGGTCTGCAAGCGGATCATCGTCTGGCTGGGGAATAGGGCGGCCTTGAGAATCGAATCTAGGAGGAAGGTCAATGGTCGAGTCAGAGTCCGATTCCGCGGTCTTGTCAGAGGCGCGATGCTTATGCGAACGTGACGGACTATGCGCTTCAGGATGCGGTGTTGGCGAGTGGGAAACAGGCCCCCTGTGATGCTGACCTGCAGAGCCCCGATGATGGCTAGGAACACTCCCATCGATTGTTGCTTCACTGTCATCAGTCTCGTACCCAGTATCGGGCTCGCTTGAACGGTCGCTCTCCTGTGACGAGTCGGAAGGAAGATCGAAGGCAACCGTCTTGGGCTGTGAAGAGCGCTCATGGTGACTACCTTCTCCAACTTCATGATTTGTCGACCAGGGTGGCTGGCTTATAGATGCCGCTGACAAAGGAGGTTTGCCTCTTAGACCTGGAGCACAAGCGTCAGCAGTCTAATACAAATACAAACCAGACAGACTTCACTGAAACCCACCATCTACCATGTGGTGTGCATCAGTGGGAGGAATAGGAGATGGTGCAGCACTCACATTCTCATCCGCCCTCCGCGGTCGGGGAGCATACGGATCCGGTCCCGGAGGAGGTTGATAGCCGTATGGCTGTGGTGGCGGCGGTGCTGCACTTGGTGGAGGGGGATACTCTCCAGGATTGTATGGTGCAGGTTGACTCTGCGGGGGAACAGGGGCCGATCCTGGAGGTGGGGGGAACGAGTTGGTCTGAGGATAATGGTGGTCTCCTGCATATGGCCCAGCGCCTGCTGGTGGAGGCGGTGGCGTATACGGATCTGGATCATACTGATCTTCGTACGGGTCATAGTCCTCATCGCTTTCATGTCCTGCCAAAACGTTAAGACATGTCCATGTTAGGGACCATAAACGGAAAAATCATTCAGAATTTTCAGCGAAGGATGACGATAATGGTTACTCACTTCGTCGCTCTTTTTCTGCCCTTTTGCGCTCCTTCTTCTTTGCATATTGGTCCGCAGCAAAGCCTCCTGCGGCGGCGGCCAAAGCTGCCTCAGCAAGATGCCGGGAGCGACTACGACTGCTGTGATGCTTGTGACGATGTCTTCTTCTGGGACTTCTATCCGAATCAGGCGCGTCACTGCTGTACAGGCTGTCGCGGCTAGGACTTCGATGACGCCGGCGATGCCTTGAAGCTCCATAGGCTGCAGCACCAGTCGCAGCAGGAACGATAGCATCGGAATAGTATCCGTCTGGACTTGGCGGTCGACCATAGTAATCTGCTTCTGGTATATTACCATACACAGGTCGGTCGCCATACTCGATCAAACCCCCTGAATCACGGGTAGCGTCAGGATAGGTGCCAGATCTAGATCGACTACGCGATCTAGACCGTCGTGGACGGGCTTCTTCATTCTCCTTTTTTGCCTTGTTCTTCTCGTATAGACCGGCGACGGCAGCACTTCCCAGTCCCGCTGCGATAACAGGCAACGCTTGTCTGATCTTACTACGGGAGCGAGATCGTTCGCCACGACGCGAGCGGGATTTACTTCTGTGCCTTTCGATCAAACCGGCCACAGCAGCTCCTGCCAGACCAGCTTCCGCCATACGCTTGTTGCGATGAGCTGGGTTTCGAGCATCGTCTCGCGTATCGTCTTCAGAACCGCCGTCGGAAGGACTCGAACCCCGGCGATGGCGTGAGCGACTACGTCTCTCGCGCCCATCCCTGGATTTCGATTTGTTCCTGGCCAGAGCAACAACACCTGCAAGAGCAGCGGCTCCGAGTCCGAGTTCCGCCAGAGTCTTAGCTCTTGAGTGGGATGATGAGCGGGAACGGCTCCTATATCTGGGCCGATGATGGTGTCTGCGGTGTGATCCCCGATCCCAGTCGACTGATTCAGACCGTCTCCGGCTTCTGCTGCGGTGGTGACTTCGTGCCCTCTCGATGGCGCCAGCAGCTATCGCACCAAGCGCTGCTCCTCCAACGTCTCTTCCCACACGGCCAATGCCATGGGAGACATTGCCTTCCTTCTTGTTATGATGCCTAAGCAGTTCTGCTGCACCAGCTCCTAACAGAGCGCCTTCAGCGAGATGTCGCCTGTGTGGGCTACCATTATACTCTCGAGTTTCTTTGCGTACATACACCATGCTGTCGTCGCTGCTGTAGTCTTGGTCACGGCGATCCCGTTCCCGTTCTGAAATGGAATCTTCCGGACTCAGTTCACGCCGAGAGCGCCGTTCGTCGTCGTATTCACGGACCCGTCTTTGATAATAGTATTCCCTATCACGAGGCTCCCGATCAACGAGCTCCGTTTTATGTATGACCTGATATTCAGGCTCTTCTCGTGGAGAGACGTAGATGGGACCTCGAGCTTCGTGAATAATTATTGGTTGACGTTCGTGGATAATGATGGGTTGAGGGGCAGATTCCGGCCGCGCCAGATACTCTGTGGAGCGGGAATAACGACGAAGGCCGTCAGATTGGCTATACTCACGATCGTAGTAATCCCTCTCAGAGCGCTCATAGAGTCGTAGTTTGTAGTCTCGGTCGTAGTCCCGGTCGTCACGTTCCGTACTGCGTCTGATCACTAATTCCCGGTCCCCAGTGACTGGGTCTTCGCGTCTATATACAACATCGCGCTCACGTTCTTCCTCTGGTGGTATGACGTAACGCCTGACAGTAGTATGAGAGCTGCGTGGGTCAGAACGACCAGAATAGTCGTCCCATTCACGATCGCGCTCTCGATACACCAGCGACATAGCGGCAAGCCCGGATGGACAGAGGCAACGAGGGCGTTAGATAGGTGGTGTGGTTCAGAAAAGTGGAGCAGGACGATGGCAGAAATCGTAATATCGGAATACCGAGGAAGCAAGAGTCAATCGTGTCGAGATAGAGGCGTGATAAGTTCCTCACTTTTGGAACTCGAAGGGTGGCGAGTTCACGGAAGGGCAGCGGAAGAAGGCTCAAAGATGACAGAACACTGAGGGAGGGGTAACAGGGTTATGAAATAGTCGAGCCGTAGGGGCACCGGTTTTCTAGAATCACCAGAGCAGCGACAGGCCATGTAGACCGGGTGTGACGGGCTGGTGGTTGGTTGGTGAGCTGACAGGATCGACCACTCAGCTGGCCCAGGCCGTCTTCTAGAACGAGGCGGCTTAGACTTGGTGGTAGTCTCGTATTGGCGGGGTAATTGCTCGTGACGGGACTGATTGATTGATTGATTATTCAAGAGCGCAGATGAGTAACTAGTGGAGTGATAAACCAAGTTGATGGCTGAAATGAAAGAGATGAAAGAGATGCGAGAGAGAGAGAGAGACATAAAGCAAAGAAGAACTATTATGATCCCGAGGAAAAAGATGCAAGAACCCAATCAGGAAAGCGCGCAAGAACAGGATCGCTGCTTCCTCCTGGGATCATCCACACGTGATACTGCGCGCAGGCGATGACGTCGGCGCGCAGGGAAGGAAAACGAAGACGCCAGAAAGGCTGACGGAGAAACACCAGAGAGTGCGAAGATGTCTGGCTATAGGGATGATGATAATGGATCCCAATCATCTCGGACTGCTCCTTCGGGTCTGCCTCGTTTGAATAGGTAATGCATGACTCACTTCTCATAGTGATCCCCGAAGGTGTACTCCCGTTAAGTAACGAAGTATGTACAGTACTATTCTCCGTTTGGATATCCTGTTCGTCAGCTCAGCCTTGTGGATCAGATACCGGTGCGCCCTGCTCAGCCTCCACAGCGTCATTATTTCCCCGACTTCATTTTTTCTGCATCAAACTCTAACGCCCGACTACTCACCGACTTATGACCGTTAGCCTCTGAGCATTTCCGGCGCCAAAAAACGGTGACGAGCCCGTGTTCGTCTCATTTCTGGCCTGTCTTCTCCCACCATCGCCTGCAGACGCCAGGCACAGATGCAGACTCTGACAGCAGCTGCCCCTGATCCCCGCCGGCAATGTTGAGGTCGGCTTAGAGTTCGGGAATGGACCAGAGGTAACAACAATGACCGCACGTGGAGTACCGGATTTCCGGCCCGAGCATTCCAAGGCGCGCTCAACATCGGTTCCGCAGGAATGTACCAGATAACGGCTGTCTTCACTGGAAGAACTGGCCAATAGCTGTGGCAGGCAGTGTCTGTCGACGCTGCCTGATCTTGAAATTGCGCCCGATTGATTGATTGATAGGAAGACTTGGTGATGACTCTATAGCAGAATTTACCGTGAAAAGGGTTTTCTTTTTTCCAATCTACACTATCTAACTGTTTGGGCAGAAATTGTCTCGAAGTTCACGATGGGTGTGTTTGCACGAAAGATCAATTGCAGCACATCTCAAAGGAAAGGCTCGGAATATTCCCCCAAAAAGCAGTTGAATGCAGTAGACTATTCATTCTTTTTGCTGCGATGCCTGAAAAGTATCCGACGTTCTCATTTTTTTAGCGCATCCATCATTGCGCGCTGTTGCCCAGTTCCCTAGTCCACTGTCATTTGCTGAAACGATCTCTATATTTTGTCTATCATATGTCCACTATTCTCTTTCATTAATACTCCAGGGATCACCTAACTTCGAAGTATGTCTGGTGACACGTTTTGTCCAATGAGCATTGTCAGGGTCAGGCCATGCATGTACTTCTGGCAAGATTTCAAGTCCTATCGCGATTACATACAGATCCAGGAGATATGACAAAATAGCTCAGTTGAAGATAATGAACACGAGGTTGCAATGATCAGCATCCCAGTCGTGGTGCAATACTACGAAAACAAAATATCAGATTTATAACGCGGAGACAATATTCTAGTCTATATTCCAATGGACGTGTAGTAGATATAGAACAAGTGAAAACCGCAGTCGGGACGAGCGGTCCCGATAGGCGAAGCAGACCAGCTGGACAGGCACTGTGACACAGCAATATAGCTGGACTAGCCTACATACGGCAGGCTGTCAACAAAAAACTCAGCTTAACACCAGTAGAGTACAAGAGGCATTTCAAAATGGACGGAGGGTGATTTCGGTGAAGATGAACCCAGGACCTTTTTGCGGGAAGACTGTCAAACCCCCGCATCGAGGGATGTTTTAGCATAGCAATGATGAGAAAGCATGGTTCTCATATAGTAATTAAAAAATCTGCATTTATCCAGAGCTCTTTAACCGAAAATTGGGTGATCGCTGCGAGACCAATAATAATAAGTATCTTTGTCGGTCGCGGAGAACGCGGAGAAAGTCTGGGGAGCGTACGACGGAGATGGCGGAGATGGCGGAGATGCGCGGACAACAAAGCGGGGATGCTGGAAATCCCCCTTCCTGCTCAGCAAACGACGCCCTGGTCTCCATTTTTCGATCTCATTCATAGCCTACTAATTCGGTGATTGGGTTAACGCCTCTACGGCCATTCTTGTCCTCGACCAAGTCAATGGCGACTTCGAACGTTGACACGCGGAGAGTTCTCCGTGAGGGGCAGACCCCTCCGAATCTCACTCCGCAAATACTCCGTGAAGGCTAAGGCTCTGCTAAGAAATACTATTTAAAGTCGAAGGACGCGTCCATACTTCACTTTCTTTGAGAGGCAGCGATATTTTATATTGTCTTAGGAATCATGAGCGCACCTTTGACGAACTACATTGCCTTTGTGGGCAGCGGCAACGCGCCGCGCATTGGTCATCTCAATGTCGCCGAAAACACCATTCAGCCTCTTTCTTTCGCATCAGGGACTCCGTTGAGAGACCTTTACCAGGTGATCGAAGCCGGTGAAGAGAACATCACTGCGATTGGAGAGCCTCTTCCTGCAGACTCCGTCAAGCTTCTTCCTCCCATCAGCGGTCGTGATATCCTTGCAGTCGGGAAGAACTACGCCGAGCACGCAAAGGAATTCAACAGCTCCGGTTACGACAGCTCAGACAAAGTCGACCAGCCTACTCACCCTGTCATTTTCACGAAGCGGGCCACTTCGATCATTGCACATGGCTATCCTATCTTGCCTCATCCCGAGTTCACCCAGACGCTGGACTATGAAGGAGAAATTGGAGTTATCCTGGGTAAAGGAGGGTACAGAATCAAGGAAGAAGATGCTTTGAGCCATGTCTGGGGCTATACCATCATCAACGATGTTACCGCCAGAGAGAAGCAAAGAGACCACAAGCAATTCTTCATCGGGAAGTCTGCAGATACTTTCTGTCCAATCGTAAGTAGTGGTTGAGATGCCTTGCTGCTTCTGTGACATACTGAGATTTATTACAGGGCCCGATCGCAGTGCCAGCGAACCATCTTCCGAAAGTCCTTCGTGTACAGACATTTGTCAACGGACAGGAAAGACAAAATGGAACCACCGATGACCTGATCTTTTCGGTACCTGTCTTGATTAGAACGGTCTCTGAAGGTCAAACCCTTCAGCCCGGAGATGTAATCGCAACAGGGACTGTAAGGACGTCCTGCTCTGTACCGTTAACACAGATACTAATGACGCACTATACAGCCCGCCGGTGTAGGATTCGGACAAAATCCACCCACGTTCTTGAAACCAGGAGATGAAGTGGAGATCAAAGTAACCAATCTGGGCTCTCTGCGAAACAAGATTGCGCCAGTGGGCACCGATAATGCAACAGTCGCCCTTGTACAGGAAGCATCCAAGTCTGCCGTGCCGGTTACGAACTTTTCAAAGTCAGTCAACGGAATCAGCTTGACCAAGATAAACGGAAAAGCGCTGTATTATCAGACACGGGGAAGTGGCTCCCCCATCGTATTTGTCCATGGTTTGGGCGGCACGCAGGACTTCTACACTCCATTGATCGGAGCATTGTCTCTGGACAAGTCTCATGCGCTGCATCTGTTCGATCTTGAAGGCCATGGTCTTTCTCCCACGTCTGCGCTCTCTACTTTGACTATCGACTCCTTCGCCGCCGACGTGAAGGGAGTCTTTGATCATGCAGGGATCTCATCTGGAGCTACCTTAGTCGCACACTCCATGGGCTGTCTGGTGGCTCTGTCCTTTGTCCTTAAGAATCCCGGCCTTGTCAGCAAATTGATCCTGCTGGGACCACCACCAAACCCTCTTCCAGAAGCAGCTAGTAACGGTTCTATCGTCCGCGCTGCACTCGTCAGAGAGAAGGGAATGGCAGCAGTTGTCGACGCCGTGGCTACAGCTGGTACTTCAGAGGCAACAAAGGCTAGAAATCTTGTTGGATTAGCTGCTATCCGCTTATCCTTACTTGGACAGGATCCAGAGGCGTATGCCAAGGCCTGCACTGCTCTTGCCGGTGCAACGAGTGCTTTGCCTCTCGATAAAATAGACAGTGAGACTCTTATTGTGACTGGCAGCGAGGACAAAGTGAGCCCTCCCGCACTTTGCAGCAAGTATGCGTCGACTATTCCAAACAGTCGCGAGGCTGTGGTGCTGGAAAATGTCGGCCATTGGCACGTCTTTGAGGATGTCCAAGGCGTAGCAACTGCTGTCAAGGGGTTTATCTAGAAAAGTGGCTAAGTGTACTCACTGCTGCTCAGAGACATGTAGATAGTGAAACACAGAGAGGGAACATAGATAGGTTACCAATAGACGGCACAATCTGCCGATTTCGAATGAGGATGTTATATCGAGTAACACCTTCTGCTTGAAACTAAGCCCTAAGCTACAGGCGATTTTTTTGTGGACTATGTCATGGGGACCATTAATTATGCCTAGCTCTGAGGAAGGAGAGGCCAGGATGCGTTGCGATCTACAGTCCTCTGGAGTAGACTAGGATACGCGCGGATTCTTGGATTTCCCCCCTAATTCTAGCCATCGTCGGATGACTACCGGCATACTCGTCAATTAACTACCTAGGTAGTTAAATTCCTCCTCCTCCTCCTCCTCCTCCTCCTGCCCCAGTAAATTCGCGTTGCTGTCTCAGCTAGCTTGTCCATAAAAGAGCACGTTCTTTTCTGTGTCGTTATAGACAGCAATAAAAGAGAAGGCACCTTCGAAGCCAAGACCACTCACTGGCGCAGCCTAATGCTCTGTATTTTCTCCCAGAAATGACATCGCATCCCGTTGGAAAGCGACTGCCCATTAGCTGCGAGCCATGCCGGAAGAGAAAGATCAAGTGTACTCGAGATCGCCGCCCGTGCCAGACGTGCCTGCGGCGCGGTCTCCGTGCTGGGGATTGCGTTTATCTCGGCCAATCCAGACTGCTACAAGACAATGAACCTCAGACAGAGTCCAGTGTGCAAAGAGAGCTTCTCAGGAGAATCCAAAAGCTGGAAGACTTACTCGATAGGCAAACGGCTACACAGCTATCGCCGCAGAATCAGAATCCCGTTTCACCGCCTGTCACAATGAACAGCAATTCAACGCCAGACCAAGATTCTGATCATATATCCACGGATTTAGCGCCGTCCGATCCAGGAAACTTCGGTTTTTTGCAGTTCTCTTCATTGGGTCATGTCCGCTTTGTACCTCTGCCCTCTCAGTGGAATCCAGTTCTGCACAGAGACGACGCTGGTAACCACTTCGAGGGATTGAGCGACGTACCCCATGATGAGGATGCTGGACTTCCATTCAATGGTTGCGGACGCATCACCAAAGCGGAACTTCTGGCTCTGCTTCCGCCCAGGAAATATTGTGCTTACTTGAAGGGCATCTATTTCAAGGTCTTTTCTCCGGTGCGCGGCCAACATATCTGTTTAATTCCAAAGGATGACATCAACGCTGACAGACCACAATAGCTGTTTCACATATTACACGATCCAACTTTCGAAGAGGAATATGAGAGATTCCACAACGATGCGGATTCCGTTTCGTTGGGATGGCTGGCTCTACTATTCATAATATTGGGAATTGCCGTGACCGCTCTTGACGATGACGATCCTATACTCTCAGACTTGGGACATGAGAAGTCGATTAACCTAAATATCAGAGTTGTCTCGTCGCGCTACAGATCTGCTGCTATGAAATGCCTTGCTGCAGATGGAGTAATGACACGCCATTCTATGAGCTCTCTGCAGGCCCTTGTGCTAACTTTATATGCTCGGAGCCACATGAACATACCTACGTGGACTCTTTTGGGCTTTACTCATCATGTAGCGATAGCCATGGGGTATCACATAGACCCAGGGAGATTCAATCTGAGCATCTTGGAATGTGAACAACGAAGACGCGCATGGGCTGCTTTAATGATGATATACACTATCCAAAATACGGCTCTTGGTTCCTTCGGTCATAGGCCCTTTTCGCAGGATACCAAGCCCCCATCCGATGTCGACGATGTGGACTTAATGACGGCCTCTAACAAAGGAAGCCAGGGAGGACCTACCCAAATGACATATATCTTACTCAAGTTTCGTCTCTATGAAATTTCTGCTAAGATATCGGAGACTCTATTAAGCCGTCCAGACGGGTCACCTACTACCTTAACACAGCTGGAGAATGAAGTTGCTTCCATCCAAGCCATGTGCACATCCAGGTACAGGTCCGACAATAATCGCAGCCATCTACCTGGTCATCATATGGCGAATTACAATATCATTCAGGGCTACACTCATCAGTTGCGACTGCTTATACACCGTCCTAACTTCACCCGATATTTTCAGGGAGATCGCTCTCAGGCTGCGTGGAGATCCAAAGACAGATGCGTCGAATCCGCCAAGAGCTTATTAGCAATCTACAGAAATCTATCCGAATGCCCTGTTTTCGCTCCTTATAAATGGTACACCAGCGGGTTGGGAAGCTTCTACGCATTTCATGCAGCTGTCAGTCTTGCAGCTGTCCTGATGGAACCCGATAATCAAAATGAATATGACGAGATAAAGGGCTTGCTTTCGAATTCTCTGGATCTCTTCGCAGCTCTGTCCCACCGTAGCAGCGTCTGCGAAAAAGCAGTCACTATACTCCAGAACCTCATGTGAGTGCATTTAGTATCATAGAGCTGCTTCCAATGCTAATTTCTCTTTTTTGTTCTCTAGTGACGTTGCAAATAGTCGTCGTTGTCAAGTCGCAGAAAACACTACATACGTCTCGGGCGGAACTGATCGTTCTGTCGCATACAATGAGTCCGAGTCACCAATGGCAAGTTGCCACATCGAAATGATGTTCTCCCAACTGCAACCACAAAATTGGCTCAGCCCAGCCGCAATATCTTGGGATGGATGGGACTTCCTTTCGGGAGATGGACTGGTCGCTTCATAAGTAAGAATCCACTGGTTGTTCGTCATCAAAAGTCTTATGAAACCAATAAGGCACTGAGACGAGCCTGAACGGCGCCGACACTATGATAAACAACTGTCGCGCTCATCAGTATACTGCGGATCCGCGATAGTGGAGTTAGCAGTCTAAGTATGCAGCATAAAGTTTTGGACGATCCGATTCGCTTGTTTTGCATGCGTGATTTTGCATGATCTTATCAGATATGATGCGGCCCGTTATACAACTACATGTCTTGCATTGTTCACTAGCGATATGAGCATGACTCCCATAATGGATGAAAGAAAGTATGTACATCGCAGCCAAAGAAAAGGTTACCACTCATCATCATCATCCATTGCGCCTGGGATCCTCAAACCGACATATCTCCGTCGCTCCTGTAAGCGATTCCTGATTCCCCCGTGTGATCTATTCTTAGTGCTAGCCCATCACTCTGCATCTGCTTTTCCCCGTGGGAACGCCAGAATTGCAACGAATAATCTTGACCTTGATGAGCTCCTCCCTGCCGGTGCGCGATATCAGCGAAATAGTAGACTATCCCATCGACGACAAGCCTGAGATCTTGTTCTGAGATCGAACTTGAGTCATCGGATTGGAGAGCACTTCTGATGCAGGTATCAATGGAGGATCAGCACTCGGGAAAGAATGAGTTGGTCGTTGAGGGAACCTTCCAGTCGGAGTTTGGCGCTTGATTGTTTATTCAAAAGAATTCGATTTGTTCGATCGTAGCTTGGACTACGATCATCATCGTCATCATTTTGGCCCATACATGGATGTGACATGGTTCCTTCTGCTCACAGACAGGTTATTGTCTGCGAGAAAGCTTTAACCAGCCCATTGCAGATAGGATAGGAGTATGGACAATTCAGAATCCTTCAACCGCGTTTGCTGGCAGACGTCTTTTCCTCGAAGTAGGAGAGAAGACAAATCGGGTTTTCTGTAGCTGAAAAGCTAATACGCGGCATATATGACAAGGGTATACAGTATGCTGCGATGCTGAGCATGCACTAGTGTCAGATGCAAGAAGCCCAATTCGCGTCTCAACAACTCAATCGGATCTTTGAGTCATCGTGAAAGAGTGTCATTGAGGAACACGCTGTCATTCACAATGCGTATATTCCATCGAAAAGAAAGGCATTAGGCCACCTGGAAGGAAGTGGAGTGACAAGAGGACGTACCGCGTAACCGAATCACGAATTGACCCTACCATCCATGATGCCTAACATCATTTACAACACATCGACAGATGGCATATTGTCCAAGGAATGAAGGAGCTATGCTGTAAAGTAAGCAGAACCTCCACAATGACCGGCCTACTCCGTCTTCGCTCGGTCAATGTTCATCTCCACAAAGCCCCGGCTGGAATATACCTCCGTCAGATCAGCAGACAATCCTTGAGGGGTTTGGGGGATCCTAAACGTTTTATGCAGTTACAGGGATAGGCCATTCGCATGAACACCCTCGTCTTATCTTCTAGCAGTTATTGGCCAAGGACACTCTGAATGATCATGTCTGAATTAACAATCATCCACGTCGAGAAAATGAGGGGCCATCGGAAAGTATGGAGGGGCTTGCATTTTTTAGAATTGTATACGTGGTAGTTCTCATAGCTGATACTCCACATGGTTCTAAGGGTATATATTGAGGGAAAGATTGCTCGATTGTCCTCGAGTATTTCGTTTCCCATACCAAAGCATTGAAGCTCGAAGAGATATAAAAAGAAAGAACCATGTCGCCAGGACTTCTCTATGACCCAAAGAATGTCTCGTGGGCAGAATCTGCCTCGAAACTTGAGAGATATGATGGGCCCCCGAGAAACGTGAAGTATATTGAAGAACTCAACTTCGATAAGGGAGTCAAACCGAAGGAGTATCAGATCCGGGGTACCAATCCCGACTCGAAGATTCTGATTCTCGATGTTGAGATCATCGATTCGACGGGAAAAGAGCCCTACCGTGGAGATGTATACATTGAAGGTATTTGGTGTCGTCTCCGTTTTTGATTATGAATTCTACTAACGGTGGCGGTAAAGGGGAGCGCTTCTCCGCCGTGGGAGATGTACCCAACAAAGAAAAATTGATGGAGGACGCGAAAGTGATGAAGTTCTATGGCCATGGCAGGGCCCTGATGTCTGGGCTAGGAGACGCCCATACTCATCTCTCCTTGAATGGAGGAGATATCGATCGTATGGGGGAGCTGGGTGTCGAAGAGCACACACTCCTGACAGCAAAGAGTGCTCAGTCCTTCCTAGATTCAGGATATACCTTGTGAGTACTTCTAGACGTGCCTTTCAGTATTTGAGAACTAGTTTTTTTGACTGGATATTCATTTTAGATGTTGGGGAGCCGCGTCCGCCAAGGAGAAACTCGATGTCGTTATCCGAGATGCCATCAACGCGGGAAATCTTCCTGGCCCACGATACCTTGCCAACGGGAAGGAAATGGCACGTCGCGACGGAGAACTTGTTGCTAGCACAACTGCATTTGCAGATGGTCCACTCGAGATGAGAGAGGTCATCAGACATCACGTCGACATTGGAGTCGATCAGATCAAGCTAAGCATGTCCGGGGAAGAGGTCTGTTCTCCGCCCTACTCTCCTATCACACACTATTATCAAAGTAACCAAGCTAACGTATGACCGATCCCTACTAGATCATGGAATCACGATCTGCCCAGGAGTGCTTCTACACTGACGAGGAAACAGCGGCGTGCGTGGACGAGGCTCACAAACATGGTCGTATGCTCTGTGCGCATGCGCGCGCGCGAGACTCGGTGACGATGTGTGTTGAACATGGTGTGGATGTGATATTCCATGCTTCCTATGTCGATGATGAAGGTCAGTGTCTGCTCACTTGATATCTTTTGTGGATCTCTTCAGAGATGCAGCAGGCATTGTCGGCTAACTTATTACACAGGAATGGACATGCTAGAGGAGAAGAAGCATAAGCACGTGGTTGTCCCCGCGCTCAACTGGTTGGTCGGCACTGTGGAAGATGCTGAAGCGTATGGATATCCAAAATCCAAAGCAGAGAAGGCAGGATACAAAAGAGAACTCGATGCAGCCGTATTGGGTCTACGCGAAATGCATCGGCGAGGAATCGTCGTTTTGCCAGGAGGGTAAGCACATACAACTCCGCCCAAGCCCGTTTTCTCGTGATATATGTCTACATAATGAAATACACTCTCTTGTATACTAACGTCTATCAAAAGTGACTACGGCTACGCTTGGACTCCTCATGGCACCTACGCGCGCGACCTCGCGCACTTCAAGAACCTCCTCGGCTTCACAGCCCACGAAGCCATCATTGCTGCCACCGCCGGCATCGCTAAGCTCTTCATGCGGGAGCACGAACTCGGGCAGATCAAGCCCGGCTATTATGCTGACTGTATCCTTGTGGACGGTAATCCGCTCCAGGAGATCGAAGTCCTCCAGGACCACTCGAAGTTGAACATCATTCTTATCAACGGCCGCGTCCATAAGGCAGGACGGAATGAATACCTTCCTCCGCCTATTGCGGGTGAGAAGAGTAAGAATCGGATAATCGCCGAGGTGGAATTTCCAGAGGTGAAGAAAGAGATGCAGAAGCAGCATTGATGGGCTATGCCTGCGGGGTTATCGTATGAGTTGGATTATGTACTTAGATGCTACTCGCCATGGCTATTCGCTCCTTTATATTTCTTATGTTTAACGAAGAATATGATTTGTGCCATCGTTATGAGATGCTTCTGCTACTTTCGAGGTACTGAAAATAGTTATTGGAAAAAAAAAAAAAAAAAAAAAACCACCAGCATAAAGAAATGGGAGTGGCAGGCCTCTGGATAGAATTTGTAGTTACCCTACATCCTATGACTTAAGTCAATCAATCCCCTCTCTCAAGTGTATCTTTTAGCACGTTATCATCTGCCGTTACGGGCCGCATTTCAAAGAGCGTCTGGCGCATATACCGCATCTGCTCCTCCATCCAAGTCTTCATATACTGCAAATCAACTGTTTCCTCAAGACAATGCCCCGGAAATCCCTCGGGGTCAGTCCTGCGTACCGCATCCGCATACCGCGTCCTTAGCTGGTCTGCCTCATGCTGGAACCGCTCACTAAGCAGGCGCAGGCGGTATTCGGTCCACTGGTAGTACATCTCGGAAAGACACGACTTGTTACGTACGTTCATGCAAGTCGAGTCATCTAAGAGCAAAGGCGAGCGCGGCCGGAACGATGTGACCATCGTGATACGCTCCGGCATATTGGCCGCAGGAATCGCAAGGTGGCTGACATGGCGGCCCTGGAGGACAACGGCTCCGCCCTGAAGGATTTGTTTTTTTCGCGTCAGTGAACTATTCCTCAAACTTATAGGATTATCATAAATCACATACGATTCCTGGTGATTTCACCTTAATCGTGGTGCCATCGCCCTTCCGAAGTTCCGTCTCCCCATCTATCATATACCTCGCATCGGAGAGCATAACCACGCAGACAAATGGATGAGAGTCTCGATGCCACGGTACCAATGCCTCTGCTTTCTTGGCCTCTGGCATGTGAGTGTGATTTCCAGTCACTTGAGGAGGAGCCTCTGGCGGCTCAACTGGCGTATCTTTGACACCATCCACTCCTTTCGGACCCAACTGCACATTAGTATGCGCAATCTCGTGGTCCATGACAGGCACTAGGTCCACGCCCGCGAGGCTGCTCACAATTGCCAAAACCTCGGGTGATGTCCAAAACGCATACGTGAATGGAGCGTATCGTGGCGCCATGCCGCGTATCTGAACAGATCCAGGACGCGTATAATACATGCAGTTGGCCAGAACGTCCGAGGAGAAGATTTCGCGGCGGAAGGCATGAACACCCTCCGCTGATAGGAAGGGAAATGGGTCTGTCGAGGCGATGGGGGAAATGGGGGATTCATCGAGGTGCAAGTCTTTGAGTGTGTGAGTCCTCGCGGGAGGCTGGTACGCGAGGTGTTTGTCCGGGTTGAAAGAGTCTGATGAGGATTTGATAACGCTAGCAGCAGGGATAGACTCGTAAATTTGTGTGGTGCTATTATGGTCTTCGAGGATTGCTGGAGCCATGTTGAAGAGTGTCCCTTGCGCTTGATTGTGTTGGGGTATAGAGAGGCAGTAGATACTGAATCTGGTTCAAGACTTGATCGGTTTTATATGAAATGGGACACAGTATTCAACAATGAGGACAGAGTCACCTCAATATATAGTTTCAAAACGACTATATTGTTCAAGCAGATCGGATCAGCCATCAACGCCAGGTCACGTTCCTGGACCTTCAGTTACTCGAACCGGTTATTCGAACCGCCAAAGCAGGCACCTAACCCAACACATCCAAATCACAAGAATCAACAGCATGAGGCGTGCATCACAAGATCTATCCTGTTACAATTATAGATAGACGTTTGAATTCTGAGAGGCCGGTATTCCAGAATGATTCATATAGTTGGTTGTCAATCCATACCCAAAACGGTAATACGAACCGCCAAACAGATACCAGAAGGCCAGAACCCCGCCCAAGATAACACAATACTTAATGAGCGGGAAACAATCCCTGTCCTTTTTGTCTTCATCCAACTATTGTAGAATGATGAACCCAGCAAGTCTATTTCTTTTCAATATCCCCAGAAAAGTGCCAATTACGCCTGTTGAGGTGGTCGTCAATGGTTGAGATCGCTATCGCAGCTCTTACTTACTCAACTATCTGTTCGATGATCTCCTCACTGCTTTATACCAGAGTCGAAAATTCGCACTAGATAGATTGACAGCCAATAACTAAAGCGCGACGAATAATATTTCCCTCGATCCCTCCTCATGAGAGGGTCTCTCTCCTCGCAAAAGATGAGCAGAAACACGAAAATCCCTTGTCAACTATGACATCAAAGGCATTAGCAACTCGACGTACACGAGATGGATGCTGGACATGCAGAAAGAGGTATCCCTGACTAGGACTCCCATATAGTTGCAATTCAAATATTTGTCGTCCTATGATCTTGACATGATGCCTTGATATAGGAAGAAGAAATGCGATGGGAGAGTCCCAGCCTGCCACAACTGCGATAGGCTCGGTCTCTCATGTGCTGGATACACAGCCGAGATCGTCTGGGAAGATGATCGACGACGCATAGGTATGAAGAGACGGGGTCCGAAAGGGAATAATGAACAAGTTGGTTCTCAACATAGTGCTCTTCCGATAACACATTTGCGGACGTCTCAGGGGTTTGAAGCTCAGGGTAGAGGTCAATCTGGGAACGGTCCTGGCTCAATCAGCGAGATTCCTCACGATGATATCGACTCTATATTCGACGAGACACCATTGAATCAAATCACTTTCCCTCTTCATGAATCCCTTCGAATCAATCCTCGACATCTCAACCCAAAACAAGCACTTCTTTTCGACCGATACATAAACCGCTTCTCCAGAATCTACCCCAGCTGCCAAACACCATCCAATCCATTCCTTTCCATCCTTCTTCCAATGGCCTTCGCTAGCGAAACTATCTTGACAGCTCTACTTGCCCTCAGTGGTGCCCAAACATGGGGCGATGAATGGGACCATCTCCAACAAGAAACACTCCGCGCAAAACAACGTACGATCGAAATCTGCCGAAAGACATTAAGCAACATCCACAATGGAATCTCCAGCCCGCAAGCTCTCAACCCCACAGCAAGTGCAGACTTACTATGTCTAGTGACATGCGTCACAATCATGCTGATCTATGAAAAGCTCTCCGGGGAAGATCACCAGAACTGGAAGCCGCATCTTGACTTTATCAGTCACATATTCAATAACGCAGATAGGATATTTCCTCCCCAGTGCCGGAGCAGTGAGCATTATCGGTTCCTACTTCATATGTTTGCGTATAATGACCTTGTGGCTTCGACGTCGCTGCGGATGAGGACATTATCGTGGTTTTATATCGATATGACTAACACTTCAGCATCGACGGCAACACTATCAAATGATGAAATGTATAGCGATCAATATTACTATCCAAGTCTAATCGCACGGATCAACATCGGTGACCAATCAGTCACATTATCCCATATCAGCAACTGGGACGGGAACCTGAACTGGTTTCCTAGTCATTGTCTAGAGAAATCTAGCGGAATATCGCCAGGAATGGAGTCTTCGAAATCCTCAGATTACGATATCGCTGCAGAGATTTACCGAGCGGCCGCCATCATCCACTATGGCCACATGATCGGCTTTGAGAATGAGCGATTCCCAGATTCCATACAAGAAGATAACGATCCTTTCCACTATCACCGTCACGCGATCCGGCTGCTGAATCTCCTACCGGCTCATTCTCCAGTGGGAAATATCCTTCTCTGGCCGATCAGTATTATTGCGCCGGACCTGATGAGCAAGCACGTGCTGGAGCGAGAGTCGGCGGTTAGAGTACTGTATGGGCTGGAAAAGCATTTCCAGATGCGACATTTTCGTCGGGCGCGAGAGACTCTCCAAGAGATCTGGCGTGCGAAGGACTGTGGGTTGAATTCAATGGCTATCATGCAGAGTTCAATATTGCAAGGTTAAGAGTCCATGGTAAAAGTGGTTAGTCTGCTGCATATGTCTAAATGAACTACTCTGTTTCAGTCTTACTTTGAGAAGTGCTCGGAAGAAGTTTGAAAGGGAATATATCATCGTCTTCAGTTGCCTATCCGCACGGTGGGTATCTAGTATACATGTACATTCACATGCCATGAGGAACAAATAGAGAAAAAGCCCGGGAAAAGAAAACAAAGGATGGTCAAATATTCGATAAATTGCTGGCAGCACTGGATTCGAAAGGAGGGAGAAGGTCTACTGTGTGTTCGACCTCTGCCGGTGGTCCACGACCTCTCTTTTTGAGACACTAACCCTGGAAACAACGCACATGCTGTACCCTGCGAAGGTACGATGGATGTCTTCGCATGATTCCATAGACTCGTATGCAGACATCAACAACCCTATAGGCAATCCAGTCACAAGGCCGCGTGGCCCAGTTGCCAGCCCACAGGGAATCATATGAAACAAAGCGCTGATAAATAAATAGCAATAGAAAAACCGATAGGACTGAATGGTGTATAGATAGGATAGATAGGAGAAAAGAAAAAAACAGAAAAGACATTAGACGCTCTCGTCATACCCATGCCATGCGCCTGGAAATGCGTTGCAAAAACAAACTGAGAATCACATATCTCGTCACTGTCTACCATGAGCAGACGGCATGAAATTGTACAAACTGTTCCCCAAGTGAAGGGAATACAATCAAAGGATACCACGTCGGAAGTGGATTTTTTATGATAGTGCGGTCTGGGAGGCAGGCCGATGGAATGTATCGAAGAGTCCGACCTAGGCTGCAAGTTTGGCAAAGTGCTTGTTCCATATCCATCCAACTTGATGAGTAGGATCGTCCTGGTTTCGTGCAAGCCACAACTCGCCTTTCTCAGCAATAACATCGAATATCTCACCGGCAACGTAGGTCAGATAAGGATAGCCGGCTTCTCTTCTCGCGCGATCGATATTGAATTCATAGATACTCGCGGCCAGAAACAAGACCTTGGGATCTCTCGCTTGACCCGGGTCTGTGGGGTTATCCTGGCGGGGAGAGTCCGACATGGGCATGGCGGATGAGAAGAACCCAGAGTAACGACCACCAGGAGAAGAAGGATCCACAGCGGCCGCTGCTTCATTATTCTCCGGGGGATTGGTGAGAAGATCGTGCAGGAATGGGGTCTCGAGGCTGAGTCTTGGTAGAGAAGGGAAAGGCTCCCCAGCTTGACCGGAACTAGTACCGGGGCAAGTGGATGCAGCCGATGGTGTAGACATAGATTGCAAAGCTTGTGCAGATTGTGAAGTGGGCATCTCCGGGGCTGCCGGAGGTACGACTCGTGCTGAGACGGAAGAACTGGCCCGATTGCGTGCACCATTGATAAGATGCACCTGTGAACCACTTGAACGCTGCGATAGGCCATCGGTAGGCGGAGACTGAACAGAGTCTCGGCCCCCAGAATGTTCACGAGTAACCTGTGGTGAACCATCCGTATTCAGCGAAGTCGAACGGGTGTTGGAGCTGTTGATGGTAGAAGGCCGTCGCGGCGAAGTCGCATCGGGCCCAGTTGACGGGGTGTTGAAGTTGACCAGGTTGATAGCTTCCGCAAGCAAGGAACCGTTGCAGATACCGAGTGAAAGAACTTGTGCCTCGGCAAAATCGAAATCACTGGCCCAGTCGCTGATGACTTGGTTTAGTTCTTCAGGGAATCGATCGATCAAGTACCCAAGCTTCTTTTGCAGTAGACTAAACCAAGCTGCCTGTATCTGGACGAAGTTGGTCAGGCATGATTCAATCAATTTAGCTGTCAGTGCGAAAAGCTTCGGCAGTTCATCTTTGAGAGCTTCATTGAGCGCGACGAACTGTTCCCCCTGCTCGGTCGTCTTCTTGTCGGGCTTGTCGCCACGATCTTTGAGAGCTTTGAATCGCGTATAGTCCATCAGCCGTTTGTTGCGTTTATGCATGACTCGCTGCGGTCCGTCGTGGAGTTTAAGCAGAGTGATCATAGGCTCGATAACGCTTTTGCGAACAGTTCCAATCTGCAAGTATTGTTAGATTATTCCAGAGGCCGTAAATGTGTTTTTAAACTCACATGATCAGGTAACGCTACTGCCATGATCTCTCGGACGGCTAGCCTGAAACGTCGCCATTTGCTCTCAAGCTCAGTATAGTTGGATTGGGCCACGTCGATATATCCTTCAATAGCAACGATGAAATCTGTAAACCGTTCCATGGAGCTTTGAACCTCTTGCGTATACATTTCCACGTCTCGCATAACCACCTGGAGCTGAAAGAAGCTGTCGCTGAACTTCTGCGCCAGGATATCGTAGTTTTTGTCTTCGAACATATCGGAAAGGCCAACTTGTTGCCTGAACTTCTCAGTGCGACGGCCGAAGGCCTTTGACAAGCCAACCCTAACATCTGACTCCTTTCGTTTGCGACTAACCACTTGGCCAACAACATCAGCACGCTTTTTCATTTCATTGATCTTCACTGAGATATTTGTCACGCCTTCGAGAGCAGCCATGATCGCTGCACGATCAGGGTGGTCTTCTGGCGTTGCATTCAGAAGCTCGGTCAAGAGGAGCGGATACTTGAGGATCCGCTGCACCGGCTTCACGAGCAGTGAATCCAAATTCCACGCTGAGGTTAGATCAGAGGCCCACTCACGACACTCCTTGAGCCAGATGGCAACTTTCGGGTTTCGCTGGAGGGTCTCGAGCTTCTTGTTTGCGGCGTCGTGGTTCTTCAAGTAATCAGCGTACACCTTCTCCATCTGGGACATATTTGTCACGAAGGCTTGACCGATGGAAGTCAGCCAATCTTTCTCCGCCTCAGACACGTCTACATCTAGGTTGTCTTCTGATGGCGTGCTCGCCTGAGTTGCCCTGCTGCGACGCTTGCTGCTCCACCGCTGGGACTTCGGCATCACGTAGACGCTCCTCGCAGCGCTTTTCAGCGCATCTTGGAAGGTCATGGAGAACTGCACTATCTGGTCGGAGTTGCTGAAGAGTGTCTTGACATCCTCTGCAGACAGATCTAAACAGGAACTAGACGTGCCTTTATAGATATCATCAACGACCTTCATATCACGTCCAAAGGAGTATTCTGTGTCCACAAGCTCTTTGATGACGTGGCGACGCTTCTTGAGACGACGCTGCTCGGGAGAAGGTGTGCCGCGTTTGACTTCGACCGTAGTGTTATCGACAGACGTAGCCTGGGTTGTATCGGCAGATTTCAAGGTCTGGGGCAGACTGGCATAGCCAGAGTAACGCAGATACGCTTCCTCACTATTCCTTGCACTCCGATAATAGTTGGCGACCTCTGGTGGCACGCTGGAGAAAATACTTGATGGAGGATGGCTCGAATAAATACTGGGTGATGGCTGTACGGGCTGCTGAGGCTGCGGTTGCGGAACGATATTTCCCATCTGAGCCACGGGGGGAGGCGGAGGAGGCGAATGATCCGGTAACGGAGGTGGAGGTGGCATCGCTGGCACGTCGCCTTCTTGGGGAGACGGCACTTCTATTGATAATCCAAGCCCTTCCCCGGGACCGCCGAAAGCAGAAGCTTGCTGTCGGTTGGAAATAGCAGGATACGATATGGAGTCCGCTTCAGGAAGACCCTCGTCTCGATCATTCGTCGCTGACACTTGCGGCCTATCCTCTGCAGCGATTTGCATCCAGTCAGCGATTGACGGTGATGCGCGTTCCCAGTCATCTCGCAGAACCAGGCTCGCCCTATGCTCTATGTGTTCAGGTTCCGACATGCCCTCGGTCTTCGACACCAAAACTGCGTCGTCGGTGAGACTGTCTGTTCTGTCGGTGGATTCTGCTTGATTAGACAGATCGGGGGAGTCTTCAGAGAACTTAGAAACTGACGGGGCAGATATATTTATCTTGCCTCGAGTAAGCTCTTCCAGATATAGTTGAGACACACGCCTCGAGTCCCATCCTCCTTGTCTAGCTAGACTATGGCGGTATGAGATACCTTGAGGATGATACGCGGGGGCTCCATTGCGTGTCTCGTGGGGATTACCAGTCGCGTGGGACGTGCCTCCCCGAGGGTCAATGTTCGAAGGCGGGAATTCCTGAAAAGACCAAGGTTGAGGAGTCCTCTCAAGTTCTTCTGGTGCCAATCCAACTTCAATGCTCTGCTGCATGTCAGAAGGGCACTCATCCCCTGTTTCGACGGTCTCGTCCGTAGAATGCCGATTATGTGCCGAAGACCACGAGCTCATGCTCCATCTATTCCGTAGCTCGTCGCTCATATGGCCGTGGTCCTCGTACATTCGTGGTCGTCTTTGGTTTTCACTGCTGTCAACCGACTGGGCGAAATAGGTCGAGTCTCTCAGCATAATCTGTATCGATTCCTTATCATCACGGTCGGAAGATGTATATCCGTTATCCTCTGAGGATGTCGGGCTGCTCGGACTGGATTCTCGCATCTGCATGATCTGGCTCAGTACTGTCCGGTGCGACGCATCTGCGTAAGACAATCCTGCTTGCGGTTCAGGGTCAAAATTGGTGGTGTCGGTGTCATCAGAAGGCGCTGCCCATCCAGAAGATGCCATGTTAGAGCTATGCGCGTCTAAGCGCCCCTGCTCACTTCCATGGCCGATATTCAATGGCAGTCCTAAGGTTGGAGAATCCCCAAAATCAAGCCGACTCTGCTCCCGCGGGAGCTCAGCTGGATCAACTGTGAGTTGAGGTGCTGGCGTCGCTTGTTCCTGCATGGGACCGATTCCCCCTTGCTGATCGCCCACATTGAGCTCCTCCTGGGGTTTGGAGTCCTGAGGAGGCGTATAAACGGTGGCCGGCAGAAGTAGCTCTGCGCTGCTTTCCATCTCCTTCTGCTCGAGTTTCCGCTTGTTCTCCTCGTTCTCCTTAGCCCTCGCTCGACGACGAAGCTCGACGGCTTCTTCTCTTTTTGCATTTTCCTCGACTGTCTTATTGAATGCCTGCTGAATCTTTTGTCGCCTGGCAGCAAAGTCCACAGTGCCTAGTTCCGGGAGCATTCGCGCCCTCTGTCGAGGGACTCTACCATTTCTATCGTAGTCATCCTGTTTCTGAAGGCCAGATATCCTATCCACCACCTTTGCTCGAGACGATGATGTAGATGCTTCCGACACCGGCTGGCGAGGTCTTGAGCTCCGTAACGGGGGAGACTTCTTCGGAGGAGGGGCACTTATGTACGCCTGCAAAAGGGAATTCTTCGCGGGCTGTGGGGGTTGACGGCTGTAGCCGCGCGTTTTCTCTTGTCTTTGAGGAGAAGTGATAGTAGGAAGACGTGAGGGAGCAGTCCGCACCTGCGTGGGCGATCTGGCAGACGGCTTGGGCAACCGACTGCTCCCCTTGGGAGGTAGAGCCCCACGATTGGGCGAGGTAGGAGAACGTAGACCGGTAGACGAGTTTGCCCTTGTTGGAGATGAGTTGCCCGAATCAGAAGCGTGACTGAGTCGGTTGGACGATAAGGGGATGCGCGACTTGGAATGTGGGGTGTCCGCGAAGGACGCAGACGCGGATTCCTTGGGCGAGGCGACCGCCATATGAGCACTCGAAGAACTCGTAACCGGGGATTTCGAACCACTGCTTAACAAGTCGCTTCTCGCTCTTCGATGACTGTGTGGGTCCAGGCCGATTCTAACGGTCTCCAGAGACGGCGCGTATCCTAAGTACCACGCCGTAGGCGACGAAGGTGATATATCAGTTCCCTGTTCGAGAGAGCTGTCTAGGGTTCTCGAATATGGTCGGTATATGCTCCCCTCAGAACCTCTTCGCCGCGGATATGACGGTATCCCATATCCTGGATCGTTGACAGAAGTATCAACCGCCAGTAACTCCCCGAACAGAGGTCGACGATTCGGTTTGTCCGACGGATGCACGTCTCCCAACGACTGGCTGGAAACAGGATTTAGGGAAGCGCCCGAGCTGGCCAGGCGCTCGCAATAGGTGCGCGACTTCGAAATCGTCAATACCCCCTCTTCTATCTTGTCGCTTGGTTGCCTCCGTCGGATGAAACTGCTGTCCTGTCTGTCCCACGGACGCGTTCCGGATTGGGAAACTGATGACGCGCGGGATGGGGGACCTCTCACACTACCAACTGGACTTGTGGCTCTGGATGTCGCTCTCGAACTCGAGACCAGCGGTACCGGTGGTACTTCATCAACCGTTTTGTTAAACTTCTCGATCAGGTCTTTGAACGATGGCTGTCGGGATCGAGGTTTCCTGGGCAGTGACCTCGAACCGTCACTTACAGCTCTATTCGAAGTGCTGGAGACAGAGCGATATTGTGTCGAGTGTACTGCGCCCGGTGGGGTTGAATCTGACTGCGCCGGCACAACGGGTTTCGGGTATGTGGCAACACTCATGCCGCCATGAAACGAGATGGAGGAATCAATATGCTGGGTTAGGATATCGTCATGCTGCTGAAGTGATGACTCCAAACGTTGCTTATAGTATTCGTGGGGATCGGAGGATAGGTGGTTAGCGGCGGACGGTGGATCGTGATGCTTGTTCGGGGGATCGACCGACAACGACAGTGATTGCGCATGCGAACCCACTGCTGGGTAACGAGAAAATGCGTCCGCTGGGAGAATAGGGAATAGAGAGGACGAGGCTATGGACGCAACGTTGGGATGACTCTGAAGGGTGTTGTGCGAACACTGCTGGGACGATTGTTGACAATCGTGCTGAAGTGGGTTCCCAGAGTCATGGACGCTTTCAACATCGTTGACGGACATCTTGCAGTCAGGCCGACGAGCAGCAGCAGGCGTGGACTCGTCAGGCCCGTGCGGTTCAAGGGTCCACCGAGCACAGTAAACTGGTCGGGGGGTCGTGATGTGTTGTTCACGGCTGGTAGGCCGACGACGATGTCGCAGATTGACCGACTACTTTTGGGCTACGAGGCTTTTCATCCCGGTGGCGCCTCAGTCCAGCGTCATATTATTCTTGAGGCGACCGAAACGCACACTATCACCGACTCTCCTGTTTGATTCCAGAGCCGATTTGAAACAACCAGATGCCAGACTTGGGGATTATAGATGGACGGCCGCGGGCTGATGTGTGCTGAGCGATCGAAACGCCGGCGGGCGAGTCAGTCTTGTCCGACAGTGTTCGACGAATCTGCGAGGGGGTCAAGTTAGACTGGACTTGAAGCCGCCGGTGACAAGACAGACGGTATGGTATTACCGTCAGTAGTCAGTTCAACGAGCTTCCTGTTCGAATGCTGGTCGCCTATGATGGTCGCGCAGTGATGGTGCTGTTGGACAGGAAACCACCCAGTCTAGGCTTTGGTTTGCAGCGCAAGGTTGTGATAGGAAAACGCGCCAGAGCGAATGACGACGAAGGCCGTCGTACGGATGTGCAGGCCGCAGGGCGATGAAACCACGAACCGGTGCCGTGGATGTCAGTAATACGGACCACTTCGATGGAGGTTCGTTTCGTTTGGGCCAGCAAAACATGCCCCAATGGCCGTCAGCAACTCTTTTATCTCTCTGGTCGATGCGAGCCCGAGAGAACCGATGAGGAGTCGATTCGATCGGTTTTTCTGTCCCCCAGCCCGCCGAGCCTTGCTTGTCTCTCCCCCACTCGCGGACGCAGTGGAGAGCGACAAGCGATTAGACTTCGATTCTGGATAGAATGACAACTTGATCACCGCTAGAGCAGGATAGTCTCCGACAAGCCCTGTTTATGCTGTCACGAAGCCAATAGTGCGGATTCGACTTGGATTGCCCGTGGCCGCTCGATGCGACTTTCTGGGCAGACAGTCACAGTCAGTCGCTGAGAAAAGCTCAATCCACAGCCACGCAATCTCCGGAAGACTTGCTGGATAAGAGAAGCCCCGGAGAACAGGACGGATGTGGCTGATCGATCGCGACGAGTAGGGACTGAGCGGCGGTGATCCGGTTCGATGATCCAGCGCGGTGGTAGTGTAGTAGTTAGTTAAGAAGTGTACTACTCTTTAAGTGTAGTGTAGTGCAAATCGCCAACTAACTAGTCAGTGCGGGGAGTAAGTAAGTAACTCTCGCGATCACAGCCCGCGGGTTATTTTTTCGAGACGATCCCTCAGCAGTCGTAGAATAAATCATCCAGGTATTAGTAGTACGTAGCCAGATATTTATCAGAGTTTCTGTAGTGCGGCCGATGGATCCGAGTCGATTGTCGGGATCTGTTTTTTTTTTTGGCTTTTGGCTTTTGTTTTGTCGTTCCTGAAAAAGTGGGTGTCGAGGGCTGTTTCACTACTATTACACTGGTTACTTTAATTAATGAACACCACGAAAACGAGGATCCAGGTGGAGCATCGACAAACAGTTTACGCGCAACGACTGGCTCGAAAGGCCTCGAAACAGGCTGGGTCATCAACAATATTAATGGCTGACTATTATTAAAACAGTCTCATCTACGGACCTGCTGGTCTCAACTTCGTAGTACTACTCTGTCGAGACAGAGACAGAGTAGTAGATAGTGTTTTCGCATATCTATCAGATGCACCCAGACAATAATACTAATAACTAATACTTATCATTGTGCGACTGACAAATTGCTTTAACCCCCCTGTTTCTCGAGTGTTGCTTCCATGCCGCTGATTGACCAGATCCTTCTCTCGTTTGACAGCCGCTGCGGCTGACATGAAGTACTTAGTCTGTTGATCTGTAGTGACTGCTCACAATTGCAACCCCTAGACATGATAATGAGATCCTCCTCAGTCCTGACTCCTGAGCGAGATGTCAACAGGCAGGCCTGAGCACTTCTTTACTCGAGCACAGCCGCTTTTTCCTTTCTCTTTGTCTCGACTCTCCTGCCAGCTGGACTTGTAACCAGGCTCCATCCAGATGTTCTGGCCCAGCCTCGTTCGGAAGTCCGCAGACGAAAAGTGGCTCTGCGCCTTGTGAGGCGTCTTGGTCCGTGCTGGAGTTCACTCCTGTCTCCGTTAATTAATTAATTGACTTCTGATTCTGACCAAATAATCACGATAGAGTTTTGACATACCGTCTCCATGAGTCCATTGCTTGTTTAGCGTGTCCAAGCGCGAGCCGCCATCACCCACAATCGGCCCTCCTTTCTGAACTGGGCAATAATAGCATGGTGATGTTTTGACAAATTCAACATTGCAGTTGATCTTTGCGGGTTCACGACTCTTTTAGCGCGTCTGTGCGGCTGCGCCGATCCCTGTCAGAATCACCAACACAAAATAGATCCCACATGGTCCCTGACGCTAACTGAAGCGTCAGAGAGTCTTCCGGACTTCTGAGATTCCTCAATCAAGAGTGAACCCTGGTCATCGATCCGCAATAGAATGGGGAAGAAGAGGAAGCGTCCCGCGAGAGAGCCGGGGACGCAACCATCGCTTGCCAAGCGCGTTCAAGTCGCGTCGAAGCCATCCCGCGAGAACCAAGCAACCCACCCAGTGATATCACGATACTATCGGCGTGTATTGACCTTAAGGCAGTATCTGCTGGAGCAGCTGCCCTCATCCTCCAAGTCCAGACGGCGCCGGATTGCCTCGCTAGGTCGGCAGGGCGCTGACACTCCACGCGATCACGACAACGAAGCCCTCTCGACCCTCTTAGATTCCACCCTCGTGGGTGTTCTCCGCGAGCCTCACCCGAAGGACGATAAGGAAACTCAGAAGCACTTGGCTGCTTTCACCCAGTCGCAGTACAAATCGTCTCTAGCCAGCACAGATACGGGACCCTTCTGTCTGCAATCAGAGGTACGTTCTGTCTTGCGCTTTTGCAATTCTTGCATCTAATCAAGAAACAGATTGTTGATTTTGTAATCCGCACGTTGTTTAATCGAGTATGCTTCTCACATCATACACCTCGACACATTCTTGCTCATGGGTATCAACGTACTACGACCCATAATCTCGACTCCACTGAGCTAGGCGCTCTGGCCAGCAGTATCCCGGGTATAGTGGCTCGGTATCCCAACCCAAATGTTTTGGCATTGAAGCGTGCGCCATGGACGGAAGTTCTGGACCTTATGGGACAGAACGGGGAGGAGATTATGCTGAGATTGCTGCTGGACTGTGGCATTTTCAGTTGTATGGACAATGAGAAAGGGGCATTCTACCAGCTCAGCGGTAAGTCTGTGGCTGCCATCGAAGGACTCTTGGCTTATAACATCATTAGGAATCCCTCTGTCCGAGCTGGAACTGGATCCAAAACAGACAGAAGGACAGCGTCTTAGCTCTGACAAGAACCCTAGCCAAGCTCGAGGCGCTCCTGTCCTTCATAAGCCGAACAGCATTATATTCTGTCGTCGACGTATGCTATACGCACGCGTCGCCCTAAATGCGCAGGCTCATGTTCGTTTTGGTCTTAAGCATACTCGTACGTGCGCGCTTTTCGTCCGATAACTTGTGGATTTTCATCTGTTAGCTGACCCTTTGCCAGATGTACTGAACCGGTTCCCGTTGGCAGACTGCTTGAGCCACACGGTGCACGTGATGAAATACATCTTCCCAAGGCAATTTGGTTTACATAATGTCTTCACCTCATCTGTAGATTCGCGGGAGACTGCGTTTCCATACAAAGACTATACTTTTCGAGAGGAAGAGATCGGTTGGATAGAAGGGCGGAAATCACATCGCGTACACCCATCACCGGCTGATGAGGAGGAGGCTAAGTCTGTCCAAGATGAACGGCGTCCCAAGATCCCAAAAAGGCTCCGCGGGAAGGCAGTGGAATTGGTCCAGAAGCTACAAAAGGGGAACCAGCGCTGCCCATACACCAAGCTTCTTGACTACTATTGCCCTATAGAGGTAGGACCCATATATCACTTCCTCTGATAAAGGGCTAACCGGATTGCAGCAAAGCCATCCGCCGTGCTTTTCTCCCAACCCCAGTCATGATCCTAGCTCTCAGAAGTCAGAACAGCTGGTTACTCAGCTAAACTGCCCTAGCCCTTCCTTAGGATCCAATAACCTGCAGTCTGGGCCTCCGCTCGAGTCACTGTCACAATTGGACACAAATATGGACCAGAAGAAACAGAAGCTCTGTTTGACTGACTATGCCACCCCAGCTTCCTCTGTATCCGCATTCTGCCGGGCCGTCTTACAGAAGCTGGTTCCCAATGGGTTTTATGGCGTCGGTCAAGAGGGCCAGTGGAACCGGCAGATCATCCTAAAGAATGTGGATAGATTCATACGCCTGCGTAGATTCGAGAGCATTAGTCTCCATCAAGTGTGTATGGGTTTGAAGGTCGGGTTCATAGTCATCTCTTGCATACGGACGAAGCTGACTGACTCAATCTAGGTCTCAAGCATACCTTGGATGGAAGTTCGAAATCAGCAAGGAGACCATCGCCCCACGCAACAGAAGCTCTGCCTAACGGATCTGCAAAAGCGTACTGAACTTCTTCACGAGCTCGTATACTATATATTCGACTCACTACTGGTCCCTATAGTCAGAAGTCATTTCTATGTGACGGAGTCACAGATGCATCGTAATCGACTATTCTACTTCCGCCATGATACATGGCGTATGCTCTCAGCAGATCCCCTAGCGCATTTAAAATCGTCGATGCTGGAGGAGATGAAACGAGATAAAGCAGAACGGATCCTGACAAGAAGGTCATTGGGATATAGCACCTTAAGACTCCTTCCAAAGGGTTCAGGGGCCCGTCCTATTGTCAACCTCCGAAGGAGAACGGTAAAGGTGCAAACGGGAAGGAAAATGCTGCTGGCACCAAGCATAAATTCTATCCTGGCTCCTTTATCTAGCGTACTCAACTACGAAAAGGCGGCGCATCCGGGAATATTTGGGGCGGGCATGAATTCCGTGTCCGACCTTCTTCCGAGACTGCAGGCTTTCAAGGACAATTTTCATCGTGAGAGCTCAGGTGAAGGATCAATATCCAGAGACAAGCGTCTGTACTTTGTCAAGCTGGATGTCCAGTCTTGCTTCGATACCATTCCACAGAGCAGGTTGATTGCATTGATGGAAGAACTGGTCGCTAATGAAGCGTACTGCGTAACGAAACAGGTCCAAATCAAACCAGCAATAGATCTTCAACAAGGCAAACCTGTCAAAAAGTTTGGTGCAAGAGCCGCTCCGGTGAACGATCCTACCGGCGCACCAGCGACTAGGGCCATCAGAAGCAACGCGGTCCTTGTCGATACAGGTAGGCTATGGGAGCACAGCAAGGAAGATCTGCTTGATTTGCTCGAAGAGCATATACGATGCAATATAATCAAGATTGGAAAGAAATATTTCAGACAGAAGAACGGGATACCGCAGGGCTCAGTTCTATCGAGTAATCTCTGCAATTTCTTCTACGGGAGACTGGAGCAAGAGGTGCTGGGGTTCCTTTCGGGTCCGGAGGCCGTGCTCTTTCGGCTGATTGATGATTTCCTACTCATCACATGGGATTCTAAGCTTGCAACGCGATTTCTGGAACTCATGGTCAGGGGACAACCGGACTATGGCGTTACTGTGAACCCAGAGAAGAGTCTCGTCAACTTTGAGGCTTCTATAGATGGAGTCCTGATCCCACGTCTTATTGGGTCTCGGCTTGCGTACTGCGGAATGCTCATTGACACTCACACTCTAGAAATCCAAAGGGATCGGGATCGTCTGCTTACCACCGGAGATCCCGCTTCCAGTGCGATAGCAGATTCGCTTACAGTTGAAGTAAGCCAAGCGCCTGGCTACTCGTTCAACAAGAAGATCTTGGGGGCCTTCCCCTCTGTGTTTCGGGCCATGTTCATAAATACGATGCACAACTCATTTCCCGTCGTGCTTTCTAATCTATATGCTACTTTTGCCGATTGGGCTATGAGGATGTATCAGTATCTGAAGAGTCTCAGCAAACGTACACGGCCCTCCTCGACCGTGATTATCAGGACTATCCGGGACGTGATCACCTTGGCTACGAAACTGAGCCAGTCGAGACAAGGCACCAAACGCGAGACCGTCTGCAATATCAAGCGAGCGCAGGCTGAGTACCTCGCCGCTGCTGCCTTTCGTTTCGTGCTGGGACGCAAGCAAACGCAGTTCTCGGAAGTCTTACACTGGCTGGAACTTGTTGGGAAATCAGCTCGTCCGACGACTGATCGGGAGGCGGTTCTGCTAAGAAAAGCAGTGAAGAATGGAGAGAGAATCTTTGAAGGCTGGAGATTCTAGTCTAGCGAACATGTTTGGCAGAGGAAGTACTCGACAGAGGTTATGTATTCACCTACGATACCCTTGTTTTTCTCAGTGTCTGTCGCTCTGTGTAATAGTTTAAAATACTGCGATCGGCGCATAATGCATATTTCCCAGCGACATTGTAGACGCCTCTGTCCTACTACTAGGAGCTACTTCTTAACACAGCGCACCTCAATGCCTCCCTCCAATGACACATGCATCTTAGAATTACTAGTCTTGCCATTAGTTGGAGGACTTCCACTCTTAGTTATTCCTTGGACGACCGACAATGACTGTTCAAGGACGACTTTAAGTTGAGGTATCTAACTCGCGACAATACAAGAGTGATGTTCAGAAATAAATATCCCATCACAGCAGAAGTCGCAAATTCGTCTGGATATCTGAACTTGCGATTATCAGGAAACGAATCTAGTACCCTGCAACAGATAATAATAGATATGGAGCAAGAAGAAGAAAGAAGAAGAAGAAAAAACCGGGCATTGTAAACAATATTCGATTTACACTGACGTCTCTGCACCACCATTCTTATCTAGTGTAAAAATTGAGTTTTTTTCCCAAATGTGGGCTTTTTCAAGTTAACTTGCAAAAACAACTTTCCGTATCTGAGGGTCCGTCGGTAACCTCAACTCCGGTTTATATAGAACACGTACCTATCTATCTACCTATCTTTCAGTCTTACCCATGGGACTCGATTTTGGCTACTAGATAACATCCCATATCATCATCAATCTTAATCTCCAATCCTTACTACCCAGACACACAATTAAAGAGCCAAGAAACAAACAAAGAAAGAAAAATGCTCTCCTTCATCCGCCGCCTCCTCCCCAAACCGATCGCCAACTCAGGCTCCGAACTGCGCGACCACCTAGCCAATGAGCGAACTTTCCTATCCTGGACTCGAATGGGACTCGCGTTTGCAGCGATGGCGCTGGCCCTGGGTCGATTAAGTCTTATTGATCGAATGGTCAATGAGCGGTGGGGGGGTAAGGGTGGTGGTGGTACTATTATAAAAGACAATAATAGTACTAATCCATCAGATCATAATGGGACACTCTTATCTTCGACCAGCGACCGCAACAAGGCAAAAGCAAAAGCAGCAGCAGGGATTCCGATCTCAGACTCCCCTGGAACCGGAGCAGACCTTGTTGCCAGTCGCGTCTGTCAGGGGATCAGTATTTGGTGCTTCGGGTATGGGTTATATCGGTACGTGGCTGTGCAGAATCACTTGATGCGCGGAGTGTTTGTTCCCGGGATCTGGGGGCCGATTCTGATAACGGGTGGTTCGTTGGGGGTTTTTGCGACGGTGATGCATTTCGATTGGAGACGGAGTGTGTCCGACTCGGGGCCGTTGGCGGTTTCGTCGATTGGGATTGGGAAGGGGGAGAAGAGGGAGTGAGGAGGAATGTGGGCTATCTAGGGAGGAGATTGTGTTGATTTGATTTTTCAAGAGAGAGGGTGATTGAGAGGGAAGTAGTAACGGAATAGATCTGATGTGAATTGAGGCTTTGAGGGGATGTTTTGATGGTTCAGTTAGTTAGATGTTATGCTAGGTTTCTACAGTATCATTGTATATCTATTTGACATTATCTGTTGGCCAGGTTTGTGCATATTGGAATCAGAAGCGGTCTATTACAGATCAAGTATATCGTTTTAGATAGATCCATGCATTGATTTCATCCTAATAATATGAAGTGAACTCATACCTAGGCGTTAGTAGTGTCGCTCAAGCTGACCAGCAAGACCTGAACCCTGCAACAAGATATCCCTAACAAAACTCGCATCAATGCCTACAGCATAGATGCCAGGCTGCGGCGAAGATTCCCGGATCTATTCATAGGCTAACCCCCGCGTTCTTGGCGGTACCGAATAATTGATGATCTGATCAGATTTGCAACGTGTGCGGACGCGTCAGTGGAGACCCGGATAGAGCGGGTTGTATTGTTGTATGAACGATTGAATCGTGCGGGTTGCTCACACGTCATGCGTGGTTTGATCCGTGGATGTCCACGGATAAACAGCAGGGAATCAGCCTGTGGGAGCACGGCCCGCGATCCCCATCTGTCGAGATCTGGTATGCGCATGTCAACGGAGGGCAAGACATCGCGATCTGTGCTCGACAGGCCCTTCTCATGGGCCCGATGAGGGGGAGCTGAGGGCTTAAGTATGCTGTCCCGATCGAAGTGGCCAGCAGCGTCCGAGTATGTTCTGTATTACATACTAAAGAAAGGTTGACAGCGATCGTTATTTGGCCCATTCTGCCATGCCGGGTTTCACCGCCTCTTAATCGGTATTCTCCCTTCATACCAAGGCTGGATCAATCGTCGAGGTATGGGATGATGTCCGTCCTGCATGCTTTGTGCGCAGCGAGTTGAGCGGCAAGTCCTGTGTGCTGATTCCTGAGACATGCAACCGGTCTTTGCGTGCGGAGAAGACATGCCACAGGGAAATCCTCTCGAGCTATGTATGGTATGGCAATAGTTCCCGATGGATTGACTCGGTGGAACCCTGCGATGGCAGATGCAGCCATGTACTGTACCATAAGGCCTTGTGTATGACGACAAAGTCGCCACGAGCTCGTCGATGCAATTACCATCTATCAGCGTTTGCAGAAATCCTATCCTCTATTGGTATTAAATATTGTGTCCGACTGGTCATCTTTCCGTGTGCAGCTGGAGGGACTGACTAGTTACATACTGCTAACAACTGCTATTATTATTATTTGTTGCCTCGTGGCCGAGAAAAGACCCGCTGTTTCCGGCATTGACTTTTTGCACATTTTGGGCGACGAAGAGGGGGGGCCGCCCTAGCCACAGGAGCACAGCCGAAGAGTGGGGATTGTCGCCAATCATATGCCGTCCCTTGAGGGATCAGCCACAGCAGGCACACAAGGAGAAGGAGCGAGCCACGGTTGCAGAAGATCACGGGGTTGGGTCAGGGGCAGCGGGAGAGAAGAAGAAGAAGAAGTGTTTATTATTATTATTGTTGTTGTTGTTGATGGGACAGACCATGTCTGTTAGTTATCGTTGAATGATGATTATTATGTATTATTATTTTATTTTACTCTAGGGCAGGAGACCCAGAGGGACATCCTAATCTGCCAGCATCTCATCTCGCCTGCCAGGCTAGACTAGCCACCCCTTGACAGCGTCTAAGCCGAAAGCACCCTAGCCAGCGTCTCGCAAGTTTCCAAACTGGCAAACGATCAGATCGTCGCCCGTGGCTGCCAGGCTAGAAGCAATAATAATAATAATATTAGGCCATCCCTGATCTGGCAGCCTCAGGCAGTGACAGCCCATCCCGTCCACCATCCCGGATTCCAGACCGTATCATCCCCTCTCCACTCGTCACTCCAGTCCAGTCCAGTCCAGTCTCATCTTTCTCCAACTGCTTCTCTTCTTCTTCTTCTTCTTCTATCTATCTACTTCTGCTTCTGCTTCTTTCTTCCCTGGCCCGTCTTCCATCGTTTACTCTCTCGTCCCCATGTCCGTCATTGGGCCCTTCCACCATCGTGGTTAACTTCAACCCAACACCCCAGACTCTCGTTTTTTCTGAGCAATCCCCCTCGTCGTGCTTACTCTCTTGCTGCGGTCTGAGCTACTGCGAGCAGTAGCCGCCTTCACCAACAACGTCAAAAAAAGTCAGCAGTCGACTGATTCCCCTGCCATTCGTTTACAGCAGCAAGCAAGCACGGCATCAACCGCGCATTTCCGGGACATTCGTCGTTGAGCCAGGTCCGCTCGATCGAACCTCCCAAGAAATATCGTTTGGTCGCTCTCGCCCTGTCGCGGTCGCTAATTCCCCGATCCCCTCGTTATCTAAACCGGCGTGATATTCGGTGCCAGCCCTGGTGGACATGGCGGTCGTCTGCACGCCCAACTCTCCCCCCGAGTTGTCTGGGTCCAAATCCTCCAAATCCTCCTCCTTCCAATCATCCTCCCAATTCTCTGGCCCGGATGGCCTGTTCACGGACATTTCCAACTTTGAAGACATCGGTCTCGAGGACGACGCGGACGTGCCCTTCATGGACCCCTATACCACCGCCCTGCCGCGATCCGCAACGCGCACGATGCCCGCCGCCAATCGCGCCAAGAGCACATCTATGCTCTCCTGCAGTCGAGAATTGACTTCGGGGCCGAAGACGAAGATCGATTATCCTCCGCTGCAGGGTCAGGTCAACGGGGCAATCGCCCAGAAGAACCTGGAATCCCTCAACGCGTCACGCAAGAGTGGCCGCAGGGATTTGACCAGTCCCTCCGTCCCTTCGCTCCCGATCCGATCCTCAGGACGTCGACGGTCACGCTCTCCGTCTCCCAGCAATCCGGCATCGGTATTGTCTCCATCCCCGAGTAGCAGTACGCTCGCCCTTTCTCCCCTCTCTGCCCGGAACGGAGGGCGTCGAGGGTCATGGCAGCCAACTCGCAAGTCCGTCAAAGAGTTGGAAGAGGAGTACCATGATTCTGATGAGGATCTGCCCGACGACGCCAGCTTGTGGAACGTCCCCATCTCTCCTCGTCCCTATGAGGAGCGAGTCGCATCGCGAAGTGCAAGCCCGGACGCCAGGGGCGGCGCGATCCCGAGGCCTCTGCCGCTGTCTCATGCGGTCCCAGAAGCCCCCGTCTCCCCGAGAACTTCTCCTCGAACGTCCCCTTCGCTGCCTCGTTCCAGATCAAGGGTCTCGAGGTCAACTTCTGCCGGACCGAAAAGTGGCCAGATCTCGCCCCGCAATCCACGTACTAATTCCTATCATATCGTAATGTCGGAATTATCGGAGGAAGCGAGGATTTTAACGGAAGCCCTCGAGTATCATGCCGATGATTCCAAGAGACCTTTGGATGGCATCCGGAGCGGCAGGTCCTCGCGCAGGACCAGCATAGACTCGAAACGAGGGTCGAATGGCATCGTCGAGCTGCCGCCGCTCCAAAAGTCGAACGTCATGATCGACCCCCTGCCCATCAGCAAGGAGAAAGAGAAGGTTCTGAGCCGGACACGGCCCAGTTGGCTTCCCCCGAAGGATCAGAAGGAGGAAAAGAAGCATTTGAGGGAGTACAAGAGGATGATGGCCCAGTCCCGAGAAGCTGGTAAGTCTCGACCATCCTCTCGTCTGACTTATTGCTAACCAATTTATTCTAGACAAGCGACGGGCCGCTAAAACCGCGTCGGCACAGTGCGAGAAAGACAATACGCGACAGACGCTCCAGCGAATCTGGGACGACTACGTCTGTCCAGATTGGGACCGCGTGGTGTCAGAGCATCGTACGCGCGAGTTATGGTGGCGCGGGGTCACGCCTCGTTCGCGAGGTGCGGTGTGGCAGCGAGCCATTGGCAATGAACTCGCTCTGACCGAGGAGACCTACAAGAAGGCGCTGATGAGGGCCAAGGAAGTGCGGTCCAAGTCGAATGACGACGCGGGAGAAAGCAATCGGAGGATGCGGGAATGGTTTTCTGCTATCAGAAACGATGTCTCCCACGCCTTTCCCGACTTGAACCTCTTCCAGGAAGGGGGTCCGTTACGCGAGACCTTGATTGATGTCTTGGAAGCGTATTCTATGTACCGAAGTGATGTGGGATACATCTACGGTCTTCATGTAAGTTTGCGCCTGGCGGCCGTGGCCGGGACCGTACTGATAAGCTTTTATAGTCCATTGCTGCCTTACTCGTCCTCCAGATGCCCACTCCAGCGACAGCGTTCTTAGTCATGGCCAATGCGCTGAATCGACCGCTGCCGCTCGCATTTTTAACTTCGGATCCAGGTGCCAAGGGCCGAACCTATTCCCTCGCCTCCGCAGCCCTTCGCTACAAGTTCCCGCGTCTATCTACTCATCTTTGCGAAAATATGAACCTGTCCGACGAGGACATCTGGGAGCCTATGTTCCGCTCTCTTTTCACCAATGGCCTGGACCTCGAGCGTGTGAGCCGTGTCTGGGATTGCTGGGTGTTTGAAGGCGATCGCGTTATGATCCGCGCTGCAGTTGCAATCCTTGGTTGCCTGCAGGTGCAGTTGTTCGGCTTCGGGCCTGACGAAGCCGGCCATGCGGCCGTCAGAGACATTCTTGGATGGGGTCCCCATGATCTCGGTACCAAAACCCAAGGCGCTCAGAACTCTCCTGTCCCCACCGGGTTTGGTGGTGGACATATCCCCAATGCGGGCGTTGGTAAATACTGGCTTTTGGACTCGGCTGGTGATGAGGACGGTTTCATGATTCAGGTCAGGGAAGCTGGGAAGACACAGCAATGAAATTCCTGATTCGTTCCCCGCAATGATCTTGCACTTTCGCGCCTGCGATACATTGACTATCTAGGCGGATGGACACATCCGCTGCTCGTTACAAGCGTCCCATTCATCATCACTACTGTTTCTTGTATATATCGGCTGTTCCGGCAGACCACATTGACGAAGATTCGAACTGACGGATTGGATGATTCAAATTGCCTACCGCTGACATTCTCTACCAGTTTCATAAGTGTACTACTAGCTGCACCGCTTTCCTTGCTTTTCTGCCTTCTACTTGTCTCTCACTCGTCCTTCTTTTTTTCTTTCATCGGGGCGCCAAATTTTTTGGCATTGGCTAGCGTCTTCCCATTGTCAGGGTATCTTTTATCTTTCTTTGTAATGACACAAAACAGCCATCACGATGGCTCAGTCCGTCTCTCCTACCGTTTGATTTGATTTCTACTGCCTATAGTTTTGGGACCTTGGTCTTTGAATTTGGAAATCCCCGGCTGCAATGCTGAGAAGGAATTGATGTCTCTGCAGAACGCTTGGTCTAGGCCCATACCATACCCCTTTACTAATTATTAACAATGCAACGATTATCATCTATTTTGGAATTCCTAGTCGTCAAGCAGCGCTCTTCTATGGCGAAAAAGAAAAAAAAAGTCTGATTCCTGCAGGAGTTCAGTTTATCCCCCGATTATGACAACAGCAGTTCATTCCCAGCAAGCTCGTCACACGTTGCACATTATCAAGGTATGTCATATCGCGATTGTGCGTCTAGCGGCGAATTTTTATTTTCTTTTTGCATAAAACCAGTTCTTTTTCTGAATTTCCCTGCAGTCTTACCAGGCGATCCGGGCGATTGGCCCTTTAGGAAACAGTCGAACAACGGCCTTCCGGACTTCGTCCATTAGAAGAATGCCAAAGGACAGTCCGATAGGTATGAACCAGAACTCAAGCGGCACGCTAGCTGTATTGAAGAGAGATTGGAGCCCGGGAACCTCAGTAACAAAAATGGCAATGATGAGTGAAATCAGCATCGCTAACGGGAGCCAGGGATTGCGTCGCTCCTTTCGAATAGGATCGGCCTGCAAGATAGACATTCGCTTGTTGCGGACGGACAATATGTTGCCCCATTGCATGATGACCAGAGTGACGAAATACACGCACTGTCCAACGTTGTTGAAGTGCGTGAGTTCATCCTCCGTATAGCCATAGAAGCCGTCCGAGTACTTTTCGAATGCGAAAACGAGAGCATGAAAGGGAATACCTGCGTGCTTATACATGTAGAAGAAAAACATGCTGTGCGCGCATAGTGTCTCCAACACTCCGATAAACAGGTAGGATTGTCCATATATCTTGAGATTGATAAGATGATCCTTTTTGTGATTTCTCGGAGGTCCATCCAGAAGATCAAACTCCTCTTTCTCCATGATGAGGGATAGAGAGAGGAAGAGATCAGTGAAGACACAGATAATGATCATGAGGAAGGAGCTCAGGGGTAGGGGAACCCCAAACCAGACATTCATGATCACTGGCCAGATCTCAGACCAGCTGCCAGCGGGGAGGAGATATGTGATCACTTTCTGGAGATTCTGAAACACGAGTCGACCCAGTCTTATCGCTTCGACTATAGAGTCGAATTTGTCCATCAACACCAAGTCTGCTGCCTCGATTGCCACGTCGCTTCCAGAGACCACCGCTATGCCAACGTCCGCGGCGCGCAGTGCTGGTGCGTCATTGACGCCGTCACCTGTGACGGCGACGACATTATCGCGATCTCTGAACTCGTTGACTATGCGGAGCTTCTGTTCCGGCGTCGTACGCCCGAATACTATTTCCCTATATTGACAGATCGCGTCCCAATCTTCTTTCGTCAATGATGAGATCTGGGATCCGTCGATGAGAAGGCTCTGCCTCGAGCATATGTTCTCGTCCTCATCGACTTTAAGATCGATGAGATCAGCCACCGTGTCTGGTTCTGCCGTGCCCGTGAAGATGCCAACGTCGCGAGCAATCGCTGCCGCGGTCAAGCCAAAATCTCCGGTGACCATGAAAAACCGGATGCCGGCCCTGCGGCAAGACGCAACGGTACGAGCCGTTTCCAAGCGGGGAGGGTCGACTATGCCGAACAGCCCAACGATTGTAAGGTTCTGAACACCCTTAGCCTGGATCTCATCCGCAAAGTCGTTGGACCCAAGAGTCGCCCGGGGGCTATAGTATCTCTGGCAGAGAACAATAACTCTTTCGGCTTTCTTTGACATCTCCTCTTGGAAGGCAGAAAACATCTGCTTCGCGGAATCATCCAGCTGCTTCACCTCGTTGTCAACGCCTGACCAGTATGACGTGCATTTCGGAAGAAGCACATCAGGGGCCCCCTTGACGTATACAAGATACGTCTCATTGGACTCGTTCAGTTCAGGGCCTTGGGGCTTCGCTGTGGTCTTGTGCAACGTAAGCATCCACTTGTTCTTGGAATTGAAAGGGATCTGATAAACTCTTTCGTATTCGTTAGGTCTCGTGGAGCTCCCGGAGCTGACGGCTTCTGCGAAGCGCAAGACGGCTTCATCCGTAGCGTTGCCGTTGACTTCTCGCTCATCAAGCGGCAAATGTGCCGTCTCGGGATCGAAGAAGGCATCATTGCAGAGGACCGATCCCTGAAGCAGCGTCTGAACGGGCAAGGGTACTTGACCCTTCTGGAGCTCCTCGGTGAATTCATCGAGATTGTATCGCTTATCGACAAACCCGACCGACCTGACGAGCATCTTGTTCTGCGTCAGTGTTCCAGTCTTGTCCGAACAGATCACATTGACACAGCCGAGGGTCTCAACTGTCGCAAGACCCTTCGGCAGAATATTCACGCTCTTCATCCTCTTCGCAACCATCATGAGCGTGAGCGCAACTCCAACTGGCATGCCTTCCGGGATGAAGGCTACGACGCATCCCATCACATCATCTAGCATAGCGGTAACGTCCATAAACCCCTTATGATCAACACGCAGCCATCCAGCCCAGCTGAACAAAATTGCGCAGGCCAAGATCACAGTTAGACAGATGATGATTATCACGAAGCGGGTGATCTCCTTTTGGATGAGAGTCGGTTTCTCTTTGACGCCTGCTGTCAGGCTGGCTATGCGACCCATGACAGATCGAGAGCCTGTGAGGACGACTAAACCGACCGCATTGCCGTTGGTTACGCCCGTTCCCATCAAGGCGATGTTTCTTGTTTCGAGGAAATTCTTGTCCGTAACATCGGTGGCCCCCTCGATCTCGTCCGATTCTCCTGTCAATACGGCGCGATCAAAGCGTACGTCTCCAGAGGTTTTGAGAAGCCGCATATCGGCCGGTACCTTATTTCCAATGGAAATCTGCACGATATCGCCGGCCACAAGGTCTGCCGTCGGGATCTTGACAAGCTTCCCGTCACGTAGCACCATTGTGTCGGATGGAAGTAAGCCAAGGATCGAATTCATCACCTGTTTCGTCGACCAGTCTTGGAAAGCGGAAAAGCAAGCCTGGAGCACAATGACGATTAAGACTAAAATCGCCAATGCCAAATTCGTCGGGTCAGGAGGGTTGCTCAGCGGTCTCCAGCAGAGAAAAAAAACAATGACTCCGATCCATAGGATAGAGCAGAACCCTCCAAAGACGTAATAAAATATCTTCTTCAGATAGTTCTCTCGACGTTGAGCGATGGTGTTCTTTCCATCTCGCTGCAGTCTCGCTGCTGCTGCACTAGCGCTCAGTCCATTTTCTGGATCGACATTAAACTGTTGACAGAGACTCTCCGGGCTAATAATGTGGAAATCAAGCTGCTCGAAGTAGTCTTGGTTCACGACGTTCTTGTCTCTCTTGTCCTTTGTCTCCTTGAGCAGTTCATCGGGGACGTTCTGTGACTCGGAAATGTGAATGGAGAGCGTGCGAAACTCGATCGGAATACCCGGTGCAACAGATGATGCACCATTGTCCTTATTGCTGCGGCTGCTCCGCACGGTTTCGATGCTTTTGGAACGTGAAATCGAGCGTAGACGCTTAGAGGTGTTGTTGCGAGAACGGCGACTTTCTCGTGGATCTTCTGCGGGCGGTTCGAAGATAATACGCTGTGAACCCCGTTGTTCTGGCAGCTCATGATCGGATTCACCCCCGTGGGCGACATCGCTGCAAGCCTTTGCTTCGACGTCCACCTGAAACTCGGGCGGATCCTCTTCAGAAGCAGACTTCTGAGAAGACAAGGATGAAGGCATCACCTGATGTGATTGAAGCAAGTGCACCTTTCCTCACTACCGGAACAACGGGGGCAATATATAGAAAATAGAGAAGAAAGAGGGACACCGAGAGGGATTATTTATGTATGGACTACGCGAGCTGATTAGATAGAACCCCTCTTCCGGCTCTAGCTACCAATCTAGGGTTTATCACGTTAATCGAACCAGGACCGAATGCAGCAGATTCCCACGTGGATCTGGTAGTATCAATCTGTGCCATGTTCTCGTCCTTTTGCCGCAATACGCCATCCGCATCTATGAGGGATTTTCCATGGCCACCACAACCAGCGACAGAAAAGAACCCAGCCCTTCCCTTTCGCGTAAAAGCAGCAGTCTCGTATTATGAACCCATTGATTAAGAGCGGCAAAATAATAATAGTTACCAAGACAAAAACATGGTCAAAGAAGAGAGAGTGGATACGGGCAAATCCCTCAAAGTAACTTCTTGTCCTGTTTACTACTGTACTTTTTTTTTCTTTCCCCCCGCCTTCGAGATCGTGTGCGGGAAAAAGGATAAAAATCTTAGGTATTATTATTATTACTGCGGCTTAGTTTAACTAACTGGAATCAGGTATTGTTCTTCATGCGGGGCTGTTCATTTTACACTGAAGTGATATCGTGGGTTCGGTTGTTTTGTTCTTCATTTGTTTTTGGTTCGACAGTATAAATCCCTCGCGGTCCATATAGACTACTACCACTATATCTCGGATCCCCGCTACTCCCTTCTCATTGGTCCGTTTAATTCGCTCAAACGCTAGGCTACGGAAACGGTGAAGGCAGCTCTACTACTATCTATGCTGAATGCGCTGCTGCTGGGCTGATATGGGCTATTATTCGAAGGAAATAGGAATGGGTTTCTTTTATATATGTATTCTTTCTATGGTATATTCCAATATCTTGTGGTAGTGTCATATGGTTCGTTCTAGGATAAAGTAGCCAGCCTGGCAGAGAAGAATCAAGTCTATATTACTTTATGATTGACATCTGGCCAGTAGATAGACAGAGATCTACTTTACACTCATCTAGTTTCTACTGTGTGGAATCCGTTCCCCTCCCATAGAACAATATCTCAGAACACGAGCTGCAAGATCACGTACCGTGCATACCTACATATCTGACATCTTGCTCAGAAACAGACAAGTAAAGCCATGATTCCAGAAAGATACGAACGAACACAAGAAACTCGGCCAAACAGACCAAACCGAAAACATTGAACAATGAGGGATATATCCAACCTACGGAATAAAAGCTGACGCACTACCGGGGGATTATTCCCATCCGCAGATTCTATTTGTTGGACAAAATGCCGCTTCTTTTGGATCCAATAAATGTGTGCAGTACCTTATACCGTATCGCTGTGGTGGTGCTCGAGTTTGAGTCGTATGAGGCGTTAAAATGGCTCCTGTGTAATTATTAAGGGGTATAATAGTAACTACTCTGGTTCATGACTACGCGGTGTTACTTTACTTCTTCTTCTTCTTCTTCTATCTAATTTTATCTATAGTTCGTGAATGGATTTCCCTCGTTCATGCTTGGCTGATGCCTTTTTTTCTTATTTGACTAACATTTACAAGCCCAGCAGACGCACATCAACGTTACGCTCCAACGATCGATGTTGTACCATTGAGCTTCCGATATTTCGTCTTCTTTCTATTCCACAATTAATTTCAGCCATTGCTACTGCGGACAAACTATCCTATGTCAAGCATTCGATCCACAACCTATGCCGGTTGCTGTTTCAGACCAAGTAAGCATACACGGTGACAGGAGTGCTCGATCTGCGTCGAAATCGCCATCTCCAGAAGAAGAAAGGGATCATCCCGACGAAAACACGGTGGAAGAACGCGTCGAGGAAATTCCATCTCGTCAAGATTCAAACCATCCTCCCGCGTCGTGGCATCATGAAATCCATCACCACCATGATCATGATCATCTGATTCAAAGAGTCGATAAGCAAGGGGGGATTCTCGATGGAATTTTCAACATGATTTCGACCTGGTGGTGGCCGGGGTATTCTCAATCTGAAGAGCAGGATCCCTTGATCGTCAGACCGGAGGAAGAAGGACAGGAGGCCTCCTCTCCTTCTTCTTCTTCTTCTTCTTCATCTTCTACCCCTGCAATGTCTTTGACTCGAAAATACGGCAAGTTCAAAGAAGTCATCTACTACGGCAACACATCAACGATACGACTTCACGAGAAGAAACCCTCTTCTTCACCATCATTATCATCATCTTCTTCTTCTTCTTCTTCTTCTTCTCCCACGCGAACAGAACTATACGCCATCAAAGTATTCCACCGCACATCATCCAACCTCGCCCGATCCGAATACTGCATCGGCTCATGTCTCCACCATCCCAACATCATCCACACGCTCGACCTCCTCGTCGACGACCGCGGCACTCTCTACGAAATCATGCAATACCACCCATCATCCACGACCCTCCACCGACTAATCAGAACCAACAAAAAAGGCCTCCCCACCCACGACTCAGACTGTTTCTTCAAACAACTCCTCCTCGGCATATCCTACATGCACACCCAAGGCGTCGCTCATCGTAACATAAAACCAGACAATATCCTCATCACGCTCCATGGAGCGGTGAAGATTATCGATTTCGGAAACGCAGAATGTTTCCGCGCTCCATGGGAGGAGAGACCGCATTTAACGAAACGCGTATCCGGGACGATTCCTTATATCGCTCCGGAGGAGTATGGTGGTAGGGAATTTGATCCGAGGGCAGTCGATGTTTGGGCTGTGGGTGTTACGTATATTGCGATGCGGACGGGGAGGTTGCCGTGGTGGACGGCGTTGGAGCAGGATGATGAGTTGTATGTTGCGTATTTGAAGGCGAGGAGGGAGGTGAGTGGGTATGAGCCGATAGAGTCTTTTCGGAGGGTATGTTATGTTATGTTGTGTTTGTTTTTTCTTCTCTTCTCTTCTGCTAAGGGGCTAGAAGCCTCTTTTTTTTTTTTTTTTTTTTTTTTTTTTTTTTTTTTTTTTTTTTTTTTTTTTTGTTTCGATCTGATCTGATCTGATCTGATCTATGTATTCTCCAGGAATGCTGCCGTAACGTAATCTACGCGATGCTGGATCCGAATTGGGAACGACGAATTACTGCATCTCAAATCCTGAGATCTGAATGGGTGACTGCTATTGAAGTCTGCGATGCTGGTCATAGGGGAATATAAGATACATATCCTGAGAAGAGGGGGGAAAACGTATAGACGGAAGGAAAATATGGAGACGGTGATATATGTCATGTCATGCTCTTTCTCTCCTGACGATGTTGATAGTGACTGATGGTATCGTTATGTACAGTATGTACTGTACATTACTTGCTCGTGAAAAGGATGGTAGTATAGTAATATGGAATTGTCATTGCATCTATTGGGAATGATTTCCCATACGGAGCCACGACACGCGTGCTTACAGTAGTGGATGTGGTAAATTGGTAGGTTTTCTCCCCGGGCTCTAGAGTTGATGCGTGCTACCCCGCATATCAGGACCAATACCTAGCTACTCTTAAAATCTTTCAAGCTTCTCGAGAAGAACAAGTCCTTCCATTATAAGAATAACTAAGCGACAAGGAAATGGGAAGTCTATAAGATACCTAGTAGAAGACAAGACAAGAATCAGAGATCAAACAACCGACGGACAACCCCAAGATAAAACAAAATGATAGAATATGATACATATGAGAATTCTATTGAATGAGAGTACGTAAGTATATAAGAGGCCCATATGTACTGCATGAGCCTGCTTCCTTTCAAAGGACAGTCATCGAACAACCACCATGATGACACCATGCTGTTTTGTCTACACATCCTCTGTGGGTATCATGGATCCGCGAAACTTAAGTCGACCAGTTCTGTACATTCCATCCATTTGCAATCTGCACTCTCAAAGTCGTGATTGCTCTTTCTCTGGAGCTCTGGATAGCCGCCCGATGATAAGGGAGCCTCGTCGGAAAATGGTAGATTATAATCCCTGGAACGCCGGACCACAATGCAAAGATCAAATCAACTATGTGACTCCCGACTCTTGAAACGGAAAACCCGCCAACTATGCAACAGACGAAACGACGTCAAACGAGGCATGGACTCTCGGTCCCACTTCTTCAGGCGAAGCGAGCGCTCAGATTCGCAAAGGCATCAGGGCTATGTCGGCCGTTCTGAAGCCCGTTAATATCAACACTTTCTTGGCTGATGTGCGTTCGTGCAAATGGACTATTAGACTGCTGAACTTTCTGTCCCATCCCGATCCCAAGACCAGATGGAGCTGCAGCGGGATTGACTGCAGGATTCGTCTGTCCGCCAAAGGGCGACGACGTGAAGAAAGGATTCCGTGCTCCTGCGGATGAGGAATCGAGTGAAACGGGCATTGTCACGCTGCGCTGCTGCGGCGTCGTCAAACTGAAAGAGGATTGTGTCTGGGGCGTGGAACCCATTGAGTTCGTCAGCAGGGAGGGGGCAGGGCTTAGGCCAGGTGTCGACTGAAGGTGTGCTGGTTGCTGTGGCATCTGCTGTTGCTGCTGCGGCTGCGCGTTCATCGTAGGGGCTGTCTGAGGGTTGCTGTAAAGAGAAAGTATACTACTCTTGTCGACACGGCCAGTTCGCTGTGGTGTGAGATACTGCGACTGCGGCTGGAAGCCCTGTTGCTGCTGGAAGTTTTGTTGCTGCTGCATCTGTGGCATTTGCTGTTGGGAGTAGGGGTACCCCGGGTTCGCCGTTGCAGGGATGGAGTCGAAGGGATTATGCGAAGACGAGAACGGGCTTTGCTGTTGCTGTTGCTGCGGCTGCTGTGATTGAGGCTGCTGCTGCAAAGGACCAAAAGGTGATGAGGATGAGAACGGGCTTTGCTGCTGCTGTTGCTGCTGCTGGGATTGCTGCGGCTGCGGCTGCTGTTGCAAAGGGCCGAAAGGCGATGAAGATGCGAAAGGCGACACCGTGCCAGTATACTGTGGCTGACTCGATTGCGGTCGAGTCTCAAAAGGAGAGGCACCCAGAGATGGTTGAGAATTCAACTGGGCCGAAGCCGAAGTGTGTTGTGGCAATATTTGACCGAAAAAAGGATTGCTTTGAGGCACGTTCTGTACTTGGCTGGCATACGGGTTTGACATAGGGCCCTGCTGCTGAGGAGCCGGCTGAAGGAAAGGGTTGTAAGTGCCATTCAACGACTGGGTCGAAGCCGCAAATTGCGATTGAGACGATGGCATAGTCACCGGTGGAGTCATAGGTTGCTGAAAGAACGTCTGGGCCTGATTTTGCTGCGTTGGATATCCGCCAGTCGAATGGGGGAACAGGGGCTGCGACACCTGTAGATGCTGGAAAGAATTCTCCAGTGCAGACGTTGGCTGCGGGTCTGGGACATCGAATGGATTATACGGCTTAGTAGCGGTCGACAGTCCACTACTTGTTTGAGGTTTGGAATCAAGCTGGTCGAATGGATTCGTAGAGACCGCGGCCTTGGGGCTCGAGAGCGACTCGCCAAAATGAGCGGTGGTGGGCGTGCCTCTTTGAACGGGTGTTCGAGTGCCAGAAGTAGGATTACTATTTTCTCCTAGTCTCGTGAGGGATTCGATCGTCTTCTCGAGATTGCCGCTCAGACCCTTCAAGATCGTTGCATTTCTCCTGTCATCCGGAAAGCCCATTTCTTTCAAGATGTTCAGCTTCTGTTCGAATGACGCGCCCAAGTCACCGACAGTCGCTCCAAAAACCCGGGACTGTTTGTTTATCTGTACTGGAGGAGAGCGAGAACCATACGTGTCGGATCGGGGAGAGGTTGGGTTCGATGACCTCCCCGAGGATCGAGGCAGGTGCGACGCTGATGACACAGAGCGAAGTCCGAAACCGAATATTTTACCAGTCTTAGGAGGCAATGGAGGAGGTGAGCCCTCGGGAGACCTCGTGTAGCCGGAATCATGCCTGCTTGGGGGCTTCGGTTTCCCGTTTTCCAACGATCTCTGTTCGTATTTCCGCCGTATAAACCGTTCCATCGCAGAGTCGGACTCATCAATGTCGACCGGCATTGGCGGCTTCACGTTTCTGGGGTTGTAGATCTTGTTGGAAATGGTGTTGCCATGCGCTTTCATATTCTGCTCCAATATTAGGGGCTGCTCACACGAGTGCGGATTCGACAACTCACATCAACCTGCTCTGCCGTCCAGGAGTCCATGGTCAACGATTTGACCTTGGATATGTGAGTTCCCAGCTTCCGGTGCAGGGCTGCACAACGCATACAGAGAAATATTCCCAACTATTCGCCATTTTGGTAAGTATTCGATTCGTCACCGCTGCGACTCGGAGAGATGGAAAGGAAAGGAGAAATGCAGCCTGCTTACATTCCAACTGGCCCATCCTAATTGAGAAAATAGACATTAGCATGGATACCTCGCTTTTCCTTTGTGGTGTCAGGTCACAACTCACCTGGATTATATGCCGAACAGTCGGCACACCGGTCATTTCCTGGAATTGATCTGATGAGATCCTGCAGGGCTCTTTCATTGCGCGCCTGCTGGCGCTTGCTCAGACCTGCCACCATGGCTGCACCGGGACCAGGTTTATATGGTAAGACGTCTATTGTAGAGAGTCACAAACAGACCGGGGAGTCTGGACTTGTTGTTTCCTGAGAAATGTTTTTGGGCCGGCGTTCCGGTTTCGGTGGCGATGTCAATCACTCCCAAACCGGATCATTGGAACACCACGCAGATAAAGGTTCCCAAGGCCAACAGTCCGAACAGTCCCTGTCTCCCTCTGCGATGGAAGTCGAGGAAAATAATATAATAATGGACCGACTTGGTGGTGTTTCGGAGACGGTAGCTCCAAGGTCGGGGCCTCTCTCCACTGGGTCACAGCCGAACCTTCCACCTTGGCGTTCCTGGAGAGACCAACAGTGCGACCTCCTCAAGTTACGATACCATAGACACACTACGGGCGGGGGTCTTTGACGTCGTCCCGTCGATTCATTTGACTGGTGGAGCATCACTTACGAGGGAGATCAGGGACGATTCCCCAAAGCAGCTTGGAAAAGGGGCAAACCCTGTCTGGCGGAAGCTGGCTTGATAGACCGTTGCTTAATGGCGTCCGCGTCCAAAATGCGGGATTGCACCAAAAATAGTTCGGTAAGAGACAACCGGTGTTGTCGTGTTGTCTACTACTATTTCAAAAGATGGCCATGAACTGATTCATATCGATTTAGATCAATAAGAAATCGGTCCTACCATATTGCTATCCAATTCCTGTGGCTGCTGCTAAGTGCAAGCCGTTCTACATAGCTCCTCGGACATATCGTGGGTGCCCAAACCCAAATGATTCCAAGACTAGCAAGCTGCCAATGATAAGGATACTCTAACGAGAAAGCCACGAGGGCCGGGACCCACGCCCAGCTTCGTGATTCTGACACATCAAACGAAGAACACCGTCCAGGCTTCCAGAGGCCTTGCTAGCGAGAGGGAGAAGAGTTCGCTGGAAGACAGACTCATCATTGCAGCAAGGACGCGCCCGGCCTCCCAGCAAGACCCTTGCTGGATCTCAGCTTATTATCACCTTTCATATCCTTCCTCCTAGCAGGTTTAGTAGGCGTATCCACGACAGCACTCCCTAGGTCAAGTCAACGCTGGATGGCGGCGAGACATAGACTTAAGCATTACGGTAACTACCGGGGGTGTCCTCATCGAAGTCATACACGGTAGGTCCAAATAATGATGTCCGAACAGCAGGTGACTCGCACCCGTCATGGCACTCGGATTCTTTCGAAGAAAAAATCCAGCACGGCGAGGGAGCCATTAAATGTCCGGAGTTCTTCTAGTACGCCAATATGACCTGCCATCCTGTAGGTGTGATCGTGCCAGAAGAGGCACGGCAGGAGCTGGAGGTTGATTATGCGTTCATTTTCATTTTTCATGAAGTGTGTGGAAAGGAAAAAGGAGAAACAGACGGATTTAACGCTGCTAGAAATCTGCCGCCCGTTGGTGTCGTCACGTGACTCGGTGGCCGGATTTACCCTGTCCGTCCACAACGCGCCAAAGTCGAAAATATCTTCTCTTGGCTGACTCTCTGAACTTCTTCTTCCTTCTTGCATCACAGACGATCCGACGCTCTTTTATGCGAGAGTGTGAGGACCGAATACCTGCTCTCTGGGACAGTGTCTCCAAGGAGAGATGATCGGATTAGTGAACTGTTACAGATGAGTAACAGCTCTACTGCACCAATCCGACGCATCGCCACACCCCGTCGTGACGACTCATGCTACGACCATGACAGGAAATATGCTCCAACCTGCAGATGAGCCATTCCTCCTACCGGTTGCTCAGTATACTTGTGGATCACGGAGGACGTCAAGGACTGCTTTCCAAAGCGTCGTCCTGGTATTTACGGAGCTGGTCATCCAACATCTGACGGAGGTGCATTGCTTCCTCAAGCAGGTAAGAGACGTGTCAGTACGAGATCACTCGAGCAGAGTGAGGTTAGAACAATCTGGCCAGCGTAGAAAGAAAATCGTGAAAACGACAAACCACCATAGTCCGCTTCTACAGCCTTTCAATGGCGTAGAGGCCTACTACTTTTATACGTTCGTTCGAGTGGAAGATCAAACCCCATACGGTTTTTAGCAGGACCGCGTCTACTCCACCCTGCTGTTCGCGATTCTATCGAACAGTAGGACTATTTATATGACGGACATTCTCCTATAGTAATCTGTAACTATCTCGTGTTCTTTTTCAATCCCAGCAGGGAGATAGTTGTTCATCCTCGCCCTTTTATGTCTAGGTTGGACGATGCTCACGGCGCCTGTACGAGTCTCCTTCTCGACTCGTCCATGGAAATGGAACATCCAATGGCCTCCTTCTTAATAAGAGCAGGGCCGGTAAGTTAACTATCATCTGACATGAGACCAAGGTCCAGAAGCCGTAGCCTGTCATCCGTAGAACATCATACGATAGACAAGCATTAAACGGCCAGTCGATAAGGATTCAAACTAAGAGCTATGGTCCTACATGCATCTACTCGAAAGGATTTTGACAAGGATAAGGATGTCGATGATTTGAGGAGTCCGTCAGGAAAACGGGAACCGAGCCAGATCAGCATGTCATATCCTATCCCGACATTCATCGTACGTTGCACGAACAGAGTCAGTTAGCTATGGGTGGCAGACCTCTGCTAGGAGGCCATTCCATATCTAAATGCTCTGGTCTTAATTAGTAAGAATCAAAGGCTGGCCGTCCGTTGTATTCCCCGACTCCAATATTGATCCCCTCACGATGGCTATATGTCCTGAGCGTCAGAAAGGCCGAGGGTACGGATGAATAATCAGTGCTGGTCTAGACAACATGCGAGGGGAGACTGGACCACCGTTGGACCCCGAATGGTTTCAAAGAACTACCCGGAGGGAACCGAAGTTCGTGCCGTCGCCAGCATCCACGAAGTCCCTGAACGTATCCCGCGTAGAGGCGCCATGTCGCAATTCCTGATGGGCATTTCCCGTTTCACAGTAACATACGGCTCTCGACAACCGTGCTGGAGAGAGTCTCTCTCGTAGCAGAGTCGATCCAGGAGGTAGTTCGGCAACTCCCACGTTGGAGAAAAAATAATGGCAACTTGTCGCTTTGACGGCAAGACTAAGTAACTAATAAAGATCAACTATCCGGTGGGGAAAATGCGGAGTTTCTGCTGAGTCAGGAGACGGCGTCCAGAAGCTCACCAATCGTAGGGCAGTCATTGGTCAACCAATCCCCCGGCATAGATGGCACAGTTACTGTGTTTGGGTCGTCGGGAATAATATCGCCTTCAGCTCGGCTTATCTTCGTGGCCTTCTCCGCGCGGTTGATTCTTTGCTTTTCCAGATCATCCTCTCGCCTGCTGCTTATTTTTATTCTTCTTCCTCTCTTTTCATCTGCTGTGCAAACCTACCCATTCCTTTGCAGGTGTGACCAGCTCTAATCACACCCTCCATTCCTTTCACCCTCCCTATACACATTCCTCGCGTACAGACGATCTTCGAAAGACGCAAAATGGCCTCTGCTGCCAGAACCTTCTCGCGGGCGTTCGCTCGCTCCGCCTCCGTCAGACCTGCTGTGCGCAGCTCCCGTCTGGCCGTCCCTGCTCAGACTTTCCGTACCAACTTCCGTCGCGGATATGCCTCTGAGGCCGACTCAGGAAAGTCGTCCAAGACTTTCCTCTGGGTCGGGCTCGCTGCCGCTGGTGGCGCGGGTGCATACTTCTACCTCAACGGCGCAGATGCCTCGGCCAAGAGCAGCTCCTTCGTGCCCACCAAGGAGGACTACCAGAAGATCTATAACGAGATCGCCAGCCGCCTGGATGTTGAGAACTATGACGATGGCAGCTACGGACCTGTAAGAAATGCCCGGTGTCGAATTTGCAGGAAACAGAAATGCTGACGCAGTGAAGGTTCTCGTTCGTCTGGCGTGGCACGCAAGCGGTACCTATGACAAGGAGACGGGAACCGGTGGTAGCAACGGTGCCACTATGCGATTCGCGCCTGAGTCGGACCACGGTGCCAATGCTGGTCTGAAGTACGCCCGGGATTTCCTGGAGCCCATCAAGGGTAGGTTCGCATCGATTTCCCTACAAAGCCTGTCAGTGCTGTTCTAACTCTTAACTGCAGAAAAGTACCCTTGGATTACCTACTCTGACCTGTGGACTCTTGCCGGAGTCGCTGGCATCCAGGAGCTGGGAGGCCCTGTTATCCCATGGAGACCTGGCCGCCAGGACAAGGACGTCGCTGCCTGTACTCCTGATGGACGTCTCCCCGACGGAAGCAAGGACCAGAAGCACGTCCGTGACGTCTTCGGCCGCATGGGCTTCAACGACCAGGAAATGGTTGCTCTGATCGGTGCCCATGCTCTGGGCCGCTGCCACACTGACCGCTCTGGAAACGACGGTCCCTGGACATTCAGCCCTACCACCTTCAGCAACGAGTTCTTCAGACTACTCTTTGATGAGAAGTGGCAGTGGAGAAAGGTGAGTTGAGAATCTGATTCCCGTCTTCTCATCTTTCGTCAACATAGAAGCTAACTGTACTAGTGGAACGGCCCGGCCCAGTACACCGATAAATCCACCAAGACTTTGATGATGCTTCCTGCTGACATGGCCCTCGTCAAGGACAAGGAGTTCAAGAAGTGGGCCGAGAAGTACGCCAGGGACAGCGATGCCTTCTTCAAGGACTTCTCCGACGCCTTTGTCAAGCTCCTCGAGCTCGGTGTTCCCTTCACTAGCAAGGCTGAGGACCGATTTGTCTTCAAGACTTCGGACGCCGAGTAAAGCAGCGATTGACGTGGATGGTGCATGTGATATAATTATGTCTCGACTTGATTCCCCATTTTCCTTTTCCGCATGGTAGATGTTTCTCTATCTGTCGCTTGTAAGATTAATCTTCTGTCGGCGTTCGATATCCAATGTCTGTGCCTCCAGTCAGACAGAGACTCGACATTCCTTGTCTTGGCTCACATCTTTTTTTTGGCTCTGGAAGCCCGAGCGACTGGGTATACCGGAATAATTACCGTTAGAGATAGATCCTAACAAGGTATCAGTTTCAGCACCAATTGTGTTAGATCTCATGGTAAAATCAACGTGTCAATCGTAGCTGTATCGACTCGTGCGATCCTCTTTGCGTTGGCATGCATGTCTTTCCGGTGTCAATCGCTATGATAGACTCCGGACAGATAACAAATTGAGATGTCAGAAATGATTCCAGAAATTCATGGGATTTTCGAGTAGCTGTCAGTGGGAGATAGACTGGAGAAGTCAGTGTTGAATGTCGTCTGTCGTGCGTCAGTGTACTAACTCCCAGCACTGGGCGATACCGGAGGGTCGGAATTCGCTCCGCACCGCGCCCGCCAGCAGAGATATCCCCCGCCCACGCGAAGACCACATGGATATCGAATATACTTGGGCTGAGTTCCAGAAGCGCCAAATAGCCTCACGGCTTCGTCTAGGCATACTCCCGACCTTCAAGCATGTACCATCCGACTGAGATGTACTGACTTTCCTTCCTGGCGCTTGCAACAAGAAAAGAAAGAAAAAAATGAGGCCCGACCCTATCGAACAAGATTTCTACGCCATACTCGGCCTCCCCTTCACAGGCGCCTCGTCGACATCTTTCTCAAAGCAGCAGATTAAAGTCGCATATCATCGCGCTCTACTGAAATATCATCCCGATAAAGCGACTGCCGCTACGGGGTCTGTGACGACAACAAAGTCGCCCACGTCCACATCCTCGACGGATCAGACGAGAGCAGAAACCTACACATATACAGTGGACGAGATCACGACTGCGTATAAGACGCTCTCCGATCCATTTCTTCGTGCAGAGTATGATCGCTCACTACGATTGAGCAGGCTCAAGGCTGGAGAGAAGCATGGGAACGCGGACGTGTTTCATACGGGCTTGGAGGTAGTTGATCTGGAGGATCTGGGTTATGAAGAGGGCGATGAGACATTAGAAGGAGGTGGTAATGACGATGGCGCCGATGGTGATGGTGCTGGGTCATATTGGTATCGCAGTTGCAGGTGTGGTGATGAGAAGGGTTTTCTGGTCACGGAGCAGGATCTGGAAAGGGAGGCTGAGCATGGGGAAATCATCATCGGGTGTCGAGGGTGTAGTCTTTGGATGAAGATCTTGTTCGCAGTTGAGGCTGATGATGGAGATGATGATACTGGAGAGAAGGGAAATACGTGAGAAAAGGGTCGAGAAAGGGTGTTGACATCAACCTTTTCTTTGGCACTCCCAGGCCATTCCAGATGGGCACATCTGAGACCTACCATCGTGGGATGCTCTCCTATGGACGCTGTATTTTACAGCACCATCTGTCTCGTCGAGACGTTTCTACTATGTCTACCACAGAGGCCAGTATCTTGTGTCTTTCAGGTTGTCGACACAGGCCAACAGCAGGAGTCAAATCTGAGTTGCGCCGTGGTATTCAGGCTGGCTCGATCTCTCGAGTGTATTTACACACTACTAAGTGTGCCTAAAATGCACCTTTTTCAGTATGAGATCTGATTATACAAGAGTTGGATCTTGGCTAGGAAGGTGCAGATAGGTAGGTAGCTACAGGTCATCCTCATGCTACGAGGGACTTACTTCACCATTCGTGGCCAAGGTCATATATTGCCTTGAAATAGTATCATTTACTTCTATCTGGGTTTAGTTATTTGTATCAATAGACTATATAACCATATACGTGTGGGTTCGTAACTTTCACTTGTTTGGAGTTCACATCAAGCTCCATGCGGAGCCACTGTTCAAAATATATTATGGCCTGCAGAAGCAACGATACATGATTAGAACCGCAAAAAGAGAAAATCAAGCCAACAGCAAGACCGCGCTAGAAATCAATAGAATCAACTAACCGCTCATACCAATAATCCATCATCGCGTTGCGCGCTCTCGGGTTGCTAGCCACAGTTCGAACCTGACGTTGATGACATATCGTTGCTCCGGCGCGCGCAGCAGCTACGACTGCATCATCAAACAACCTCCGCCGAGGCCACGGATCCCATCTCATTCAACCTCCTCTTTCCCCGCGCCACAGCCGCGACATCAAGCATGTCGAGTCTCGTCCATATCTCCTCCAAGGAGCAATTTAGCTCCTTGCTTTCGTCCTCTACAATCGTCGTGACAGACTGTGAGTTGCAGTTCCCTCTGCGCGCAAGCCATTCACCCCCCCGCCCTTCTCCGTTTACCCCGCTACAAACGGTTTGAGCGACAAGCATTATGATCGTTTCTGAGGCTACATGGCTAACTTTGTCCCTGCCTTGATATCCCTTAGTCTACGCAGATTGGTGCGGACCATGCAAGGCTATTGCGCCCATGTACGAGCAGCTGGCGAACCAGCTGTCTCGCCCGAACCGGATCACTTTCACCAAGGTCAATGTTGACGAACAGCAAGAGATCGCAAAGGCTTATGGGATTACTGCGTACGTGTGAAACTGGTTGTCTTTATTCTGATGGTCCCCATCCATAAGCCTCTGTAGTTATGGTGGGAATGCAAGACAAGACAGATGCAGTGTACAGGAAGATGCTAACGGTTCAACGACGCGTGAACAGGATGCCAACCTTCATGATCTTCAAGAACGCTCGAACGGTCAGTACCGTCCGTGGTGCAGACCCCAATAAGCTCTCTGAAGCCGTCCGTAAGCTCGCCTCCGAAGCCAGTGCGACAGAACAAGGAGCAGACGAAGGATTTGGTGAATCGAGCGGAGGTTCTAGCGGCTGGTTGGGCGCATCAGTCCCCAAGGGATGGTCAGACATTACGGACCAGGTCCAGCTCACTGGAATCGACCTGTTGAACTGCGACAGTGAGCTTGGTGCTCCGAAGGTGCTCTTCGACTCATCGAAGCCATCGAGTCTCAACGGCGACAAGGGCAAGGGCAAGTCCGGGACATCTGCGGACTGGGTTGAGAGCGACACCGACGAGCAGCTGATGCTCTACATGCCCTTCCAGTCGTCGCTGAAGATTCACTCGCTGCATGTCACCTCACTGCCACCTAGCTCCGATGACGACGATGATGAGGTGCCGATGCGACCCAAGACTCTACGACTCTACACTAACCATTCACATGTGCTGGGTTTCGAGGAAGCGGATGACATCCCGCCCGTGCAGACGGTGACCATCGAGCCCAATGACTGGGATCCCAAGACGGGCACGGCAAAGGTCGAGCTGCGCTTCGTCAAGTTCCAGCATGTCACGTCGTTGGTTGTCTTCTTCGTTGATGGGGATGGCGAGGGCGAGAAGATTCGCGTGGACAGACTCAGGATTCTGGGCGAAGCTGGTGAGAAGAGGGAGTTGGGTAAGCTCGAGAAGATTGGAGACGAGCCGGGCGAATAAACGCGAGTAATAATAAGAAACGAGTGAAAATGGTAGAGCTACGATAGACATCATTATGAGCACACAAAAATTTCCATTTCCATTTCCATTTTTTGATTTCTTTATCTTTATATTATACTACTTAGCGATAAGTAAGAGCGTAAGCAGCAGCAATATTGGAGTCGATATCCCAGCTGCAGACACGTCCTGCCGGAGCCGTAGAAAACCAACGTGAAGAGAGAGTTCAAAGACGCACTCGTCTTGAGCCTCCTGGTACGGTACTTCAAAAATCAAGTCGCAAAACAGCGAAGCCTTCCCACATCACAGAAGGTAATAATAAACCAGTATAATAGTATAATGCTAAGCAAGTAACAATAATACTACTAGCCAGATTATAATAAACCGATTATTATAATAATTTATAAGTGTCCGATCCCAAACCAAATGGCCACACCCTTGGAAGAAAATGAAGCAAGAACGAGTTTTACCTCGCCCGAACTTCGAAGAAGGGCCAATAAAGTAGAACCGGTGTGCAATTCCGTCGCTCTGTGACGCAACCGACACCTAAGACAACATCATGGAGGAGATAGATGTTTAGGCAACACGGGTGAAATTAATAGTTGCGTCGCCGCACGAGGAAAAGAAAAGAAAGAAAAAAAAAAGAATCAAAAATTCTCGCGGTTGCGGAGAGAATTTATAGGTGTTTGGCGGGGGGGGGGGGGGTTCGGAGAATGGTGGAATTTACTACTTTGGGGTTAGTTAGGGTGGGGGGAAAATTCTTGCGCGTGCGGTGTGTGAAGGTGTCTTCGGGTTTTCTTTTTTGTTTCTTCTCTTTTTTTTTTTTTTTTTCTTTTGATTATTATTGAGGCTTGTGATGAGGGATGTGACCTCCTCTGGAGGAAGCATCTGTGTTTTCAAACATGATAGGAAGAGAATGAACGCTCTGCTTGATCACAGAGCATGATCTCTAAAAAGACAATTTCTCTGAAGCCTCGTCTGATTTGTTTCTGATTTTTTTTCTCTGTTTTCATCTCTTGTGTATTCCGTTTCTGCTCCTGCTGCAGCCCTCTCTCCCATTGGAAAGCCATGAAAACCAGAAGGAAAACTGAACGACGAAAATGAGAATTTGATGCTCCGTTGGTGGATGATAGTCTCTTTCAATGGCAGCGGAACCCTGTTGGGTTGAGAAGAGTCACATTTGTTTCAAAATTCCACTCGCATAGTCGTACGATGATCGTGCGAATGCCCCGAGCTGCACAGGTACATATGTGTGCCTACCGACAAATGCTCGACATGGCGAGGATGCCTTGCTACTCACTGTAATACTTTATAGCGTCGCTGTTTAGTGACGCCTCACTTTGATAGTGGGCTCTCGTATAAGTATTTTGGCTAGTGCTTCGGGGAATGCTCAATTGGGTCAGAGTATACGGACGAGCTTCCTCGAGTACGCTTATCAATAACAATGATACTTTGATAGTCTCATTCGGGGAATTGTGCGGTTACCTTTTGCCGAGGGCGCGATCGCTCTCTAGCTACAATGTGCTAGGGCTGATTTGCAGCCGTTTTTAGAGTCGGTGAAGTATAATAATGCTGAGCGTTATTAATATTATCATTATTGAGAATCCCGTTTCTGGTGGCTTTACGGCCCATGAATCTAGCGGAAAATTGCGGCAGGGATTCGCCTTATCGCTTGCTGGGGATCTGCCTCGAGTGCAGAAGTACCCTCGTGGCTGGGATGATCATTCTGGAGACCAGTGAATAATGTCTAACGCTTTTGCTTTCTGGTAGTCGAAGTTTCGCCATCTCGCATCATCAACAGTAGTGGTCTCCGCTAGTTAGGGCAAAGCTTCCGCCAGGCTGTCGATCGTGATTTTGTGATCGCGGCGTATTGGACAGCCAAAGTTCAGGAACCACAAAGCTTTCTTACGGAGAATATTTCAATGCTCAGTAGCCAGCACTGACTGGCCGGGAGGGTCCAGAAGCTCCAGACAGCCTCTGTAGGTACGATTGAGAGAAAATGAGATAGTTAGTTATCATTGGCACCATTTGTAGTAATGAGAATAATCCCATGGATGTTAATCGAAGTGCTCTTGTAGCGCAACGTGCTTCTTCCTGCGATGTCGGAGCCTCAGAAATTTAACGCTTCTGCAGCGATATGTCCACGTGCTTGGGTATCAGAACGAGGAATTCTGGAATAGTAGTTAGTTAGTTAGTAACCTACTCGATCAATAATAATAATTCTTTCATGACGGCCAAATCTTCTCGCGCGCTAGTGTGAAACACCGTCTATTGGCGCATTTCACCGGAAGAATTGTTCTTCTCCCGCTACCCTATCTCGCCTAGACCTTTCCTTATGCCAGGCTATCCGCAGGTCGAGACTTGAGAACATCGAAGCTATCTCCGCATTATCATCCTAGAGTGCTCTCTATATTCACAATCGACATATCCTTTACGTAAATCTCGCATCGGCGATCGTCCGTTGTCTGGGGAATGATACCAGGCCTGAGTACCACGGGCACTAGTCTATTGGCCGCTACTGCAGGTGGAGCGTTGTCGATAACATCTTGAACTTTTGGGGCTCTGTGATTGCGGGGAATGATTGATGATACATGGTCAGAAAGTCAGTTGTCGACGGCGCGTTGACTACCTTCGTACTGGGATTGGCGTCTACCAGGATCCGGTACCTTGAGTAGCGGCTATCATGCTCTAGCGATCATGGCGATCCCATTTCGAGAAGTCAATCGAATACCGGCCCTGGATATCAAATTGCCACCAGACGCGCGACTTCTTCAATGAGTGACCGCATGTAATAGATAGTCTGATCGTTAACTCGTGTGGATATGTAATCGTGATCACCAGCCAGGTCTCGGATAGAGACAGTTGGCCATGAGGCGAAAAGAAACCGCCATGCTGGAGATTATTTAGTCCTAGGAATCTGCCATGCCAGAGATCTCCCTTGTGTGCAGAGTAGATAGATAGCTGATGTCAATATTATCTCGCTCGCACCGCAGGTAGCCGGTAGAAAGCTCCCAGCCTCTCAATCTTTCCCCTTTGAAAGCGCACGAGATATGACTGGGACAGTCTGAAAGCTTGAGGTCAAATGGTGATGGACCTAGGATGTCTAGGATCCATTTCTCTGCCATGATCTAACTCGACTCCAAGGCGGATGCCCGTATTAACAATGGACCCGGAAGGCTACGGACGGATTGAGTAAGAGGCAAGCACGATCGTGGAGAATATGATGCTGTTCCTGCGCCAAACGCAGACGCAAGTGCCGATGCAGACGTTGAAAGCTCGCCCGGGGCTTGAATAATAATAATAATAATAACGTTGGCAAGCCACCACTTAACAGAAGGTCGGCACTCGAGAATCGAGTTCGTTCCCGACGGCAGGACGGTCGGCTAACTGGCCGCAGAGCTTAAGCCTCATCGTAGGCCATTTCATCTCCGAGACCTTACTGGAAATGTTACTCTTTGGTGCATATCATGGATCCCTGGTGGAATCTCAAGCGATGACTGGACAACACTAGTTAGGAAGATTGCTAGACGGGTACCTTGAAGAAGACTGGCGTCACGATAGTATGATGGCTAGAACTCTGAAGCGAAGCCTGATCACTGATGGTCGTTTTTCCGATCGCACGCCACCTTTCCGCGCACGATCTACGTCAGGCTAGCTCTATCATCGTGGGATTATGCCTTTCTGAGCGGTTACTCAATCGAGAATACCTCATCTCTCCTCGTGAGATTATTGTTTCACTTCCGTTGCAGAGATCTGGCTAACATGCTGTCGGTGGCTGAGTTGTCACTTCTACTGCCAGAGGTCTCGGATGTGAGATGCAACAACGACCTGGTTTTGTCACACCTTCCGCTCGCATGAGAAGCTCTGCAGACGGGGATTTCAGTATGATGCGACCGATTATAGTTTGAAGGTTATCGATTGCACCATGAGGTCGAGATACTACTACTAACCATCAATCCGTATCAGTGATCAACAGGGCCCACGTCTGCTCGGCCGACAGCGGTTAGGATCTGCGTTGAAAATCGACGAAGTCACGGCTCGTTCATTTTCGACTATCTATGGTAGTTATCTACTCCGTTGATTGAGAAGATGGAACAATATGGAGCTACACCATTCCATATGTGGTCTTCGCGGGTTCCTCTTCTGATCGCTCTGCAGCATCATCGTTTCACGGGATCGGTTAACGGGCGGGCTGGATCAGTTTTAACATCAATTAACCCTGGGCGCATCAATCATGCGCTTCTCGCGATAGATGTTCCCTTCATTTGCGGGGCCTCACCTTCTAGAAGCTCCGTCGTATAATATGTCTCTCGGCATTCAGAACGTTCCGTGGCGGCATTATTTACTATTATTTACCATATGATATGATTGCGGTTTCTGATGTAACGTGGGTACAATACCTACCCAAAACGGAATGGTACTGCTCCAAGAGTTCGGACGCTATGTTTCACGTACACAAGCGACGCCAGTAGTGGTGTCTTTTGACCCGGAGCATGGCGGCGAAGCTAGAATCTACTCCAAAGTCTACTCAGAGATCTGGAAGTCTTGAGTCGAAGGACCAGATTTTGGGTACAGTAAATCCCCGCTATAACGAACCCCTTTATTACGAATTTTCCGCTATAACGAATTTTTTTCAGTGCCTGATTCAATCCCCCATATAAAATTCGTTAATTCCTCGGTATAACGAAATTCGTTACAATACCCTAGCTCACCACTGATTTTATATGGGGGATTCGTTATAGCGAGGGATTAGTCATAGCTAATAACCAATAAAAATTCCTAATTTCTGGAGATTTATTATGTAATATTGCAAATTTTCAGTCCCTTACTGTGATTACATAATATAAATCGCTTTTTGCTAATATTCGCTGTAACGAATTTTCCACTATAACGAATTTTTTTCCGTGCCTCATTCAATTCGTTATAGCGGGGATTTACTGTATTTCGCGGTATTTTGCCAGTTCCCCGCTCTGCGGCACCCACGATAAGCCCGGATTCGTCGGAGTAGTTAGTAGGCGCAAATCGGATAATCCTCTTGGTGTCGCGCGAGACTTATCAGGGCGCTTGTTCTGGGAAGGACTTCCGCGGCGCCGGCTCAGCGGACCAGGTACCAGTAGCGTACCTGCTCGACCTTATAGCGTCTAGCTTGTCCGCCATCGCGGATGTGCTATTCCCACTAGAACCGACATTCATCTGGCGCCAATAATAATAATAATTCTACGTACTTGACTCCGTTAACTAGTCGACTGGGTCTTGACAATACTAATCGGGGAGACTAGAGTATGGAGGTCCGTCCTTCGGCGCTAAATGAGGTTGTTATCAGAGCCATATCTCACCCAATCATCAATGAAACCGTGATCACGCATTGTCTTCTGGCAGGAACGTGCCTTTCGATCAAACGGCCCATTATGAGAACGAAATTCGTTGCTTACCTCGTGCCTGCGTTAGGGTCCTGGGAATCCGCGGGAGGCAAAAGTGAACGGAAAAGCGCAATAATTCTTTTCTTAAGGGCTGTCCACTTTTTTTTTGGGCGGGCTTTATTCTTTTTAGGTATTCTGTGTGTGGCGCTCACACCATACTCGAGGTGCGTGAGCACGACAAGACTTATGACCTGACTCGTACTAGGACTCCAAACCAACCCCTGTATCGAATCACGCTTGGGATTCTGGAAGCTCGATAGTCGTTATGCGACATGACGCGTCTAACCACAGAGAGAAACTACAACATACGACCTGGGGTGCTTGGTGTATCCCAGAGGCACAGCTAAGTTAGCAGTAGTCTGATAACTCCGGCCACCCTTGGGTCGGGCGGGTGTGGTTCCGTTGCTTCATGGGAGACCACAGACGGTACCTTCTTCTATCTTTAGACCGGCCAATGAGGCACAGAACCCCAATGGCCTGTAATCCCACAGCGGTTTTGCGAATTATTGGGTGTACCAAATCTCTACCGGCAAATAATTCGCCCAGTCAGCACTTCGCTCTGGCCCGCACAAGCTCACTATTGGCCAAGTAGAGGTGACGGGAATGGATGGTCATAGTGACTCTCTTCTAACTATCTCTATACCTCACATGCAGAGACAATGTGATAGGATTTCTCTGTAAGATCAGTCAAACTGGTCAGCAGTGGTAATGGTAATCGATGACACACACCAGCCGTGATTTGGTGGGCGCATTAGATAGCGCCCTCACACTTCCAAGTCTGCTTTTTTCCGCCGTTGCCTGCTCCGTACAATATGATACAGTATCTACATTGTTTGCTTGTTATCGCTTGTAGATGAGGGAAGGGTGGATAAATCAGAAGCTTCTTGCATGGATCATATTCCGGGGAGGGGCCTTTCTATTACTTTTTTTTCTGCCCTTGTTGAATATAGAGCAGGGATCCGGAGCAGCCTATGCTGCTTTTGCATTGCTGTGCAGATGCACACTGCAGACTAGATGCTGGCGGTGAAACGCAGCCGCTCCACCGTCGAGGGACAGCGACTCCCCTCGCTGAACAGCATGAACTTAAACAAAGAGGCCTTGATGGCAATTGGCCAAGTGTATGCAAAGGGGAAAGCGTCCCGAAGGTTTCTTTTCTGACCAGCTTGTCCCATTTGCAGCTGTTCTTTTGTTGCTGTTCCTGCAGTAGAGTCGATCACACACTGCCCTTCACAAGTTCACATGCATGCAAGGTTTGTCCGTCCAACACCGAGAGAGGAGCAATTGTTCTGCCATCCACAATCAAACCTGTGGGCTTACTACTACTGTCTGCTAGTTAAGGCTTGGGGATCATCCCCAATGTAGTCCACAGCTGAAGTTTACGCGGGGTATATCACCTCACAGTGAGCGTTTTCCACCTGTACTGGGTGGCGATGGATAGGCCTTGCATCCGACAGTGCAGATAAGGAAAGTCAAAGAAACTAAATAAATCGTCTTGGGGGAAGAGAGGCGGGGGGGCAAACCAGTGATCTTCGTTGGTCTATGGTATCTCTGTCGCGAGACCTGGAGGAGTCGCGTTTCACCATTTTTGGGATCAATAATAATAACTTCGAGTACGAGTGAAGGGATTGATGGTTTTTGTTCGACGTTGCCACCGTTTTGCCATCATGAGGAGACATTCCGGAACGTTGTTCGAAACCGCGACATATGGTAGTTAGTCCAGTCCAGTCCAGTCCAGTCCAAGATAGATTAACAAAGAGCGTTGTGGCCATCGTAGCAGCAGCCGACCAGACTGAACGGGATGCGCAGTGGAACCGACCAGGCCCTGAGTGAGCAAGGTCGATCAACGCTGGGCTTCGCATGGTGATTGGCACTGAGCGCTGAGCATTGCTGCATATGCCGTGCACACTGGTACGGCGATCTCGTCGAATCGTGGCTTCGAGAGTGCGCGCTGGGCGGCCATAGGCTCTGTCCATGGCATTGATGGTGCTCATGGCGGTGCAGAGTGTATCCAACAGTGCCGCGTTATCGGTCTCACAACCGCCCAGGTCAGCAGGGAGGCAGCACACCCGTACCATACACTACTACCATACACGACCTGAAGGGAGAGGGGGGGCTGTGATGGCAGCTGCTGAGCTGAACCGCTGGATGAGAGAGATAATAATAACAAACCAATAAGTCAGAACCAGCCTCTCTCGTCTTGTTTCTCTCTCTCTCTCTCTCTCTCTCTCGAATGGGACAAGACGGTCGGGCGTGGCAATGTCCCATCCCATCCCATGGCGGCCGTTTGGTCCCCGGCGGTGGACTAGGTACTACTACTGTTGGTATGGTTATGGTACAGTACTGTATGGTAGACTATTATAACTTAGGTATACGGCTGGGCGGTAGGACGACAACGCTACCGGGTCGGACCTCCGCATTCGACCCAATGTGCATCGCGAGCTTCGCAACACCATAATCTCCCACTCGTGCTAGACTCCACCAGACTTGCGCTCTTTTTGGTTCCCCGGCCGAGGAGTGGTGCTGGGAGCTTTCATGCACTAATTTACTAAATGTCTACGCCGTGTGCCTGCCCGTAGTCTGCGGATCTGACACCGATGGGACTCTAGCACATGGAGACAATTCCACCGTGGACCTCCATCGTCCCGGTGGGATGCACACTGCGCCATCGTCCCGAATCCCGCCTTGGACTAGAGTTTAGTCTGGGTGGTCCTCGTCCGTTCGGTTCCTGTCTCGTAACCTGGCCCTGTCCCAGGCAGATCACTCTTTTATCCGGTGCCCACCCGGTCTGTCTGTCATTTCCTCAGCATACAAGGCCTTGTCTCTCGTTCCCCGCGGCCGTCTTTTTTAATTCATTATCGTTCGCCGTTCTTTGTGATTTTTTTTATTTTATTTGGCTACCTTCCGGTTCCTAATCGATTCAACGTTCCCCTCCCCGGTCTATATACCGTCTTGCTGGGTTCGTTCTCGAATAGGTCCTGTCCTTCCTTTTATAGTCCCCCCGGCGACACATCATCATCACCACCACCACCACCTACCTACCTACTATTATTAGAGGAGAGAACCATTATAATCCGGTCTTAACCACATCGAACAAGACACCATCGACTATCATTACTATCAGCAAAGAAGAAAATATCCTGTTTCGACTCTCTTGCTGATCCAGTCATTCCTTCGACCACCACCACACTCCTTTACGGCGGTGCATACATATATCATCCAGCGTGCTATTATTATCTATTATTACTATATCCCCCCAACGTTCCTCGAACCGTGACAATCCACTTGTCTTCGAGTAGTACGCCACTAGTTTCTAATATTGCACAACAAAGAACATCCAGAACAATACGGGTTTCATTTGGCCTCGACACGGGAACAACCCCCAAGGACAATCTGATACAAACCCGATAATCAAGATACCATCTGGTGAGAGGTAAGTTCTTCAGCCCTACCCCCCCAAAAGACCATGAAGATCAATTGGGAAACTGACGCATTTGGATAGATAAGAAGTAATTGCACTTCGTCATGGAAGCTACATACGCCATGCATCCCATGCCGGGACAGTCATTCTACTTCTACACACCCGATGCCGAGTCGCAGCAGCAGCGACACCACTACACCTCTAACCCAGCCGAGATGCAGTTCAGTGGACACATGTCGGCTTTCCAGCCGCCTCACTGCATGCCGGAACCACAGTCTATCTACGCTGCACACGCTCTGAACATGCAGCACCAGATGGCAGCCAAGAGCCCTTTCCAGGGTGCGATGAACATGACCCCCATTGCCTCGCCACAACCGTCGCACCTCAAGCCTACAATCATGATCCAGCAGAGCTCTCCGGGCCTCATGCCGTTGGACACCAGGTTTGTCAGTGCTGACTTCTACGGCTTCCCCTCGACCCCCCCACTGTCCACAACGGGAAGCACGATCAGCAGCCCTCCATCGAGCTGTGGAACGCTGCACACTCCCGTCAATGGATCCTTCTTCCCCCTGGAGAAGGTCGAGGGCGTGAAGGAAGGCTGCGAGGGGGACGTGCACACGGAGAGCCTGGCCAACCCGGACTGGTCGAGAGCCGCCTCTCCTCCCATGACGCCTGGTACGTTTTGAATTTTTTTCTTTTTTTTTTATGCTGTGTTCATCCATTCCATTGCTTGGATGGGATGTTGTTGGTATAGATGGAAATCGGATGTTCCAATCCATCTGGTGGAGTTGTACCAAAAACGGAATGGTCGCTAACCGGCGGACTCCAGTCTTCATCCACCCCCCTTCGCTTACTGCGAGCCAAGCTTCCGAGCTCCTGTCCGTCAACGGATCTTGCCCGTCCCTTTCACCATCTCCTTCACCAGTTCCCACTGGAGTGATCTCGTCTCAATCTGGCCCATCCGCAGAGCCAGCCACCTCTGACTTCTGCGACCCCCGACAGCTGACGGTGGGCGCTTCTTCTGTCACCTCTGCTGCGAGCGACTTCCCGCCCCTGCCGACCCTGTGCTCGGGTGATGACGAGGAGCACAAGCTGATCCTCGGAGGTCTTTCTGCTACGCTGCCCGCCAACGGCAGTGCAGAGTCTGCCTTCCCCAACCCTACTGAGCAGACCCTCACCAGTCTCCCTGCCTTCGATAGCTTCTCTGACCTGGACTCGGACGACGAGTTCAACCGCCTCGTCGACTTTGGAAACGCCTACTACCTGGGCGGCAAGAGACAGCGCGTTGGAGCCTATGCCTCCTTTGAGGAGGAAGAATTCTTCAGCGAACATACCTTCGAGGACGAGGACGAGTCCTTCAGCCAGTCGGGCCTGCCTTTCGCATCCTCTGATTTGCTGTTGGCCAACCCTGAAGACGCCGCTGGAGACATGAGGGTCAAGAAGCGTGTGGCCTCTCGCAAGTCGATCAAGAAGTCCTTCCCTGACAGCGACTCCGACAGCATTGGATCCGTTGTCCAGGGCCAGCCCAGCGTCACCAGCCGGGGCAACAGCACTGAAGCATCTTCCAGCCAGCAGACGACCCAGAAGCAGGACAAGTCCCAGACTGAGGCTACGGCTTCCAGCTCTTCTGACGCCCCTGCTTCCCATATGCCTGTTGCACGTCGCGGTCGCAAGCAGTCCCTCACTGAGGATCCCTCTAAGACCTTCGTCTGCACTCTCTGCTCTCGTCGCTTCCGTCGCCAGGAGCACCTCAAGCGTCACTATCGTTCGCTGCACACGCAAGACAAGCCTTTCGAGTGCAACGAGTGCGGAAAGAAGTTCTCTCGCAGCGACAACCTGGCTCAGCACGCGAGAACTCACGGAGGTGGTGCCATTGTCATGGGTGTTCTTGACACCAGTGACACAACACCAGCTACGCCTTCTTTCGACGAGAGTGATGCCGGTGCTCTGGGCGCTGTCCTCTACGAGGCTGCGCACGCTGCCGCCAACAAGTCCACAACCTCAGATTCTTCTGACGGTAGTGCGTCCGAGTCATCATCGAACGACCGACGACCTCTGAAAAAGCGCAAGCGCGACGAGTCGGCCTAGATCAAGCAACGACCATTTCGAGTCGATAATGATGGCACGCGACCAGGAGATACTTTTAATTTCGCATAATTAGAGTTAAAAGGTCTTGAAAAAAATTCTTTCTCAGTCGGGTTGGCTTGGACTTTTTTTTTTCTTGTTCTGGCGTCCGGGCAACAGTAACGGGTGGTCATGGAGACATCACTCCTCCCGCCAGGATCCCTCCACACTATTACTTATTTTTAATCTGGAGCGTCCACAGTGGAGATATCTAGGATCGGGCGAAAAGGAGTTGATAGGGCTGGGATTTAGAGCGATGATGACAATTCCCCCGGGAAAAGGTAATAGGCGTGGAAACATGATTCAAAAATTCTGAACTGAAGGATCGACCCTTTCTATTTTCTGTTACGGATCAGATCTTGCGAAAGGTGGACAGATTGTTGAGGCGACTCCCATCTGACTAGCCCGAACGATTTTGTTCACTTCTCTCTGCTTCATGTTACCCCTCTGTGTTATATTCGATACCTATTGCAATTGTGCATTCGATGTGACTTATTTGTAATCCTTTTTGATTCCCCCATTTGTGTGAAAATTTCCTCTCCCTTGGTGCTGGCCACACTTTGTGTACATTTACTTTTTCCTCAATTGTTATACCACATACCCCTTATACAATTAATTGTCAGTTGATGTTCTAAGCATTTGATTGCATTGTTTGCACCTTCATTTTACTGCATTGAACTCGAGCGAATTTTTTCTTGGAAAAAAACTTATATAGCCTGAGTTGAAATACAAAAAAAGCTAGAAGATTCTTACGAAATCGTGACCAGTAACTATCTGTCTGCGTGGGAAGTTTCCATTGTATCATTTCTGAATTAGATAGACTGCATAGTAACATAGTAAGATAGAACAGAGGCTGAAAAGTCCATTATTGGGCCAGTTACTACTAGTGAGGTGAGTTGGGCAAATTCTCACTTGATAAGTAATACCTGGATCGCGCCAAGCCCTGACTTCTTTTCCCCCGCGACGTACTCCTCGATGACCCCTCTTCATCTCCAATGGGAATCAAGAACAAATCCTCTTTCTTACCTTCCTATCTACAGTCATTATTTCGAATCCATCCTCTTTATCTTTTCTATATATATAAAAAGAATGGAAGATGCTTGATTAACTTCACGCGCGTGTCTCATTTTTTCTTTTTGCATGTGCCCCCCCACCGGCCATTTTCTTTTTAAAGGACGCAATCAATCGACAAGCATATCGGATTCATCAGAGTCAAGTTTATTGAATACATATCTACCGATCTGAGTAGAGAGGTTGGAAATTGTTTTTTGTTTTATTTGTTTGATTTATTTATTTATTTGGCTTGAGTTCCTTTGTTGGGGGGGAGTATCTTTCTGAAAAAAAAGGAAGAAGATCCCATTCCTGAAGGAGGGGGATTTGATTTCCTTTTCTTTTCTGTTCCCTACGGGGACTTGTTGACATTTTTTACAAATTACAATCACAATCATGGCGTCTCTACCGACGTCTACATCTACTCCCGGCCTCAATGTCATCGCTCTGATATCCGGTGGGAAGGACTCGCTGTATTCGATTTTACATTGCATCAAGCATGGGCATCGGGTCGTTGCGTTAGCGAATCTTCATCCGCCATTGCCGTCGGGGCAGGGACAGGCTGAGGAAGAAGAAGAAGAAGATATGGATAGTTTCATGTACCAGACTATCGGACATGGGGTGATTCCTCTCTACGAGACGGCTCTGGGGATCCCTCTGTACAGGGCGGCGATCACTGGCGGAGCGGTCGATACGTCCCGGATCTATCGCAATGGAAATGACGCTGAGAGCCAAGACCTCGACACTCAGGCGCAGGCGCATACTCTCGGAGATGTTGCGGACGAGACAGAATCATTGATCCCGCTCCTGCGACGGATCAAAGAAGCCCACCCGGAAGCTAATGCCGTTTCAGCGGGTGCTATCCTGTCAACGTACCAACGGACAAGAATCGAGAACGTCGCGGGCCGTCTGGGCCTGGTTCCACTTGCTTGGTTGTGGATGTATCCAATTCTGCCGCCGTCGGAGGAGAGGAAGGATCCCGACGGGTCGTCCTCCGCGGTGCCGGAGGCCGGGTTGTTGGAAGACATGGCGGCTTGTGGCTGCGACGCTCGGATCATCAAAACCGCCTCCGGCGGTTTGGATGCTAGTTTCTTGTGGGGGAATGTTGCGTCGCCTTCCGGGGACGTGCGGCGGCGGGTCGTGAAGGCCATGAGGAGGTTCGCGGCAGAGAGCCTCGGAGGTGCTGTTTTGGGAGAAGGAGGCGAGTACGAGACGTTGGCGATTGATGGGCCGAGCTTCCTCTGGAAGCAGCGGATAAGTGTTGAAGAGAAAGAAGAATGTTCTGGAGACGGGGGCGTCGCGTATGTGAGAATCAAGAATGCGAAGTGCTTGCCGAAGGAGACAGATACTCCTGGCATCACACCACAACAGGTCAGACAGCCTTCATTGTTGGATGGAAAGTTTGAAGGCTTTTTGAATGAACTGCAGTCGCAGAAGTACGAAGACTTTGTACCTGGTTCAGACCAGACCAGAGGGAACGGAGCGTCTGACTGGTCAATTGAGGCGATGAGCCTCAAATGCAAGGCAACATGGGCCATCGCGAATATTACAGCACCAGAAGCTGGCATCGAAACCGGCGCACAAATGAGGAGTATAGCTCTCAAGCTGGAAGAGATCCTGAAGTCCTCCACAGCAGAAGTCCAGCCTGGTCAGCGGACCACAGATGATATCGTCTTTGCGACTGTACTCCTTCGATCCATGAAGGATTTTGCCTCGATGAACAATATCTATATGCAGTTGTTCAGAAAGCCGAATCCTCCGGCAAGAGTCTGTGTTGCATGTGGTGACAGTCTCCCTGATGGCGTGGAGGTCATGCTCTCCGTTGTCGTCGACCTGGGACCTCGAGATCTGAGACAGGGTCTCCACGTTCAATCACGTTCATATTGGGCCCCAGCCAACATTGGACCATACTCGCAAGCGATTACTATACCATCGGAGCCGGGTACGAGGGTTGAGACTTGCGGCGGTTTGGTATACATTGCTGGCCAGATACCGCTGGAGCCTGCATCCATGGAGATTGCAGGTGGCTTGTGTGGGCCTGGTGAGAACTGGTTAAAGAACTACACATTACATGCTGTACTGTCGCTGCAACATCTCTGGCGGATAGGTGCGGCGACACAGGTAGACTGGTGGCTGGGGGCAATTGCCTTCTTAGCAGGGGACAAGCAAATAGATACCAAGGTCCGCATTGCGTGGGATCTATGGGAGAAGATCCACCGGCAGAGCGTCAACGAAGAAGATGAAGAAGACGAGCCGGAATTTGATGCTTGGGATCTCAAATACGGCGGCCAAGGAGCTCTTGGAGGCACCAAGGAGGTCCTACCAAGCCTGCCTAACTTCGAGGTAGTGGAAGGGGACTCGAAAACACCCCCTTTCCTCGCTGTGCAGGTAGAGGAATTGCCTAAAGGAAGTGATGTCGAATGGCAAGGCCTGGGCTTGCGGTGCGAGCAAGTAACACTCAGCGAGCGGGTTGATAAGGGCAGAAAAATTTACTCCAGTGGCACAAAGGATGGGAACGTCTTCCTGACTATCGAGATAGACCTCGTGCAGTCTGCATCCAGCTTCGATGAATACGTGCAGCATGCAATCAATGATTACTGTGCCGACATGGACATGGCCCAGGCAGTGATATACACGGCATATCCTTTATCGCGGAGCCTGTGGCCGGGACAAATCGTCCCCTGCAAGTCTGTCTGGGGTCCTGGAGGACGACAGATGGCTGCAGGCATCACTCTGCATGCGCAACGTCGCAGGTAGATTAGAATAGATTCAAAGCAGCCATGCGTCTTTCGAACACAATGCTTATCAGGCTCGTGGCGGACAGGCTTGCTTTGTGATGGTGATAGTTCGGATCTGGTGCCCATTGCTTACAGCATCGTAGAGATGTAGAGGAAGGAGATCCTGTCTCCTGCAGCCGACCAAACATTGATCGTCTGAACTCCATGTGTTGAGATGTTGATAGTCGTAAACATGAGGCCCACACCGGTGCTCGCCCCAACTCCATTGTATACGGCGATCTTCACTCAAGATCCCGTACGAGTGGATAGTGCCCGCATCATCGAGATCCAGGGAGTTTTATGCATTTTAGATCTCATTGGGCTATTGCTCACTCTACCTGCGACCATTAGACTCTAGGCCACGTTTCAGAAACATGGGCTCTGACATGCGTCTTGAGGTCAGGCCAGGCTGAAACATTCAAAACCAGAACGCACTAACCGATCTCTTCAGAAGCTCACGCAAGTTGCCGGCGTGAAAAGTGGTTACTTGACTGATGTCGCGACGAGATAGTTTGATAGTGTGGCGCGGGCGTTGACGTTGGCTGATGACGGAAGCAGAATCGTTAAGTACCTATGGCCTAACATGTGATGAAGCTACCACGGTTCCCTCAGCTTTCCGCGATTCTGTTACAACGATACATATACATTGTCTGATATACCTGGGATCTTTGGAAACAGCTTCCAATCTGGACCGGACAACATCATCTTGACCCTTCGACCGGACATCGCTTTCGTGCTGTTGTTGGTTGACTCGTGCGTCCTCCGTGCGGACGTCACCCATTGCATTCTTCCCCAGGTTCCACGGCATGGCTGTCCGTTTGACGTAGCGCAGATATCGCAGAGTGTGGTGCGATGGCATCGCGGAAGGATCATGAGGAGGACATAGCGCCAGAGCCCTCGAGGCTCGCAGTTCCGCAGTCAGAAGCCGACCAGTTGCGATTCTTCGCACGATCGCCCCATCCCTATCACCGCAAGAGCCGGACACTTCGCGGTTCGGAATCGCCCTCGACAGAACATGACGGTATCCACGACCATGCCTCTGCATATGCAAGAACACCCAGGACGTCGAGTGACAGTGGGACGGAGGCGGACGATGAGAGTACAGGTGTCCTCAAGGGTCTTCCTGCACCGCCGGTGAGACCGCGGAAGGGCTTGCGGATTGGATCTAATATCGAGGAGGACTCGCGCCTGTGGTTTTTTACAAGCTATCGAGGCCGGTCAGAGCGTCGGTCACGGTCGCGGAGCTCGAGAGTGAGCTCGAGTGAGGAACAAGAAACGGAGGCAGCAGAGGGCAAAGAGACGACACGGAAAACACGAGTGGAGGTTCTGCGCAGAGTGTCAGAAACGGCATTGTTGCTCTCCGTTGGCTACATTACTGTTTTGCGTGACGAATCTCGTCAGCTCGCTATATCATGGAAGAGGGGTGAGATACAGCTTTGCGTTCACTAAGATCTGATTCTTTGCTAACGTGTCTGTTAGAATTGATCACGCAAGGTCTTCTAATCATTGGACTGTACGGACTCTACCCTCTACGCATATTGGCATCGACTTTGCGACTTGGACGTTCTCGACCTGTGTACGCCTCTGCATTCTCGATTCCTTCCAGTTTCGATCCTGCTCCATACCTATATCCGATTTTAATACCCGTCTTTGTGTCGCTTTCGGTGTCGCAAGATCTTCCCGCTCTGGTCCTCCTGAACATAATTCTTGGACTCTCGAGTCTACCGGCGAAAGCTGTCCCGCTCCATAACTATGGCTGTGGATTCAGTCTAGCTGGCTGGTTAGCTACGATAATTCCTATAATCGTCTCAGAGGACCCATTGTCCATGAGTGGCTCGCCTAGACCTCTATTTCTCCGAGGCATCAGTTCGGAGACGCTGTTTTTGATATTTCCTCTGCATGAAGCATTGATACCCACACTCGATTTCCTTTTGACAAGCAGCCTCCTGCCAGCCGAGCTTCAGCTTCTGGCTACCGCTTTAATAAACTTGTATATGTTTTCGGCATCCCCTCAGGCTGAGATCCTGAAAGCACTGCTGTGGCTTGGCGGCCTTTGCGTCTTCATTTCATGTCGCCATGTGTTGCGGTGGGAGGTGGCGTTGGCTAGGGTCCCTACCTGGAAATTCCGTCGATCTACTAGCAGCCTCCGATCGCGCAGGAACATCTTCAGCATTCTGGACGAGAAAATCTGTCAGAAAGTGAGCCAATTTGGCTCCAATAAAACGAAGGTGTCTGATGGCGATAGTGAGGACGATCGGTTCGTGAAGAAACCACTGAGACGTCATGGAAGCTTGTCCGAGCGTCATAATGGCCATGCTGGATCCGATGAACCGGCGTCCGCTATTGATAACCAGAGAACCAACGACATCTTCCAAGAGCCTTTCATCACGGGGCCAAAACGACGGCATACCATCTCGACTCCCGAAGAGACAACACACTCCAGCACGCAGCGGGTGCGAACTACCCCAAGCGGCCGACGAAAAAGATCCATAGCGCCAGGGTTGGCGTCCTTCCTCTCGCTGACGGCTGCTCAAGCGCAAGTCCGCAGATGGGTCTACGCTCTGTATACGTACGCAGCGGTTTTCCTGATCATCATGGGGCCAGTGAGGAAGTATGTCGGGGAGAAAGCGCTCCATGGAAATGAGCCATTTGGATGGGCCTTGGGGTATCTCCTGGGTAATCAGTCTTGGTTCCGATTCTGGACGGTCATGATGAATCTGGAGGGCTGGATTCGTATCCCTCTTCGCTTCGACCCGGACAGCACTGCAGCATGTCGTCAGGGCTGGCTGGAACATCTTCGACAGGATACCTTCGGGGAAGCTAATACACGACTTCTGATATCTGCATATTGTCTTCTTGTTCTCATCACCGGAATGGCAATCGTACTTCGTCTGAGCTCCATTGTCGAAGTGGATACCAGACGCAAAGTCTTCCATGGCATGATGGTGGCCATGTTTCTTCCGACGGTATATGTCGATCCTGCGTTCTGCGCCCTAGCACTTTCTCTGATCCTGGCTATATTCTTATTGCTGGATCTATTCCGGGCGTCTCAGTTACCCCCTATCTCACGGCCGCTTACGCATTTCCTCGCCCCGTATGTTGATGGTCGTGATCACCGTGGACCGGTCATCGTGTCGCACATTTTCCTCCTCATCGGATGTGCGATTCCGCTGTGGTTATCCCTTGCAAGCCTGCCGCGTGGCGGAAGCCCGCCGTGGGAGGGCTGGGAGGTACCTTCTCCGGACGTCAGCATGGTCAGCGGAGTGATTTGCGTGGGCATGGGAGACGCAGCGGCCTCACTTGTCGGACGGCGTTTCGGACGGCACAAGTGGTTTTGGGGCGGAGGAAAGTCTCTGGAAGGCAGCGTGGCATTTGCAGCGGCCGTCTCCGTTGGTTTGATTGCCGCACGGGCCTGGGTTGTCCTTGGTGGTTGGCACCCTTCCAGTGCTTGCTCCTGGCCCCTCATTGTAGGTAAGTCGATATTGGCAGCCAGCGTTGCCAGTACCACCGAGGCAGTTCTTACCGGGGGAAACGACAATGTTATTGTTCCTATTGTGCTATGGTTGCTCGTGAGAGGATTGGACATTTGAGCAGTATAGAAGAGCAGCTCCTCGCTTGTACTACACCAATGAGAATGACGCGAGCCTACAGGTTCGCGCGGACATGACTTTACGATGATCGAGAATTGGCGGTCTGTTGTATTAGAGAACATCTGGAGTGGGAGTATTGATCAGAGGCAAACCAAAAAGATTTCTACGCAAGCATGGCATTTTCCTTTGTGTCTTAACTTCATTACCTTTTTGGCCCGGGAAAGAAAATACTGGCGTTGTTCAGGATGGCCCTTGCTTTTCGATGTTGATGTGTTGTACTTATAGCGCCATTGTACTGGTATTCGGTCATTTCTATCCTTTTTTTGAAGCCTCACTCCAACCTTGGGCTCTTCCAGCCTTGATAGCTCTCTTGCCTCCGATATGTATGTATGTATGTATCTATCTATCTATCTCCTACTTCATTACGGGAATTTTGAATGTTGCCTATGAATTAGAAAGAACTTTCATGTTGTCATTGTTGCCTGGTTGGTATCGATATTATTAGTATAAATCACTAGTTAGTTAGAGCGATATGCACAGACACAAATACAGATCCAGATCCAGGCCCAGGCCTAGAACAGGGACACAGATAGATAATAAAACTGTTCATTGGAGGTTAGGCGGCTGCCTGTTATCCTAGGTTGCGTTGTGAGATGTGTGCCTAGTATTGAGGTGTTTTCTTTTCTTCTGTTCTTGTTGAGAGTTGTGTGTCGAATTGAAATATAGATAAGATACGTGGTATCTGAATAAAGGGAGGCATTGAGACTAGACCACGATGCTCGGTTAGTACGGGGTAGATAGTTATTTAGTAGTAGTGACTATCTAACTATCATAGTCTACCTAGGTATCTAGTGAGTGTGGCTGCCTATGGTGTGGTGCGATGCAGGGCTGAGGTGGTCGGTGGTCAATAATCGCCGACCACTAAATAAATATCTGAGAAATTGGGGTGTGACTGATAGTGAAGGAAAGCGTATGGTACTGAGTCCTAAGGAATGATGAAAATGAGTTGTAATAAGAGATATAGAGTAACTCGAGATATAGATATAGATAGAGTAGGCGACGAGTCGCTTATCTTGTGTTATTAGTATGTACATACTTTCGAAACCGTTTTCGGTCCTCGGGATCTGCGGCACTAGAACCATGGGGCTGTGATCTTGGCTTGGTGTCTTGTCTTGTCTGTCTGTCTATCTGGAGGAAGAGAAGACGAGAGAGAAAGAGAGAGAGAGGAGAGAATCAATTGTTCTTTGCTGGCCAACGAGTGGATCCCGGTTCGCTGACGATCTGTGGGGAATAATGGCTGAAGAAGAAGACATCGATAGATAACTAGGATTATGGGTAGATAGATACTCTACGGATGAGGGTGATGGCTTGTCTTTGTATTATTCTTGTCCAGTGGTTATATCTACGTATTTGCGGGAAGTTTCTTGACTGGATGATTCTGAGATTTTGCCATCATTTTTGGTACCTGTTGGGCAGTTGCTTTTCACGCTAAAGATGATATCTATCGACCCTGTCTGTTCCGCAGCCGCGGTTAGGCCGCTAGATAGCCTGGTGGTGATCTTCTAGTCTATCCAGGTCGCAACTGCGAGTCATCTTAGGAAGACTGTGCTGGAACTAGAACTATCTAGTTATCGAATCTAAGAGTAGATAGAATCCAGTCAGTGCACTGCTATCTTCCTCTTCCTTCCTTCCTTTGATGGGCCCGGCTGACTGGGGCGGCTGAGTTACCCTTGGATCAATAATAATCTTCAGCGTCTGCTCTACTTACGCGGGTTAGACTAGTCAATCCAATGGTGCTGCGGCCCCAGGTGGTTCTGCCTGGGACAGACAACGCGCCACGTTGAGTGTCTGGCTGCAGCGGCCATGCGGAGTGGAGAGGGAATGATAGGAGAGGTGTTTCTGACGCGTCCTGGGCCCCAGAGGGTGTTGTCTGCCTGGAAAGAAAAAGGAGGATTGAAGTCAGTCAAGTAGAGAGGAAAGAAAGAATGTTGTGACAGGGAAGAGAGAGCGAGATAGTCTATTATTATTTTAGGTAGTTATCTACTGTAGATAGTACTAAGTACTAAGTCTAGAGTACTTAGGTGAGACTCTGAGAGAGGCGCAGTTGGGAATGAAAGCGGGAGATCACGGGATTGATTGATCATCCCTCGCAGGGTCCAGTCACCGGACATATCATATCAGCTCGCTTCTCAGGGGAATTATTATTATTATTATTATCATTATTGAGAGGCTGGACAAGTCAGTCAGTAGTCAGTTAAGTGAATTGATTAATTAATTAATTAATTAATTTGAATTAATTAAATAACTTCCCAGTGAGCGCCGTGGATGAACAAGCGATAAGACCGAAGAGGGATGGCGTCATGGTGAAGTTGACCATCGTGATTTGGAGTCGCGATGACTGTCGCCTGCGATGACGAGGGAGTGGTTTTTAGGTTGAAAGCACCTTGATTCGTGGAAGTTTAATGCATTTGTATTATAGTATCGTGGACATTATTATTATTATTACTAGTAGACTGGAGAGTATTCAACTAAAGAATAGTTATATCTAGAGTACTTAGACAGTCAGCCAGCACATCTAAGGACCGGAAATGACGGTCTGGAATCGGGATGGCAAAACAGCACACAGGACAAGCCCAGATCATCGACCAGGCAGTCATCTTCGCATCCGTTATTGACGTGGAGGCGGTCGTTTCAGCAACCGGTCACGTCCGGCGTTGGCAGTGGTTGGCTCCTGTTGGCTCGTTGCGGATGATCGTGTCCCTCTCCGCGATCGTTACTAAGTAGCTAGAGACATCCTCGACCATCTGACGGATCGAATCGGCCGTTTTCTTTCTCCAGATGGTCAACTGGTCAGACAGTACGAGTTGAGCATGAGAAGTTTGGCATCATCGCTGGTATCTAATAACAATACAAGAAAATAATAATAATTATAGAGCTCGATCGCTACTTAGTTATCTCGATCTAACTATCTGAGATCACTTATCACCACTGCCGCCCTGCTGACCGCCTTATCCACGACTTCTGAGACAGCCTCTCCTCCTCCTGCTTGATCCTCCTTCTCTCGATCCTTGGGTCTGCTGCTGGCTTGACTTCCCTCTCCCTCCGCTCAACCTTCTCATCACGCAATCATCCTCTACTCTGTTGCTTGCAACCCAAGCCCGTCCTGTCGTTTCCTTGACCTGGTCGATCTGCCACCCCAAAGCTCCCCGATAACCACGAGCGCCGATCTATCGGTCGATTGATTCATTCCCATCTCATCGGCCAATCCCCTGCCAGTCAAGGTCTCGACCGCATTTTCCATCCATCCTTCCATCGCAAGCTTCACCATCCTTCCTTTTTCCTTGTCTGAACAACTACCCGGGTCGACTTGTTTTCGAGTCATCACGGTCCCCAGTCCGTTCGAGCTTGCAACCGGGTCCCCGGCAATCCCCAGCTCCGTCGGCCGCATCGTGATTCCCATCTCGACCGTCGACAGCGCTGATCCTACAGCATCTACGCCAGAGTGCTGTTCGTGCGGTGTCCTGATGGGCCTCCACTGCACTCCGTCCTCGTCCCCGCCGTTGTCGAGGTAGTTGTGACGGAGAGATAGCTCAGCTTCCGGCGTCGGACTACTCGGTGGCGTATCTCGAGAGGACTGCCAGTCAGTCACCCATCCCCCCCCCAAACAGCGAGGATGGCCGCGCAGCAACCCTCGAGGAGGGCCCGTGAGGGCTCCCGATCAGAGCTGCCTATAGGTCGATACACAAGGCTGGATGAGATTGGGAGAGGAAGCTTTGCTACCGTCTATCAGGGCGTACATTCGGTGAGTCACCTCCCGACATAGATTCTCTATCTCTAATGGCATACACTCATCCATCCTCTGCTGAGATGTTACTGAGGATGAGAGCTCCTTGCGCTGACTGCTTCTTCTGAACTGTAGAAACATCGGTCCTACGTAGCCATCAAGTCGGTCAACCTGGGAAAGCTCAACAAGAAACTCAAAGATAACCTCTCGTCGGAGATCGACATCCTCAAGGGCCTTCACCATCCCCATATTGTCGCTCTTATCGACTGCCATGAATCCTCATCTCATATCCACCTGGTCATGGAGTATTGTGCCCTGGGGGATCTGTCACTCTTCATCAAGCGGCGGGATACGCTGGGAGACCACCGGTTTACGCGGGATATGATCGCCAAGTACCCGAACCCACGCGTCGGTGCGCTCAATGAGGTCGTGGTCCGGCATTTCCTCAAGCAGCTCGCGAGTGCACTCAAGTTCTTGCGAGACCGCAATCTGATCCATCGCGACATCAAACCCCAAAACCTCCTATTGTGTCCCTCTCCCACGTCATACAAGCACGGTGTGCCCCAGGTCGTCCCTTACAAGGGAAGTGAGAACTCTTTCACACCCGCCACTGGGCTAGAGTCCTTACCCATGCTGAAGATCGCTGATTTTGGCTTCGCTCGATCTCTTCCGTCCACCTCTCTGGCGGAGACGCTGTGCGGCTCTCCACTCTACATGGCCCCTGAGATCCTTCGATACGAGAAATACGATGCGAAGGCAGACCTTTGGTCAGTCGGAACGGTGCTCTACGAGATGGTGGTGGGCAAGCCCCCGTTCAGGGCCAGCAACCACGTCGAATTGCTGAGAAAGATCGAGCGAGGCGAGGATCGAATCCGATTCCCAGAAGACAACGAAGCGTCAGCCGAGATCAAGCAGCTGATCCGTGCTCTTTTGAAGCGCAACCCGGTGGAGAGAATGACGTTCAAGGATTTCTTCGATAACGTGGTCATTCAAAGTGAGATCCCTGGGCTGGTCGGTGACGATCGACCTCCTGTCAGTCGCCGTCCGTCCGCTGATGTTGGCACCGTCGATCAGCAGCGTCGAGTCAGCTCTCGCGGAGAGCTCGCAGCGCAATTGGACACAATATCCGCCGCAGAGGCTCGGGAGCGCTCGTCTGCGCGAGGCCGCGAATCACCTATTCCTAGCAATCTCCAGCGACCGATGACGCCCCGGATGAAGTCAGATACACCGCCTAGGCCCAGTCCCATGAGACGGGTAGCCAGCGGAGACCGGCCCCTGTCGTCAGGTAAGGATCTCCAGCGAGCGGCCGTCACTGCTCAACGGCCGGCCGCTATCACCCACGCGACGGCTCCTGGACGTCAGGAGCTCATGGATCGCAGTGGCGTGGCCGCCGGCCTAGAACGCCCCAGTCGAGCCACTTATCCACCGGCCATGGAGGATGTCCAGACACGGGAAGACAGAGTGCTGGATGAGAGGGAGCGAGCTGCTCAAGAGGTCGCCTTTGAGAGAGACTACGTCGTGGTTGAGAAGCGTGCGGTGGAAGTGAATGCATTTGCAGATGAGCTCGCCAACAGCCCTCGTATCAACCAGACTTCCCGCCAAGGAACCGCTTTAACCCGACGAGCCACAGTCCAAGGCCCTTCAAGTCCGAGCTCACAAGCAGCGCAGGCGAGAGCCATGCAGGTGGCTACCGGGCGAGCCCGGGCTGATTCCACGCATCATCGCCAGAGTTCCTATGAGCGGAGGTATGGCCAGAGCCCGACGTCAGCGACATCTGCTATCTCCAAAGCGCTCAATATGGCAAGCGGACGGTTGTTTGGCGTGGGATTTTCTCCCCCCTTGACCATTGGCAAGGGCGGTCGCTCCCCTCCGCTGGCGTATAACCCGTTCCCTGCCTACCCCGCGGTCCAAGGCAGTCTCATGGCCGTTGGAGATAGTCCCAAGGCCAATGCGGCTGTCGATGAAGACACAAGAACCGTGCAGGTGATCGAGGAGTGTGCGACTCGAAGTGATGTGGTCTACGGGTTCGCGGAAGTCAAGTATAAGCAACTCATTCCGCTAGCGCCCTCCGTCCACACTGATACAACAATCAAGCACAATTTCCAAGGCGGCGATGGTGACCCTTCGGATTCGGCCGACGGTGGCCTCACTGTCGATGCAATTGTGACTCTATCAGAAGAAGCGTTGGTGCTTTATGTCAAGGCGCTGGCCCTGCTAGCCAAGTCAATGGATATCGCCGGTGGCTGGTGGGCTCGCAAGAACCGCGGGGAAGTTTTTGGAGAATCGCCCCCTAGATCGGAGGGAATGTCTGCGACGAGTGCTGTGGTTGGGACGCGCATCAACAACGTGGTTCAATGGGTCCGTAATCGGTTCAACGAGGTGTTGGAGAAGGCGGAATTTGTCCGGTTGAAGTTGATTGATGGCCAAAGACGACTTCCCCCTGATCACCCTAGCCATCCGAGCAACCACTCGATTGGTTCTGCTTTGGGTACCTCGGTTGATAATGTCGTCGTGGGCTCTGGAATAACAGCTGAGAAGCTCATGTACGACCGGGCGCTGGAGATGAGCAGGGCTGCTGCGATCAACGAACTCACTGGTGAAGACTTGCCTGGATGTGAGATTGCCTACGTTACCGCCATCAGAATGCTTGAGGCTGTGCTCGAGGATGACGAACTGCCCCGATCAAGGAAAGGCAGTGATGCGGAGAAAGCCAGCCCATCCGACGGTGACCGACTCATGCTCGATGGTGTGCAGGTGGAGGATCGAAAAGTTGTGATGAAACGTAAGTGTCTCTATTTCTGTTGATCGATATGTCAAGCTAAAAGTTGTATAGTCGTCTCCAGCATCCGCAGCCGCCTTGCCTCTCTCCGCAAAAAGATGGCTCTGATGGCCAAGCGGGCATCTGCATCTCCAGCTGGTGCTGCAGCAAAGGTTCCCACGTCAAATCTGCGTCCTGTATCACCCGCCATGGCAGTTACTCCGCCCAAATGAGTTCATGCAAGATGACCATTTCCCTATGGAATCCAGCTCTACTTTCCAAAATCCACATCCGCGTTTTTATATGGACCTTGGAACTTGTCACCTGCGCGATACCATGCCAGCGTGTCTTGAGGTTTCACGCGGCATGTTTTCATCCGTGCCTTGAAAAGGCTGTCCTTTTCAATGGCCACTCATCTTCTCGTCTCCCGATGTCGCTTTGTTGACTTCACAATTCTCTTCCAACCGCGTCTTAATGACTTACTTTTTAACATTTCTACTATACTACGTTGACCTTTTTCTTCCTCTCCCTCTTCATTGGAGTCGGATCCCCGACTCTGCAATAATGTTTCTCTGGGCGGTTTTCGTGCGCACGTTCCCGGTTTGTTTTTTCCACCGACGTCTTTGGACCGGTTTATCATATATCCAATGGGAAGAAGATGGAGTTTCTTGTTTGTGGCGTTTCGCGTTGGGCAATGGGTCTCCAGACTGGCTAACTCGACTCTCCTATGCTGTTGTTGCTTTCACTTTCTTTTTCGTTGATGGCCCGCATTATGGATGACGCTGCACGGCAGTAGTTATGATAACGGCATGGCATGACCTCGCGTCGTTTGTGTAAGGCCGTCTGTCTGATATATGGAATATTTGGTGTAAATACTTTTGGGAACGGGCGCTGTCCAGGCTGTTCGGGCGTTGGCATCGGTCCAGAGAGGCTTCCTTGCTCTCGGTTTCGGGGTTGTCATGGTGCTTTCTGATCTCATGGAACCAAAGGCTGTCCGGGCGGTCTCTGTATGTAAACAGTGAACGTGGACTGATTATTATTTGTCTACACTTGTGTCTTTGTCTTCTGTTCATCTCTTCAATCAGTAGATAGGGCCGAGAGAGCGTCGGGATGCCGAGCAGAAAACTGGGTTTACCACAGGACGCCACACGGTCCGTGCCGATTATTGCGTGATGCGCCTCCCGATTTCTGTGTGTCATCGCGCCTGTGCCGGTGTCTGAGCGCAGTTGGCTAAGGACGAGAATAATGAGGTTGGCATCTGCTAGTTATTTTTCGTTTATGGTACCTTCCGCTAATCTGCTCACGAGGCATCGCGTGTGCAATTCGTCCAGGGGAAGGGCTTTTTTCTGTCGAGCGTTTTCTGTGGCGGACACCCATGGATCTATATCCTGTTGCGCCTGTGATTCGCCCCTCCCCGCGCCCATGGACAGCAGCGCAGTGGCCATCTCAGGGCGTCTAGCACACTTGAGGTTAAAGTTAGTGGAGATATCAGATCTAAACGGCCGCTCTTTGGGGATTTCTAGAAAATTTGACCGATTGCGCCATCACTCGACGGTTGCATGGGCTGGGCTTCTCGATTAAAAAAAAAAAAGATCAATGCCCTGCTCGCGTGTGGCGCGAGCAACAAATTCTTGCACATTCGAGCGCGACCATCTTGTCTTGTTGAATATTAAACATTATTTCTCGCCGCCATGAGATGACTTTCCCTTCTGGGCTACCGTGAGCTTGTGTGGACCGTTTGCAAATAGGGTCGAGCCTGTGCTGATCCCCGTGGAAAGATCAATATTGCTGCTCTTGGTAGCTTCCCCAGTTTCCCTCTCTCTCCAGGCCTCCAGGACTACTTACTTGAGGTCTTGTCCCGCTGCAAAAAAGTAACGTCGACTGGGGCTGGATGGTTCGGTCTCATTGCACCACACTTAGTACAAGCACATCATCGCTGTCGGCTGTCACCGCGCGGTTAAGCCCGGTTTTGGTCGGGAACAGTCGCTCTTGGGGTGTTTGAGTGTAACTCAAGCTTGCGCTTGGTCCAGCACGTGTGGGAAAAATATCATTCTATAAGAAACATTGGGCGCCCAAGTGCATTTGATATCGTTTGCTGCTATAGTGTGTGTTGGCGCAACCCAGCTGCTATTGAACCATACTACATCGCCATGGCCGATCAAGAACCACAGAGCGGGTTTGTCAAGAACGCCGCCGCTGATGTGAAACCACTCGATGAGACGCCAAAGAGGGCAGATGGAATCTCACAGATCTGTAAGTATCAACACCCGCAGAATCAGTTTGTGGCATGCATTTGCCTACGTCCCGACATGGAGTGGCTCATATGTTATAGATGACGGTCATGTCTTCGACCAGTCGCCGGATAGCAGACGGCAGATTGGTGTCGTTACAGCGTCGTTCTTGATCTTCAACCGAATCATTGGAACGGGTATCTTTGCAACACCGAGTGCCATTCTGTCGTTGACAGGCAGTGTCGGACTGGCCCTCTTCATCTGGGTTGCCGGCATGGTTATTAGTCTGGCTGGAACGGCCGTCTACCTCGAATGGGGAACCGCGATTCCCAAGTATGTATATCAAGATGTGGATGCAGTGGTCTGAACTAATCTGGTTTGTGTTATAGAAACGGAGGCGAGAAGAACTACCTGGAATATGTCTATACCAAACCCAAGTTTCTCGCGACGGCCATGTTCGCCGCATACGCCGTTCTGCTTGGCTGGGCGGCATCGAACAGTGTCATCTTCGGAGAATACATCCTCAACGCTGCGCAGGTCGAAGTCACTCGGTGGAACCAGCGAGGTATCGGCTTGGCCTGTATTTCGGCCGCCCTCCTGATCCATTCCACGGCATTGAAATGGGGTCTCCGCCTTCAGAACGTTCTGGGAGCGATCAAGCTGATCATCATTCTGATCATTGTCGTCACTGGATGGGTGGCACTAGCTGGACACCTGAAAGTCCCCAAGCCAGACAACTTCTCGAACGCATTTGCGGGGACCGAGGGCAGTGGTTATGGTATCGTGACCGCTCTATATAACGTGATCTGGTCGTTTATCGGTTATTCCAATGCAAACTACGTGAGTGGCCTTCTGGAGGAGTTTTTCTTCTTATCCCTCTCAGGTTGAATGATATCTGACTGAAAGCAGGCTCTGAGCGAGACCAAGAATCCTGCTCGCACATTGAAGATTGCAGCTCCGTTCGCAGTTACATTTGTTGGAATTCTGTACATCCTGGTCAACGTCGCGTACTTTGCGGCCGTCCCGAAGGAGGAGATTCTGTCATCAGGCCGCATCCTGGCAGCCTCCTTTTTCCGCAACATGTTCGGCGAGCGAGCGGAGCGAGTCATGTCCGTGTTCGTGGCGTTGTCTGCGTTTGGAAACGTGCTTTCTGTTTTGTTCTCGCAGGGTCGAAGTAAGTTGAACGGTGTCTAAGTAGTTTCCTTTTTTTTTTGACGATCCGGATCATCGATATTGACAATGGGAACAGTCGTGCAGGCACTCGCACGCGAGGGCGTGTTGCCCCTCTCCAAACTATGGGCCAGCAATCGGCCTTTCAACGCCCCCGCTGCTGGTCTCTTGGAGCATTACATTGTCTCCGTGATCATCATGCTTGCTCCCCCGCCGGGAGATGCCTATAACTTCCTTCTCAAGTATGTTTTTTTTGTTTCTATTTATGATCTGCAAATCCGTCTCAGTTTCTGACCACAAATTTCCAGCTTGATCTCCTACCCTCTCGCGATTGTCAACGTGTTTGTCTCCGGAGGTCTCATGTACATTTATCTCACCAAATCGAAGGGCAAGTTCCCGGACTGGGCTCCCTCTATCCACGCCACTCTCCCCGTCACCGTCTTCTTCTTCCTGTCGAATCTCTACCTGACCATCGCCCCATACGTTCCCCCGTCTCCCGGCCAGAACGTCTACGAACACCTGCCTTACTTCCTGCACTGCGTTGTCGCACTGGGCATCTTCGGCTGCGGTGCACTGTACTGGCTCGTCTGGGCCGTTCTCCTGCCCTACCTGGGCAAGTACACATTGGTGAAAGAGACGGTTGTCGACCCGGATGGCTGGTCGAGAAGCATATTCGTGAAACTGCCACGAGACAAGGTGCGGCAGGAAGCACTACAGCATGAAGGACCAGGGGAAGGGAGTTCGAGGTCATGAAGAAGCATGAGTAAACGTCACAAAATAATGGTTTCTCTCTATTTATTTATTTAATAATGAATATCCTATCTTTTTCGTTTGACGTTCTGGTTTTGAACGCTGCGAATATATTACTATAATAATATATTATGATGTCCCAACGTTCTATGGAAACCCACTCACTTTGCTCCCTCCTTAAAAAAAAAAGGAAACAATACTGGGCCCCTCAAACTTGCTGGATTAACCCTCTAGCAAGGAAGTAAAGAGATCGCGATCCGAACGAACCTGGTGGAATGTAGGGACCGCGTTCTCTCCAGCAGCCGGTGTTAAGCTTGACTGGTTGCTGAGGTTTGTTCCTTGCGGTGTTTTTGTAAGAGGGAAAGAGTCGATGGAGTGGGAGATTTTCCATTTCATTTGTAGTTAACTAAGGTTGGTTAGTGAGTTCATTATATAATCATAGAAGGCCTGAGGCCATTAAAACTGACTGCAGATCACCTGATACTTGACTAAGCATATTCACCGCCAATTGTTCTGCCCGCTTCACCGCCGCAAGCGCTGACCGCCCGCAGGAAATGAAGCCTGGACGACAAAGACAAGGAAATTAAATTTACCTTAACGAAGGTACTATTATTATTATTAAGTTCAAGTTAATCGTGTTGTTGTTGTTCTTCTGCCCCTCCTCTCCTCCGCCCTTCCCAGCCCCTCTTCTGTCTGCTCCCCCTCTTCTCCTCCTCTCCCTCGTCCATGCGTCGATTCTCTCGGAGCCCATCGCTGGTCTGGAACGCAGCAAAGCTCCCACGGCCTGCCTCCATTATTATTCCCCGACATCGCTGGACATCACTCCCGTCCTCTCCTTCCAGATCTCTCTCCTCCCTTCGAACGACTTCCGCTCCGTCATCGCGCATTCCCGCCCGTCTTGCACCGCTGAATCAGGCCTCCAAGCGATACTGCTCATACCGCAGGATGTGTCGCTCCAGACATGCCGATGCGCCCTCGGGCTCGACTACCGTCCCGGGTCGAGAGGTGCTGCCGACTAATGTCAAGCCATTGCACTATGACTTGACTCTGGAACCGGACTTTGAGAAGTTCACCTACGAAGGAACTGTGATCATTGAGTATGTTGTGGCCGTATTCCTGGAATTTTATGCCTGTGTTGTTCCAAGGCAACCAACGGCGGATAATGACCGTCTACAATAGCGGACAATCGATCTGCAGTCACACGGCACACAAAGATGTCGCTAATTTGTTTTATTTCTCTGCTATAGTCTCGACGTCGTAGAGGACACCAATTCCATTTCGCTGAACTCAAATGAGATCGACATCCATTCCACCACCGTGTCCGCAGGAGGAGCGGTGGTGACCTCCAGCCCAGAGGTGACCTACGACCAGGATGCGCAGACTACGACAGTCAAGTTCAAGGAGACCATCCCTGCCGGATCAAAGGCCCAGATCAAACAGACTTTCACGGGCCAGCTCAATGACAACATGGCCGGGTTCTATCGGTCCTCTTACAAGGACAAGAACGGCCAGAAGAAGTACATCGCGACGACGCAGATGGAGCCCACGGATGCCCGGAGGGCCTTCCCTTGCTTTGACGAGCCCGCCCTGAAGGCCAAGTTTACCGTCACGCTGGTCGCAGACAAGGGTAAAACCTGTCTCAGCAACATGGACGTAGACCAGGTCTTCGAGGTCGACTCGAAAATCACGGGCGGCAAGAGACAGGCAACCAAGTTCACAACCTCCCCGTTGATGTCGACGTACCTCGTGGCCTTTATTGTCGGCGATCTCAACTACATCGAAACCAAGAACTTCCGGGTTCCCATCCGTGTGTATGCTACTCCGGACCAGGACATCGAACACGGCCGGTTCTCCCTGGAACTGGCCGCCAGGACGCTTGCCTTCTACGAGAAAGCTTTCGATAGCGAATTCCCTCTTCCCAAGATGGATATGGTCGCCATCCCGGACTTTAGCGCTGGTGCCATGGAGAACTGGGGTCTGATCACATACCGTATCGTCGATGTTCTTCTTGATGAGAAGACTAGCGGCGCCTCGATGAAGGAGCGAATTGCGGAGACGGTCCAGCATGAGCTTGCCCACCAGTGGTTCGGAAACCTTGTCACCATGGACTTCTGGGATGGTCTCTGGCTCAACGAGGGGTTTGCGACCTGGATGTCCTGGTATTCGTGCAACGCCTTCTACCCGGAGTGGAAGGTCTGGCAGACCTACGTCATTGATAACCTCCAGAGCGCGTTGTCCCTGGACTCCCTGCGGAGCAGTCACCCGATCGAGGTCCCTGTGAAGCGGGCAGATGAGATCAACCAGATCTTCGATGCCATCTCCTATTCGAAGGGCTCGTCGGTCCTGCGCATGATTTCCAAGTACATGGGCGAGGATGTCTTCATCCAGGGTGTCCGGGATTACATTAAGAAGCATGCTTACGGAAACACCCAGACGGGTGACTTGTGGGCAGCCCTGGCTAAGGCCAGTGGCAAGCCCGTCGAGTCAGTGATGGATATCTGGACGAAGAACGTCGGTTTCCCCGTCGTGACAGTCTCAGAAAACCCTACCAAGTCCACAATCAACGTGAAGCAGAACCGTTTCCTTCGCACTGGGGATGTCCGTCCCGAGGAAGATAAGACGATCTACCCCGTCTTCCTTGGTCTTCGCACCAAAGACGGCGTGGATGAGAGCATCACCCTCAGCGAGCGCGAGGGCGAGTTCAAGGTTCCTGATCTTGACTTCTTCAAACTCAACGCTGATCACACCAGCATCTACCGGACATCTTACACCCCTGAACGACTCGAGAAGCTTGGAAAGGCTGCCAAGGATGGCCGCTTGACGGTTGAAGACCGTGCGGGTATGATTGCTGATTCGGGAGCGCTGGCAGCATCTGGGTACCAAAAGACCTCTGGTCTGCTGTCTCTACTCAAGGGTTTCGACACCGAGTCAGAGTATGTTGTGTGGAACGAAATGCTCACCCGCATTGGCACACTACGCGCTGCTTGGTTGTTCGAGGACCAGAGGGTCAAGGATGCTCTTAAGGCTTTCCAGCGCTCCCTTGTTAGCGAGAAGGCCCACCAGGTCGGCTGGCAGTTCTCCCCGGACGATGACCACATCCTGCAGCAGTTGAAGGCTTTGACGTTCGGTAGCGCTGGTATGTCTGACGATCCCGTGGTCGTGAATGCTGCCAAGGACATGTTCAAGCGTTTCGCCGAGGGTGACCGGAGCGCCATTCACCCCAATATCCGTGGCAGTGTCTTCAGCATTGTCTTGAAGAACGGCGGCGAGAAGGAGTACGACGTCATCTTGGACCGTTTCCGCAACGCCCCTACTTCCGACGAAAAGAACACTGCTCTGCGTACCCTCGGTGCCGCTGAAGACCCCGCTCTCATCAAGAGGACCTTGGATCTTGCCAGCGGTGACGAGGTCAAGAACCAGGATATTTACATGCCGCTTGCTGGTTTGAGAAGCCATACCAATGGTATCGAGGCCCGGTGGGAATGGCTGAAGACGAACTGGGATGCCATCTACAAGCGACTGCCGCCGTCTCTGGGAATGCTGGGAAGCGTAGTCCAGATCACTACCTCCAGCTTCTGCACGGAGAAGCAGCTGAAGGAGGTGGAAGAGTTCTTTGCTTCAAAGGATACGAAGGTAAGTCGGTACATTTAGCCATAGAGGGAGACAAGAGTGAGATTTGGCTGACATGTGCCGTGTTGTAGGGTTACGACCGTGCTGTCGAGCAGAGCCTTGATGCCATCCGCGCCAAGGTCCACTGGCTCAAGCGTGACCGGAGTGACGTAGAGAACTGGCTGAAGGCAAATGGATACATCAACGAACAGAAGCTGTGAAACTGTTGACCGATTCCTCTGGGACTTTGCACGTCAATTGAATCTGGCGTCCAACGTTTGAACCGGCTATATACTACTCCTCAGAGAGTTACAGACGTACTCGTCACGGGCCTTGTGGTGGTTATCTGAATGAACTACCAGGAGCAGCTAACCTGTAATTCGAAAAAAAGAAAAAAGATAAAAGCCAGAACGGGGCAGATAGTCTCACTCATCCAAGCCCCCGTCTTACTCGGCTTCTTTGATAATCCCCCCCAGGATAGCAGAGAAAAGGGTGGGGAAAAAAAAAGAATACAAAAATAGATCACCGAACCGATGTTCGGATCTCCTCTCACCAGAATAATTAAATGACCGCGTGAAGCTCCTCCCATAGTATCCATGGACGTGGAATTCTCCTAAAAAATAACTCTATCTATTTCTAAACACAACCGAAAGAGAGACCGACCAGTAAAAGAGACATAAAGTATTTTATTATTGGGAGAACTATGATGATAGAATCATAGACAGACAGGAGAGATAAGATAGGCAGGCCATCGGCGAAGGAATTATTACATAGTTACTATCATGACAAGAGAACTGCGGTACGTATATGTATGTATGTATGTATGAATTGAATGATCGATATTATTACAACTACCTCTAGTAGTCATAATACATAAGGATAAAAATCGATGTATTTTTTTAAAATAAACGGGTAAAACGCCATGTCCAATCCGCCCCCCGTTCCAGACCCCGAATGATCATAATTGATCGATCGCTATACAAGAGGCTCACAAGAGTAAGTAAGAAAGAAAGAAAAAAAAAAAAAAAAAAAATAAGATGCGTGATTATTACATCTGCGAATGAAATGAAATATGATAACTACTTATGCGGAGGAGGGTCAGTCATGCCCATCCACCCTTTCCTCCAAAACCAGTGCTGTCTTCGATTTTCTTCTGTGCACCTCGAGTAGGTTTCGATTGGGCTGCTTCGTGCTTGCGTAGTTCTTCGGGAACGCGCGAGATGGAAGACTTCATGAGCATTTGTTTGAGGTCGTACCTGTTAGGAATGGAATGTTAGATAACTGGCTACGTTTTTGGGATGGAAAATGTATGGAACAAATGATGCATGGGGATGGGGGGAATGTAAGGAAAGAAGGAAGAAATATACGTACATGACGTCGGCATCTTCGTTGCCCAGGAAGGTGATTGCCACACCACTCTTTCCAGCACGTCCAGTACGACCGATACGATGAGTGTAACTCTCGATGTTCGTGGCCATGTTGAAGTTGACGACAAGACTGACATCTGGCACATCGATACCTCGTCCAGCGAGATCGGTCGCGACCAGAACGTCCGTGGTGCCGTTTCGAACTGAGGCCAGAGCCGCCTCTCGCTGTTCCTGAGTCTTGCTTCCGTGTAGCGTAACCGAAGAAAACCCCCATGATTTGATGTCGCGAGCGACAGCATCGCAGTTCCTCTTGATGTTGACGAAGACGATGATCGGAGGACGGAATTCTCCTGACATGAGAATGTCTGCAAGGCGCTTCTTCCGCTTGTCTTCGCCTGCGACGAACTCGACACGTTGTTCCACGGTTTCGACTGCCTCACCGGCACTACCGATTGTGACAATAGCCGGCCGACGGAGATACTTCCTTGCAATGCGCTCGACGGCTGAGGGCATAGTTGCCGTGTACATCATAGTCTGCCTGTAACGGTCCCTGCCTCCAATGTGTTGGCTCATCGCACGGGAGTCTTCTGCCTCTTCTGTATCGGGCTTCTCGTTCGAGACAGGCAGCGCATCAAGGATCTTGTTGACAGGTTCTTCGAAACCCAGATCAATCATCCTATCAGCTTCATCCATGATGACGTAGCAACACTGGCTGAGGACGAGTATGCGTCGTTCGATACAGTCCACCAGACGACCTGGAGTAGCGATGATGATCTCTGCGCCGTTCCGCAAGCTATATGCTTGTTCCTCCAGCGAGTGACCACCAACGATACTCACGACGTTGAATCCAAGAGGACCCGCGAACTTCTTGGCTTCGATTTCAATCTGCTGCGCCAATTCACGGGTGGGAGCTAGAATAATGGCGTACGGGCCATCGGCCTTTCTCCACTCGAACTCGTCTATCCGAGGCAACTCTGCGATATAGACAAACAAGGGAAGCAAAAATGCAGCGGTCTTACCCGAACCAGTAACAGCAACACCGATAAGATCTCGGTTCTGCAGGGCGATAGGGATAGCTGCACGCTGAATAGGTGACGGCTCTTTATATCCGACTTTGTCAATAAGCTCGAGCAGCCGCCGGGGCAGGTTCGATTCCTCCCATGACCGCATAGGATTCGGCACGCTTCCACCCTTGGTACTGATGTTGAAGTCTTCCTTGAAGATACGCCAGTCTCTTTCCCGCATCTGGTCCAATCTCTTCTCGCTCCAATGTTTGTCGAGAGCGGCCTTGCTGCTCTCCTCTCTCCGTCTCCGCTCCATCTCCAAAATCTCACGGGCTCTCGCACTTCCAGCTTCTTTATCACGCTCTTCTAGAGCTTTGGCATAGTTTCGCACAACGGTATCCGCGACATCGTCACCGAAACCGGCCAGACGGCCACGGCCGAAGAAGTTGACCTCTGCACGGTTCTGGTACAGCGGATTGTAGTCAGCACTGGTATCCTCCTCTGCATTCCACTCGAAGTTGAATTTCCTTTCCGTCGTGCGCTTGCGCTTCTTCTTCGCCGAAAAGTTCGAGGTCTGATCTTGTCCCATATACCGCTGCTTGATGAGCGCAGCTTGAGCTTCCTCCTCATCCAATGGGCGCTTCTCTCCCTTTGAATCCCGAGGACCAAACGATATAGGCTTCGGTGGAGGAGGGGGCTGCATGTCGTAGTCCTTGTTGGGTTGCGAGTTGCGCATCGCCGCTCGCGCTGTAGGTACCTCCCCATTCCGCATGGCTCGTGGTCCAGTAGGAACAGGCCTGGGTAGGCCATTCAATCCGTCCGAGCTTGTAGGTGATCGCGCCCTATTTCGATCAGCGCCATTTGTTGCCCGCTCTGCTTTCGCTCGTCGCTCGGCTTCGACTTCTTTAGCTCGTTTCTCGAGAGCCAGCCTCTCTCTTTCCGCTCGAGAAAGGAATTTGGGCTACAGATAGAACATCAAGTTAGCGACGCTTCATTGACCAAACTGAAGAACATTGGATAGAGAAAAAGAACATACCTTTGCAGCTGCCGCATCCGCCTCTCTCTTTTTCCGCAACAGCTCCTCCACACTCAACGGTGTCGTCGACTTTTGCGAGCCCCATCCTGCCCTCTTCTTCTTCTCAACAACTGGCGCTGGGGGAGGCGGCGGCGCATCCTCCGGCGGAGGAGGGGGAGCAGTTGCTTCTGGCGGGGGTGGAGGCGCGCTCGCGTCGGAAGGCGGAGGAGGAAGAGAATGTTCAGGCGGCGGAGGAGGGGGCGGAGTAGGAGGACGCTCGATAGGGTCCTCCGGAGGTGCAGGAGGAGGCGCTCCAGCTGGTCCGCTTGTCACAATGCCGTCCATCATTGTCATTTGTGAGTATGAAAGGCGTCGGCGGAGATGAGCTCGAAGCTGGCGGAGATGGTCATTCATGCGGGTCGCCACACGTGCCATATGCGAAGTCACATGATGCATGAAACCGGTGGGATTTCCGCAGATTGATAATGATGAATTAATACTGTTTACTTAGATCATCTATACTTACGGCGGAAGACATGTTATTAGAGTAATCCCGTCAGAGCGGGAATACTACCGTCACCACTACGAGGAGCATCGGGGATTGCATGCTGCTAGAAAAGGAGCATAACCGAACTCATTACGAAGAGGGTAACTAACTGATAGGCATGAAAGCCATAGAATACAAAGAACTGTCCAATCCCTGTAGATCTGCATCCCGTAGATGCATTGTGATGCCGTTCAAAAAGCAGCGTAAGCTGTCGGCTCACCAACAAGAAACTCGCCACCCACCGGTCAACACGCCGAAATAGGGTACTCGTATGAAATCGTCTGTTCTACACGCAAGGGAACACGGTTCGCAACGGAGACAAAACAGGAAAGGGAAATCAAGGGTAACGGGCAACTGGTGTTGGCACCTGTAGGCGGTCAGAACCAGGAGATCGCTGGATCTTTCGAGAACTAAGGGATACTTACAGCGCCGTTGACCGGGGTTTGTCCATAGTAGGCAGCGTAAGGGCTTCCCTGGGCTGCCGCAGCAACTGCTGGATCAGGGACAGCAACAGGGACAGGGACAGGCGTTCCCTGGCTGCCGTTCTGAGGACCTTTCTCCGTAGGCCTGCCCTTGATTGCGGTCTGGACAGACGTAGGACCGTGGATCTCACGGTCTAGTGTCATGTACTCCTTGGCGGCATCCTTTGTGCCTCTCTCCAGAAGATAGACCATGTAGGTCTGCACAAGTTCCTTGACGACGTCTGCCGAAAGAGTGCTCTTCAACTTGATATCATCGATAACTTGCTTGATTCGTTCATATTGAACATTCTCGGTCTCAGCACTGGTCGGCTGCTCCAGCTCAAACATGAGATAGCTGGTCCAGAATGCACGGCTGTCAAGGTAGTACTGCTCATTCTTCTGGAACACCTGGCGTGCATCGTCTGGCGAGCCCTTGATCTTCCACAGGAGTCGTGACCACTCTGCAACCAGGGAAGCTTTGGTAGCTAGTTCGCACTGCGGCGAATCCAGTTGAGATTTGTACACCTCGATCGCTGCGTCGAGTCCGCCATGACGACGCGAGAGATTAGCCAAAGAGACAATAGTCTCGACATGTCCAGGGAGATTGATAAGAATGGCATGGTGGATATCCTTGGCGACATCGACGCGACCAGACTTCTCCTCAAAGTAGGCATAGTGCAGACGGGTCGTGGGGTTTGCAATCGGCACATAGAAATAGCTCGCGCGCTGGTAGATATTGCGAACTTCCTCTTCCTTTCCTTCTTGGGCAGACATCCACCGGGCGTAACGCAGCCAGAACTCCTCATAGTGAGCACAGGTAACAAGACATCTCTCATACAGGAATTGGATTCTCGGGTAGGAACCCTCAGCTTCCTCGAAATCGAGGTACTTCCTCCAGTTTGAGAGCTGACCTTCATCCAGCTCTGTGACGTGGAAGTAAGGCCGCTTGATCTCAGACTCGTAAGTCCAACGCTTGGTCGTCTCCGTCTGGGTTCTGGAGAAGATCTCAAGATGATATGTGTCGGTGCGCAGCCTGAGATCTCTTTCAATCTCTGCCTCCGCCTTGGCTCCGGGTGGGAGATGCGCCGAGCCTGCTTCGATTTCCGCTCTGAATTGGGCAAGGATCTCTGGGGGTGCCAGCTCGGACACAGGGCGTGTCTGTGCAAGTTGGCGATACCGTTCGAAGTACCTAGCGTACTGGTGCATGGGAATGTGAATCACGCGACCGAGAATTGCAAAGATCTTGTCGGTCGCCTCGAGACGTTCCTCAAACTCGATGTACTTATCCCAGAAGGGATGCGCCAGGAAGTCCAATCCCACAGCACTGGCTCCTCGTTCGAATAATCTGTAGGGTCACGTGTCAGCATATCTAGATTCTAACAGTCACAGAGGGAAAAGAGCGAGGGAGATGGCAAGGATGGCAAACATGAGTATAATTTCTCAGTGGTTATGGGCCCAAATGATTCAGTGGGATGAAGGTCAGCCTCATCGTGCGCAGAATGGAAGTCTCCGAACAGAGTGATTGGTGTGCTGGTCTTGGTTTGATAGATGTGGTCAAGGAAATGAAACAGCCTGAGAAGTCATGGGTGAGAAGTAATTTCCAGGGAACCTGGGTGGTAGGCGCCGATCTCACCCATCATCGAGGAACCTCGCCAAATCACCACCTGCTTTCATGCGTATTCGAGACCACCCAATGGTGTTCGCGCTGCATCGCTAACGGTTATAGGGAAGGAAAACCACTTCTTGTATACTTACTCTCGAATGATATCGGAGTCATGGTTGGTCTCGACCTTGAAAGAGCAGTAGTTGGTCCAGAGGTCGACGGACGGCGAAATGCTAGCAACGCCTCTCTCATAAACCTATGAAAACGCATCAGCCAAGAGTCGGTCACTGGGGGGGGAGGTAAAGTCATGGCAGGATTGCGCGCACCATCTCTGCAGCTTCCGTGCCAGCTATCGAGAACTCCAGATCCGCATATTTCTTCCAGTATCCAAACAGCAGCGGAAACTTGGCTAGAAATCTGTCATAGAAACTCCGGACCGTCGTGATGGCCTGAGGGTTGGAATTGCGGTTAATACCACCCTCGAGGCCTTCCGCCGCGCGGACGAGCTTCTCCCACGTGTCGAAGTTGTCCGGGTCTTCAGCCTGTTTGTTCCCTGAGGGTTAGATAGATCTACGACTGAACAGCTTCATGCAACACCCAGGGATGGTCTCACCAGTTCTGTCTCGATCTTCCTCAACTCCGCATTCTCCTCCTCTGTCCCGCCGTAGTTGTATTCAGCCATGGCGCTAGATATATCAGCAGTCAAGGGTCTTTGGAGGCACCCGATGGAAATGAGAGATTTTATTCTCGCAAGACACTGACTGACAGGATAGAGAGCGCGATGTCTTGACTCGAGATAGATGGCAGTGAACACTCACTCTCTCTTCGCCCGGAAGCCGAGAATGGCCGACCGAACCAGATGGGGTTTAGCGCCGTCCGCCCGGGCAATCGATGCATCTTCGGAGCATCACGAATTTCTCGACCGCAACAGGCCAGCGGAGGGAGAGAACCAACAATAAACAGACATCCCGCCATCGTGCTGCCAGCTGTCTTTCTTCCTAATCAATTGGTGGCATCTGCCGTTCAAGCAGCCATAATGTCCGCCGTCCAGGCCACCGAGGGCCTGGTGAGCAAGCTCCCTCTCCGACTGCGCAACTTCTTCGCCCGCTATCCTCCCCAAATCTACTCCGCGCAGGTCGCTCCTCGCCCAACACCCCCTGCTACAGAAGGAACCTCAGAGTCTTCAGAGCCATCACCGGACGGGACTCTTCCGTCGCCATACACCCCGAACCGGGACGCCAAGGGTCAGACACGAGACCCGACTGCTTGGTCGTCTGCCAAAGCCCTTCTCTACTCGAACCCAGACTATCCGAACCCCTTCCTGCCACGAAAGAACTTCCGCACCGGCAAGTGGATTGGTGCTCGCATCGGTCTACGACAGCAGGCTGATCTCGTGAAACTGGCCCAGAAATACAACGTGGAGGCCCTGCTACCCCCGGGACGAAAGTCGACAGAGTTCAAGGACACGAGACGCCTTGAACGCGGTCTGGCAATCAAGGGTACCGGTATCGGACAGAAGGTCAAGGGTCACAAGTGGGAGCGTACGCTGGAGACGAGATTGGAGGAGAGGAAGAAGGCCATGCTGGAGATGCCGGAGTTGATCCGCGCGTGGAAGCAGGTAAGATACTCTTCCCCTTGTCACATAACCAAAGTTATGTAATCTTGCTGCGGAACACCTCATACTAATCAATGTTGTTTCTTTGCAGAGAGGACACGGAAGAGGATGGAAGAAGTGGCCGAGAAGGTAAACGAGATGGGTCAGCATCGGTGCTATTTTCCGGGTTCATGGGAAGCTGTTTCGTGTTTCGTTTCCGGCTTTCAACTCGTACAAACGGGACGGCGAATTATGTCTTTATTTGCAATGGTAACAAATGGGCTGTAGAAGGGAGAGATCCCATCAAATGTACAAATAGAATACATCTACTTTACGAAAGCATTGGTTCATACCATATTTCTTTCAGCAGTATGCTATGTATAAATGATATCCTGAGGCTACGGATTAGCCCTAAACCAAGCTCCAACCGGTCATACATTTGCCATGCAAGTAAATAGATATTGTTATATAGATCTTCAGACCCTTCCATCCCAGCTCGGGATAACGGTATCACCAACCATGATAGTCTTCGGTTCAGAGAAGTTATCGTCAGACCTCTCGTCAGCCGATAAACAAATATGTCTTCCAAAGACCACCTTCCCGTCAACCCTCCTGTGTTTCGCCAGGGTAGAGAAAGGTTCCTCGCTGCGGGTACCGGTAAGCTGGTCTATGCAGACCATTTGACACCGTTGGCAGTGTCCTAGAACATCAAACTGGAGTCTCTCGGGACCAATGCAGAGTGACATCCAGCTATCCTCAGCGTATGGTTGTTCAACAATGTTTGGGAGGCTGGAACCATTGGATGTGTTCTCCGCAACGACGATGTTGGCTCTGAAGACATCCGCAGCAACGGCTCTGCTGATCCTACCACCATTCTTGGAATTGGCTTTGATAGTCTCATTCAAACGGTTCACTGATGATCGTGATATGAGGAGTACCGGGCTTTCGTTTGACAAGAGAATCGGGTTTTGCCGTTCAGGTGAAGACATCGGCCGTTCCGGAAAGGCACCAGGCATGTCATTGCCAGTATGCTTGGTCTTGCGAACAAACGGACGTCTAGGTTTTGAGTAACGTGTAGAGGTCTGCGGTGGGAACCGAGCAAGTGTACATGGTACATTGAGGAAGTCCGAGAAGAAAGCCGACACAGACGGGGATGAGTAGACCTGGACTGTCACCAAGTCGCCGCACACTGTAGATGTTTTCTTGGAACTCCGGCATATCTCGGCCGCAACAAGGTCTGGATCTTCTTTCGCCAGAGAGACCTCGAGACTTTGAGGATCAGAACCAGAATGGTCCGGGAGGGTAATCCGTAGTACTCCTCGATTCAAATCAATATAGGGCTGAATCAGAGCCATACGGGGATATCGCTTCTGATTGAGGGCCACGCCTGTTCCCTGATGAATGAGACACCATTCTCTATCCCAAGCAAACCCTTCCCTTCTGATCTCCCAGCGTTGGCCACTGGCTACCTTGAAGCTGCCGCAACTCTTTATCGGATAGACGCAGAGACTTTCCACATAGAAATTCGGATCCGGTACCTGCATAGGAACGCGCAATATGTCCAATTCTGGGGCTTTCTCAACATAAAACTCATCAATGAATGCAAGAAACACTTCAATATCTCGCATGTTAGTCATTGCGCCGAGGCTGACTCTCAAAGCGCCCGTTGGCTTGCCATCAATGATATCGTTCTCGTCTCCGCATCGCTGACCAGCAGCAAAATTGCGTTTCATCTCGTCGTCGCATAGTCCCAGCTGAGCAGTCATCCCTCCTGGGTTGCACAGCGTCCCGGATCTGATCTGGATATTTCTAACGGCAGCCATCTTTTCGACTTCCGATTTACCGACCCATCCACCTTGACTGTCCTGTAGATTAAACGTGATGATGGGGCCATAATTCAATGGGTCTCGGCACCCGGATGCAGACGATGTGAATATATGGCATACTTTCCTCCCATTCCAATGCACCTTTGAGGATAGCTGCTTGAATAGTTCATCCGCCAATAAGCCAGTATGCGCGGATATGTTAGCCATCGAGCCGTACAATCGGTAATGCGTCTGAAGTGCTGAATCTAGGGCGATGATATTGTGGAATGGAAGTGTACCATCTTCCAATTTGTCGTGCACGGAAGACTCCTTTTTAGCGTGCCATTGATCTCCATGCGTGACGACCATATCTACCGTGCCGCCACCAAAGTACCTCCTTCGCTGGAAGATATCGCCAGCGCCCTTGCGGACGATCAGAGCTCCAAGGTCAGGGAAGCCGAAGATCTTGTAGAAGCTGAGAACCGTGAAGTCAGGCGCAGCTGAAGCGTCGCTTAGATCGAATGGGGAAGTAGAGACAAGGGAGGCCACATCGAGCAGGGTGAAAGTTCTCTGATGGCCTCCGCTGTCGGTAGCCTCTCGGATCTCTTTGCACCATCTCAATGGTAGACGTCTTCCTGTCATATTCGACTGTGCTGGGTATGCAAATAGGCGCGTCGAGGCCTTCTCATCAGGGCTGTCCTGTTCGAGATCTGCAATCCATCTGTCTACTTCTGCATCTGACAGCAGACATTTCTTGCCGTTCTCTGCCAGCTCCCGCACGCCTACCAGACTGGTGTGTGAATCCACATGATACGCATAGCAAAACCCGGATCCATCGAAATCACGTAGCGCATCAGCAACGAGTTTTATGCCCGCCGTAGCATTTGCGACGAAGACAAGGTCAAACGCTTCAGGATCGGCATTGAAGAACTGCAACATACGCAGGCGGATGTCTTCGATGCGGCGAGTAGTGAGCTGCGAAGACAAAGATGCGGAGTGAGGATTTCCGAACAGGTTCCCGGTTAAGTCACGCGAGAAGGTCTCGATGAGAGACTTTGCATATGGTGTGGTAGCTGCATGGTCCAAATATGTTGTCTCTGTAGGCGGGAAGAAGCAACATAGTCAACACCATAGTGAAATCAAACAAGCTCTATATGAGGGCGCACCTTTGAGACTTGGGTACTCGAGATCGCGGAGCACGTCTACATCGTCAGAATAACCTTTTCTGTAATTGGAATGGTAGAGTTGCTGTTTAACAGCTGGTTCTAGCATTATGGGCTGCGCATGAGGCCGCGAACTGATTATATTCCAATGGGACCATCAAACAAGTTGCTCTGCAGTTTCCTGTAGGTGGAGTGGCGAGTGGGCGGATAATGTCGGGTGATAAGTAAGTATTACTTAGCTGTCAAGTATATCCCCGCAGATTAGATAGCGCGAGTTAGATAAAGCTTTAAATTCGGACGATCCGCCGGTAATTCTCACTTGAGACGTATCGCTATCGTACAGCACAAATGGAATAATATCAAGATTGGTTCCGCATCAGATACTGCCAACGTAGCCACCGCTATCATTTATTTGCAGGGAGGTAGAGATTCTCATCTAGGTATCTCAGCAAGCAAGGTTGATTTGGCGGCTGCTGGACGATTCTTTGATGTATCACCAATTGGGTTGAAGGGCGAAGAGATAATAATTGAAGAGACCGATTGACCTTTTATCTCGCAGATAATACATGTCTCTCATCACCGCATTATTCTTTGCAGTTGGTATTTAAATCCACGCGGATCTGGGGTCACATCACGTGCGTAGGGAATCTCCGTCGGAGCTTGCCGGCGGTCGTGGAAATAAGAGATGGAACTATATATATGGCCGCCCTTCTGCTCGTTGCCATCTTCTCGGGAGGGAATACAGACGGCATAAAACAATGACGGGCTCTAGATTCAATCACAGCAGTGGTTCCACTGATCTTCACCAGAATAATATCAGCCTTTACCTCAAGGAAGAGCCTTCCACTGCATCAACTGCGGGGTCTTTCTATATTCTCGTGCCCCTTCACCGTGGCTCAAATCACACAAAGTGTACGCAATGAATACATCCTGTGGGGAATTCCCATGAATACTATGCATCCTTCAATATAGAAAGTTCCTCCTCGCATCAGAGTTTTTCTTCCGTGCATCTTCTCAGTAGATCTGCTCGTCTGCGTATATATTTATCCAAAAGTGGACTCGTCATCCAGAACTTGTTGGTTGCGTAAAACAGGCTAGATAAGTACTCTGGATAGTCATCCCTTATAGAACCTTATATATTTTCTACATTCTCTAACCCATCACCCATCCAGTTTCCTTAGAATCCAGTATATACTAAACCTGTTATGACCTTTCGGACTTTTCCTCTAGATTTTTCTCTTCCTCGCTATATAGAGTGGAACGGAGATGATTTCGGAAATATCTGCTTGTGATAGACGAACCCAAGCTTTTGGGTACGTGATTTGCAAGACGAGCCATACGTGCTCAAGAACCCCCCTAAGACTTGAGCTCGATGATAGAGCCGACTCTTCAAGGGCATCCAAATGGGTACTTTCAAAATACTCGTTTTATAGCAACTTCACCGGGAACAAGCGGCGCTGGAAATCTATATGTTTGTATCAACAAGACCCATTTTATACAGAGCCTTCCAACCCGCTGGCAGCTGCCGGGTGGAAAAGACCAATGAGTGGTGATATCAGTGCATCCTCAAGTGGAAGCAGTTCAATACAATATACCGAAGCCTTGGAAAAGTATATATGTGAGAAGCTTTCGTCAGACATATCTCGACTTAGTCAATCAGAACCATAAATCGTTTTACTGAGATTGCACGAGAGCTCGATGACCTTGAGAGAGAGAGACTCCTTAAGGATCTCGAGACTCTAAGTGGTATCTGCACTATAGACAGTGCCGTTTGGGCCTGTCTCTGGTTCTCGTTTTCTGGGCGGCGTTAAGATCCTTTTAAACGGAAGACCATATAATTGCCTAGCAGAGACAAGTCATCGGAGATTAATAGACGGAAGTGTGTCAGAATTTGATAACACTCTGTTCAAATACACACAAGCTATGGGGTCGGGCTCGATTTGCTCTTGAGCCTCTGCACCTGGCAGACGATAAAAAGTCACTACGAGTTCGCTTTTTCTGGTTGAAGTGTCTGGATTACAACAAGCGAGTTAGAATCACAATACGCCCTAACCTCTCTGGGACCTTAGACTCGGGTCCACGCCAGGCAAAGCTTTTCGACTGTTTGTCGGAAAAGAAAATCCTCTCTGGAGACGAGCTAATATTGACCACCGATGACCCGAAAGACAAGCCCCTCCCGTCCATTGATCTTCTACAGATGCAGTGGACTCTGAACCGAATTGCTGCGATTAGTGGAGCTGCTGATGCTCCTGATGAGGTGTTTGATTCTAGTGACGATGATGAGGAGCAAGTTTGCGTCCGCGATGATTATGGAGGATGATGTCTCTATCAAAGAGCCTTATAGAACATCCGTCCCACCATGCCCCCCCCAGGGATATATTATCTAGGTCTAAAGAAAGCTTTGGCTGAATATTTCACTACCAAATGTGCTTAATTCTGACTACTAATGTAAAATACCTATGCGTACAATTATCCATGACTGAAAGACCGAGACGGATAAAAAGAGAGAAGAGACAGCATTATCCCCCCCCCCCCCCCCTTTTTTTTTCTTTTCAAGGAAGTAGAACAGAATTAATGATGAACTCCTTTTGATGAGAGGCAATTCCGAAATCAATTTGGTATGTCTTTTGAAAAGAAGGGGACTCCGGTCGCCGAAATGCTTGTGGTGTGATGTGAGGATACAAAAAGGAATTGCTGCATCGAAATGAGAAGAACTCGAAAGTGGAAAGGAAATGGTAAAGAAATTTCTAGACGCGTTACCCCTGCCATCGCCTGCAATGCTAATGAGTCATAGCTTCTGCCTGCCTGTTTATACTTCAGAAGAGCGGATTGTATGTGAAGCAATTGACAGTATCGATGAACTTCCAGATTTGCTGGTGCTCTGCAGCTCCTGTGATGGTTAACTCGTAGGCAAGCGCGTTCCAATCGGAAGCATATCTCATAACGCGAAGCTGTTGTTCTCTATCTAGGATTCCATTCGCGCCTACAGCCTCAGAAATGATCATGCGCCAAACCTCAATGGGTAGGCCGAAGCGCCATGAGACTTTCCCAGATGAAGAAGACACGGCGGGACTGTTACGGACGTGGGGACTGCTTGCATGTGTAGTCTGGTTCTGCGAAGGCGGCGTCGAATGGCGGTCATTTCTTGACCTTTTCGGAGTCTCAACTGTCGAGTTTGGCTTGGAAGTTGGAAGTGCTGGGAACTCTGAGGCAAAGTCGTTACCGTGCGAGGTGTAACGTCCTCGCACGATGTCTGCTGCAGTAACAGAAGCTGCTGGCTCTCTAATCTCGAGAGTACCTTCTCCCTTTTCCTCCGATTGCTTTTCAGGTTGATGTCCGTCCCCTGTTGATGCATCCGCATGACGGTCCTTATCATCCAAAAGTAGAGCCCGGCATATGACCATCATCTTCAAAGTAACGCTCCATATATCTGCACTGTGGACGCCTTCTGCCTGCAACACTTCGATACGCACTCTCTTTGCGAGCCTCGAGTATTCAATGCTCATCTTGTTTCGCATTTGGCGCTGTCTTCTGATGCCGTCGTCATACGACGGGCTATCGGTCGCCAAAGGCTCATCGTAACCGGTGATCTTCGAAGGCGTGTTGTACTCCTCCGCGTATTCTTCGTCCGAGTCAATGTCAGACGCCATATCGCGGAATCGTTCCGCCATATCTAGCAGCTTGTGGCCGAGGGGGCCCAAGTCTTTGTTTGGTAGCCATATGATCCCTTTGCAATGAGTGGCCGTATCAGGCAGGACGAGAGCTTTTCCTCCAGGAAGATAGCTGAGAAGGTGCTCCGCTGGACGATGGATACTTAGCATGGTGGATAGGTGTACAGCAGAGGCGTTGGTCATGCATATGTCAGATAAGATCAGATATGGAATCGAACGAAGTCCCCTGGTACAAGCATAGTGCTTGGCATCAGCCTGAGTTGGAATTTTCTCTACTGACGAAAGGGACTGTTTGCCTGAAAAAGAGTTAAATTTCACATGTACAGGTTTCTCTTCAGGAATAGCTTCATACCTGACAAAGGGGTCCCTCCCTTGCTGGACAACCTCTTGGAGCTACTTCTAGGCGTCTGGTTCTCTTTCCCAGCACCAAGCGTCAAGGAGTGCACTCTCTCATTAAGGTCCTCGTTCTCACATGCGGCCGTTTCCACTTCATCTAGACCGGACTCCAAAAAGTCCAGCTCGCTTTGCATATAGGATCGGGCTAGGATCTCCGCCCCACGAGGTCCAAGAGGGTTTCGACTGAGGTCGAGCTTCTTGAGGACGTAGCATCCCTGGAAGGATTCAAGAAACTCCTGCCATGTCATACGATGTTCCAGCTGTTGGATCTCGATCTTATTATCGGAAAGGTCGAGCTCTCTTAGGTCTCCTGCACTGAGGGAGATAACTCGAGCGAGCTTCTTCAGAGACTGGGCCGTCAGACAGTTGCCTTGTAGATGGAGCTCTGCCAGCCTGACAATCCCATCTAGATGTTCGTCGTTTCTGTACTCGATGCACTCTATCAGATCATCGATGAATAGGTCGAATCCTTCGTCCGTCAAGTGCTTATCAGCAATGTCGATCTCCAAAGTCGGGTCTCGCGCAGCAGCTTTGGAGAAGATTCCGGGTGGGATCCGTTTTTTCTGCAATAGAACGTCAGAATAGACAATCAACCAAACCAAGACACTCGAAGCATACCAGATCTTTTGACAAGACTTGTCCCGCCTTCAAGCCTTCAATCTTTCTCTGAATATGGCAGTCAGAACCTAGACCATGATAGAACCATGCTGTACTAACCGCAGAGTAATTCAACCTCCCCATTTTGACTTGTAGTCGTAGCCACACTGGTCAGGTCTGTTAGCCCAAGTTCCTGAGAGATAATTCACAAAAAGATAATATCCCTGCTAACGATACCAATTCAGACCCAAATTAATATGTCTCCAATCTCCGATATTAGGAGTAACAATACCCGATATCAATATCATCACAAGGAACAGAAACTGCATGAATCATACAAGGACTTACCAGGACGTAGAAACTCAGTTCTCTGCTGAGTCCTCTTCTTCTCAAAATCAAAAATCAAGCAACCTTACGATTGAGAAATCTTGTTAAGGAGATGTAACAGATAAGAAGAGCTCAAACTCACAGGCATGGTGTTGTGGGAGAGAAGAATGCAGCGGCAGAAAAGAAGGAAGATCACTAATGTTTTGATTTCTGATTCTCCATATGACCTGGATATCGGAGGCGGCCGCCAGATAATCAACAATAACAGTGTGCGCGAGTGTCAGAGCGGTGAGCTACGCGTTGTGTTATACGCTGTGAAATCCCTTTGAGCTTCTAGAAAAGAGACAAGTCACGTTTTGTATCCCACGTGAGTATCACAGGTCTCTTTCTTTTCCTGGATGGGAACAGGCGGTGATATAGCTGTCTTCAGCTGGGGTTGGGGGATGAAGCCAGGTCACTTCCTCTTTCTGGATGGGTGGCTCCGTCAACTTCGGGAATTGTTGAGGGAATGGATAGCAGAAAGTGATATGACTGATTCTTCGCTCTGCAAGTTTAATTCACTTGAGGGGTCTGTTGAGATGTGCTGAGACTATCTGTCCGTCACTTGTCATCGTTCGACTTGTATTTGTGTGATTGCGATGATGTCCTCTCAATGATTCGATACAAGTACTCGAGATATGTAGGACATTCTAGCTTTTAAATGTAGTGTCAATTCTGCTTACACATGCTAACTAGAGCTATTTAACTATAACAACCATCTTAAATCCTCAAGCTTCCTCCTGATATAGTGCTTGGGAGATATGATCAGCCTCCTTTTTTAGGACTATGAATATTGAGAGACATAGACTAGCGCTTCGATCATGCCTCAGGTATAACGCCTATATGAATGTATATAGTACGGGATACATGCATGAACCCATAGTTCGTTCGCGTCCAGATAGGAGAAGATGAGTCGGACGACTATGTTGTTGGATCAGAAGAAATTGATTATATCTTTGAATTCTTCCAGGAGAGATTTGTCGATTCCTTCCCAGCCGTCGGGGACTGCAAGTGGTTCTCTGGAACTTATGTCGTCTTTTCTAGGGGAGACTCCGCGTAGATCATCATTGTATACCTCACAACCCCTAAATTTCTTCCGGTGAACATTCTCATCTTCGCTTCCTTCAGTCAGGGAGGTACCACGTTTCTGCCCGTGAATAGCCTCCGTGTCTGGAACCTGCGCGAGCATAGGATCACTGCCCGTCTTCAGGAAGGGAGAATGGCTTTGCCCTAGACTGGAACCAGTGAGAGGACTTAGTGCTTCAAGGGAGCCACTGATGTCCGTTATATTAGCGGAGCTGACGTTCTCTTCACTCGAGCTTTTGCTGGTTCCGTTTTTCACGTTGTCCATGTCACAAACGACATTCTCAGATAGAAGCCAGATATCGTCGCCATCATCTACCAAAAGATCCTTAAAGTTCATGGCATCATCCTGCGTGGTCGTACCAGCCCCCTGATCTGCTAATCTACCGGACGCTTTCACTGCAGTTTTTCCATGGCTATCGAGCAAGACCGATGGAGAGGGAAGGTCATCCAGACCGCTATCTCCATATTCGCTTGAAGATGACCTTTTGTTGGCGTGTATGAAATCAGGATCTAAGTCAATATAAGACCCTGTCGCGTGCTTTTGAGGCAATATCTCCGACGAGCTGTGTGACGGATGCTTCAGCTTGGAAGCTTTTGACGTGACTGTATTAGAAGATTGCCAGTTATCACTACCTGAACATGAGGCAGAGAGCTTCTTAGACGATGACCGACTCAAATCGACGATCTCGATGCTATCAATTCGATTGACTTTTCTTGCGGCCTTTGGGGTATTGCAAGTAGCTGATCCATCCTTCTTAAGGCTCGCTGAGATCGTCAATTGGTTCAGATTCGGGTCCCGCCTACTTTCGCTGGTAGACGCTTGTTTCTTATTTGTTCTGGGTGGCTTTTCAAGTCCGTCCCGGCAACAAAAGTGTTTGCAACTTGGCGCTGTTATTCACTGCCCCAATAATTAAGATCCAGATGATATTACCTTGACTTGTCTTTGCACTTATGATTGCATGCCCACTTCCCATTGGGTAGCTGGGTCGGCCGTTCCTGATCATCACTCATCGTTCGTTTGGCCTTCATTGTATTGCCATTTTCCTTTGACTTTGGCAGTTGATTCTGCTTTTGAGGTCCGAATTTGGGAGACTCCTCCTGAATTACAAACCACGACATATCATCTCCTGTCGACAGTTAGTGACGAACCTTATTAGGATGAGAAATTTGACTTTCCTGCTGCCACAAAGTCATTAACCTCGAGATCGTCCCCTTCGAACTCATCCACATCCGGATGTTTTACGGTATTGCTGCGGGATATATCACTACTGCGCCGGCGTGAAGTGTTCATCAGAGGTTTGTCCGTCTGCTTAGTTCCCAAAGCCGTGTTTGCGACAGGAAAGAATGACGCTGGTATTTCAGGTTTGATCTCAGCGTATTTCATAGTTCCAGCTTCCCAAAGTTAGTCATACCCTACTCTGTATGATGACTTCACTCGTGTCATACCAATGTCATCACACATCACATAGCAAGTGATGTGCTGAAATGCACTCCTCAACTCCGCTTGGAGCAGTATCTCGTAGCTGTTCTGTAATTTATTGGCACTTTCATGTCTTAGTGAAAAGATGTAGTGAAGGAGCTCGGATTCGTCAATAACCCACTTCATTCTCCGAAAGTCTACCATACGGCCATCAGAAGTCTCCGCAAGGAAACACACATAAACCGGACGCCTCTGGAAAAACAGAGGTATTTTCTCATTCATAAAACCAATATCCGCTTTGAAGTTAACTTTGACTGGCTTTCCTGGTTTGGTTTCCTTTAGATTAAAAATTAGCCATGTCCTCTTAGACCCAGACTCGCAAATACCTTTCCTATCATCTTGATAGTCACCCGTAACTTGGGGAAGTCTGCAACTCTTGAAATAAGCTTGACTCCGAACGGTGGATTCCTGCTTAGGATCATATCGATTCGATGCGGCTCTGTGAGCTCTAGTGCCTCAAGGCTAGTGATCCCCGCAGCTGAGAGCTTCCTGACAGCAACAACACCGATTTGGTCAATCTGCTTCATCTGCAGAGGTGAGTTGTCCCAGACGCGAGCTCCAAAGCATCGTGCAAGCTCCAGAGCATTTCTCACTGCTATAGAGTCTTCTAAGTAGATCTGACAATCAATAACACATCGTATAAGCCGATTCACATGAGAGAACACGAAATTCTTATCTTGCTGAAAAGATAATTTGTGCTTCTGGAACTGCTCAGCGGCTGGAAACTCCACCGCCCCGAGTTCGGATTGTATAAGGAGCGATATCTTGTGTGCTGGCAGTGCAATATCAACTTTTATCGGGAACTTGATCCCATTAGCGCGATTTATCTCTTTGTAGAGTGACTTCTCCCCGGACTTTAGGCGGATTTCCTTGAATTCTTCGGCTTGAACAATTGCAGAGAGCTGCGCAGGTTAGGATTTGTCATCTTGGAGTTCCCAGCCGTAGGACTTACGATTTCCGACAACTTCGCCTTGGGTGGAAGGGACAGTAGCACCTTCATGGTGTCGAATTTCACATAATATCGGGCCATTGCGTCTCCAAACTGTGTGGCTTTCAATTTCCCCTCCGAGGTAACTAGGTTAGTCTCTCGGAGTAATTTGATGTCCTTTTCGCAGATCTGCTGCAACATCTCGTCTTCATCTCTCCTATCTGCTCCCTCCTTGAGTTTATAATGAGTCGGATTCCTCCTCATCCGGACGAAGAGGAATGTGCTCGCGAGCCACTTCGTTGCTGACTGGATGTCAGTAACTGTCCCTAGCCCAATTTCCGCGTTAAGGTGATCGATCAGATTCAGATGCAAACAACTCTCTAAGCTCTCAGAGCCAGAAACAAGTTTCTCATAATGATGAACACGCTCTCTTCGGGTCAATATGACAGCCACGGCACTGTCATCGAACTGGGGCCGCCCAGCACGACCGAGCATTTGCATCATTTCCAAATCGGAATACTCTTTGCACCCACCGTCTTGCCAGCCAACAGTGTTCTTGATAATCACTAAATGGCATGGCAAGTTGACGCCGACGGCAAGCGTAGATGTACAGCATATTATGTTGATTTGACCTCCTAGGAAACCTGTCTCTACGGCGTGGCGGTCACCACTGTCGAGACCAGCATGATGAAATGCTACTCCGGAACCAACGGTATCTGCAAATCGATTAGTATCAAAGACGAAAGAGAGACTTGGCCTCAAGTAAGTGAAATACTTTTTAAGTCTGGGTTCTGGACGTTAATAGGCCTAGCAGGTCCTTTCCACATTCGCTTCGAGGGTGTTGTCGATGCATAAAGATTGGCTAACTCCTTCGCCGTAGCGATAGACGAGTTCCTCGTACAGCAGAATATCATAATCGGTTTGCCACAACCATGCTTAAGTATGACTTCCGGGAGTCTGCATGATCGAATGTTAGCAGAAAGATACTTAGTAAAGAGGAATATCCTACTTTGTACTGCAGACTTTATCGAACACAAAATCATTCCCGTTCGACTGGTACCCATATACAAACTTCTGAAGCTTTACCGGACGGAACTCTTCTCCAAATCGTTCCCTATGTGCTGGGAGATGCTGGTTTGTTGCGTCCTTGCCAAGCCAGGTTGCAATGTCTTCCGAATTTGGGACAGTAGCACTCAGAGCGACGAAACGTACATCTGAACCGACGGACTTCATACGCGAGACCACAGCTTCCAGTGTAGCTCCACGCGTCTCTTTCAAAATATGCACCTCATCGATTAGAAATAACTTAACCAGTTGCAGTAGTCTAGCATGGTCTTTCCACTTCCTCGTCATGCTATCCCACTTCTCGGGCGTGGTTATGATAATACAGGCATTCTGAACGCTCTTAAGCTGCGCGTAATCTGTGTCGCCGGTTAATTCTGCGCAGTTCAAGCCGAGAGATGTAAATTTCGAGGTCCAGTCACGGAACCGCTCCGAACACAAGGACTTCGTAGGCGCTTGATATACTACTTTGAACTGCCCATCCTTTAGGTTTGTGATAAGCCGGCATATAGCTAGTTCCATCAATACTGTCTTTCCACTTCCCGTGGGAGCTGATACAACCACGTTGTAGTCATTCTGGTAAACATGTTGGAAGCACTTTGACTGAATGGCGTTGAAGATGGGAAATTTGAACAAAGATTTGAAACGATCTGGAAGTTCATGAACCGGAACCAGAGCGATACCCTGGATAATTGGTGGTGCATGACTCAGGGATATCCGTCTCTCGATATCGGGACTCGTATAAGGCTCATTGGACGCGGCTTCTACCGCTTGCGCAGCATAGGAGCGACTTTGTGAGAGAGGAATGCCCTGTCCTAGGGAACGTCTCCCTTGCGATCCAAAGACTAATAATGGACTTGACGGTGGGCCGACGTCAGGGGAGCTCGATTCGAGACTCCGACGAAGTGTCGTTCGAGAGCCATTCGCTAGCTTTCTTAGCAGAATCCATAGGAGCTTATAGTAGAAATATCACTTACAATTCCCGAAGAACTTCGAACTCTGCCTCACAACAGGAGTCTGGGGTGCATCCATCCGCTTGAACGCCGCTGGTCTGGTGATCGAAGGTTCATTCTTATCCACCAGACTCTCGTTTCGATTCTGATTTTCCTCGTTTAATTGAGCCAGCAACTCACGATCTTACAAAATCACTTAATCAGTCTCTGGCTCTAACCAGAAAGGAATGTTTCGTGGTATCACACCAAAAGCATCCAGAGGCAAGTCATCATTCATCTGAAGACCAAGCACATGTCCATCAATCAGATCATGGTTCTCGTTTGTAGATGGAGATGAGAAGCGTACTGAAGAAGAGATGACTCCTGATAGACCCTGTGTAATCGAATTGAAGCCGGAGCTTGCCTGATGGGAGCGGGGGCTGTTTTGTCGTTGGGATAGGGGGTAATGGAAAGGAGTGATTGGAGAGGTATGCTTTCTTTTCTGCATGATAGCTTCAATTTGTTCAGATATTGATGGATGAGATCTTCATGCAAAGCTTCAGGGGATAGGAAATTGAAAGTCGAGGCTGGATGAAAAGGGCGGTGCACATGAAGCATACTGGTACTATGCATGAAAAGCACGTGTCTGCGAAGCTTGCTTGCCTCCCGCCGGGGAGTCGTTTCTGCTACGCAGGGGCTTTATATAGGAAATCACTTTAATAGGCTTCTACTATCAAGATAAAGGACCAGAAATATCACCTGGTAAGCGATGTTAACCAATCAATTCCCATATTTGCTCGTAGATATACATACATCAAGCTCGACGCCAATGTCTTTTTTGCGAGGGCTTTCGGGTATAGAGAATTAAAATCAAAACTGATAAGCAACCACCATGATAAAGGCATAGAAAGCAGGAGATGAGACATTCCCGCTGTCGTAAATCAAACCGTGCTTTTCCGTCTACCAAGTCATGCTGTTATTTTATTGCCAACTTCCTCCCCTGGAATTCCTATCTGATGCATCTCTGCAGATTCGTAACCTGATCGTGATCGTCTCATTTATGAATCTCTCTCCTGCTTTGAAAGGTAACTTCCACTTGTGCTTCGAGGGTTAGGGGACGTCGGTCTAGATGTCGATATGCCCGTCTGGCTGAGCAGGGGCGTTGTGGGAAGTTTGATCGAAAAGTCATTCGTCGGCGGTGATAGAGAAGTCTCATTATCGCCATCGATATCCTTCTCATAGGTATCTATGCGTATGGGTGGTGGACGAAGGGCCTTCTTGCTTGAACCCGGAGTCGGGTTTCCGTAAATGTAAGCTGCGATAAGAACGATGAGTGCCCCAACGACAAACTGTAGACAATCTATGTTAGCTTGGCTTAACCAAAAGACAAAAACAAGCAGGATATGAGTCCGGACATACAGTTCCTGTAACTTGGAAATCGAAAAACAACACGCTTGCTACAGTGCTCAGAACGATACTGAGGCTAGCTGCGCCGTTCCTTGCAATACTATCGGCATTGGCAATGGCGAAAGCAGACGCAATTCCTCCCAAAGCCTGCACGATGATGGTTGCCCAGACGGCCCAATTGTAACCCTCAAAGAAACCATTGTTGGCGACCTTTTCGCCATCAAGAAAGACAACTCCGATAAACAAAGACGGGAATATCGAATAGGAAGCCAGCTGCACGTTGCGGATCCAGAGAGATGTCGGGTTCGAGCTATCCTTGAGCACCTTACCCAGGTAAGTGCCGGCTAGTCCAGACGAAATGCATGCCCCGATTGTTGCGAGCAAGCCAATGGTCGCATCGAGGCGCGGTAGTTGTGACAGCTCATCCTCCTGGATGCCCTCATATGTGGCAGAACGCTTGTGCAGATGGGCAGCGGTACCGCCCATTCTCTTCCATTCCTCTAGGGATCTGGGAAAGTAGAGATGTGCGTCATCTCTGTAAGACAGCCCCTCCAAGTCTCCGTTCGGCAACTGAACTAGGGCCACTCCGACCACAAGGAACAAGAGAATCGCCCATTTTCGCGGAGGTATGCTTGTCCCCAACAAGGCAAGGCCAAAAACTGCTGTTGTCAGGAGCTTCAGCTGATTGGTAACCTGGAACGTTGCCACTTCCAAGTTCGAAAGAGCAATGTATTGGAGGGAGTTGGCCAACGTGTAGAGGAGGGCGGGGATCGCAAGCTTCCAGCTGTCTCCCGAGAAAACGGCACTAGAGAGGGTAAAGAAGAGCGACGTCGCGGGAACGGAGGGCGGTGCGTTCCTAGAAACTTCGTATAGTGCGATGGTCAGGGAGATCGCGAGCTTAGTTACTTCGTTAAGGAAGACGGCGGTTGATGTCAGATAGCGTTTGCCCGCGACAGTGGGCATCACACGGGAATAGTGTAGCAGCTAGGGAGGTGTCAGCGCGTCAATCCGTTTCATGGTCGCATCATAATCCTATTCAGAAGTCCTTACCAGTGCAAAGCCTGTGTATTGGATCGCTAGCTGTATAGTTCGATTGTCATGTCAGCTTCAGCTCTGCTCTCTCTCTCTCTCTCTCTCTCCGCGATCGCGACGCTGCAACATCGGAGCAGCTACACCCCACCGCCTCGTCAGCAACCAGGATGCTTACCAGAATCACAGACAGATGTCGTAGCGGAATTCCTATCCAGGAGGATGAGCGTTGCGGGCCTTCCCCCATGTTGACGATCTTAGTTTCCGCGCCGGTGTTTGTCCTCGGTGGTTGTGCCTGGGAAATAGGGAACGCTCAGCGCCCTCGGATCTCCAGGTCGACTGTCCCAGGCCTTGTTTATAAGAGAGAACAACTGCAGTGCAGGTGACGAGAGACCACTGCGTGGCAGACAAGGACAAGAAGAATCCTGAGCGTCCACCAGCTGCTGCCACTTACGTCGGTCACAGGTGAGAGGAATGTTAGTTAAAGGGGATTGACGCGTGAGCGGTGAGGTTCGCCTTGCCTTGCCCTGCCTTGCCTGGGTCCGCCTGCAAACCGGGCAAAGACAAGATGCTAGACTAACACGACCTTGGACAGGCCCACCAAGAAAGGAGCGGATAAGGTCAGTTGGAGAAAGAGAGATATTAATATCTCCTTCTTCTTGAGTCTGCTGGCGGTCCAAGAATGACCGAGATCAGGATCGTTGGGTGGAAAAAAGTGCGATTTATTATTCAAGTGGACAGGAAAGGGAGAGGGCCTGTCAGATCCGGGGTAACTCTCTCTACGTCGGAACGGTGGATCGCACAGTCTAGGACTCTATCTAGTTGGATGTTTAGCATTGGCTTCAGGTGCAATAACCAGCCTAAGGTGTCATCTGGTACACTGGTAGGCTGTTTTCCTATCCTTAGCCTGTTACAGATCCCTTGTGCGACCTTAGCGTGGGCGGTTCTGGATCGCCGTCGTCCACTGTATGCCAGATGATTTCCCTGCCAATTGAAGAAAATTGTCATCCTATCAAGCCCCGTTTCTCTTTGGGCGCCTTTTGAGGCTAGATGGATCGATGCTTGCATGGGGGTCCTACCACAGGTCATGGGCGCTGATCAACTGCAGGAAAGCTCCCAACACCATCAGTCTCATGTGAGCCTGTTCGTACCGAAAAGACGCCTACGGGATCGAAGATCTTCCAGGCCAAAAGGAAAGAGTCGGAAATTGAAATCTTCTGTCATTAATGCGGGGTTCTATACGAGTAACAGATGCAGCCTAAACGACGCTCGCCATCACCTGAGAACATAATCCTCGCTCTAAACCTCTAAGTCTAAGCCGACTATGAACGTCAAAACGCCCCATGCGGGCTCAAAAAAAGACCACTATATAGTACAGGAGGGCACGAGACCTGAAAAGGGGTCCGTACGTTGGTTCGCAACATAACCCAAAGAAAAACGCAAAATGCTAGAGAACGTCCGCCGTATTGTACATACCATGCGCCTCAGTCAAACAAGAAAAGAGAAATAAGGGTATAAATAATTAGGAGATGTAGAGAGCGTATTTGTCGATCGTGGATTGATAAAGAGCACGGATGATATGAAAAGAGATTGATAACGTTCGGCACAGACTCGAATCAGTGCACAATGGTCATGCTAGATCGCTCGTTCCAGCCGAGGGCCCACACAGGAAACTCGTCCTCCTGCTTCGAATCATCGCCTTCGTTGATGATAATCGCTTCACTGCTATCAGTGCGCCGCCGCGAGTGCCTTCTCTGGCTGTGGCTCTCCGGGACCGGAGGTAGAGCGTACGGCGGCGGTGGGTGCAACGGTGGTGGGGAGAAGCGATGGATAGGCAGAGTCGGTGTCATTGGAGAGGCGCGGCTGGTGGACGGCGATGGTAGAGTATCACTATAAATCAAACTGACTCGTGGAGACACGGTAGAGTTATCGGTCCTCTGCTCAGTATCCGAACCGGTGCTGTGAGTGACCGAACCTTCTTTTTCCGTATCAGCTACACTGAGATCCGTCGAACCACAGACTTCCGGGAAGGCAGGGATGCCAGGGCTAAGGCGTAAAAAAGAGGTGTCCGCATTGTACGTCGATTCGCGCGGGTTCACGGAAAGGGTCGAGTTTCGATCGGAATCTCGCGATGCAAACGAAGCCTCGTGGAAGAGACTAGGCGTCACTTTTCCTTTCCTCTGTCTGATAGCTTCCAGAAGGAATTCTTCCTGCCTGGTGACAGAAATAATTCGGCTCCGCCTGTTGCTAGACTTGGAACGGGTAGATCGCATCATAGGAACCCCGTCTTCCGTCTCTTCGTTCTCAGGTTCTGATATTGTAGGAATTCCACTTGGAGGGCGTGAGAGCCGTGATGACCTGCTATATGATGATACTGAGGGATCCCGACGTACAGACTGGTTACGTCGTGACTGGCGAGATTCCTGCAAGGTCAGGGTTGGCTTTTGAATCCGCGTCAACGTCGGCCCTTTGGCAGCTTGGACAGTGGATGCCGTGCAGATCTCCGGCTCATGTTCTCCGTATGTAGCAACGCTACTCCGGAAAGTCGCATCGGTGGCAGACTTCTGCGCCATGACTCCTTCGTCGTCGTCGTCGTCTTCCTCATCTTCCGACGATGACAAGCAAAGGACACTTGAATAATGAAGGTCTGCGTTCCCAAAGCTGCTTTTGCTGCTCTTCTTGGACATGGCTCCAGAACCGGTAGTACCGGCCGGAGATCCCAGGCGACCGTCAGATTGCCATGTCTCGAGCGAGCTTTTGATGGTGTTAGAGAGATTGTTCACGGCCTTTGGACTCAGATGTGAGTCGCCGCTGCGAGCAGTTAGAGAGCTGTGGGATGACATTCTCTTCGTTCGATCGTATGGCTTGGGTGGCCTAGTCGAGGGCATAGTGCTGAAGCGATGTTTAGGGGGTTTCTGACGCTCACGGTCAATCGTGACTGGCGCCGGTTCTTCCTCCTGTTCTTTCTTTTCTTCCCGCTCATGGATCTCCACGGTGAGATCTCCTCCCGAACAGCAGATTGTTTTCTCCACGGGAGAATCGTACCAATCAGTATGTTTCGCGGTTGGCAGTGGAGGCATCGGGTCAAGCTGTCGAACTGTAGCATGTTTTTCTTTCCAACTTCCACTGGATCGTGGCGGTGTCTTGGAAAGCCTGTTACCGAACGAGTAGAACTTGTCGGACCTCTTAGCCTTGCCAATGGATGACTCGGAGCCAGCAGAGACCGGGGATGGCGAATCCATCATTCTCTGGGGAGACAGGAGAGGCGCCGCGGAGGCCTTTGGTCTTGGGAATAGTAACGACAGATCAATCCTCGGAGGCCGTCCCTTTCTCTTAGATTCTTTCGTGGGCGTTTTCGGCGTTTTGTTACCCTTTGCCTGTTCCCCCTCCGTCGCTTTGTCGGGCTTGTCGCCTGACCAACTTGTGGGCAAAGCAGGAGTTCGGTTGAAGTAGGTGGCCGAGGTATCTTTTGAACTATAGCCACTATGTAGCGAGGTGGACGACTCTGACGGGTGAATAGGCTTCGTGGGAGGAGGCTGGACGGAAGAGAATGAAGGGCCGCGGTCACGGTAGCTCTGGCCTAGCAACGGCGACGAGGCTCGCACGCGCAAGTTCGGCGATGATGCATGTTCGGTTGGGCTAAATGGAGGTTGGAGGTTGCCATTGCGCTCAGTTCGAGTCGTCGAGTGTCCGCTCCGCATCCCATGCTGTCTCTGCGCAGAGTCCCTGTCCCCCATCTTCGACCAGCGACTATCCATCGGCAGCTCCATCGTGCCCAAGATCTTCTGCGCCTTCGAGTTCGAGTGCATGTCCTTCCTACCGGTGCTTCGAGGCTGAGATTGCTCTACACTCTGAGCATTGGCACTGGATGTACGGGCTGGGATGACAACAGACGACCTGGGTTGTTGGCGCGCCATGGCTATAGGAGCGATCTGCTCTCATATACCTACGTCTAATTCGCCGAGGTCAAACAATCCGATTTGTTTTGTTCCGGACACGAACCGTAACTTGCCGGTCCGTAACCACAAGATCGCAGGGCCCGGTCCACGGAAACAGGTGTTCCTGAGCACAAATCCACGAGGAACCGGAACCGAACTCCACCCAGTTCCACGGAACACTCGAATGACGAGCAAAAGGACACTGACGTCTTCGAGATATTGTGAAAACGAGGTCGAAGAGGAATCGAACACTGCGGCGGCGGTGCAATTGATCTGACCGATTCCCAGCCCGTGAGAAGCCCTGCAAGAAATATATGAAGTAAAGGATGGGAGAAAGAAGAAGAATTGGTGGTAGATGCTTCAAAACGAGAGACTGGCGCTGGAAATCACGTCCGGGCCATCACGATAAAAAGAGAGAGAGGCAGATCCGGGTGCTTAAGGGGCAGTCGTAGTAGTACTTAATCTAGCATCGTTTGGCCAGCACCACGCTGTCAGGGAACCACGCAAAAGAAAGTCGAGTCGGGCGATCACCGGGCTTTCATTGTGAACTGTTAGTGCCTGCTGCTGTGGAGCGTGGAGCTCCAAGCGCCTCGAGGCTTGCGAACAATCCCAAGGCCCGTACTCGTGTGCGCGGAGGACCAAGCCCGGCGGCCACCGGTAACTGAGAGCCTGCGTCACTGGCGAGATCGACTTGGACGACGATGGTTAGCATCGACGTGGTAGTGGACTGTCTAGGATCGACCTGGATAAGCGGGCGTATCTTACCCATGTTTAGCCCATTTCTTAGTCTGTGATAGAGTGGAACGCTTCAGGGGTCTCTGCGGTCTAAGTTCGTGGAGCAGAAAGATGAAGGTCGCCGTCAACAATTCTTCTCGTTGAATTGACCTCGGGTGCCTGGCGTCTTGAGAAAAGGGCTGAGCACAGAGAACAACTCATCTGGCGGGCCCCACGAAGCTCTAGATTCGGGTAAAAGTGGACAGGTTCGTGTATCAGGATGAGTACGGAGTCATAGTGATACCATGGTTCTTTTGTTGTTTGTTGTTTGGTGTTTGGTGTCATGTCCCATTGTGGGTGACACTGGGGGAAAAGAAAGCTGCAGTGCTGCACGTTCTCTCTGCAGGAAGACGGGGAATTGTCTTTGTTCTGTTCAGCCAGCTGCCACTGTCCCTTGCTTGATCCTCGACTGACAGGACTGTGTAACTGTAACTAAACATACTGTCTCTGCCGTGCAACCAGCTCGATCGACAGAAAAGGCAGCCAGTGGTGGCTGTAGACTATCATCCCTTCTATCTCTGGTCCCGTCCAAAAAGAAAATATAATAGTTCTCTTGTTTGCGATCGCGGGCGATCCGTCTGGTCGGAGATCTCATCCATCGGCAATTCTGGTTGGCGAACCCCTGGGAAACGAGTCGGACGCTAGAACAAGTTAACGAGTTCTCCCCCAGGACGGGCAAACTCTGCTGCTGTCAAGCAGTCCAGGACCACAAATCAGACTCTCCAGAGCGCTCACGAAGGTTTCTTCTATAGAATCTGGTACCCATCTCTATTCTATAGTAGACGTGAGCTATCAAGTCATTAATGAACGCAATTCCCAGTCGAGATCCCCAGAATCGCCATCTCACAATCGCCTTATCTCTTCTTTCCCAGCCACATCATCAATTGCGAGATTGAGAGGCGAAGACGAAGATCAAAGATAAAATCAAATCATCAAGTCCATCGAGAAGGAATTCACCACCCAAAACACCGGCGGGGACCAGAAATAGAAACGGAGAAAAAGGCTAGAAGGCAATGCCAACAACCAAGCCAATGAGACATTATTAACCGACACTTTGACAGATGCTAGTTCGCGCTTTCTGCATGCAAGGTACGGCAGTTGACCGGTGAAACATGATCAGTCAGACGTGCCATTCTCTCCCAGCGGTAATTGCGACAAGGAACAGGCAGGATGGTTAGTCCAACATGGGTTTTCTTCCCAGGCAAATCATTTAAGAATAGAAACCTCCTATTATTATTGTTATTGTCAAGTCAACCTCCCATGGACTGTTCCCCAGAAGAAAACCTTTCTCGTTCCCTCCGATTCAGTCGAGATAAACGGTGGCTATTATGTATTATTGTTCGTTGTCGATATTAACCATCCCGCAAACAGAGCAAGACTCCCTCCACCAGGCACACGGACACGACCGACCTGGCAAAGAGACGGTGTGCATGAGAATCGATGATCGCGTGGAGTAGCACTAACAAAGCGCCAAATTCTGTCGCTCGGAAACTGACCTGGACGCCTAACCGCGCTGGCTTTGTAAATTGATTTCCATCCCCGCCACTTCGGGAAAGGAGAGACACCAGCCAAGACTCCTTTGCCATTTTCTGCCCCGGGCAATTAAAGAATGTCATAACCTGACTTGCATGATTATTATTGACACCCTCGTGCTGTTCCTGCTAGTTGACTCGACTCAGCGAATACCATTTCTTTACCCGAGTCACTAATCACTTACCTGCCAAAACGAATCCCAGACTACGGAGTATACAATCGATTCCAACGCTTCGCATCCCCGGTCGGTTTATGTCCTAGAGTATTCCTTGTAGATACACAAACCGCACTAATCCTTACGTCGGGACAACTGACTTGACAGCATGCATGGAACATCATCATCTACAGATACGGAGTCACCAACCAGACCATCATCAAAACCAGGGAGAGAAAGACTGAGTTTGACCGGTCAGAGGATCATCTGGAGCTCGTCTACCGAGTCTGCGGTACTCGCTCCCCGCCCCAGTCATTTGGTACAATATACGGAGTACGGAGTATATTATGAGGATTAATTCTTATCCCTGTGCTTATTAGTTATCAGTTATCGTCATGATCCATGATCATGAGCACGCCCTTCTTCTCCTTCATGGTCCGTCCATCGTTTATCACTACTGGAATCGGTTTATCCTATTCCAGCTTCTTCCCTTTTATTCCTTTTTTCTCATGCCCTATCTATCTACCCCCTGTGAAAATCCATGTCCCTTAAGCCCTGCAGGGTTGAATGCAAAGTAGATCAATTATACCTGAATAGTATTGTTATTATTGTTGATCTACTTTAGTGCTAACACTTTTTTTTCTTGTTGCTCTCCTTAAGGCTTCAGGAGTATCTAAATTCTATCTAGTTAGTGCAGTTTATTATTGATTATTCATAAACACCGCCGCTGTCGAACAAGACATCCATCCACAGCAGAGTCCAGTAGATAGACCAGACGGAACCGACGGACCGTTAAGCCGTCAAGACATCTAAGTCCCCTTTTCCGATAGTATTACAGTTATCGATGGTAACTAATCAATCATATCTCGCAGTTCTCGGGAACAAGAAAAATTAATTCCTACCGAGACTAGATAGCTAGACTAGACTATCGATCTTCCGCGCGCCGGGCCCCCGAAAAGTCCAAAAGGGAAACAAAAAGGACGAAAATGGGCGGGCGGGATTGACGGCAAAGCACATGGCGTTTTTTCCCCCTTATCCCCAGTTGAGTTAGAATTGCTGAGTACATACTCCATTGTCTGTGCTTGCTCAATTAAATCATTAATAATAACCCGCGTCATTCCAGATTCGTATTGGTTTTCATAACTAATAGTAAATGACCACGAACCCTAATCCTTTTAAATACGAGAGATGTTCGTGGAGTAATCTAAATACAAATTGCCAGTAGTACAGATAGAGATGGGATGGGAAATAAGAGACAAACTCTTGATCCGCGCGCTGCGATAACTGCATAATAATGAACTAGACTAGACTAATAATTTCTGCTGAAAATTAGCCGTCATAGTGGGGTTGTCTGTCTGACTCTGTTGCCTATATGGATTATTTATATTATTATTATTAAAGAAGAGAGGGGAAACTGGGAGAGAAAGATTTGAGTTTCCTGGAGCACCCGCTGTCAACAGTGGCGCGCCGGTTGTAGATCCTGACAAGGACCCCCTTTTTTTTTTTTACCAAACCCGTGGTAAATTAATCATTAATTTTTTACCTACAGTATCTCCCGCGTTGTTTACAGAGCACCTTCGGATCTGCGTCGCGGTCTTCTGCTTCATCCCGTCTTGTAAATACTTCAGCCCATTGAAGGTGTTTAGATGGTTTATACGAACTTGATATCGCACGATTTGTCAATTGACAAATATGCGCCACCACTGGAGGCCGTACGATGAGAGTATCTAGAGCCATTCTGTCGGGACTACTTTCAGTCCAATAACTAGATCTTTCCGAAATCATCATACAGAGCACAGACATTGAGGAGGAATTTGGAAAAACCCAGACGGGTCATGATTCATCTCAACTTTCAAAATGGGCCGATGCGTTAGTTACTTACGGTCCATGTTTACTGTTGACACCTTGCAAATTGACTGACTGTCAGTAGTCTCTCTCACACATTCGTATAGATGTCGCATTGCAAAGTACTGTACAACAAAAAGGTTCTAGATAGACGTAACACTGTCTAACCTTTATTTGGAAGCCACGGCAACAAAGGAGTAACCCTCTGTCGGTACTCGAAGGCCCCTATTATTGTACTGTACCTCATATTCATAATAATAGGGAAGGCAGCTTGGTCCACTTGGCGTATGGAAAATTAGATAACCAGGACATCGGGGTCCATCTATTATTGGGTAACGCCATCCGGGCAGAAGATGGGACGACGTTCGAAAGCGATCTCATGACCCTTGCCACGCGAGCTGGGGATCTCAGGGTCCGGGATCTTCGTGATGATCCACTCCCCGATAAAATGGTTAAACTTCAGGGCGTAGTAGAAGCTTATACACAAGCTATCATACTTAAGCGCCTGTGGCTGCAAAGAAAATGATTAAAAAACAATAGTCTGTGAGGCAGCTTGAGCGTCACAATGACAGGTTCAGCTTAGTTTTGCCCCAAGTGGAGAAGATCTGCACAATAGTATACCAAGAGTATAAGATGGAGCTCTGGCCACTACGTCGAGCAATTACAGGAAGAAGTCAGGATAATCGGATCGTGGTTTAACTAAATATGTTGCTTATTACAAATAATTGTGGTACCATATCCTTTCCACACTTCAGTCATTGCTTGAATAAATTGCAGATTTTTGGAGTCTTCATGGAGAGGGGCCAGATAGGAGGCTCCTGCAAATGGTATCAGAGACGCCTCGATTGACAACGACGGGACTCTAGCTCCCCTTTTTCACGGAAGGGACAAAAGAAACTTACACTGCGATAACTGATGACAGAACCAGTTTGCTGTTAGATCATGGTATGGAGTGAACTACTAGTATTTCATCGAGGCATGGCTTAGGAACTGTCTTCGTCTGTAGATATCACTCCAACGTCGACGTGCTTCGCCGCAGCACTCATTTTGCGCCTTTTCTCTGGCCGGTCGATGTTTGCTTCTACCGCGGAGCTGTCAATTGAACGTCTCTTTAGAGCGCCGAGAGTGGAAAATGTCTCCAGGTCTTGTTTTCTCATTGTGTTGCCGTCTACGTTGGCCTGAGTTGGCATTGAGGCCGGTACAGACATTTGGCTGCTGGAATACTGGTCGCAGAGATCACTGGCGTCTCTCGCCGACAGTTTCCTCTTTGGACTCTGACTCCTATCAACCATGTCTGTCAATTCATCATCAGAGCTCTGGTACTCTTTGCTTCCATTATCTTGGAGATGAGGAGGAAGCGACCGGGATTGGAGTTCATCTGCTTTGTGAGAACGTTGGAATGAAAGTGCCGAGTCTTTTGTAGAAACAGTATTCTTCGTGGGATTGCAGATATACTGACGATACGTTGAGTAAAAAATTCTTGGAGACGTGGCTTTGTACTCACATAATGTTCAATCTTTGCCACTGGGTTGAATATTTCCCTGCGCATCCTTTGTTTGCTCTCCGGTGACTGTGGGATTGTGTACTTTGGTAGACCCGTTGTCAGGAATCCTTTGCTTTTATTTCCTGGAGTAGGCCGGATGAACCCCTGCTTTCTTAGAAAGTTTTCCACCTGGACCACAGTCTGTCCATTGCAGTCTATCTTCTCTTAGGAATCAAGTAACACATAGCAGAAACGGTCTTCGGGAAGCTTACGGAGTTTCTGTGAGAAAGCTGATATCCTATGAGGGTAGCCATCTTCCATAATGATCTTCAATGCTCTCCTGAGGAGAACAAGCGTATTCAGCTCCCGAAGCAAGGATGGTTCACTAGGCTCTAGGAGGCATCTATAACAAGCATGAATTTCCGGAAGTCGGGAGTCCGTGGGGTTTGCGAAACCATAACAGAGAGCGTGTTGATAAGTATGGCAGAACGAACACTTGATCTTTTTGCACAATTAGCTTGAGACAGCTGCATGAGAAAACATACGCGTACCATGTCTGGTTCTTCTCCGTTCCAGCTGCACTGGCATCTTATCACCTTAGCTGTGTTGCTTGTACGGTTATCAGGTGTCAATGAACTTATGCGCTGCCGGATTTGAGATGCTTTCGTCTCTGAAAGCTGAAGGTGCTCATGCACGTTAGGCGAGTCGTCATCCCACAGACTGAAGTTGCTAGCATAATTTAGCTGCTGGGTAGGAACCAGTTCACCATCAGGAGTGGACGAGGCCATCTACGAATTTTCGTGAGTTATTCCATCTCCTCACCAAGTAGGATATCTTGTGGCTCAACCAACCGGCATCATCTTCTGCAGTCTCTGTTTCTCTTCTGCGTCATGGCGTGCTTGGGTTGATTCCTGGGAGCTGTCTACTCGAGCGAACCGCGGTGAGTCTTTGTGTCCGGCATTTGTGCTGAGCCCATAGTCACACATACTTTTTTCTGTTACAATTTGCATTGCATCGTTAGGGGAAATCCCAATCTCCTCTGTACGTGATATACTATCCGTATATTGGAGATCCGAAGGAACTTGAGCGACGTTCTCCGAGCCGTCCTGCTCCGGGCCCATCCATTTCAATGAAGTGACTTTGAGTCCGACGCTGAGATGTGTCAGTAGTTTTCAGACCGATGTTGAGATGTACCCACGTATGATGGCCACTGTCCATAGCACCGCAAGACTGAGTTTGCTTCTGCCAATCCTCGTTACACGGGAAGCAAATTCTTTCATCGGCTGCGGTAGTGAACCCGGAAGGCTCATAGTCTCTGGGGCAATCTTCGGTGTAAAAGAGGTGGATTCCCAGGCTCCGCTTGTCTGAAAAATGCGTTAGTCACTGTAATATAGGAGATAGAGAAGGACAATAGTACTGGGAAGAACCGGAAGGAAAGTACTGAGAGTAATCAGGCGACGTATAATCATCTCCAGGCCCAATCTAGCAGCCTGAGTAGTCTTCATATCAGCTACACAGTCAGTTGACGCCAGAGAGACGCTTGCTAAACGTCTATCCACAGCTCCGTTGGCGCCGGTATACTTGAAGGTGAACGTGTAACTCTCGAGCACGTTTTCCGGGTAAGCCTCGTCGACAATCACTGTCAGTTGGATGGCTTCCAGGAAATTTTTCTCAAGCGCGTCGAATATGCCTCCCTCCTGTTTTTATCAATAGCCGCTTCCGACTGTGAGGTATTGAGAGTTATTCTTACTAGGAGGTCAAGAAGTTCATCAGCTTTTGCGTCGCGATTGCGGACAAGAATCTTCAGCGGTTGACCACGCTTTCCCTGTCCGAAGTCTCGTCTTTTCTGCTCGTTGTATTCCGCCAGCGACGCTTTTCCGTTGACAAATTGGCGGTATGACAGACTATTCTCTTTATGGGCCAGCCGTAAGTCTCTGTCCTCGAAACATTGAAGTGGCAAGAATTCACTGTGAAGAGTCAGGTTGTCTTGAATTTCATATGGTTTACGTCTATGTCGACTGACCGGAGATAAAACAATGTTCCGAACTGCAGGATAGACGTGTTAGTCCCATTCAACAAACAAATATGGGGTAGTGCATACTGACCGATACATGTAACATAATCTGCACCATTTCCTGGCTCTGTTGCTGTCTAACAGCCTGTGACTGTCTTGAAACCAATGGCCTCTCGATGATTTGTTTTCGATCCTGTTGCTCTTTTTGTGCCGACTTCGGGGGGTTGGCGCCCAGGATACGCGGAGTAGCAGCCTGCATCTGAGCCTTGCGAGGCTCAACATACTTGATGCGAACCATTCCGTACTGCTTCCTATCAAAAATCGCCTAAGTACTGTTACTCAAAACGTCCTTGGAGGAAAGATCTCGGGCGCGGTCCTGAATGGAATTGAAGGAGACGGCTGCTTTCTTTGTCAAGTGACTGAATTGACCGGTAGCGCTCTCAGGAGCGATGGGTGGAAATGTAGATGATAAAACGAGCCTTGGGGAGATCTTATGGATAAATTTGAATTTCGTCTGCGTGTTTTTGCAGGTTCAGGAAGGGTGGGAAGTGATGGGAAGTGGTGGGAGAGTCCTTTCCCTTCTCCTGGGGAAGTCGCTGCCCTACCCACCCACGCGCCTTCCTTTTCCGCGTTGCAACGTCTTTCAGTCAATCGGCGTATTCAATAGCCCAGGCTCAATAGACTACAGGTAGTGAATATGCACGATTCACTGTATCATAACAATGCTTTCTCCTTTAGCAGCTTATTGTAGCATCCGTTGTTCGCGCTCTAAAGGTAGTACATGTTTCGGATCTGAAGCAAACGGCCATCCGCATCTTGTCAGGAGCGACAGCACGCTTGGACAAACGGAGACCAGGCCTTATCTGTTGACTACGTCAGAGACATAAATTGGTTCTTGTATGGCATTCAACGATATAAATAAAAGATTAGCAGTAGGCATATATACAGTGGTTCCTTTTCAAAAAGAAAAGTACACTTCCTTCTCGAACTTGGCATAGGGAGCGAAGGTGGAGAGTCGATTTAAAAATGTGTTTGCAAGGAAATCTTGATATCGTCTTTCAATATCTAATTTTTTCGTCGTTGTTGCAGTAATTCGTCTTTGTATATCTTACAAAGGCATGGGTCCATTCTTTAAAATACCGGTAGTTAGTAAGTACTCTTCGTTCAGGAATCGAGGATAATATCCACTAATCTATCTCGGTCATAGCAGTCAATCGATGTCGAAAACAGCCTGCATATGTTAGTTCAGCCAGAGATACTTTGCCTCCTGGAACCACCTGATCCTCACGTCTGGTGTAGTAGAGTCTCTCCATCGCACCATGTTAAGTTAATATCGGCAGGTCCAGAGCACAATCATATGATTAGTCAACGTCCGAATCCAACTATTAGTTAAACTAAGTTGACTATTCAGTTATGATCTTATGATAGATGTTCAGAGTTGCCAAAGAGAAAACCACAGTGAAGAGTTCGCTATTAAGAATGGTTTTCTTGGAAAGATTGTCTCAGACTCTCAGTAAAGATCATGTGGCACTGGTTGCAGCGAGTACTTAATTCAAAAGCCACAGATATATATTTGTTTCTGATAGGTGGAAGGGACGATCGTACTGTAAAGTAGAACATTATAGATCCAACTGAGATCTTTCTACAAGACTTTCATAAGAAACCAAAAATCCATAAATAATACTCTTAAACGAAATGATATAGATACCTACCTAGGTAGTTAACTCACCGTCGCGTCTGTCTTTTGAGAGTGGTAACCCATTGTGGTTCCTACTAGCAGCCTTAGGCTCAGCCACTTTTCCACCTTAAATGCTCGATCCGGAGTGGGGGTCAGGAATCCCGTACGGTACTTTTTTTTCAAGTGGGTCTGGACTCTGGACTCGATGATGGAGCGTCAAGTTCCACCAGGGCTGACGGGCTCTGCTCTAATAATAATCCATATCCGAGTCATCTACGTGATAATAATAAATGACAGAATCAGAGATCGAGGTGGAGAACCCCATCTTGACAGATATTACATCTTCCTAGTTATTGATCACAGAAGGGGGAGCACACAGCTGTTTTACTCGTGTACTGGTAATCGTAATCGCCCCTTACCGGCTACAGATCCGGAAAATAAAGTGTGCTGTCAAATAGCAAGCAAGAAGCAGGACGGGCGTAGTACATGATGGATGATCTCGTCGTGTTCATGTGGTCTCTGCGTGACAAGATCATGCATTAGAGCTCAACCCTCACAGCTGCAGGTGTTGAGTATTTGCTCCGTTTGGGCATTATTATCTCTATGCTGTCTAATTATTATTATCTGCATCTATCGCAAAGTGTTTTGCTCATTTGCTCTATCTAATAATAATACTCGACGTTAAAACATACGTTGCCACCACATCACGTGGTGGTCCCCGAAAAGGTTGACGGAAGGGGCCTTTGCGAGGGAGAGGAATTTGTGCTAATGATAATGATAGTGATAATAATAATAATAATAATAATACTTAGACGACGGATTTGAGTCTGTGGAAACTGGAAAGGAAATAAATACCTACTCTCTGGGGTTTAAGTTAGTTACATCGTGAAGCTAAGAGTCTCTTACTTAGTGCTGGATAAGAAAGAAAGGCCGTCGCGGAACTGCGGGCAACTGAGCCTCCTCCCGCGATGGAAACCTGCGAGTCCCTGCAGCTGAGGACGAGAGGCAAAAAGAAAAGAAAAAGAAGAAGAAGAAGAACAATAACCATTTCCTCTTCTGCTCATTACTCTTTGCTTTGGCATTTCCCACTGTAGATCGATCCACGATTTCTACCCAATCGATCCCAAGTACCGTATTGTTCGTGTTCATTAAATAGTACTATTATCTGTCGTGTTTCTCTGTCTTTGTGCCGGTGTGGGGGCAGATCCAGACCTTGCTTACCGCCCGACGCTGACGAGGGAGGCACAACCAACCACCTGCTAATAATGGACTGCTCTGCCTCCCTTCTCGCTCCCGCCGCCCAAACTTCCCACTCTTCAGCCGACTTCATCCACTCTCTGTCCTGTTCTGTTCTGTTCTTTCTTCCTCCGCTGGTCTGTATTGGCAGTATCATGCAGAGCATCATGCTTTAATCGACTGCTTGCAACAGTGGTAGCGGGCAGTGTGAGGTTTCTGCAGGTGTAGCCTGCGTATACGGACCGTTTTTCGCCAGCATCCGATATAGGTGCAACCGCCCGCTTACGGCGTTCACGACACGTTGGCTTTCTCCAACAGCAGAACAAGCAGACCCATCTGGCCTACTGGGAGGAGATGGCCTTGGAATCCTCGATCCCTATCGATATGGAAGAGACGGCCTCACGCTCGGGGGCCAGAGACGCGTCGCCATTCCCCTCCCGCACGCCTGAACCAGCACCTTACCCATCCGTGAATAACGGCTTTGCTCAACCGCACAGGCGTCAACCACCGACGACGGACTTGAGAAATGTGGTTTCGGGCACCTCGCTAGGCCAGTTCTCCTTTGCACCCGCAACGCGTACCACCGTGGTGACTACCACGACGACCACCACCACCAACTTCCCTCCACTGGTGATGAAACCACCCCGAGCTACCAGGGACCTTGACCCTAAGCTATACCCGTTGGCCTCAACCCCGACTCCATCGTCTCTGAGAAACATTAAATTTGAGATGGCGGGAAGGTCGGTTATATTCAAGGAGCCGGAAGACACTCTCGGCACCCTGGAGGAGGTACGTTTCACCGACCTGCCGTTGGTTTCTGACCACGCCACGATGATACTGACTGACTACTGCTACTACAGCTGAAGGGACAGCATGACGCATTGAAGGAATCGAATGGTACCCTGAAGTCAGTAACCACATACAACCCATCCCATGAAACGACCCTGCCCCGACGATCTGCGCCCCCTAGGCTCTCCCGTCAGTCATCCCGCAATTGCTCCAGCTCCAGACGCCGTCCTGTATCTCCGGTATCCATGTCAGACGCTGCCTATACTGCGCACGGTACGCCTGCCTTAGTCGGGCCTGGTTCTTACGCGTATCGGGGGGGTTCCCGACACAGGAGCGCCATCCATTCGCGTCCTGCAACAGTTGGTTTGGCTACGCCAGAAACAGAACATAGCCAAATCATCAGCGAAGGTTCTCTATCTCGACGAAGGATTCGTGGTGGTAGCTTCCATCGGAAGGAAAGTCTCTTACGCTCCCCGCTATCCACAGAGACAGAGCAACACAGAGCCAAGCCCACTCCGAATTCGACTCATCCTTCTGGAAAGGGAAAGGAGAACTTCCGTACGGAGATCTCGGGCCCCGACGAAGAAATAACCGAAACCCGTACAGGCTCCGGAGAGCAGAGCCTCCAGGTTGCTGAAGCTGGCCATAATGTAGAAAATGACATTGGTGGTCCTGATCTCGTGCAACATGAGGTTGTCGAGACATCTGCGGATGTCTCACAAGAAGGTCCTTCTGTCTCCACCTCGCGTCTGACAGCCATTGATAGTGCCGTCGCGCAGGATATGTGCTTACCGAGTCCGAGCCTCTCTCCTGTGACGGCAATGAACGCACAAAATGCAGACTCATTCTTCGATTCAACGGAAGATCAGGGGACAGATACCGACTCGAGTTTCGAGAACCATATTCCCGCCGCGTCCAAGTCACTGGGCGTGCGGGACATCGATGCAGTAGTTTCTCAGAGTGCCGTGGCTGAGAACTCGTTTGCAGCTGTGGATGGCCCAAGGTCTACTGGTTCCTTGATGGATATCCCCGTTATGCTGAACTTTTTCGACTCGGTGCCAGATGAGTTGAAAACTTACCTGATGTACCAGTTCTTGAGACGGTGTCCCAAGCCAACGCTACACTTCGTTGCTGATGTCGTAAACCCGGCTCTTAAGTGTGATTTCTTGGCTCTTCTACCGCCTGAACTTAGCTTGAACATTGTCAAATATTTCGATGTTCAGACTATGTGTCGAGCGGCACAAGTATCGAAGAAATGGCGACACATCATCAACTCTGACGAGAAAACCTGGAAAGAGTTGTTCGACAGAGACGGTTTTGTCCTTCCTGAGGGAGAACTGCAGCGGGCTATCAGAGAGGGCTGGGGCTGGCAGTTTCCCAATGGTGTTGATGACTGGGAGAAGGACCTGAGTTCGACTGCAGTCTCAAGAGCAGGTTCCGATGCAGCTTCTGTGTCTGCCATGTCGATAATAGGTGGACCCAATGACAGACAGCTGTTAGGCCCCTCCTCGTCCCTTCGACGTCCTAAGCGAAAGGCTGCGGCTCGAGGTGGAAGTCGCAAATCAGCAAAGAGAAAGATTTCTACTTCCGAGGGTGAGAGTGCAGAGACCATGGACTGCTGGAGGGATGTTGCTGCTACCGAGGGTCCATACGCAGCAGCTAATGCTGCGGCTGCCGCAGTGCCATATCCTGACGTTGGGTTGCCATCCCTCAGGAGTCTCCATCTTTACAAGTCGCTCTACCAACGACATCACTCCATCCACAAGAGCTGGATGCGACCCGATATTAAACCGAAGCATATTGCTTTCCGTGCTCATGATCGCCATGTGGTCACCTGTCTGCAGTTCGATACCGATAAGATCTTGACCGGCAGCGATGACACCAACATTAACGTATACGACACTAAGACCGGTGCCCTTCGAGCCACACTCGAAGGTCACGAGGGTGGTGTATGGGCGCTGGAGTATCTTGGTAACACACTGGTCTCTGGCTCTACCGACAGGTCTGTACGGGTGTGGGATATCGAGAAGGCCAAGTGCACGCAGATCTTCCAAGGACATACTTCCACGGTACGTTGTTTGCAGATCCTTCTGCCAGCGGAAGTAGGCAAACGTGCCGATGGCTCGCCTGAGATGATGCCAAAGGAACCATTGATCATTACTGGTTCTCGTGACTCCAATTTGCGCGTCTGGAAACTTCCGCAGCCTGGCGACCCGCAGTATTTTCAGGCCGGTCCTCATGCAGACGATGCTGATTGCCCATATTTTGTCCGTGTACTTACAGGACATCAGCACTCGGTCCGCGCGATCGCAGCTCATGGCGACACTCTGGTTAGTGGAAGCTATGACTGTACGGTCAGAGTGTGGAAAATATCCACTGGAGAGACGCTCCACAGGCTCCAGGGCCATACTTTGAAAGTGTACAGTGTGGTTCTTGACCACGAAAGGAACCGTTGCATCAGCGGATCAATGGATAATATGGTCAAGGTTTGGTCTCTTGAGACCGGCTCTCTCTTGTACAACCTCGAGGGCCATACTTCTCTCGTGGGACTCCTTGACTTGAAATGCGACCGTCTCGTCTCAGCAGCCGCGGATTCAACATTGCGGATCTGGGATCCTGAAAATGGCCAGTGCAAGAGTACGTTGAGCGCCCACACCGGTGCGATCACGTGCTTCCAGCATGACGGCCAGAAGGTCATCTCTGGATCAGATCGAACGTTGAAGATGTGGAACGTGCGTACTGGAGAATGTGTGAAGGATCTCCTTACCGAACTTAGCGGTGTGTGGCAGGTCAGGTTCAACGACCGCAGATGCGTTGCTGCCGTTCAACGGGATCACCTGACTTACATCGAGGTATGTGCAACCGGGAGGGATGAATTATTGCTTTGACCAAATTGCTGACACCCTGAATCAGGTTCTCGACTTTGGAGCTTCTCGAGATGGAGTGCCGCCACATCGTCTAGGCAAACGTATAGTCGTCAATCAGAGGGGCCAAGAAGCCAGTGAGGATGACGACGATTACGATATCTCCGATTCGTGAGCTGTCTTTCATAGTGATGGCGTTGCGTACTCGCATCCTGTTCTGGTGATCAGCGGATTCATTGTGTCTAATTTCCAGCGTCGAAAGAGACGCTGTCATATCACGATACCCAGTTCTGATGGACTTTTTCCTATTTTCGAAGCAACTTGCATAGCGTCGGTGGTATCCTTTGCCATATGGTATTTCATGACTGTAACTGGTGTTTGGTCGGAGTGGCGGTGTTTGAATGCATTCCTCGTTTTTTTTTTCTTTCTCTCCCATTCGCGGCATATCTTCTTTATCTCCTCTTTAACTTTCACGCTCTACTCTATTGTCTCAACCGAGATCCTTCGAGCCAACTCAACGGTTCCGAAAGTAGGCTTATCTCAGCTCTCGATGGGGGCGGCTGCCAATCTAACGGTCGTGTACAAGAGTACAAGGCTTTTTTATGACCTTTTGCATCTACTTTACCTTTCATAGTGATTAATCGAAATTGTCATTCATCTTCGATCGTGGACGAGCCCTATGCACGGTGTCCATCTGTAGGCCTTCACGAGCGATAGAGCAACGACCCAGTAATCAAGTTATATGCAAGCAACTCATGATTTATTACTATATCTCACCCCACTCTACGATAATTCTTCCCTTTACCATGAGTTATTCCACGGAAGGCTTATCTGTTTCCATAGTGGAAGTTCTATACTTTTGGTCTACAATCTAGTCACTACTTAACTACAATCTACCTTGTAAATACATACTAGTGAATGATTACTGTTGGTGATCAAGACAGGAATGTAGATAAAACGGGAGAATAACTATGAAGAGAGATAAAAAGCTTTTTTTTTTTTTCGTAATATTCACCGTGAGGGAATTTTTTGCAATTTTAATTTTTGTTCTCGTGTCAAGATGGGAGAAGAGGATAAAAAGTCTAGACTACTAGTAGTTAAAAATCGAAAATGCATTCATGTCCGACCGTTTGGTTCCTCCTATGATAGATTTAAGAAGACCCCCCTTGGATGATTTCCTCACACCGGATCGCGTATCATCGTATCGTATCCTGCTTTCGTGTCCGTTCCGCAGAGCTAGAGAAAGACGCTGAATGGGGCTGTCCGTGGGGCTAGGCTGCAGCCCAAATCCAGGCGCTTTCTGCTCTCCACATTCCTGTGAGCGAAGCGTTCACAGGTCGGCGTCTTCCTCGTCGGGAAGAGGCTGGTTCTGGGCCTCCTCCATCTCCTTCTGGTACTGAGCGAGGAGCTCGGGGTTGACCTGGACCTCGGGAGGAGCGAGAGCGGGAGCGGCGACGAAGTCCTAGGATTTCGTTATCAGTGATCGCTATCGACACAGTTGAGCAACAGGAAACACCTACAAGACTCTGGTTGCCGACCAGCTTTCGGGCGAGCCACAGGAAGGGCTTCTCGAAGTTGTAGTTGGACTTGGCGGAGATATCGTAGTACTGGAGGTTCTTCTTGCGGTGGAAAGTGATGGTCTTGGCCTTCACCTTACGCTCCTTGACGTCCACCTTGTTACCGCACAGGACAATGGGGATGTTCTCGCAGACACGGACAAGGTCACCTATTCCCGCATGTCAGCCCTTTCCATCCAAAAAAAGACTCCTGATTACACCCCGTCGGACGGAGAGCCGAGAAAAAAACTTACGGTGCCAGTTGGGAACGTTCTTGTAGGTGATACGGGAGGTAACATCGAACATGATGATACCACACTGGCCGTTGATGTAGTATCCATCGCGCAGACCACCGAACTTCTCCTGACCAGCAGTGTCCCAGACGTCGAACTGGATCGGACCCAGGTTCTATAGCCGAGTTAGTCGATATGTCCTCCAGATGGAGGGGCACCCCAAGCGGGGTCGTCAAGCGGGGAGGGGATCGTACGGTGGTGAAAGCGAGAGGGTGAACCTCAACACCGAGAGTAGCGATGTACTTCTTCTCAAACTCTCCAGTCAAGTGGCGCTTGACGAAGGTGGTCTGTATCGATGGACAGTCGGTCAGCACGCGATCCAAGCGGGAAGGGAGGGGTCGATCAAGTAGTCGGCGGATTCTGAGGTCAGAGAGCGACTGTTCAGGGTCGGATCGTTCAATCCATCGCTTGATACCCCGACCCAGAACCTTCAGGCGAAACATGCGACATCCAGAGAGCGGTTTGACTTGCCTTTCCGGTACCACCGTCACCGACGAGGACGAGCTTGAAAGTTGGTGGGGCTTGAGCCATGGTGATTTCGTGACGTGACAAAAAGAAAATATATTAATCGTTAAGCGCAATGAGCAAGACACCAGCGCAGAAGTCGCGCAGATGAGGACGAAGTGATGGTATGGAAAAGGGTGCTGTCAGGGTATCCTGAGTGCAAGGGGGAGTGCCTGGCGATGTTGGGCTGGTGATGGAATTTTTGAGCAAGTCGGTGACAACAAACGAGGAGCCTCCAGGTCACGTGACCGCCCACGGCTTGCCCCTCCGGATCCCTGCTCAGCGAACTCCGTGGAAAATGTTCTACAGCGCGCTATGGGCCGCCAGTTATCTATGGTACACTCCCTGCAAACAAACCAGCTTCACGCGCATACCATAGCAGATTATTATTTTGTTGGGGTGACTCAATGTATTACTGCCAGAGCATGATCGTCACGTAATTCAATATTACTGGTACAGTCTTCGATTGCCATACAAAGGCCTATCTATAGGTATCCTCTTGACTCCTAAACCCGGAGGAACCAGTAACACTCGGTGACCTAGACTCCATCATGATCATGTCTCTCGTAACAGAATGCCTTGCAAAGACCGAGCCTACGCTGAGGAGGGTATCTGCGCGTCGCGGGGGATATTCGTGCGAATCAAGCAGTGAGGAGCAACCAAATCTACAGAGGAACCAAGTGGCAACCTAACAGGCCGCGACCACCCCAGTCACGCCGTGGAGTCAATCGCAAGGTCAGCTCCGTAGTCCCAGAACCACTCTCAGCCTTCCGGACAGCTTTTACAACTAAGGGGATCTGGATGACTAGTCAATATCCGTAGACAGGGTACAGTCGGAGAGAACGGAGCTAGAAACTTACCCCTTCGTGTTGCTGGACAATCTGCGCGACCTTGGAGAGTCGTTCATGGTTCATCCAGTTGGCTCCTCCAAAATTTCGAATCGTATCACCGGCCTTAAGGCCTGCCTGTTCAGCCGGGCTGCCACTGACAACACTGTTGACCTTTGCAAATGGAGTCTCCACGATCCCTGCCGGGGAAGTCGACGTCGCGTCGGCCAGTGCTACCTGAGATGCAGAACTGGACGCATCTGTCACCCCAGCAGCCGCCTGTGTTTGTGCCTGTTGAAGGTTGGCAAAGTGCTCGTGGAGGCCTTTCTCCAGACGATTCATGACATCCTTGTGATCGTTCCGAAGGTGGATTATGCGGGCTCGTGTAGTTCGAACTGTAAAGATTCTGTAAGTTCGGTCCATTCGATCATGGCCTGAGAGACGTACTTTGGGCGATATCGATATCGTCGCGTGGGTAACCGTCGAAGGTTGTCAAGCCTGTATTCATGTTCACTCCATGCTACGACCCATGCTGTCAGCAAACCACGCATAAACCTATATCTGAGATATCATGTCTCATCACTCACCGAAGTCAACACGCTGCTGAGAGCTGAAAGCTCAGCTTCCAAGCGCTCCTTCTCCGCCATCAGTTCCATCATCGAGAGCTTAGAGAGGTCTCGAGCGGCAACCCCTCCGGTGGTGGGGCCGGAGGGTACCGTAGGTGCATGGATATTACCGTCCATCGGGAGTCCCATATCAGGGTGGAAGTGTGTAAGATTATGAGAACATCGTAGAGGATATCAGATATAATCGTTGGGTTTGATGGTTGGCGAAACCGAAACGGGTTTGGTGGGTCTGTCAAATCTGGGGAGATGCAGGCTAGATCGATACAGCAGTAAGTAAGTATACGCTTGGCGCAGTATCTAGCGTCACAGGGCTTTTCTTCCCCAAGTATCTACTGCTCTACTATTCTGCTGGTTGTTGCTATTAATCAGAGAGAGATCCAGAATAGTTATGGGTGCTCGCTTCCTTGCTTTCATTTTTTCGTCTTTAATATGATGATTTGTGCATACTCGGAGCCATGACGTAGCTGTATGGTTCTCACTGTGATGCTACTGTAATACAATGGTCTATAGAAAATGCGATGGGATGTCCTGCTCCGTTCCAGAATGATTTTGGTGTGTGTAAAAAGGACATTTGGTCAGATTATTATGTCTACCAGTGTCTTCGATAGAAAATGTGCTGTTCTTGGCTTATTCTTTGTTTCCCTGTCATGGCTATACGATTCTTACGCCCGTTGTGACTTCCTCATGCTGGACTGCACCGTCTGCTGTCGTTTCCTTAATATGCTCATCTCTGACTTAGGCACATATCATATATCGTTTTGTTGTGGGATTGTTTATCCTCTCGTCTCCGAGATGTCTCTCCATTCATCACGCCAATCCCCCGTTCACAATGGAGCCCACAGAGGACATGAAATCGCCATTCCTGACTCCAAAATCCTCCACTATCCATGAGGGCCCCTCCAACCCAGATGATTCCAAACCAGAGACTACTAGTACTTCTAAATTCAATAGCCATCCTTTCAAGAAATGGGTTGACAGCTTCCGGCTCAAGAGGCAGACTGCCGCGCGAACTCCCCTGAAGCACGTCGAAGGTTGGACAGAAGAACCACAACGGCGCGACAGTGATGCCACCTTGGCAGAGTTCTCAAACATTCCGGATACTCAGGATCAGCGGTGGGAACAGCTATCGGGCCACTCATCCGTTTTGGAAACAGTAAAGACGGCTAGCATGAGCATTACTACCCAAAGCCTCATTACAAGATCAAGGGCAACAACCCAAAGCAGCACCAACCAGAGTGGACATCCTGCGAGCCCCAGGTCGAACTCTGAGGCTCGGACGTCGATCGACAGTTTGAGGTTGGCTCCGAGTAATACATCTATTGACGATGCAGCCTGGACTCGAGGGATCAAAAGACGCCAGATCCTACACGAGATCCTCTCCACGGAGTCAGAATATGTGACCGGTCTTAAGTCTCTTACAGATGTACGCTGACTCCGAGCCCCTTGGCTTCCTTGTGCTAATCTGTATACTGCTGGTAGATCCTATCGTCGTTCCTTCCAGCAAGACCGACAATCTGCCATACTCTGCAGAAGATTCGAAGAATCCACGAGATCTTCTTAGAGCAACTTCGTATTATATCACCTAAATCAGAAGAGCCCGTGGACGGCGAGATCTCCAAATTGCCAGTTCGTACCTTGCATGAGAAGTGGAGTAGTATGGATCTAGGGCACTTTCGACGGCCGCACAATAGATCTCTGCGGACACGCAATCTGAAGGCTACTGTTGATATCAGGATCAAGGCAGTAGCAGCGGATCCCTTTGAAGCACGTATCGTGGCTCGCGAGCTTGACAGACTTGTAAATCTACCGATGCCCGCAGAATGGTGGATGGACTTACTAATGTCTTCACTCCAGTCTCTCGGCTTCCCTTCCTACGAAGACTTCTGCGGTAATTACGGATTGCTCACTGAAGATCTGGCTATTATCCGCCGGTCACATCCTTCCTGGAGCATCTATGATCGAGGCATAGAAGCACTCTGTAAGGCAGTTGCTTCCAAGGATGGCCAAAAACCAGAAGAGTGTAAAGCCATGACATTAAATGATTTACTGATAAAGGTCTGGTCACTACTTCGTTTCTCAGGTCTCAATTAACGTGTTCTTCGCAGCCTATTCAGCGCGTCTGCAAATACCCTCTCCTGCTCTCGGATCTTCTGAAAAATACACCTACCGGAGACTGCCCCGAGGCTCATGAGGAGATCAGCCAGATCTTGGAGCAGATACGCATGAAAGTAGCGTGTATAAACGACGCCACCGGTAACCCTCTAGCTCAGGACCGCATTCAGAAGACCGTTAGCTTGCAAGAGAAACTTGAATTTCCGGACAATGTAAGTTCTCCAGAAGCCTATGGGGATGAGGATCATCGGTTGACAATGTCTTCGAGTGTGTCCTCCAGGACGTGTACCGCCAATTGGGCCCGTTGATCCTTTGTGGCGTCCTTTATGTCGCATACGAGTCCACCGAAGGCATCATGGGAGATTATATGGTCTGTGTACTATTCCACGGATACATAGTCCTCTGCAGGCACTCCGATGGTTCGCGCAAGTTACAGCTGGTCGCTTCTATCTACGTTTTGGATATGAGGATCGATGTGTTGACCAACGGTATAGGTAAAGCAGCCCTAGTTTTACTCTCTTTTCATGGTGCTTATATCTGTCAGGACTTCACTGTCATACTTGCGGCTTTTCTTGGAAGGTGGTCTTCAAATACCAGAGCACCAGCTTCGAACTCATCTTGAGTGCATCTAGTGCTGAAGAGGAGACGCATTGGAAGATGGAGCTTCTGAAGGCGTCCACTGTATTACCCACAAACTTACCATCTGAATACTTGGAACCAAGGAAGTACTCCATGATGTCTCTCGCCTTGAAGCCATTGTATCTGGGGGGTGATCATTTGGCTCTTCTTACTCGCCGATCTTCAGCACAGTCGTTGACGAGCCTTCGACCTAAGCAGAAACATGTGATCATCAAGAAAACCAACTTTCCCTCCCAGCTTGATGACAGCAACCCCGTCTACCCTGCTGAGCTTGGACGATCGCTGACCTCGCTAACGATACGTTCCGCAACGATGCTCAATCCACGTAGGCGCGATCGAGTCCGGTTGGAACGCTTCATTTCAGATCTGTATACACGTGACGTTCTTCCATTCCCTGGGATGATCCTCAAGCGAGCTGACTATCTACTGTTGGCATCTCCTGGATCTCTGATGAGACGGCTGAGCTTTCACATGCCCCTCAGTCGTCGTTCCAGCTCTCTGACCACGGTCACTAACCGATCGGCCGACGCAGTCGTCGACATCAAAGACGAGGGCGAATGGACTGAGAAGGATCCAGAGGAGATCCTAACGGTGATCGAAGCTCTATCTACCAACGAAGGACACTCTCACAACTCAGCTGACGCCTCCGGGAACCTGGGTCGATCCTCCACTATCAGATTCACAGGGCTGCGGAAGAGAGCTGCGGCTCCTACCGATATTCCGTCACGCAGCTCAAGTGGGAAGTCCAATGGCGAATTCAAGTACTCACCAAAGAGACGATGGAATCTGTCGTCTCCTTTCCTCAACGCGCTCTCTCCTAGTCGGGGCCGCGGAGCGAAGGAATAGATGGAACGTGTCCAATTGTCCAATGGACACGTGACGACTTGCGGATAGCTTTCTACGGGTGAGCTGTACTCCGTATACCAACTGATTTTGGCAATTGTGTGGCTTTGTTCAAAGGCCTGTTCTGGTGCATTCGAAATGCAGTGGAGCTGCAGTGGAGGAGGAGTTGAGGTTGGACTTGGCATTCACACGTAATGGATCAGATCATGACGGTGCGGAGAGGGATAAAATGTCCGCTCCGGGAGGAGGGGCAGTCCAGTAAGTAGTATATACTTGACCATGCTCCGTAGGTATGGTGGAATGACGAATGACGGATGGTAGATGTGGCTCTATTCGCAGAGAATAATGCACTTTTTCAGTAGTCTGTAACTTATCTTTGGTTCTTTTTCTTTTCCTTTTTTTCCTTCTTCCCTGAACTGGTCGCGCGATGTCCTCCCCTGTTGATCCGCAAAGCAAGGCGGGGCGGAGAGCCGATGACGTCGATGCCCGCTGAGCAGGTTGGCCGAACTCGTCATGAGAGCTCGCCTACATAAGGCTGGTTCTCGCTGTCTGTTCTTTTCGACTCTATCCAGACTATTCAATTGAACCGAACTGAACTGAACTGAGCTTGTCATTTCTGTTCTTCCCATCTTCAACGTCACCTTACGCTTATACTTCACGTATCCGTTGCTACCTCTAGATAGTAGCTGCACTCGAAATCCAGAGCTTAGGCTTCACATCTATTTTCCAGCAAGCAAGAGTTATCCACATCAGCCACAATGCCTCGCGCAAATGAGCAGCAGTCCCGCGTCTTCTACAAGGGCAAGGTCGACGACTTTGTCATCTTCGTCGATGACGCTCAGGCTTTGAACAACTGGCGCAAGGACCGCACTATCCCTCTGGCTCAGGTGCTCAACGGCTGGAAGATCTTCGTGACGCACCGGTATGTGACGATGCTACCTTTTCTCCCTGCAGTTTTGTTATGTGGAACAGAAGACCTAACTAATACCAAACAGTCACGGCGCTCAGGGTGTTCTTGACACTGCTAGCAAGGGTTCCTTGGAGAGCGAGTTCGGTACCTCCAATGAGGATGACGTCGTCAAGCAGATCCTGGAGAAGGGTGAGCTCCAGCAGACAGTGGTAAGTATTGACTCGTATTCCTGTGCATTGCCGTGTTAGCAGATGCTAATGTTCAATTCACAGGGCCGCGAACGCCAGGGTGACAAGAACCCCTCTGATGGTCCCACCGTGCCTCATTAAGTCTGCCATGGACCTAGATTCAGGGTCGTGCCTGGCTTGACGACCAGCCCGTGCGTCTCGAATATCGCAGATCTCGCTGTGATCGGTCTCTCTCTCATCTAGCTGGTCTTCTGGTTGAGACAAAGACACGGTCAGAGATCTGGCAGATGAGAACGAAGATAGCTCGACGAGTCCCTTAAGTCTTCCTTCATATCAACAAAATCTCGCCATATTCCTACGACTCTCTGGCTGTATCTTTGATCCTGTCCTTTTCCTGTTTCCTTGGGTCCTTGTCGTTTTCAAGGACTTGGGGGGAACATGAAAGGAACTATTCATTGAGCGGGGTATCTCATTCAACAGGTCGATCCTCGGAATCGTTATCATGACATGTGTATTTTTCTTACGAACGGTCATGTTGTTTCTTATGGAGCGCGTTTTCGGGGAGCATGTGGATGCCGGATTAGCATCCTTTTTATTACTATATCAGATAATGATCATAGGATATCTACTATCAATGATCGCCTAATGAGAAAATCAAGAGATGAATATCTAAAGCCTGGGCTTTTTTTTTCTAAATTAGCAAATCTTGTGATGTTTGTCTATAATCGTTAGATATCATGATTCTAGGGTTCTAGCGTGATATTATGCGGAACGGTCGAACCGAGGTCAAGCTTCGTTAGTATTTGAGACGCCTGTTCCTGCACTCTCTGTGAGAATAGTGGTGTCAGATGTTAGTTCCCCGGTGACTTTATGACACGTAGGATTCGCTACGTTGTCTGTTGTTACGTTAGATGGAGAACACTCAGTGACTTCCACTGTAGAGTCCAGTGCCTTGTCAAGCTCGCTCGAAGCAGCAGCTTTCCTCTCCTGCCTCCTCTTAACGACCCATCTTCCCAACTCATTCCAGACAGCCTGCTTTTCTGCCAGTGTCATACCCGCCGCCAGCCCGCTGGTGGTCGTGGCCACAAACACCGGTGCCCCATCCCACCCTTCGACACCATCCCCGGCGCGAACACGGCCCATATTCTCACTCTCATTCTGCCAGCCATATTTAAACTCCTCCTTCTTAATCCCCCGTCCTTTACGCACCCTCCACACCGCCTCCCAGATACTCTTCCCGACCAAACACACAGCCTCGGGCCGCTGAGCAGCTACTTTCGCTTCGAGAACAGGCACGCCTGCATCCATCTCAGCTTTCGTAAGCATGCTCGCGTCCCGCGTCGGGCGCTCGACGATATTCGTGTTTCCGATCTCGTATAGTTCCGGGAGACGGTATGTGTCGCTGGGAGGGTGGCGGATCGTGGTTATACCGGAGGAGTGGAGCAGTTTCCAGAAGAGGTTTGAGGGGTGTGCGTAGGCGAAGCCGGTTGTACCGGTCATTAGGCCTGGGTTGACACCCACGAGAAGGAGGATTAGGTTCGGTGGGATGGTGTCGCGGAGGAGGGAGGGCGGGGAGATTGTAGATGTCGTGAGGGGAGAGCGGGCGGGGCGTTTCTTCTTTGTTGTCGTCTTCGATGATCTGGAGGAAGAGGAGGAGGATGGGGATGAGGGAGAGTTAGCTAATGTCTGGGATCGCGAACGTGTTAGGCGCGATGCGGTTGTTATCGTAGCTGACGCTCTTGACATTGTTGGTCGAGAACGAGTAGTCCGTCCTTCTTGCCAGCTGGGGATATCCTCATGTTCGAGTTTCCGCTTTAGCGATTCCGACGAAGAGGAAGTATTACTCTCGTCGCCTAAGCTCTTGGCCTCGGTCGATGTTGTTGTTGTCTTCTGAATGCTCTCGTTCTTGGTAACCCGGTGGAAGTACTTGTTCAGTCGCCCATTGAAGGATAGTACCCTGTTAACGGGGACATCCTCGCTGTCATCGACTATTGATCGAGACGGTAGAGATCCAGGAAGCATCATGGGATAATTCAATGCGGACTGCACTCGATGGTATTAAATGGAGTTAAATGCTATACGTACTTCCTCCTCCGAGAGGCGAAAGTACGGAGTAAACGAAAGGACTTCGTCCGCAGCGTGGGGGGGCGAATGATAAGAGATTTCAATAATCCATCTAGTCCTGAATATAAATGATATAGTTAAGAGGGGAGATATCTTAAAAAAAGAGTATCTCGCAAAGAGTGGCAAGAAGCAGAGCTTGGTTCGAAGATCAAGGAGAAGCTCTCAGTCTGGCCATCGATGGACCCGCTTCTGGCAGTGCCCTAAACCCTATTTTCCTAATGAGGTAAAACACCAAGGTACGGCACTCGCATATACATGGTAACTATATGCGACAAGATTCTGACCAATACAATCATATTACAGAACAGCTTCAAGGTCCTTTGAGTCAATAATTGATACTGTAGGTGAGAAAGTTAACTACATACCTAGGTAGTTCAATTTAAGGCGCTAGACTAGCGACTCGGTCCCGCTTTCTCGGCTTCGCGGGGACTCGGGGAGGAACTTACTGTATGCATCCGTAGATTCAATCCATCAAATGACAATCACTGTTACCCAATAATGGACACGCAACGATAATAAGAGACTCAGGCGAGATCGAACGCCATGCCTCCTTTAGGCAGAGAAAAGCGCTCAAAGATTCGACTCGCTTGCACCAACTGTCGGGAAGATAAAACGAGGTGTGATGGGAAACGTCCTATCTGCACGCGTTGCAGAAAGCGCCGCGGACCGGTGACATGCGTCTATAAGCGTCCTGCCTCCCTGACAAGAAGGTAATCGTGCAGTCATAACTTCTTAAATGTCACTGTAAAATTACTCAATTGTATGATCAAGGGTCTCCAGCCCGGAACCAGCGGAGCAGCTGCAGCAGAGAGAAAGTAACAATCGGCTGGACAACGCACGTAAGTGAGGGCTTCACCCGCGAAGTATACACGAGATATATGTTGTACTTCACTAACAAATGTGATCTCAAACCGAAGATAGCGAATATCTGGCATCATCTAGACGCAATGAGCGTCGAGTCTTCAACGAGAGCCAAGCGATACCAGAAATAGTACCTCAGCCAGCCTTTCCCACTCTTTCAAATGGTAAACAGGATGTTCAAACTAGAGATGCCTTGGCCACTGTCCCATTGGGCGAAGATACTGATGCATTGTACGGGGGATCGTCGACAATCGCATTGTTACGACATGTTGCTCCAGGCGTTCATAGTCAACCCACACGATCTGAGTCAAACGATGGAGCCTACGCGGATGAATCACGGCGATCTCATATTCGATCTCCGTCCTTTACCACGTATCCTGAGGTAATCCGGGAGAAGGACAAAACTGTAGCTATCTATCCTCAGCGCCAAAATGCAGATGATTTCGTCCGATGCTTTTTCGAGTTCGTTCACCCGCTTTTTCCAGTTCTTCACCAGCCCTCATTCGAAGCACAGTATGAATCTGTGTGGTGGCCTCCTGATGACCATTCCAAATCAAGGGAAGAGAATTCGGTAGGAGAAGACTCCATTTTCTCCACTACCTTGAATCTAGTATTCGCACTAGGATGCCAGTACAGTTCGCTGGTGCCCCTGGCGAGGAGGTCTTCACTTGCGGATGAATTTTACCAACAATCAAGGAAACTTCTCGTCGTCGAAATACTTGACACAACCTCTTTACCACTGGTACAATTGTTGCTTCTGCAGGGAATCTACCTCCAGTCATCTAGGTATCCGACTCGTTGTTGGAATGTCATTGGCCTTGCCATACGAGCTGCACAGAGCTTGGGATTGCACCTTGATGTTGACAGTAAAACCCAGTTGTCCCGTGAGATGAGGCGACGAGTCTGGCATGTGTGTGTCTGTTTGGATAGGTACGGGATGATCCTGACGCCAACCGGGATCAAATGTTAATACCGTTGCAGACTGCTTGCTATGTCATTCGGCCGACCGACCATGATCGGGAAGTCATGGAACGTACCTATTCCATCTTTGATCGATGACGAATATCTGCTTGATAATGGAGAAGAGGGGGTCCAGCCAGCACATGTCCCATCTCGAATGGGTCTGTTCGTGTGGTCCTGTCCATTGTTCGAAATACTGGCTGAAATCCTTGGCTACTTTTACATTGATGATGGAGGGGATGGGTATCCCAAACACCTTGGATCAGAAGCGTGCAACAAGGAAGTGTTACCACGGGTTTTGGATTTCAACCGACGGCTTGATAATCTGTTCGACTCGATTCCGGAGTATTTGAAGACGACAAAGATTACGAGACCAACCATCTCTGATAAAAACAGCAGCGTAAATTTGCAGCAGCAAGTACTCTACTGCAGGTACGTTTCCATTCCAAGAAGACGTCGCGGCCACTTTACTCAGGCGAATAGATTTTTGTATGTGCGAGTATTATCCCTGCGCCCTTTGCTACTTCTTGCCAGACGCCGTGAACATCCTTCTTTCTCGACTCGGCTACCAGCAAAGGGACATCTATCCCTTGATGAAGAATTGATTGGACGCTGTTGCAATTTGTGTGTTGTAACTGCTCACCAAATCATCGAGAGCATTTATGAGCATCTTGATACTGCTTACAAAAGTTCTGGTTGGCATTCCGTATATTGTAAGTCTCCGTCATAGTTGTTTGCAAGGACTTTGCTGAGTGGGACAGTTACATTTGCCTCAATCACAATTCTCCTGGCTGGGCTGCAGTGCCCATATGTGGATATGGACGTTGGTGATAACTCATTCGAAGCGAGTTGGAATCGTTGTCTGTCCATACTGGAGCACTACAAGGATCAGATCCACTCTGCTACCCAAGCTATCCATGTCCTCCAGATTCTAAGGTCACGTATATTCAGGAGGGAGACTCAAGGTAACATGTATTCTTTCGTTATGGTAAATCATCTACTCATAAGGAATTTTCACAGGAGTAACCCCAGAAGCTGCTATCAAAACCCACAATGGTGGTCCCGAAGTACCTATGGCCGATAGCATCCAGTCACCTCAGATACCCCCAGCTTTTGATATCTCGGATCAATTCGACCTAACCAGCTTCAATCCGCACGGCGCGGAGTTCATTGCCGATGCCTGGTTCGGTCAGCAGATCACGAACTTGGATCTCTTCTTCCCTAGCTGAAGAGCACAAGATGCATTCACTTATACTGAGCTACACCGCGATTTAGTATCCGATATTGGAATCCATTTCAGCTTCGGAAGGTTGTGGAAGAACGCACACCTGTACAGTACGCCGAATATCTATAATAATTACAGCCTTACGTACCCTACGCCTCCAAGGACTACTCAAATTGAACGACTCAAATATGGGACAGATTCCGGTCCAATCTCTTTCCCAATTCCGACCGCGCATGCTCACACATCTTTCCAACATCAACATTGCTAAGTATTCCATTCCTCTTATTGATTTCGGCTTCGATCTTGGCAAAGTCACGGCCGACCCCTGGAGCTCGCCATTCATAACAGTCTCCCATGAAGCGACTACTTTGCACCAAGAATTCTCCTCTCTCTTTTCTCTCTGCAGTGAACGTAGCAAAGACTGCTTCAAGATGCCCAGGCTCGCTGACGCGCTCATCTCCCAGTAGCTCAGCCATCACTGCGCTATCTTCGATGCACAATCCGGCGCCAGCACCATGGTGGGGAGAAGTGGCGTGTGCAGCGTCTCCAACTATGCAAAGGCGGCCTTTGGAGTAGGTCGGCGGTGGATTCTCCCCCAGATCGAAGATAGCCCACTGTAAAACCATCAGCCAAGGAATCCCGGCTACGATATCACCAGATACTTACCACATCGAGATCTGGCTTGGTCAGATTCAGCAATTTGATGACATTCGGTCCGAATCCTTCATAGTCTTCTAGTGCACGCTCGCGTTTGGCAGGCCTTGTCAATCGTTGAGCATCGGGCCATGGCTCCGAATTCGTCTTGAATGCCACCATGTTGAGTGTCTTTCCGTGGTCAACCGGAAATGTCAGCATGTGAGCGTTGGGGCCCATCTACAGGGGTAGCCGTCAGTAACTCATTCTCCAATCCAACCATTGGGGTCATCCAGGCTAATTACTCACATGCAGGCAAGAGTTCATCGCCCGTTCTTCTCCAATTGCAGCAATGGCATCCTTCATCGGTGCTAATCCTCGATACGCGTATTTGTGAGTATACGACGGGTGCGCGGACAGATGGTCAGCACCGACAATAATCTGCCGTACACGAGATTTGATACCATCGCAGCCGATCACAGCATCCGCCTCAGCAGTCGTACCATCCTCAAAATGCATAACCAGTCTCTTACTACTAGGCCTCTCGGTAATATCCACAAGCCTCTTGCCAAACCGACAGATGTCCTGAGGGACAAGCTTGACGATCTGGTCCAGGAATCGTGCCCGATGCACGCCATTCTGGCCGAGTTCACTGCGGATAGTGAATGCAGACTCCTGGGTTTTGCTCTCGTCCTTCGGGCCACCATAGCCGTCAAGGAAATCAAACCAGACTTTGCGTTTTGACGGCCACTCGTTTGTGGTGCAGACGTTCTCGAATGCTTGGTAGACGCCCTCGTGGCATACTTTCATAGCCTGGATGGCATTGGGACTGAAGGACACGCCAGCGCCGATCTCACCGAACTGCGGTGCCTGTTCGTAGATCGTGATGGGTACTTTGCGATGGTAGAGCGCGATGGCCAATGTTAGGCCGGCGATACCGCCGCCTACTATGGCCACCTCGAAGTTTTTGGTCCTTGCTGATCGACCTTGGCTCATCACGGTGGTATTGCTCATTCAGAATACCGATGGATGAGATGATGTCAAGGGCGACAGTAAAAAGAGGCGCGAAATGTCAAAGGAGTAGTACTTGGTCTCCAAGTACTTACAAGATGGATGTATGGAATCGAAGAAACTCAACACTTATAACATAGTTATATAGCTGACTGGATGTACGGATATACGGCCCAACAATACTTTTCCACCTGCTGATCGTTGAACAAAAATTTGTTAGCACTCAAACAGGAGCCACCTCTAGGACTCAGTATCCAATTAATACTCCGTCTTGATGGATGTCGTTCAGACGATAGTTGTCCCTCGGACCGATCCCCGTGTTGATTCCGATCCCGATCCCGATCCCGATGCCGGGAGTTGAGATATGCATGCATAGCTCTTAGAGATCGTTATTATTATTATTAGTGAGGTCTCTATTATTATTCTGAGTGTTGTAACTTGTCCCTGATGCCAGTGGTCGTTTATACTTCTCATGTAGATGGTAAATTCAGAGCATGAACCATACTAAGCGACACCGCTGACAGACCTATAGAAAATACGCGACCAGCCCTTTTACTGAGCAGCTCTTTCACCCTGTGCGAACTAAATATCGATATCTAACCAATTCCCTCGTAACGGACTAGGAGACCACATATTATTATTAACTACAAAGCCATTGTTCACAACTGCAGGTACAGTACCAATGTAACATCCTTGTGGTCTCTGTTTCGGCAGTTACCGTACCGCTGGTGCTCAGCCGCGCGCACAACGCGGCTGTCGAGTGACGAATACCGTTTTGATACCGAAACGAGAGTATCGTCACAACTCTTTTTTCCTCTCGTCCGTCCTCAGCCTATACCACTCCTTTTATCTCCTTCTCTCCCTCTTCTGTCTCCCCATCCTCTCTCTCCTTCTCAGGATGCCCTCGTGCCGCCAATAATAATAACCTCCATCTCTCATGGCCCGGCCGTGGAGCTACGATCAACCCCCCTTATGTGGCGGCCGGATTGACTCCCCACCAAGGCCCGAGCCAGTGCATTAGCCCGACCAGCCAAGGTTGATCGCACTCGATCCGGCCAACAAATTTCTCTCCGCAAACCTCATTCTGTCACCCGATCCCGCAAGTCTCTCGTTGTCTGATAATAATTTCTTACTGAATACTGAATATCAAACCATACCCCCCCGTGTCAGAGCCAATCACTGGCCCGTAATCAGTCTCGTCTTCCTAGGTTCCTTCAACGAACAAACGGGTCGTCCGCTAAACGGCTATCCCTCGGGTCCGCCTAAAACGTTCCTAGGGATTAGAGTATTATTGCCTCATCAGCGAGTTGCAAACGAAAGCCACACCCCGCTCCCGACAGTCCCATCCTTGGATTGTCCCGCGATCAGAAAAAAAAAAAAAAGGCGCCGTTCGTTGCTGTCAGAACCGAGATCTTGTGCCCACCGGCGCTAGAATATCCCATCCCGGGTCACAGCGGTTGCCTGTCAGCCCAGGAACAGGGGAGCAAGAAGGGTAAACAGCAGGAGGAGCGGTTGTACAATTTGGTGCTGACCATGAATCCCAACCCCACTGGCTATCCTGCTTTCCAGCAGCATCCTAACCCCATGCTGTCTGCTCCGGCGGGCTATCCCGTTCCATCCCAGAGTCCGAATAGTCACCAGGTCCCTTTTTATGCGAATCCCGCCGCCTACTCCCAGATCAAGGCGCCACAGGGCCATCCCATGCAGCAGCAACCGCAACAACATCCTTTTGGCGCTGTGCAACTCCAGACCACCGGCCCCGCTGGTGCTATGATGCCGGCCGGCATCCCCCAGCAAATCTCCGGTAAGTCCCCAAGATCGAAAGATTTCCCCAGAGCTGTCTCCCCCGGAGCTTGACGCCAGCAACCAACCCGTTAGAATCTCTGCTTGAGGTCGCTTGACTACGTACTGCCCGCCCTGAGGGGAGGTGGGAACACAGACCAACGGTTGAGCAGCCCCCTCCCCCTAGGCCGGAATGCAGTTGCGCGGCTCCAGAGGTTTTGGCGTCGGGTGCTGTGCTGCTTTGCTCCATCTGGTCCATCTCATCTATTCTTACTACTACTTCACGCCTCGTGCGCGTTGGGAGACGATCAACTAACTGGAAGCGCGTTGTCGTTGGCTGCCGCAGGACCCCACGCAAATTTCCCTACGGTATCTGCACCTTCTCCTTATACCCCGTCGACCGTTCCAGCTACTCCCTCTCAATCGTCCCAGCCGCGGACGGTATCTGGGTTGCCGGCGTCGACTGCTCAAGGGACACCACCAAATATGGCTGCCGTCTCCACGCCGAATAACATGTTCGCCGGTCAGCAGAGACCGGTGCAGCAGCCGAGTCCGACGGCGGCATCGTCTCCCCAATCTGCGGCGGCTCAAGCGCAAGTTGCTGCGCGTGATAGAGCTCGAGTCCACCTACTCCTCGATATCAACTCCGCCCTCCTCCAGGAGGTTGTGAGTTTGCAAGCGGCAGGCAAAGCAGGCCTGCCGCCGACCCAGCCGCAAAATTCGGAGTCTCCGAATCAGGGTTCGGAGAACGATGCGCAGAAGGGCCAGGCGACAAAGCCTAGCCAGGAGTATATCGATTGCATGCGCCGTCTCCAGGCCAATCTGGCCTACCTGGCCTCGATCACCGACAAAGCAAAGAAGGCCGCTGGCGTTCTGCCGTCGGCACCGGCCATCATGACGCCGCCGCCGTCTTTGCCCAGTCTCAACAACATGTACGCGCAGCTAGCTGAACTGTTCCCTGGAGCCTCAACGGCGCAGCAGCAGCAGCAGCAGCAGCAGCAGAAACACGGCTATCGGCTCTCACAAGGTAACGGGGGTCCCAGTCCGGCTTCCATGGCCGAATCTGTGGTGTGAAGCGCGATGAGAACGGATGACTATCGCGCTCTCAGTTGTAGGTCTGGCCTCAGGTGCGCAACCAGAGGCCTTCTGGTATAGTGAAAGGTGCACGAAGACACTTGTTCCACGGGAGTATCCCCGTCGGGCACTGTCAGACCAAGATAAAATAAAAGAGGAGAAATCCACGATGAAGAAAAGGTTTCAGCTTCTGTCTTTGGAGCCTTTCAAAGTCCGGGAGTGCTGCTTTTGCAGTATCATCCTACGCACCGGATGCTCACGTACGGCCAGCGGGTCCGGGTTTAGCAAGAGAAGGGCGCAAAGGATTGCGACTGCATTTGAAGGAGAGAAAGGGGTACGCAATATTGTATAACATGGGCTACAAGGAATTGACGGGAGCATACGTGGGGAGTCAACGGGTCAATCGGGATAGACCGATTTCAGCATTATATATGATATGATAGTCACTGCTTCTGCCTACTTTGTACTGTTCAGTTCAGACGTCTGGATATATAAATGCGATATACCAGCTGTGGTCCTGTTCTGAGGCGTAGTGCGATCTGCTAGTAATTAATAGCTGAGATGTCCGAGGCGGTAATACTGCTTGTGTTAGCTACACCCGTCCTTGATGCAAAAGAACCAAGACTCGAATAGGCCCCGACGGTGCTCGAGTATAGCAATGACAATCATCTGTTTCTAACTGTTATTATTATAATATTTATATTATCCCCATAAGGACCTTAAGCGCCCACCTTGGGAGATGGCTCCGAGGGCCTGCTGGCCGTCCAATCAGGACGCCAGCAGAGCTAACCACCACAACTTCGCAACAACCTCCAGCTGTGCTGCGGATGACTTCTTCCTCGTCCACGCGCCCTCTCGTCCGTCCGATCGCCAGCCTGTCCATCCACCACTCCTGACCGGCTGAGAGGCGACGTCTTTGGTCTTGTGGATGTCCTCCGCCCTGCTTCCGGCGTGCAGAAGGGGCTTCTCCGTTGCTACTGCGTCTCCCGGTCCAGCACGACCTGCGCCTGCGCCGTGTTGCTCTTCTCCCTCGCAGACCCCCGGCCTGTCTGTCCCGAACTCGATTTCTCCAAGCTCTTCCAGCTTCCTGTCGATCTCCCGTGGTCTCGTGGTACCTGCTCCAGGGTCCTGCACACCTCGACGTCAGCTTCCTCGCCGCCTGAAGAATTGTTATAAGGATCTAGCTACAAGCGGAGCTTGCAGTCAACTGGGACGAAGACCCTCTACCACCTCGTCCTTGCTCGACATAAACCGTTCCATCCGATCTCTCCTTCTTTCAATCCCGGCTCGAAAGACCCCGGGTTATATTGCCGTCCGCGCATTGCGCAATTTCTGCACCTCTTCCGCATCCGACATGGAGAGGACAGGCGAGATGCGTTCGAAGCGCAAGCACAGCCCTGTCGCTGGCACTGATCGCCCTGCGAAACACTTGAAACCAGAAACCTCTGCGCTGACGCCGGGGGATTCAACACCGGCCAATGGAACGGTGTACAGCATCGAAGATGACGCCGACACTGCTCCCGCGCTGCCGCTGGTCCCAGCTCCGGCAGACTCGCCAGAATGGCAGGCCACAATAGAGAACGTCGTGAAGAGTGTCGTCTCGATCCATTTCTGTCAGACATGCTCCTTTGATACAGACCTGTCGATGGCTAGTCAGGCAACGGGTTTTGTGGTCGATGCGGAGAAAGGATACATTTTGACCAATAGACATGTTGTCTGCGCTGGACCTTTCTGGGGTTATTGCATTTTTGATAATCATGAGGAGGTATGTTTGTCCATTGTCTTTGTCATTGCTATATGCATCTGTCTCTGGGTACAAGTTCTGATCTGATATCTCCTGTCATAGTGTGACGTCAAACCCATATACCGCGATCCGGTCCACGACTTCGGTATCCTCAAATTCGACCCGGCCGCCATCAAATATATGAAGTTGACAGAGCTGAAACTGCAACCGGATGCCGCCCGCGTGGGTGTCGAGATCCGTGTGGTTGGTAACGATGCGGGAGAGAAGCTCAGTATTCTCTCCGGTGTGATCAGTCGTCTTGACAGGAACGCTCCCGAGTATGGCGAGGGCTACAGTGACTTTAATACCAACTACATCCAGGCAGCGGCGGCAGCAAGTGGTGGAAGTTCCGGCAGTCCGGTGGTGAATATCGATGGTCATGCAATCGCCCTGCAAGCCGGAGGTCGTGCTGACGGGGCGGCGACGGACTATTTCCTGCCTCTAGACCGTCCACTGCGTGCTCTAGAGTGTATCCGTAGGGGTGAACCTGTCACCCGTGGTACCATCCAGACTCAATTCATGATCAAGCCTTTCGACGAGTGTCGTCGTTTAGGGCTGACTCCGGAATGGGAGGCTGCTGTTCGTACATCAGCTCCAACGGAGACGGGCATGCTGGTGGCTGAGATTGTGCTTCCAGAGGGACCCGCTGATGGCAAGCTTGAGGAGGGAGACGTGCTCCTGGAGATCAACGGGGAACTCATCACACGGTTCGTGAGACTGGATGATATCCTGGATTCGAACGTCGGAAACACGATCAAACTCCTTGTCCAGAGGGGCGGAGAGGATATTGAACTTGAATGTCAGGTGGGAGACTTGCATGCAATCACTCCCGACCGCTTCGTCTCTGTTGCAGGCGGAACATTCCATGATCTCTCCTACCAGCAGGCGAGATTGTACGCCATCGCCACTCGCGGTGTGTACATCTGCGAGGCGGCCGGCTCCTTCAAGCTGGAAAACACCGTGTCCGGTTGGATCATAGATACGATCGACAAACGCCCAACTAGGGATTTAAAGGAGTTCATCGAAGTCATGAAGACTATCCCAGGTAAGTATCTCGTGTTGGATTACAGGCAGAGTGGTACTTACGTGGTGTAGATCGGGCCAGAGTCGTTGTCTCTTACAGACATATCCGGGATCTACACACCAGAGGAACTAGTATCGTCTACGTCGACCGCCACTGGCATCCCAGGATGCGCTTGGCCGTACGAAATGACGACACTGGTCTATGGGACTTCTCTGATCTCGCCGATCCGATACCAGCGGCACCCCCAGTCCCCAGAAAAGCCGACTTCATCAGGCTCGAGGGAATCAGTCAGCCTGCTGCAGCTGACATTGTTCGAAGCTTCGTCAGGGTCTCCTGCACGATGCCTCTCAAGCTCGATGGCTACCCTCAGGCCAAGAAGACTGGATTCGGTCTTGTTGTTGACGCGGAAAAGGGCCTTGTAGTTGTCTCTAGGGCTATCGTTCCGTATGATCTATGTGATATCAACATCACGGTTGCGGATTCAATCATTGTCAGTGGCAGGGTCGTCTTCTTGCACCCACTACAGAACTATACTATCGTGCAATACGACCCGAGTCTGGTCCAGGCTCCCGTTAAGAGCGCTAAACTGAGCACGGAGAACATCAAGCAGGGCCAGGAAACCATTTTTGTGGGATTCAATCAGAACTTCCGCATAGTAGTGGCCAAGACGACTGTCACGGACATCACCACTGTAGCCATCCCGGCGAATTCATCTGCTCCGAGATACCGTGCCATCAATCTTGACGCTATTACAGTGGATACTGGTCTCAGTGGACAGTGTACCAATGGTGTGCTCATTGGCGAGGATGGTGTTGTGCAGGCTCTCTGGTTGAACTACTTGGGAGAGCGCACTGCCAATAGCCACAAGGATGTCGAGTATCATCTTGGCATGGCCACTCCTTCGCTTCTGCCTATCGTCAGCAAAATTCAGCAGGGAGACATCCCTAAGCTGCGGATCCTAAATATGGAGAGCTATGTTGTGCAGATGAGCCAGGCGCGGATCATGGGCGTGTCGGATGAATGGATCGAGAAAGTTGCTCAGGCCAACCCGACCCGACATCAGCTCTTCATGGTACGAAAGGTGGATGTGCCACCTCCATCGTTCAAATCTGCCACGGATGCTCTGCAGGAGGGTGATATCATCTTGACCCTGAACGGCAACCTAATAACCCGTGTCTCGGAGCTTGATATCATGTACGATAACGAAGTCCTTGATGCGCTCATTGTCCGGAACGGACAGGAGATGCGCATTAAGGTGCCTACGGTGCCCACTGAGCAGCTTGAGACGGACCGTGCTGTGGTTTTCTGCGGTGCGGTGCTGCAGAAGCCTCACCATGCGGTTCGGCAACAGATCTCCAAGCTCCACAGTGAGATCTACGTTAGTGCGAGGGTATGTGTATTTTTTTTTTCCTGTGTTTATGTGACGAGTATACTAATGCCCTTGCAGAGCCGTGGATCTCCCTCGTACCAGTATGGGCTGGCGCCGACGAACTTTATCACCGCTGTCAACGGTGTGGAGACGCGGGATCTGGACAGCTTCGTGCGAGAAGTAAACAAGATCCCAGACAACACTTATTTCCGTCTTCGGGCCGTGACGTTCGACAACGTCCCGTGGGTCGTGACTATGAAGAAGAATGACCATTATGTACGGATCCCGAATTTAGAACCCGTATTATCGATCTCCATTACTGACACTCTTGCAGTTCCCCATGTCTGAATACATCAAAGACCCATCTGTCCCCGCGGGATGGAGGACCGTCTCATATGAGAAGGGTAAAGAGAGACGCGGCGTGACGGCTGACTCCTCTAACCTCAACGCCGATGCGATGGACGAAGGCATAGACGACGGACCCAGCGACGTCGAACCGGAAGTTGATGTAGAATAGGTCTAAGGGCGAGAGCCTGTTGTAAAATAACATAGAATACTGAAAGATTTCTGGTACAGCCGGGCCTTGTCTCTCGGCCAGGGCCTTCAATACTGTATATTGTTACGTGACAAACTCATCCGATGATGTATCATTTTGAATCCTTGACGCGATCTCTCGTATTCGTAAACACGATGATCGCGATCTACTTGATCTGCCGAACACGAGGAGGCTAAACTTTGAAGAACGGGATTGAATTTAGACGCAATCGAACGCATCGAGTTTCCCTGCAAGTTAACTCCCCGATAGAAAACGGAGCATTTCCGCATGCCTGCCCTAGATAGATATATATCCACGACGCAGAGTGCAATCTGTAAAGTTCATGGAACAATGACAAGATACGATCGGATCAATTCCGGTGTTATCACTTGCGGTAAAATCGGCCCCCGAAACTGCACAACGGCATGAAAGGATAGTCAATCCGTAATAATAACCATGCAGCTAGAGTTTAGTTAGATCTTGACCGAAAAAAAGAACCTACCCAGTATAAATTTCACTTATATACCCTATAATGTACGGGTAGTACATCAACAAGCATCATTGGTCTAGTGGTAGAATTCGTCGTTGCCATCGACGAGGCCCGTGTTCGATTCACGGATGATGCAACTCAAAAATTAAAACGGGAATTTCAAATTCTTTTTTTTTTCCGGTCCCAGATTACATGGAATCCCTATATTGCAGGATTTTTTTAAACCTTGCATTAATTACTATAATTTTCTGGGCCTTTTTATCTTATTGTTATTACTCTATATACCCTGTTTACTATGTTTATATTACTTACGTAGGTCTTCCTGCAGTGTTGGTAAGATAAATATATTTTCCGCCGGGCCGGCCGATCGTTACATTCTGACCGCGTCAAGATTAGGCTACAGTAGAGTAGATATTGGCTGATCTTTCCTGCAATAATTGCTCCTTGTAGCGCACGGTGGTATTATGTATGCTGCTGCGTAGCGGTAATTATGTACATACGATATCTAACAGATGTTATATTCTTATAGTTATACACAAGGATTAGTTATACCTGATTTTTTTCAAAAGTTAGATTGCTTTTAAGATTTATTTTCTGTTGAAAATCTCCGATTAAATGTAAAATGTAGACTAGTTATAGTAGCTTATCTAAACTAGAACCAGATGGCTATAGATATAAGCTTTCGTTGTTTGAGATACAAAAGATGAGGTTTGAAGAGTTTTGTATAAGTGATCTATTAGTCGACTTGATGATGGATTAAGATATAGTTAGTCATGCTTTAGGTAGAAATAAAACATTAGATCTAGTCTATGAATCTGGACTAACTAGCAGTTTGAATTGACCTTAAGTCACTGTTGAGCATAAAAGTTCAAAATATACCTGTTCGATACAAAGAACAGGAGTTTTGTTGAGAAGATCGATCTTGCTTCAGGTCGGTTTCTGTGACAGATCCTATGTACGCAGTAACTGCTTCTCCTCTTCACGACGCTGGCGCTGTTGCCGCCAGCCATAACCCCATTGCCATACTGCCAGAAGCACTGGCACACACAGGAAACAGATAATCCCAATTATGGTGAAGGCCCAGCCACGTCCGATGGCATCGATCATTGGCAATATAAACGCCGTGAAGGCTGCTCCGAGCCAACAACGCGTCAGGTTATTGGCAGCTGTCGCCGTCGCCGGACTCTCCTGGTAAATATCGACCATCAGGACACTCAGGATGTTGAATGTTGCTGACGAAGTGTACCCGATGATGAAGAGCAAGATAAGCGGGCCAGAAAGGTTCGTCTGGTAGTGCAGCACCCAGCCGTAGGCGATCATGCCCAGCCCCTCCAGGACAATCAGAGGGAATACGACCTCTGTTCGGGCCCGTTCGATAGGGAAGGTGGTCAGGTCCTGACGACGCGTCTTGGAGACTGTAATGCCTTGCTGGCGGGCGTACCGCGCGTAGTTCCAATCCACCATACGGCCTTGTGTGTAAGCTGCCAGCAAGCTGCCAACGCCGACTGGAATGAAGCAGAGACCTATCTGGACGTCATTGAACCCGTAGATCATCTTGAACTGCGAGGTAACGCTGGTGGAGACGGCATAATAGCTGCCGAAGATGAGGCTGTTGCAGGCCAGGATCAGGAAGACTTCCCGGTCAAAAACAATGACCAGCGTTTTGAGCGGGTTGGGAAAGTGAACGCGTGCCTGCACTGGCGTCTCCCCAGACCGGTGGCGCGAGCAGAGCTGCAGCAGAGACTGGTTCCAGCGCGGAGGCGGGCGAGAGCCGTTGCCTACAATCCTGCGAGCAGTCTCTGGGAGAAAGAGCAGGAGGGGGACAAAGAAAGCGCCAGCGAAGATGGTCAAGAACCAGAAGATCGAGGGCCACCCCAGGAACTGGGTCAGCAAGCCGCCGATAATGGGTCCGAGAGATGGCCCAAGGATCCCTCCAGCAGATGCGTATCCGATATAGACCCCGCGTTCCGCAGTAGTCACTACATCGGCCACAATGGCGTTGGCTAGGGCGACGGTGCTGCTGCTCCCTGTGCTTTGCAAGCAGCGGAGGATAATGAGGGCCACATAGTTCCGCTGCAGAGCGAGGCCGATATTGGCGGCGATGTAGACAATAAAACAGATGATGTACGCGGGCCTCCGACCGGCACTATCTGCGAAACCCCCAAAGATGGCTGGAGCCAATCCTTGGAAGATCTGAAGAGAAAGAAGAAAGGATGACGTTAGCGATTTTGATCGACAATGAGCTCATCCATCGGTACTCTCTCTGAGATGGACTCCACGTACCATATACGTTGTCACGGTCAGATTGATCAACGTGTTGCTCACATGCAGCTGGTCGGCCAGCGTGTTGAGCGCAGGGAGATAGATATTCGCAGAGAGGGGCGAGAAGAAGCCGGCAATGGACGCCGTGAGGACAATCAAGATCTTGGCCTTGCCCTGGTAGATCGAATAGACCTCGCCCTCATCAGCTCTTTGATCCCTTGGAGGCTGTTCTGGCGTGGATGAGGCAGGATCATTTGCAACCTCCGTAGCCATCTAGTTTATAGTCTGCAGCACAAAGACGAGAATGATATAATAGATGAGAATGAGAACAAGAGATGGAATCTGAATCCAGGCGCAATGGGGATCTCAGTCTCAGCCCAGGGAGAAGGGTGAGCGAATGGACAAGGATCAACGCGTGTAAGCATTCGACATTGTTTTCATCTCTGTATAATAATAGTAGGCAGTAGACTGCCACAGAAGAACAAAGAGACGGAAATCGGAAACGTTCCTATAGGCGGTGGGCTAATTAATTAGATCCTGACGAGATGACAGGGAACTACTATGGTTCCAGTCTAGTGGCCCGTTAATTCCCGTATCTCAACATATTCCATCAACTTGTATTCGAGTCTCAAGCATGTCGCTGATGGTACTGTTGCTGCTTCGCCCAGTCTGGTTTTATTTGCAGTAAGTAACTAGTAGCATGCAGGGTTCACTTCCTTGTTCGTTAGTTATCCGAGAAATGACTTGGTGATAGTATGTATGCACTTCGCCCCCTGGAGTCTACTGCTGATGGTCCCAACGCCTCTATCCGACTCCGTGACAAATTGCGACAGGCCAAAACAGTGCCTGAAGCAATACAGGAAGTCTCCAGTGCAATTATTTCAAAGATATCGTCGCTCTCAATGATACAAGAACAAGAGATACAGGCCTCCCATCCGTTGTCCGATTATGGGATCGACTCACTAGTTGCTGTGGAGATGAGAAATTGGATATTCAAGGAACTTGAAGCGGCTGTCACAATCCTGGAGCTGCTGGCAAATGAAAGCCTACTATTGTTTTCTAAAAAGGTGTGCACCAGATCAAGGGTGTTTGATTTTACTACGCTCGTTGCCTAGTCAAGATTTGAATCGACTAGCCAAGATATATAACTTACAGTTTCCTTAATCAAGAATTCAATTGCCAAAGGAGGCTTTTGATACCAACTGTTCTGACGTCTGTGCTGAACTAGGATTGCACAATAGCCCCTTTAAGTACTTAATCAAGACTTATGACAAGTGATAGATATCAAAACCTCCTCACTTAACTTCAGCCAGACCTATTTAAGGCATCCAGTTTCATTTATATCTAGTGATCTATACTTTCAGATAAAAAAAAAGGGGGATCATATATAAAGGTTTATATAATCTACAAATTACCATTTGAATAGCGCATCCTATAGTGTTCCTTTAGAACTCTGGCGGTTAGTCTTAATATCGTACTGCGATTTTACCACGCCACCTAAATGCTCCTTACAAATAGAGTAAATCTCGTCGGGGTTTAAGACCACAGAAGCGAGATAGGAAGAGAAGCTTAGAGTACGGGAATATAATCTTTTGGGTCCCTAGGACCTAACTATAGGACTTCACCCTGGCTAATTCCTGCCTGGAGCACTGCCTCCGCCACTATATCTACGTATTTCCTACTTCCGGCGTGTCTGACATGATCCTAAATAGGTGGAAATAAGTGGCTAGGCGTTGATTGTTCTGTGCCCTTTGTATAGGGTAATAGGGGCCTTTTAGCTCGCCTCCAATAAAGCAGTTAATTCATGTTTTGCATATTATTAGCGCCAAGACAACCAACTAGTAAGTATTTACTGTCATTTGTATAGTTTTACTTCTTGAGGTATAACTAAATAGCAATTATTGACTCAAAACTGAATTGTCGCCCGCGTTCAGTACCATGTAGAAGAGAAGTAGTTCATTTTGCCCTCAACAGCATTTCCACCTCATGAGCTCGATCCAACTTCCCCAGATGCCGATACAACGTCACTAGATTCCGCATGATCTGAATCGCAGTATTATTCCCCGTCTCGACATTCCGACGACTCCATCCCAAAACAGCCGCTAGAAGCACCTCTGCGTCGCCGATCCGTGCCCCGATTCTCGAATACGCCACGGCAAGGTAATATCGTATGGACGCGGTGTCAGAGCTTTCTGAACCCGCTGTCCTCTCGAGGATTGATACGGCGTTTTCGAGAAACGGGATTGCGCGCGCGTTGGGTGGTATTGTTGGCGCTTCGGCCATTACCCGGCCGTATGTCTCTGCTAGATGTACGATGCAGCGTAATGTGACGATGTCTTCTTGGCCGAGGTGCACGCGGCCGGCCTCTACTGCGTCTTCTTGTAGGCGGAGTGCGTCTTTGAATTGTCCCTGGGCGGCGTAGTCGCGGCCTAGACTGTCCATGGCCACGATGGTGAGCGGGTTTCCAGGGCCGAGGGTGGAAGTACGAAGTCGGAGAACAGTCTGGTGGAGCTGCGCGGATGTCTCTGGATGGTTATGTTCGAAGTATGTATCTGCGAGTGAGTCCATACGGGACAGCATGTCGAGATTAGGACGAGAGCCTGGATGGCGAAGGCTTCTTCGGAGGGTTAGTTCGAGAGCTCGTCGTTCGGCATCCAATGTTTGGAGTATATGTCGTTGCTGCTGGTGCTGCTGGTGCTGCTGATTTTGATGCTCAGGACTATTCGAAGGAGGAGAACGAGCAGAAAGGGGAGAATTGCTCGATCTCGCGGCGGAAGCAGTGCCCCCTTCTGAGCTGCCCGAGCGCTGTCGAGCAGTATCTGCAGCGTCTGCGTCGTGATTCTTCCGGCCCTGACGACGATAGACGCAGGCTAGCATGTTCCTCACACGCTGCGTTTCGGGATGACTGGCTCCTGCTTCGTGCTCTTTCTTCTGTAGAATTCGCTGGAGGACATCCTGAGCCTCGTCCCATTCGCCGCTCTCCATCAAACGAGCAACAGGGCTCAGGGACGATGGGCTCGGAAGTGGTAGATTCATCTCTCTCTCTCTCTCTCTAACTAGCCGCCCTCCGCGAGTCTTCGAAGATATCTACAGACCAGACAGGTGTAGATGGAGAGCATCAGTGCGTGTGGAGTCTAGAATTAGAGATATGTGATGGGAGACAGATTGTCAAGACAGACAATGAGAAGAAGTGCACTGTAGACAATGTAGAAAGTACAAAATGGAAAAGAAGGGGGGTCTATGCCAGAAAAAGATGGAATATATGAACTAACAAACAAGGCCGAAGATGACGGTAGCGGTGAAGACAGGCCGTCTTCACGCCTCATCCGGAGAGATATATCCTCCCGTAAGCACATAAGCCAGATCTGGGTGGCCTTCTCGATAGATAGATACGGCGCTTCCCCCCTCCTCGACACCGTCAGGAGGATGCATACATCTGAACCGCGTCGTGGCATCTCAAGCGGCCGTAACCAGTAACCAGCAACTGCCACTGGACGATTTGACGCGGCCACCTGGCAGCTACCTGTCCGCCATGCATGATAACAAGCATAGATTTTCCTGCAAGGCGGGGTGGCATGGATGAAACGCTAATGTTAGCATAATGATCAGTCCCGGGGCGCATGGCTATGTATGCCGGAGCACACAACTCGTGTGCGAACTATCGCATACGAGGTATAGATGCGTTTCTCCCGTATAGGAGTGGGTTCCCGGGACAGGCCGGCTTTCGGATCAAGACGATCTATCTCGCTTAATCGAGACGGAGGGGAAGATGGCTGCGTTGGTGGTTGTTCAATGGATGGAAAAGGGAACTTGGCCCCCAAACTGGATGTCATTGACGAATCTCACATGATGGGCCACCAAAAGGTCGCAGGACAAAGTTCAGCTAGAAAGACTAGAAAGACTTTAAAGTCTGGATTAATAACGTATGAGCGGCAGACTCAAGCAATATCTAAGATCCTAGACCCTAAAATAGACCCCAAGATACACGGTACGCTCAAGCCTCGAGCGTACCGGTACGGATGAAATAATATAGATCCCAGCCACAAACGCCAAAAAAGAACAACACAATTCCCTAGTATATGCATGCAATCAGGAAACGCCGCTCCCAGCAGTCCCAACACCCAGTTTTCCCTCTGGGACGCGCAAAAATGCTGGCTCTCTGCAATTGAAAAAAAAAAAAAAAAAAAAAAAGAACAACAAAAAAATAATGTACTTGGTCTAAGGGGCGAATGTCCATCCGCCATTCAGTCTCAGCCGCTGTCGCTCAGCAAGATCTTTCCGGACTTCCTCCTGAGTCAGTCCATCAGGACCGGCCCAGTTGGCACTGCTGGTACGGTCTCGGAACTTCTTGATCTTCTTGTCAGCCTTGAACGTCTCCTCCAGCGAGAATGGTGCAATCGGGCCGAAAATCATATCTGCCTCCTTGCCCTCCTGCTCGATCAAGAGGGCCCTCAGCTCATCCGGTTGAGCCCACTTGGGCACTGGCATGATCTCTGCATCCGAATCTTCTTCCTCGCTGTCAGTCGCGATCTCCGGCAAATGGATACTCTCTCCGCTAGGATACTTGGGCGAGGGCCTAGCCGGAGCTTTCTGGACACCATGACCTGGAGTCTTTTGAGAAGAGGAGCCTTGGTTGGGAGCATCCGCAAAGGGTATCTTGCCGCTAGTATACTTGCTCATATCGAGAGGGTGTCCGGGCCTTGAAGGGCCTGCATGCTGTGCGTGAGCAGCAGCAGGAGCGTTTTTGTACAAGGACGCCTGATGATGGGCCGCAGGCGGGGGAGCCGTGGGATAGCCATGTGGAAAGATCTGTGACTTGGAAGCCTCCTGCAGGCTGTTAGTGCTGATTCTTTCTGGGGGCGAAGATGAAACTTACCTTGCGGATACTTGACTGGCGAATCGGTGGAGCCATGGTTGGTCGCACGGGAGGCAGGGGATTATGTTCGTCCTCCGTCTTCCTCCGCTTGGACTCTGCCTGATACGCCGTGCTGGGCTTCGGTGCAGTGGCCCGGCTGTGGGCTTCTTCTTCTAGTGCCCTCTTGGGTGGCTTTGCTGGGTTGGGCGCTGGCTGGTTGATAGAGCGACCGAAGGGTTGAGCAGAGCCAAGGCGGGACGCTGGTCTGTTTGTACCAAGATCACTACGTTGCGAGGCCTGGGATGCACCCTTCTCTTGCTGGAGGATCGAATTCTGTGAAAGAAGGAACTGTCAGAAGATGTTGGCACTGTCCAGATCAAGGATAACATACCAATTCACTTGCAGCAGTCGGCTGCTGACTGCCTTGCCTTTCGAGTTTGCGAGTATTCTCCAATCTACGCTTCTCAATTGCCTGTTTCTGAGCGCTCTTCTTAGGGTCGTCTGCAACAGACTGCTCACGTTCCCGTCGTTCAGCCTCGGCTCGATTGCGCATTTCCTGACGACGTGCCTCCTCCTGTTGTTGCTGAGCAGCACGCTTACGTTCCTGTTCTCTTTTCTGCTCTTCTTTGCGTCGAGCTTCTCGTTCCTCTTGCTCCCTCTTCCGATCTGCAGCCAACTGTGCCTTCCGCTGAGATTGGGAGGATACCGAGCTCTTGAAGCTACCTGTCGAGGCGGTGGTGTACAACGAAGTATTACTAGCCTTCTTACTGAGACCAGGCTGCTTCGAGGCAGCCGCTGGTGTTGTTGCTGTCTGACTCGGCTCGGGTATCTGTGAAGCAAACGAGGCAGATGCCAATGGTATCTGGCGGGAAAGTGCACTTCCTACTCGGATCGAGACAGGCTGCGGTTTTGGTTTCGGTGCAGTTTCACGCGTTGGTCTCACCGGTCGTCGGTCAGCGGGTCTAGGAGCCTGTTGAGCATGAGATGCACTCGGCTCGGGTTCTCGTACGGCTTGCTTCTGAAGTTGAGGTGCCTTCTTCGGGCTTGATTTCACAGGCTCAGGCTCCGAAGCTTCACGTCTCTCCCGCTCTGCCCTTTCTAGGGATGCCTTGTGCTGGGCAACCTTTTGCCTTTCTTGCTCCCTGGCTTTCTCCGTTTCCTCTTCCACGCGTTGTCGATCCTCCCGCTCCTTCTGCTTCCTCTTCTCCTCCCTCTCGGTGGAACTGCGCGTTCTGCGCCCTTCATATCTTGGTGGACTGGGGGACGCGGGACGAGAATGGTCTTTTTCAACCGCACCATGCTGAGTGCCAGGTCGAGTGCGCGAGGCAGTTGGAGATAGCGTCTCCATCTTGGCGGCTGCTGAAACTCCAGCGCTACTCGTGAAAAGACCCTTAGCGGTCTTCATGATCGATTGGAGTTTGGATTTGGATGCGCTCAACGGACCGTCATGGCGCCTGGGAGAAGTAGAAGGTGTTGTCGATTCAGCGTCCAGATTTGAGGCCGACGCACTCTTCTGGTGAAGGCCGTTCTTGAAATCGTACCGCTGGGGCGATGAAAATACGGAAGTAGACGCAGTCTTGCCATGCTTGGACTGGACGGCCATAGGAGAGCTCTTTTCAGGAGAGTCAGCAGTCTTCTGTGCAGTCCGAGATTCAGCCTTCTCCATGTTTCCGACGGTCTCATGCCCAGCCACATTCTCCATAACATCAGCGGTGTTGCTCTTTGGAATCTTCGTCTTATGCGAAGACGCCAATGGCTTGATCCATTCGTCGTCCTCGGCATCGGCAGGCTCAGGAGCCGGGGTAACGCCGGATCTTTGGGTAGACGGCTCCTGCTTCGTGTTGGAGAGGTCAGGATATGCGACTTGAGAGCCTGCAAGAGCCGAAACAGCGGGAATCGACTTCGTCGGACGCGACGGTTGTAGTTTTCCAAGCATGCTGATCTTTTCGTGCAATCTCTGGGTAGATGATTTCGTGTGAAGCTTGCTAGCCTGCGTGTCGACCTCCAGATCCTCAGGGTGAAGCTCTTTCTCATCATCAATATCCATCTTGTCCTCCTGGAGCTTCTCATCGCGTTGCTCAGGTACTGCTTGCGTGTTCCGCGCAGGACCAGTCTGTCTGCCAAAGTAGCTGGGGCGCCCAGCCGTGTTCATCTTCGCAAGGTCGACATGACTCGTCCTCGAGATCCTCGCGCCTCCCATGCTCTTCTTTGTCATCAGAGGTTCTCTAGCAGGAAGGGAAGCAAATGTTAGGCTGCTCTTCCGCATCAAAGGCCGTTCCGGAGTTGAACCATCGGAAGGTGAACCGATATCATCAAACTGGTTGTCGAGCTCCATGTCGTCATTGCTCTCTTTCTCAGCCGGCTGCGATTCGTGTACCGAAGGCGCGGCGTTCTTTTCGGGCGATCGTACAGAACTCTGAACTGGAGTCGATTCCCGCGACATCTCTGGAACCTGCACTTCGACTTTCTTTTTAGGAGTAGACGTGCCTATATTCATTGGCTCCAGGGTCTCACCGCGCGCCAAAACATTTTCCTGAGCGGAGTGGAAGGAGCCTTCTGTAGTGCGACGATCGACAGGGCTGGGCGCATCGTGCGCAATCAAGGTTGGCTCCTCATCTATAGGTTGAGTAGATGGCTGTGAATCCTGCTGCATGCCTGGGAGAACCATCTCGTCCTCATCTGCCATGCCATGGTAACCTGAATCGGTGTTGTATTTGGGGAAAGAGTTCATATTTTGTCTGAGGTCAGGGTATTGAGGCTGGGAAGATTTCTCCGCATCCTTGTTGACGGCTAATTTAGCAATCGCCTGATTGAAGGGACTAGCCCTGGGTGGCTGGTTCGCAGAGGAAAATATATCGCTCAAGGGCTGAAGTGAAATGTCAGTAACCGACTTCGTACGGTCGCGGGGACCCAACTGGAACTCACCACACGGGCCTGCTCCACGTTGCGCTTTCGCGCCGTTCGTGGAGTCTTGCCTCGCATCTTCCCTGGCGTCTTAAAGATTTCGGTAACATTGCTAAGATCGCTGTCAGCTGCTGAAGCTTTGCTGGAACTGGCGAGATGGCAGCCTTACAATTGATTCGAGGAGAAGACCTCTGCCATATGTTCATTCAGCCACTCCAGCTCATGGCGAACTGGATACTCAATTTCCTCCATTTCCTGATTCACCAGCTGCGCGATGTTTTCCTTCTCTGCCGCGACCCAGGCAGTTGAGCCCACGGGCCTCTGTGCCCTTGCACCGGCAACCATGATGTAAACAATGCGAACCTAACGGACGGGGAGGGTAGATGCACGACTCCAGCAAGTCACAGAGGCGCGCGAAATGGCCTCAAAGCCTCCAATCTGTGTTGTATGATATCGAACCAAGCATTGGTGTGGGAAAAATGAGGGCGTCGAGGGGGTCTCTGGCTTACATGGATGGAGGTTCGAGACGCTCTATCAAAACATTCGGCAACGCGTGCGGTCGCCAGGTCAGGTGATGTCCACGTGATGTATGCCTGACCTCGCAGGCACCCATTGTCAAGGCATCCATCGGGGAGATCCCGGCTATCGGCCGATCAAGTGCGGAGAGAGCTTCGTCTGGACTCTGATCTAAGTATGGGGGGGGAACATGGGGTCGTTGGAACATCACCTGTTGGATCCCCGTATATTCTATCATAGAACACCCAGCCCAAGCATTAGACAGATATATTTCCATCGTATATACGCAGCATGGCCCACCGTTCTCTTTCTCGTTCATTCAGACTGTTTGTACCTCGATTGCCAAGATGTCAACATGCATCGGTGCAGCAAACAAGGCTCCCCAGAAAGCAATTCTCAACATCTCCGTCAAGTAGGATCATGGAGACGAGTTGCTTCACACAAGAGCAATTGATGGTGCGCGACGCAATATCTAAAATCTGCTCGAAATTTCCAGATGTACGTTATATGTCGAACAGTGACATCATCTGACCAGACCAATTATATGGTAGACGTCCGATTAATTGGAACCAACTATAGGAATACTGGGCCGAACGCGATGAAACGGGACAATATCCGCACGAGCTGCATGCGGCTCTTGCAAAGGATGGCTGGATTGGTATTGCACTGCCCGAAGAACTGGGAGGAGCAGGCCTGGGGATCTCCGAAGCCACGATGATGATGCAAACTATTGCGCAGTATGTCACTCTGCGTTCGCTTGTACAATAGAGGCCAGGCCGGGAGCTGATATCCGGATAGGACCGGCGCGGGTCTTGCAGGTGCTCAGTCGATCCACGCGAATGTCTATGCAACGCAGGTTTGTCCGTCTTCCCATTGGGCTGGAAGATGATATTAAAGTAGGGCAATGTCTAGCCAGTCGCGCGATTTGCGACGCCCGAACAGAGGAAGAAGATGTTGGCTCCTCTCATTGCAGGAGAAGTGCGGACATGCTTCGGAGTGTACGTCCGACATAACCAGGCATACTGGAAACCGTCTAACGAATCACAGTACAGAACCTAACACTGGCTTGGAGACATTGAAACTACGCACCCGCGCAGTGAGAGATGGCGACTACTATAAGATCACAGGGCAAAAGATGTACACTTGGACCCAAGCGATTGCACATGGAAATGGAGCTGACTTATCCATGCAGTTGGATATCATCAGCCCAGGTAGCGAGCCGGATGGTGCTGCTGGCCAGGACCACCCCGCTTGAAGAAGTGAAGAAGCCCTCGGAGGGACTGTCGTTATTCTTCATTGATTTCGACAAGAGTGCACCCGGTTTGGAGCTCAAGAAGATCAAGAAGATGGGAGGCAGAGCGGTAGATGCAAACGAGGTCTTCTTCGAGAATTACAGAGTCCCGGCGGACACCCTGATTGGCGAGGAAGGCCAAGGGTTCAAGATCGTATGTATCTTAGAGAGAAGAAGGGAAACCGCATGGCATTCTGACCATCATGTCTTCGCAGGTGCTATATGGAATGAACGCAGAGCGATGTCTTTTGGCTGGTGAGGCTCTGGGACTGGGATATGCAGCTCTAGAGAAAGCTGCAAACTATGCAAGAGATCGTGTAGTCTTTGGCCGGCCCATCGGGCAGAACCAGGGCATTCAGCATCCACTGGCTGCCGCATACATGAATCTCGAAGCAGCCAAGCTTGCGACGTATCACGCAGCCCGCCTTTACGATTCCAGCAAGACTGATAAAACGATCACACCGCAAGCAGTTGGAGTTGCGTGCAACACCGCTAAATACCTGGCCGCTGAGTCTGCTTTTACAGCCTGCGAGAGAGCTGTGAGTGTTATTCTTTTGTTGATCGATCAAGTCATAGACCATTGCTAAATCGTGTTTCTTTTTTCCCCCTTCAGGTCCTTTCCCATGGCGGCATGGGATATGCTCAAGAGTACCATGTTGAGCGATATCTCCGCGAATGCTTCGTCCCTCGCATCGCGCCTGTCAGCAGAGTAAGTCTAGCTTTGTTTGATCTATAATTAAGAATTTCTACCGCTGACCGTCCCAGGAAATGATTTTGAATTTTATCGGCGAAAAAGCGCTGAATCTGCCGCGAAGCTACTAGGCTCTCCACTAAGTATGTATTTTCAGCTGCATTAGCAAAAGACCCACCACGATTGGGAGACGAATGTGAGAGCTGTTCCTGGGTGCTGAAAATGGCCCTGCATCTGTAGCGCTAGATAGAGAGAAACAAAACGTCATCACTTGAAAAAGAGTCTGTATTGTTTCTGCCCAGGTTGTGCAGACCACGTACTTGGAATACTGTCTCGAGAACGCATCAGCGGTTCAGCGCTTCCATCACATGGAAATGCATCTGAGCGGCTGTCTGTCCGGTAATTCGATCGCAGTGGGTTCCAATGAGATCAGCCGAGCTCAGACGCACTTTGTCGCAGAGATGATGAATATTATCTGCCTGGTGTTTCGGGCAGAAAGAGGGGGGATAACTGACAATCAAGCGGTAATAATCCATAATAATACCATAGGTTCTAGAAACAACAGATCAGATCAGACCTGATCAGCGGAAATCTGGGCACAGCGGTGATTAGAATCCTGATCGATTCTGGTCTTGGTCTAGGTCTTGACGGTGGTGGCTGTGGCTAGAGAGTTAGTGGAGGCTCTAAGGAGGACAGGAAAGCACACGACCCTCTCGCTAGGATTGCATCACACCCCAAAACACCAAACTTGTCCCGACCGCCCATCGCCTTTTTCTCCTGCTCTTCCCTCCATCATCGTCCCCTACGGCCACAATCTCACGGTTGACTATCTTTATTTCTCACACTGAGCTACACTCTCTGTGTTGCTACAACTCTCAATTGAAACCCCTATTTGCGCTGCACGAGCCCTGTCAGAGCTGTTGCACCCACAACAAACCGCCCTAATGGCTTCCACCAACGCCGGTGACGTCCACTACCCCGTCACCAATGGAACAAGTGAGGTTCGTTGGAAATCGTTTGAATCTAGTTTGACTGAACTGGTCGCTGACACTCTTCCTCTTCCACAGTATTCTTCATTTGTCCTCCTTAACGTTTATACTGGAAATCCAGGGGACTGACCTTCCTCCCACTTACAGACGTCAAGGATACGGTCTTGGATGGTACGGAAATGATGAGATCATCTCGAGAAGGCTCGAACAATCTGGCTGACCAGTCCTGCGATAGGCCCCGTTGTGCAGAACATCAAGTCCGAAGCCAACCGCACCGGAGATGACTTTCGCGGCCTGAAGAGCTCCAAGGTGGAGTCTTCGACCACCACCGCTACCGGCCAGCCCTTGACGCGTATGTGCAGCAGCATCCATCGATTCCAGTAGGCGAGATACTAACGAGCCTTCAGCCTACCACTCGTTGCTGTACAGTCTCCTGAGCGTGAGTTGCCCGGCTTTCTGTCGACATTTGAGCCTGCGCTGATAACAACCAATATAGTGGGAGCACCCTCGCGCGACTGCTGTGTCCTTTGCCAGCGTTGTGACTTTCATCTTCGCTGCTCGATACCTCCCCCTTCTTCGCTGGGCATTCAAGTTCCTCTACGTGGCTCTGGGATGTGAGTTTGCCTGTTGTCCTTTGGTGCCTCCCGCATACTGATTCCACCCCTAGTTACCGCTGCGCTTGAGCTTGCTGGAAAGCTGGTCCTCTCCCAAGGACTCGCCAGTTCTTTCCGTCCCCGGAAGTACTACACTGTCCCTAAGGAGGCGATTGAGGGAGTTCTGGAGGATCTCGAACAGCTCGTGGACTTCTTCCTCATTGAGTTCCAGCGCATTCTGTTCGTTGAGAACATCATCCACACTGTTGCGGTACGCTCCATATTATTGTTGAGAAAATATGAAGACAATGAATCTGACGGACCTACAGGCCTTCACCGCTGCATTCTTCTCCTACTGGCTTATCAAGATCCTTCCTCTCTGGGGCCTGTCTTTGATCGGCGTGACTGTCGCCTACCTGGGCCCTCTCATCTACATCAGCAACCGCGAGATCATCGATGGTTACATTGAGAATGCTCAGAAGGTCATCCACTCTCAGGCCAACCAGGTCAAGGACATCGCTGGCCAGCAGACTGCTCACGCTACCGGCTTGGTGAAGCAGTATGCGGGTACCTACAGCTCCAAGGCACAAGAGTACATTGGAAACCGCCGTTCTGTCTCCCCCGAAGTCAGCAAGGTGGCCCCCGCCCCGGCTCTCGTCAAGGCCGAGCCCATCCCCGAGTCCACGGTCCAGCAGACGGATTTCCCCGAGGCGCCCAAGGAGGAGCCTGTCGGCCAGCACGTCGAGTCTCCGGTGTCCGCTGTGCCGACCGAGTCTGAGCTCAAGCCAGAGCCTCTGGTTGCGTAAACACGTTTCGCTGAATCCACATCAGATCCAGTTTATACTGAGTGTGGACTGGTGATCGGGACAGCAGACGAGGTGATGCCTGCAACGAAGGATGCGGCGACATGACAGACTCGGGTATGGGAACTATCTCCGATCTCAGAGAAAAATGACGTGAAGGATAGGCGGGGGGTAGGCTGACTGTCCATTTCGTGTATGATGACGAAGCAGCATGATTCTTTTGTTGTGCGCTTTTGCGTCTGTGATTACTCATGTTTTTTAATTTTTCCATTTTTCCTTCTTGATTCTTCTCTTCATTTTTCCGCTGTGTCCTGCAGAGCTCTTGACCCATTGGCTATTGGTCCATGAGAACATGCCTGGACGCAGCGACGCTTTTCGTTTCCAGCGTGTGGTAGACTTTTGATTGAGTGGCACCGTATCTCTCCGCCCGGAACGAGACGGCACCATGACGCTCCTCTGTACTCATATTTGCGCTCACGTCTCTGTATTTGAAATTGACACTCAAGAATTTTTATTTTCCTCTCATGCCTTCTATCGATATCGATCTCGTAAATGTCCTTTTATGTTTGACCCGTGCGCTGTAGCGTCTGTAGATATTACATTACGGTATAAACATCGATCCGGTCGAGACTCGAGCAGGTCTTGTACGATAATCCCGTCCTATCATCTCGGGAGTTAGCATGATGGGAATGATTCGCTATTGGCTCTGTTGATCTATTCCCTACGATAAAAATATATACAAGTCCCACCTAGTCATCGGATCCATCATCTATAAACGCTTTCCTTCTTGTCCCGTCTAAGACACCGTACGTATATATATAATACTAACGTCCATGAGCCATATGGACTTACAAATCCCGCTCAGGATGTCCATCCTCGACTTGATGGCCGGAAGTATAATTTCCGAAACAAGCATCCTGGTACATGGCCTCATTTTTCATCGTGGGGACAGCCTTCAGAAAGTCCTTGACGGCGCAGAAGCCCGTCTTGGTCTCGGGGCCATTGCAGGTTTCGATCCCGTCAAGCGGCACAGGAGCGCCGTTTAGGACGAAGCGGATATAATCCGTTGTGTTCTTGACGTGGGAGAAGTCCGGGTTAGTGTACAGGACCGGGTCGAGTGTAGATAGAGACGCTGCTTGCGGGCAGGTCCAGACTTCAGTCATGAAGCGGGCTCCGAACGGGGTGATTTGGTTCAGGTTGAATGTGCGGTTTGCGGGCGCGTGGCTCACGTTTGCTGGGAGCCCGTCGGGGCCGTAGTTGAAGTACTGGAGTCCCAGGGCGGTTATGACGGAGACGATGATATCGTCATGCGACATGTCCATGTAGAACGGCTGGTTGAGCGGGAACTGGGCCGTGTTGTTGTCGTAGGTGTAGTTGATGCTCGTGTCGCTGGAATAGATCAGTTTCGCCTGCAGACGCGCGGCGAGTTCCAGCACGTAGCCAATTCCCTGGGCACGACCGGTGGGAGAGCCGAAGCCGTAGTCGCCGTAGAACTGGAGGTCGATTATGTACTCGTAGTCGCGCCATTCCTGCTCCGTGAAGAGCGAGCAGAATGCGGAACCGGAGAAGCTGGTCGTCTCGTACACACAGAGATTCTGCATCGCAAGCACGTCCAACGCGGTGAGGTTGAAGTCCGCTGGAAGGAAGCGCGATAGACGAGCCACTGCGTCTTTGGCGGATTTAGGGATAAAGATCTCACTAGAGGCGTCTCTGTGGGTGGGAAGTCAGTTTTTGGTCTGCCTGTTCATGCTGGTAGAAAAAAAAAGTCAAAACATACCCTTCCCCCATGTCTCCTGGACACGAGTCGTAGGAAGCAAGAGTGTTGTTGAATGGATCGACTTCGGGAATAATGACCAGATCATACTGGCTGTAGGAGCTGTTTGCGCCAATGTTGTTGAAGAAACCACCTACAACGTCTGTTAGCAGAGATACTATCTACCGGATGCTTTCTTTCTGCGATAAATACTCCTGGATGGAGTAATAATAGTTAATCTCAATGGGAAAGTTAAGAGACAACACTTACTCAACCACCATCTCGCACTCTCTAGGATGCGCGCCTGCGAAGTCGTCCTGAACACCGGCTTGGGTCGCGCCGTGCCATTGGGATAGACATTCAGCGACTCATCCCAATTGACGGTATTGGCGCGGTAGAGCAGTCTTCCGTACTTATTCCAGAAATTGGCGCCGGATGTGGCTTCAGTCGAGGCACCATTAGCCGTCAGCAGATCCTCGCCCAGCAGATACTTCCAGTGGCTCAGGAACGCCAGGGGACCAGACCCGACGCTGGTGTGAGGGTGAGCTTTGGTGTAGTTGACCACCTTCTGCCCAAAGTCCTCCATGCCTTCGCCGTCGAGCGGATAAGGCGTCGGCCATCTCTGCGCATGGCGATGCAGCACATGCACCTGCGACAGTTCGCAACCACGAGGCACGCCATTTGATACATTGAACCCTGCCGCATCACGATACGGACTCAGATTCGCCCAGCTCGTGGTCATATCGAACCCAGAGGCGTACGTCGCGCCAGTCGGGGCAGCGCCATGGCTGGACACTGTTGGATTGGCGGCCGTCACGGCTGCGAGGGCCAATACCACAGCTGATGAACTTGCAATGTCCCTCATGTTGATGACGATCTTCTGCGAGGCACGCGACTGAACTGGGGAAGACCAAGAGTGCAGATTGATTTTATCTTCTTGACGCCCGCCAAGAAACGAGATAAAGCAGATTGCCTAGCGCGGACGCGATCTAGGCTATACAGTACTAAGTACTTAGTCGATGTTATTACCTGATTCAAATGGCGGAACTTGCCGTCGCGCTGGAGATTGCAGTCGATTGCCTGGTGTCTTTGCTCTTTTTCTGGCCTCTTTGTAGTAGGAGGCTGCTGGATAATCGAGATGCAAAGAAGTATTCAAATCCGGACAGACACAAGGAGGAAAATTAATGCTTCATAGAGACGATACCGGTATTGCACTAATGCTAAACACACCATAAAATACAAGTAAAAACAACTAGTTATCTATGCTCCTTGAAATGCGATATGCAATGCAATGCAATAGAATCAGGATTAGCATCAAAATACCAAGCAGAGTGAAATCCAACATGACCCCAAAGGAAGGCACGATGCAAGCAAGACAGGAAAGAAAAGATCCCTAAAACCTCTCTTTGGAACTCAATCATACTCCTTACCGGATACAAAGGATATCAACCTCATCCATCACAAAGTCATAAGATCAACCGAACGTACTGTGTTCCGTATGCGGTGTGCTGTGAGCCTTGTGTGTAATTTATAAATCGCGCCATAACCCATGCAATCAATAGAAACCCGAGAGAAATTTTAGAGAACCAGCTCTTATGCAGAGGCACGGCGTCGCTTGCGTCTCGCATCGTGCCTGGCCTGCTCGTAGGATTTGATACGACGCCCCGAATGTCCAGAGTCGTCAGGCCCGTCGATGAGGGCTGCATCCTGTAGATGAAGAGTGAGGAGAGCGTGAGCCGCGTTGACTTCACGGATAAATGGTGCGCGCGGATGTTCCCGCGCCCTCGGGGTGTGGATGTCGATGTCGCTGTCAGATGAAGCTCTTGAGGAAAGGCTCTCATCTTCTGTCTCGATGTAGTCTTCGTCGTTGTCGTTAGTGTCGCCCATGATCACAGTAGGCGCCCGCGTCTTCCGGGTCCTGCACTTGTCAGGGGAACCAACTGACTCCTTTTCGGTTTCACTCTCATCGCTGGCTTCCTCCACCCTAGAAATATTCGACATCGATGCAAGCAATCTCCGCGGAGATGGAAGTTTGTCGCGCTGGGTTCCTTGCCCTTGCCCCTGGGGTCTATTGACTGGTGTGAACGAGTTACCGTAGCGGGCAGCGGGGGAGGTATCACTATCGGCATGATATGTATCTGACTCTCGACTTCTCCTTGTCGACCTGGGTTGAATTACCTTGCCAATTCTCTCCTGCTGCGACGGGCCAGGAGGACCAGGGGGCGGCAACCGGGGAATACAGTCATACGTCGAACGTTCCTCCAGCGTGCGATAATAGTTCGCTTCTTCTGTCGCCTTTCTCACGACGGAAGAATCAATGATCATCCTACCGAAACGCTCTCGATCTTCAGGCGGTATACATAGGGAAGGGAAATCGCGTCCGAAAAGGGGCGTTAGGGCATAGCGTATTCTCCAGCAGAAGGTTGCCGCAACTGCCTTGGCAGCTTCGAAGGGCATCCAGTAGCCTTGGAGGAGTTAAAGAGGTAGAAAATAGAATCGAAAACAGGGGAAAATACCTTGTGCCGCGAGCGCTCCCCCAGTAATGCTGTGGCAGATGTCTCGAAGACCGGGGTTCGCATTCAGCATCTTTGCGGGTGTTGTCTTGGTGAATTCCGTGTCAGTTCTGCAGAGACAAGACACAGCATACAGCGTACCTTGGAGTAGTCATTGCACTTGAAAAGATGTGTCGTCCGCACCAGACCGATATTGTAGTCCCACATGACCGTCCATGTCTTTTCTTCCTCCGGGATCCTGAACGTATACTGAAATACTGCTTAGGCTTCTTAGCTATGCAACATCACAGACGAACAACCTCCCACCTTCGAAGCTTTCCCGCCCCGTCTTTTCCTGGAACGATTTCTTCTCGCTGTTGTATGGGATATGTCTGGGGTATTCCGCAATATGTCCCATTGGATGGATCTCGAAGCGACGATGCTCCTCCGCCAATACCTCATCTTGCTCTTCGCAAGGAGGGTATCTCACCACTCCGCGTGTCTTGCCTCGCGTGAAGATGGGCGCATCTTTGGCAACCTTCTGTTTCTTATACCGTGGCGTCGGGGATGGATTGTCTCTCGTGTAGCTGGTCAGAGAAGGACTGGGCAGCTGAATGCGACCCAGTTCGGGAAGAGGATTGAGCAAGGACTCTATGGATGCCATGCTTGGAATGGTATGAACTCGCAACCTGGTGAAGAAGCCGAAGCAGGGTTGAAAACCCCTTCTGGAAACGTTGATCAGGACTCTTCGATGAGCGTGTAGAGTTGCTGAAATCGGATACGGAGAGGCGTAGATATCGGAAATGGATATGTACCAAAATGGACGGGGCGGAGAGAAGACTGGGATACTTAAAACTCCTGGTTCCAAAAAAATACAAATAATGAAGAAGACGGATCAGAAGGGTATCCTGAAATCAGACACGAAACAACGGAAAAGGTAAAGGATGGATGCAGATCTCCGCTGCTGATAGATGATGTGTTTTAGATCCCTTTAAGCGATAATAAAGTGAAGTGATGCAGGAACAGAAATAGTCAACCCTCACCTGGAGAGCCCATGGAATGACCTCTTTGTCAGAGTCCTCTCTGTCTAAGATATGCTGGGAGTGGATACGTTGGCCTCACTTGAGCAAGACGGCCTGGTCTGTGACATCTGTTTGCCCTCGCAGCACGGGAGTCACTCAGGCTCCGCGCACTACGTCGAGGGAACAAGCCATGACAAGGCAGCGGTGAGCCAGTGAAGATGACTGGATCTTCTGATTGAGACACAAATATCCCACTTGTTGGGGACAGTTTCCAGCGAGGTTTCGTTTCCCCGGCGAGGACATCTTGTACCCTGCAGAGGGTATCTCGTTTCCCCGGGCCAGGGGGATGTCATTCCCCATCAAAGGCAGCTTCCGCGGAGTACCAGTCAAGACCGGGTCAGATAATCCACTGTAACCTGCCAGCCTGGGGTACAATACCCAACGAGTTGCCCAAAGCTGGGGACTGGTGTCGAAGGCCAAACATTTGCCCATAGATGTAGTCGTTTTGACCTAATCCGGTATCGGTCTGCGAATCCATGAAGCTAGGGAAGTACCCATGCCAGGATGTCGAGCCTTACCTTCGAGGCCTCACCGTTTAGCCTCTATTCTGCAGAAAGCCGAGAGATCAAGAGCCACATCGGCTGCCACGGAAACCTGGGGTCAGCTCGGAGCCTTCACGTTTCGAAAAATTTTCCTTGATCACGGTCTCGGAATAAGTCTGGGTCGCTAAGCCATATCCACTGCTTATTTCATTCATATTGACAAAAAGCGGCAATTTGGGAGACCCATCCAGCGGAAAGATACCCTCAAGAGCATCTAGGCTGCGCGGAAAGGGATATCTGCATATCTCTGCGTTAACGGGTTTTTCTTTTTTCACCCCATAATGTGCCATATCTATTATTCCTCTCTAGAAGCATTCAATATTGAGAGTGTGGCAGCCTCCATGATTTACCAGGTGCCTAAATTCCACGTGTGAGGTCATTGACTAGCCTGGGGATCTCGTATCGGAATCCTTATGCTAGAGCCGGACGGAAAGATGCATGAGCTTTGTGGCACGGAGCAATGTTGTCCTGCCACCCACGACTTCCGATGTCTGAGATGCCCTGAGATGCCCTGAGCGGTTGACAAATACAGAACGGGTCATGTCTTAGAAAGAAAGAAAGGAAGGAAGGAAAGTAGAATTCTTACCTTGAGTCGACAGTGAGAGTAGAGACGCAACTGATGTCGTACCCGGAAGGATGAGGATATTCCGCAACTTACGCCATGAGGAGAGTGTACAACATACCAAGTACTGTACATTCATTGCAGATTTTGACTCGAAGCACGTTCAGACATGAAGTTAGTCTGGCATGGTACTTACCCGATGACCTCACGTCCTGACAAACAGAGTAAAGACGCCAATACCAAGCTGTCCAATCTCCTGCGCAGAATGGCTTCAAGACATAATGCAAGAGATCGAGAACTGTAGCTGTTATTCTGATTGACCGCTTATTTGAGCTTATGCATATCCTGCAAGGAACGGCCAGATCGGAATTCACCTAATCCTTTGTTCGGTTGAGCACGTCCCGGAAAATTCTTTGCATAGTTCCATGCGGTAAACCGACATGATTTTGTTCCCTGAGTTGAGGCTCTTTTAAAGTGGCTCCATTTCTTTGTGGAAGTCTTGTATTTTCTTTTCTTCACTGGTCTGTATAGAGGATAGTTATCACTCCTGCTCAAAAAGGACTAGGGATTAAAGCAGCGATCACGGAGCTGCAAATAATGAAGTGTCAGTATCAGATGCTGCCTAGTCGCTTACTTGTCAGCAAAGATCTGACGGAAAGATGGCTAGATATGTGTGACTGTACAGTAAGTATGGAGATCATCTCCTTCTTCTGGACGTCGGCTGAGATCTGGAAACAAATAGCCTTCAAGGCTTGGCTGTTTCGCATTCCCGATATCCCGATATGAAACATCACCTACCTTGCAGTTGCTGATATCGCAGACTCCCTCGTAGACCCTTTTTATTATTTAGCTCTCGAAACTTGAGCTCTCATTTCGCCTTGTGATGTAGTATGTGAGCCCGAAAAACACCTTCACCTTTGAGCCACAGGATCCCACTGCTCGCCACGAGAGGCTAAACACGCGAGATCCATCACTTCTATCATCGTCTTGCAAGGTAACTACGAATGACCAGAGAGAAATCAAGTTTGCCTACCCTGTTTCAGAAGAGTAGGAAGCATACTGCTCATCTGGAGGACTAATGTCTGGAGGGGAACAAGCAACAGCAAGAAGAACATCCTCATCGTTAGTCCGCCCTTCTCCCAACAATAACTACCTAGTTAGTCAACTAAGTTAACCAGTCAACTACCCCAAGGCAAGAATATCCCACCAAATTGATCTAAATCCGTCTCAACTAACCATATATGAAAAGAGCTAGAACCATCCGGAATCCAATACCCTGCTCTCTAAACAGAGCAAGATCACCTTCTTCTAGACCCTATCTGACCCCTAACACAGACAATTCCAAATAAATACTACGGCCCCACGATCCCAGATCTAACAGAGATCCAGTTCGGAATTCAAATCTTCGAGTAACGACATGGATGTCTCTCTGGATTCTTTATAAATCCTCACGCGTTGCACAGAGCTAGGTCCGTAACCCCGCCTCCAAATCTATTGCTATCACTATTACTATTCTCACATGTACTCCTCACTAATTAACAAGACAGGGAGACTCAACAGAAATGCATTGAACCCCTGAGACGAAGTTTCAAACTAGATCCGACCCCAGAGGAGATCGAACTGGGAAACACGTCTTCCGAATAACATCGTCATATATTACTTAGATTAGGAACGGACGTTGCACGGAACAGGGGCCCGCCCAGACACAGTTTAAGACATCTTCAGACTCCGGTATCGGATAAATTGAGGTATGGATTTATTTCAAATACATAAGCATGGGGAACGGGACTGACAATGGAACCCCAGGACATGGTACCGGTTGTTAAACTAGAGTGTAGTACAGAAGAGTGTATCTCACATTCATTTTCTTCCCGAGAATTATCCTCCAAGATGGCGCGACGGCTTGTTAATATCCGACAAGATTGTCTTCGTTACTATCTCAGATACGACATAGTATTGCATCTCGCTTTTTAGACTGTAAAGAAAGTGCATTCGCATAGTATCTAATAAATAGAAATACTAGCAGCAGAACATGGAATCACTCTTAACAAAATAAGATACTACACCGGCCCCATCCCGATAAACCATAACAGAATTAAGAAATGATGAGAGAGCGAAAGCCGCAGCGAGTTCATCGTTCACACGACATTGAAAAAGGGTAGACTCAATAGTGCAGAAGAGAATCAACGTCAAACCACTTCTACTCGCTTTCCGAAAAGTCATCGGCAGAATCATCACCACCAAAGTCGTCCTCGCTGTCATCGTCAATCACATAAGTTGGCTTCTTAGCTGTCGTAGCAGCGCGACGAGCTGGCCGGCCAGCGGCCTTGCGAGGCGGCGCAGCATCAGAGTCATCTGATTTGGCTCCAGCGGGAGAATCCAGAATATCGTTTGCCATCGCGTCGATATCATCATCGGACATGTCATCTGCCAGCTTCTTCTTGCTTGCTTTAGCCTGCTTGGATGCATAGGCCTTTGCGGCAGGCGATGGCTTCACTGCCGGAGCTGCGACAGGTTTCGCTGCGTCTTTCTTGGGACGACCGCGAGCCTTGGGTGCGGGCTTTGCCGCGGGCTTCGCTGCAGGCTTTGCTTTTGCCTTGGGAGCCTGCTCCTCTTCCTCAACATCTTCATCCGATGCTTTCACATCCTTCGGCTTGACAAGGAGTGATCGGCGAGGAGAGTTCTGAGGTATGAGCTTCGTGTAGTCCGTCTCGTCTGGGTCAAAGTCACTGCTAAGGCTAAGCTTGGAGTTCTTAGCAGTCGGTTTCAGACCTGAGCTGCTGCCAGGCTTGGATCGTTCGGAAAAGAGGGCAGTGGAATCACCGACTGTGCCGCCGATGCCCTTGACCATCTTGCTGACATCACCTAGCAAATCGTCACCGTTGTCGCTGTCAGAATCGTCGAGAACGGTGTATTTCACCGGCTTGCGGGCTGTTCGACTTGGCTGCGACGTCGATTTGGTGGGTTTTTCGACTGCAGATACCTCCTCAGCGGAATCTTCATCTTCATCCTTTGCCTCTGGCTCTGGTTTTGGCTTTGGCTTTGGCTTCGACTTGGGAGCGGCCCTGCTCTTTTTAGGCAGGATCACTACGTCAGAATCTTCATCCTGTTCCTTTGCCTCGACCTCAGCCACTGGCTCTGGCTCTGGCTCTGGTGCCGGCTCTGGCTTCGACTTGGGCGCGGCCCTACTCTTTTTAGGAAGCACCTCTACCTCAAAGTCATCATCTTCGTCAGAATCACCAGCTCCATCCGTAGGACTCTTCCTCTCCGGCTTCGCAGGGGCCTTGCTCAAGTAATCCAACAGGCCTCCCTTCGGTTGCTGGACTTTCTTGACCGTCGCTGATTTCTTCGACTTCGGGGCAGCAAAGTCAACATCATCAGGATCATCTCCAAGCGCCTTGCGTTTCTTAGCCGGGGCACGGCCGCCAGTCATGAGCTTGCTAGATGCGCGACGGCCCATGTTGGCGACCTTACGCTGCCTGCGATCCTCTTCCTCCAGTTGGAATCGCCACTCGGCCAAGAAATCATCGAGGTCTTTCTTCCAGATATCTTCCTTTGAGAGCTTGATGAGAGTGTCGATCTCGATCTCCTTATCTCCGATCTGCTGACGGAGCTTCTCAACACGTTCCTTGGTCAGAGACCATAGCGCCATCTATTTAGGAGTCATTAGCAGTATTCAAAAAACTCGATAGTAGTAGACAACATACCCCGAGCAAGTAGTCATATGCATTGGATCCGATTTCGACGTCCTCAGAATCTTCATCATCTTCCTGAGCGGGCTCATCTTCACCCGCCTTAACAGCATCAACGACCTTCGGAAACGCTTTGAAGCCTTTCGCCTTCAATTCAGCAATCAGATCAGACTTCTTCTTCTTGGAGATAACCAGGTCTCCATCAATGATCATCTGGATGAAGCGTGCTTGGTTGCTAAGCCTTTCCAGATCCTTTTGCATTTCGGAAAGTTGATGTTGCTAGTAGATAAGTCAGCGGGTGCGACAATATGCATGGTGCTTTCGGTACTTGCCTTCCGCTTCTCGTAATACTTGATGCGAACGGTGTAGAACTCCTTGAGAATATCATCGACCGTGTTGTATTTCGTAATTCTTCCCTCAGGATCGAAGGCAACCAAGTTCGTAGTGGCAATGGTCTTAGATAGTTTAAACTTCTCCTCCAGGCCCTCGTTGATTGCCTTCTGCATGTGTTTTTCATCCATCTGAATGATGAAATGGACTTTGGTGTGAGTATTGTAGTCCTTGTAATCCTTGATGAACGAGGGCGTCTTCTCTGCCTTGATGATATCTTCGAGTTTGTCCTTGAAGTCCTGAGTCCACGTACGGATGGGCAGTTCAGTGATCTCGACCTCTTTGTCGCCAGTTTCCTTGATGATACCGCTGAATTTGAATCGGTCAGAGCCTATAGCAGTCACCTCACCGGTGAAGCCGCGGAACCATGGTTGCATCGGCTTGGTAGGTTCACCATCCATCAACCGCTTCAGATTTTCTACCACGTCTTCTGGGCTATAATTAGGGATAGAAGAACTCCATCCAGTACCGATACCATCCGCACCGTTGATGAGAATCATCGGCACGACAGGCACGTAGATCTCGGGCTCGATCTTCTTGCCGTCGTCAAGGTTGTATGTCAGGAGTGGTTCATCAGCGGTGTGGAATATCCGCCTGGCAAACGGGGACAAGCGTGTATAGATATAACGAGCACTAGCACAGTCGGCACCACCTTGAAGACGACTACCAAAGTTACCACTGGGTTCCAGGCAGTTAATGTTATTGGATCCGACGAAGGTCTGTGCGAGACCGACAATTGTCTGTTGTAGGGACACATCACCGTGCTGGTATCCAGTCATTCCAGAAACGTGACCAGCCAGTTCAACGACCTTGATATCCTTGCGGATGTTTCGTTTAAAACAGGTGTACAGGACCTTGCGCTGACCTGGTTTCAGACCATCCACAACAGAAGGAATGGATCGCATGTTATCTGCCATACTGAACAGGATCAATTCCTTGTTGATGAAGTCGGTGTAGCTGATCTTAGGGGCGGAGTGGTCCAAGAATGTTCCGGGCTTGAACTGGCGCAGCCATTCCTTTCTCTCATCGGCCTTCTTCTTCGAGAAGGCCAGATCGATCAGTTCGGCTTCGTGATCCTGCATGGTGTGGAACTCCTTTAGATGCCTGTCGAGATCACGGAAGTAGATCTGAGCATCTTCCGTAGTGCTGGTACCCAGACCCTTGTAGTACTTATGCTCCCAACCGCGCTCATGCTTGTGCTCTTCCTTCCACGCCTCGTATTCAGGCATGGTGAAGAAGGATTTGGACTTGGTTGGATTCTTGGGATCACCCTTCCAGACCTTAACGATAGGAGTGATGAACTCAATCAGGAATTCTGGAATCTTCAGCAGACTAGGGAACTGGACCTGGAGGAAGTTGATGAGTAGACCTTTGATGTGACTACCGTCGTGATCTTGATCGGTCATAATCATGAGATGACCATAGCGGAGACCCCTAGTGTCGGTATATTCCTTTTTGTGCTGGAGACCAAGGAAGTTCTTAATATTCTGAATCTCCGCGTTCTTGGAAATCTGGTCAATGGAGGCATCGCGAACATTGAGCAGTTTTCCTCTCAGGGGGAATACACCGAACAGATCAGGCCCGACGACAGCTCTACCGGCCATAGCCAGACCCTTGGCAGAATCACCTTCCGTCAGGATCAGTGTGCAGTGGTGTCCTTCCTTGGTTCCGGCCTTGTTAGCATCAGTGAGCTTGGGGTTGTTCATACGAGAACGGCGACTGCCATCGGTCTTCTTGAGCAGCTGGTCGGCCTTCTTCTCAGCAAAATGGAGAATGTTAGTCATGACCTCCGTCTTCAAGATCTTCTTGTAGAAGTCCTCCTCGAGGACACACTTGCTACCGAATTGACTCGGCTTCGTCGTAAGTTGCTCTTTGGTTTGCGACGTGAAGGCTGGGTTCACAATGAGCGCATTGACAAAGAGGAAGATGTGATTCTTGATCTGGGCCGTCTTCAGAGTTGCTCCATTCTTGTTCTTCTTCTTGACCTGTTCCGCGAGTTTGGTGCAGATTTGGTCCGCAATGTAGTTCACGTGCGTTCCACCAGATGTTGTTGCGATGGAATTAACGAACGAGACCTGCTGGAAGGATCCGTCCGATACCGTAAAGCCGATCTCCCAGCGTGGGTCAGGGCTACAAGTGATGATTTCGTTTTTATCTGTCGTCGGTTCTTCCCCACGCTCCTTCTTGATAGCGTTGGTGTACATCTCCATGTACTTCTTGAAATTTCGCACAGGGATCCTGGAGCCGTTTAATTTGACGGCTACCTTGCTTGTTCCAGCCAAATCGTAGACGCGACGTTTGACGAGAGACTCGAAATCGTCATCCATGCCCTCCATTCCGAATTTTGCATAATCTGGCTTGAAGGTGACCTTGGTATAATCTTCGCCCTTACATTCTGTGATCTTGGCCTTTCCTACCTTGGACATATTATCTGTCCAAGTCTGCTTGTACTTCTTTTTCTGGCGCGAGTCCAGAGTCTCAATGGAGAATTCCGTGGAGAAGACGTTACACAGTTTCGCACCGAAACCGTTTCGTCCACCAGTCACTTTCTGTTGGGTATCATCGTAGTTCGAGGAAGTGAGAAGGTGGCCAAAAATAAGTTCGGGAACATAGATTCCTTCTTTCTACGAGAACTGTTAGCAAGAATGTCCCTGAACGGATAACGACGAACCACATACCGAATGGATCTCGATGGGGATACCTCGTCCATTGTTCCAGACACTGATTTCCCCCGATTCCCGGTCTACCGTGATGCGAATCTCATCCATATTCTTGTCGTTGTGCTTGTTATCGGCGGCATTTACGACAATCTCATCAAAGATCTTATATAGACCAGGCACGTAGGATATTTCGCGGTATTCCATGGATTCTGAGGTCGAATTGTACACCCACATGTGCGACACCGTGCGCTCAACGGATCCGATATAGGTATCGGGACGCTTGATGATGTGCTCGAGTTGCGTGAGCTATCCAGAATAGTCAGTACATCATGCGCCAGATAAGAACACATATCCTGTCGCCACAAACCTTCTGGTACTTCTCAGAGGCACCTTGCTCTTTCGACGATCTTGCCTCGTCAGTTCCATCGGCCCCGAAGGACTCATTCGCGACATTTGCCAATGGCTTGGAAGCAGCTTTCTTAGCGGCCGGCGCTTTCTTCGCCTTCTTCGCGGCGCTGGGCGGGGTACTGGAGAGCAGGTCATCATCTTCAGCGCCATTGCCGTCGCCATCGCCATCCGATAGCTCATTCTCGCTATCTGGCTTCGCACGTTTCTTCGATGCCGCAGACTTGGCGCCCGCTTTTGGCTTCAAGGTGGTCTGTGTTAATTTCTTGGGTGCAGCTTTGGCAGCTGCGGGCTTCTTCGCGGTCTTCGCCTTGGGCTTCTGCGCAACACATCGTTAGGAGCGGACGAGAGAGAATCGAGCAAGGCGCCCTTAATGCCCTATCACTTACTGGCTTCTCCTCCATGACGAAGTCAGAGCCGGAGCCATCGTCCTCAAAGACGGAATCGACCATGGAGTCGTCCATGGTGAACGAGCGGATCCGTGAGTACGGAAAAAAATCTCAACGGGGCAGACAAAAGGGGGGGGAGCAAGAAGGGAACACTAGACTGCACGAGTAGCGCTCATCCCAACCAGCAGAGAGAAGCAGGGCTCTTTGGGATCTGATGCACCGGATGCACGAAACGGCCCAATGTTGATATTATTATTCTGTTGACGCGCTGAAGTCGCGGCTGCCTCGCTGCTGCGCTTAAAGCCATTCGGCGCGAAGTTCTTCCGGGCGTGTCTTGACCGAATCGGGCAAGACCAAAACAACGGCCCGCATCATCGTTACTATTATTATTGTTATTGTTATTATTATCGTTATTATCGTTATTATCACTTGGCACGCGAAAGACAGGCAAAAGATACGAGGTCATGGAGGGGTAGCAATGGTCCTGCTGGTTTGTCATGTATTGGGGTGATATATCTATCGCCCAGTACCATAGTCTTCTCTCCCAAACCAACTGAAATAGGGGGATTCTACCAATTCTTCCCCAGGCAATGCATTCGAGTAAGTAGAGAAGAGGGCGAAGGACGATACAAAATTTGTCCATTGGACCATATCATTCTGCTACCTCTGAGACTATGTTCTGACCGCGTAACAGTGTAGGTGACAGTGAAAGTGTCAGATATATATAAATGAGGTCCAACTGAGATTCAGCGCTTGCTCGATCTGGGGGGCTTCCCATGACTGGACATCGAAACACCTATGATCAACAGTGCACTATGACGATCTCACACGCAGAGAGACTGATAATTGATTACTTCTATAATAATTTCCCCACTTCCAAAATGAAACCGAGGTCTTCTCCTCGCAGTAATTCTATCTAGCCCTAGACAGCCTCAGGAAGTACGTGAGCTGAGCTTCTCAGGAGAGCATGAGCGGACAAGACGCGATGCAACTCTAATGGACCGCAAATTCGCCTCCGTCTGTAGATTGTTATGTCGGTGAGAGCACTTATCTTCCTCCCTTATGGTCCCCGGAGCGCTGGAGCGTCTGTGCTGGGTTTTTATCACAAGGTCCCATGAGCGTTTATGCCGAAGGGAGACCCGACAGAGGAATAAAAATCCACCCACACGATAATGATAATAATAATAATCATGCCGTGTGCTCATCACGGACAGCTCTAGTCCCACGTTTTTCATTTTTCGATATGACCAAGCGGACTAGTCGACCAAGAGCTCCACTCGCATAGCATTATGCCAAGTAATGATAGTTTTCCAGAAGGGCCTTGCGCGCTGATCCTTCACCGTGTGTCCCGTGCTGCCTAAAGAGGACGAGACATTATATGATTATATTGAGACAGAATGAGGGCAAAGACAGCCGGGTGTAATTTAAAATGCGAGTTGAGTGAGTTAGAGAGAGAGAGAAGGAGAAAGCGGTCAACTTGCGCTTCACAACACCAACACTAACTGACTAGTAAGTGGACGGCTTACGAGGAGTCGAAGCCATTGTTCGACATCGAGCCATGTGACAAGGAATCGCCGTCAATAATGTGCGGGTCTGGAATTGCAATTATTTGGACGCGTCGCAAATGATATCTGTATTATTGTTCAGATGTTTAATAGACCCTGACCCAACTGGGAGATGAGCAATGCATCATCGCCCTCGACAGCATTCACAACTGAGACCAGTTTTGCTTTCCATGGAACTGCCCAGCGAGTGGAGACAACTGTCGCCTTAACAGCACGATTATCCTCTGGATAGCCTCCGGGAGCGATCCAGCGGAACGTGGATACACATTACCGTGATCTAGTTATGGGGTTTTGGCACCGCGATCCCGGTCTGGTTCCTCCATCGAACTCTTGGATGGCTGAGCTAACGACAGTAGACTAGTGAATTGCCTTACCGCACAACGGTCGAATATGAGCAGGGAGCAAACGGAGATGGACAGACAATCTGGAACGCAACAGACATGAAGACCAACGGGCGCGAAGAGGGATCTGCGACCATTGGGCGACGCTGACTGGATAGCGCGATCGACGGCGCCGACAGGAGAGGAAAAGGCGCGAGTTGGTTCGGTCCCCGTCGCGAAACCCCCTGATCGTTGATGGTCTTGGAGGAGTCGGAGGCATCCACCAAGGCCGGTGCTAAAGGAGTCGCTGAAACGCTCTCTCCCACCGCTGTGGTCCCTGAACCAGATCTCTTTTTGACTCCCACGCTCCTTTGGAATGTTGTCGTGACCGGCAACTGGACTCTTCGGTTCTCTCTCGCAAGAACCTTCCCCGCGCTTCATGGGTTGACCTTCAATCCCTTTGGTCGGCTGGGTCTCTTATCGTCAACAATCGGAACTCTATACAGCTTCGAAAATTCCCGTGTCCCCGGGGCTCCTCCCGCGAGTCGCTCTTTCGACCGTCCATGGGGCATGCTGACCGGCTTTTTAACCTACAGAATCGTCACAGAGAGAGCCAGGCATCATGGAGAGCGTTGAGTCGAGGATGTACCGCACCAATTCGGAGAGTTCTCCGAATAACACAGACTCGATGGTAACAGTGCCGCTGTCGGACATCCAGTCAGATATCCAATCGAACCCCCAGACGCCCAATGAGTGGAAAACGTTTGATATTCCCGAGGTACCTGTGGAGGAAAGCGGAGAACAAGAGGGCCCGGTGGGAGATAACGCGGAGGGACAGACTACTCCTACCATCGATTGTAGCCCAACGACAGTGGAAGGCAGAGAACGCCGCGTATCAGACTCCTCAGAACGGTCGCGCAACAGTCGTGGCAGCGAGGCAGACTCTCCACCGGACAGTGAAGGGGTCAATTGGGAGGGATTGGAGAAGACGGAGGAACTGGAGCCGCGCAATGAGGGGACAGATGAGGTTTGTACTCCTGGTGGGAATATGCCTCAGCATGATGACTGATGGAGCGTTTATAGTCTACGGCATTGCTACTCGCGCGTCTGGAGCAAGAGAATAATGCTCTGGCGACAAATCCCAAGTCTGGTCTGTCGAAAGCACGCTCTCGGGCAAAGTCCCGGCCTCCGTCCGTACAGCAGATCAAGAAACTGGTCAATGACCCCCGGTCGTCTGTCCGGTTCTCACAATTGCCAACTCCCCAAATGACGGAGCTGGAGTTCTGGGCTGCACTGGTGCAAGATTACCCACAGACAGCTCAAAGATTGCCTACTCTGACATCGAACAAAATCCGTAGCGGGGTGCCTCCTCCTCTGCGGGGCGTGGTCTGGCCCAGTATTGCTGGCGCGAGGGATATGCAGCTTCAGGAAGAGTTCCAAAGACTATGCGGAGAGACGAGTCCCTACGAAGGCCTGATCGGAAAAGACATTGGGCGTAGCTTTCCCAATGTTGACATGTTCCGGGACCCGGACGGTGAGGGCCAGCAGATGTTGGCCCGGGTCCTCAAATGCTTCAGTCTCTACGACACAAAAATCGGTTATTGCCAGGGTCTGGGGTTTGTGGTAGGTCCCTTGCTGATGCATATGACGGATGCAGAAGCTTTCTGCGTCCTAGTCAGGTAAGCGATAACGGCGAAGAAAAACGACATGTGTGGTAGGAAACTGACTTCTCGTCTAGACTCATGGACCACTACGGCCTCCGCTCGTGTTTCCTGCCAGACCTCTCAGGGCTACATCTCCGAATATACCAATTCCAGAATCTGCTCTGTCGCCATCGACCTGCTCTGTTTGCGCACTTGGAATCTCTACACATCGAGCCTGTCTATGTGTCGCAGTGGTTCCTTTCGTTTTTCGCTGTCACTTGCCCCTTGCCAATGCTTCTTCGCATCTACGACGTGCTCCTCCTGGAAGGTGCCTGTGAGACCTTGATGCGGGTTGCACTGTCGTTGATGCAAAGGAACGAAAAGAAGCTCATGGCTTGCACGGAGTTTGAGGATGTTATGCAAATCCTGCTATCTAGGAGTCTCTGGGACACGTAAGTGTGGCTTGTCCGAAGATGTCGGTGTCCTTGACTGACTGTCCTCAATAGGTACGCTTGCCATGCGGATGATTTGGTGAACGATTTCGTCTCCTTGACTTCTCTTGTGTCGAAGGAGAGTCTACAATCTCTGGAGACCAGCTACAATCAATCACAGGGCGTGCAGACTGGAATCTCGTTCCCTCAGATGCAGGCAGCTGCATCTCGCTTCCTAGGCCGACTTTGGTCAGGTGGTTCCTCTACCAAATCTCTGGCTCTCAATCCCAGCACGTCCAGCCTGTCGCGCCCTGCAAGCTCTATCCGGAGGTCCCCATCGAAACAGAGCGTGGCATCAACCCTCAACTCCTTCGAGTCTACATCTGACGCAAGCACAGCACCTACAGAGATGTCACAGGATAGCCACAAGTCGAGGACGAAATCCGCCATATCGCAGAACAAAGACAAGGATCTTCATGGTCAGATTGAAGATCTATTAATGGCCTTGAGTGACTTGCAGCGAGAACAGGCAGAGCTTGCACAGGAGCTTCAGCGCGAACGTGAGGAGCGTGAGGAAGACCAGGAGTTAGCGAAATCGATGCTCAGTTATATCAAAGGACTAGAGGGCGACAGCCAACCAGCAGACATCGTTGCAAAGGCAGAAGAGCGGTTCCTTTGCACAGGTGCTAGACGAATGTCTATCGCGCAAACCAAACATGAACTGCGTGACGATGCCAATCGATGGAAGGAGAAGTATGAGCTCGAAGCAGCACGATGTAGCGATCTGGGAAGACGCATGGATGAATACGAACACGAGAATACCAAGGTCAAGGAGGAGCTCAGGGAGACCAGAGCTCGAGTACAGGACGGGTACCGCGAGAAGCAGAGGCTAGAAAAGGTCATCCTAGAACTGCGCAGCCGGAAATCCTCCGATAGCCCTGACCGGTCAAGCGCTGCACAAAGTGAGCCTGGAGACGTGGCCCAATCGCGTGGCCTACGGGAGCTCAAGCTCGTCCGGAGTAACTCGCAGAAGACGACTACTACTTCCCAGAAAGGCACTTGGAGCAAGCGTTCGAGCAGCCTAGGCTTGCAATCCGTCCTTTCCACGGAAAACAATAAACCGGCTGGAGATGAAACGCTACTCTTGGAACTTGTCAACGCAAAGACGGCAGAAGCCGTTGCCAAACAAGAATTGGAGGAGGTGAAGGCGAAACTCGACTCGCTGCGAAAGATGTTCAGCAATCCCCATCATTCCGTCTCACGGGCGAGTACAGAAGACAGCATTGTGCCCACAATAGCCGTGGCTGCTGCCAAAGAACCAACCAAAACTACTTCGAGCGGTGGCTTCTTCAGCGGATGGGGGCGACGGACCCCCTCTACAAGCAATGCGACTTACACAGAGTCGAAGTGATATGACCCCTTTACCTTACCGTGGTATATGATTACTAGATCTTTTTTTTTTCTTCTGGGAGTTCGGATGTTGCTTCTGGGACTTTCTTGGCGTACATTTGCCTTCTCATGCAAGGGACACTGTATCCTTATTGATGCTCTTCGAAATGACATGATATCCATCTGTTTGTTTCTTTGTACTGTATATACACAGACACTCCTTTTCTCTAATTGCCTCCGGAGCCTTTCCGGATGTATATATACGTTTGCCTTCGCACATTTTCTTACTTCACTTATCATCTCCCCATATGACGCTTGCTCAGCCATTTGACATTTCTTTTATTGGTGAAACTGAACAGGGTCTGGATGGCCAATTTAGTGCTAGGCTTGTTTTCAGTGAATGAAAGCGATAACCCCGGACGGATTGAGATCATGAACTCGAGAATAAGATCACTGCTGGTGTCCGAATAATCTCTCAGAAGTCCAGAAGTCATTACTGATAAAATAAAGATAATCTACATCTGGGAGGACTCCAGACAGGCCCCTACACATACTTAATAAGGGCAGCGAAACCGGCTTGGCTCAGCTATTCGACTAAAGTTATCGTTATGAATACCATAGGTGCACACTGTAACACTATCCGAAGACTCCCGGTAAGGCTCGGGAAGGTTAAAATAACTTGACAGCTTAGTTATGGCCAATACAGAATCAAGAATCGAGATGTGGCGTAGTAGCTACGCGTGGGTAGTAGAACTTGATGTTCATCCGCGACGACAGGATTACATCATGAGCCCTTTCATACCTGATGTCAGTATTAACTATCGTGTACAGAGTTAAGACAAGATAGGTCGATTTGAAGGACACATAATTTCTTAGAACTTTTCTTTTTTGATCTTGGCTATTCTCAAGAATTATTTTTATTTTTCTTTCATAGTTATACGGAATATCCCCATCACCACTCTGTATATACATACAGACAGACATCCAAAACAATGACGACCGACGTCCAAACCATTTTCGAAAAAGAGAGTATCATCCCCGACATTCTCGCGCCGGGGACAAAAGTCCCACGTAATTTGAAAGTGATCTGGCCCAACGCGAAGCTCGAGAAGCCTGGCCAGATGATCGAGCGCGATGCGACACAGCCTCAGCCGACACTGTTCGTTGAGCCGAGTGTGAGTTTCTTTTTACCGATCAGTCATGCAGAGTTGAGGTCGATGGCTAATAATTTGTCTGGGTTCTAGCCGGAGGATAAAGAGTCGCAGCCTATTTATACGCTTTTGATGGTTGATCCGGTTCGTGGTTCCCTAATTACTTACGGAGATATCAAATGGCGTGTTTGGCTAATGCATAAAATTAAAGGACCTCACGCACCGTAATGATAAGTATTTCGGTCAAGTACGCCATTGGCTCACTACTCGAGTGACTGTTAGTCCAACGGGCCAAGTCAATGTCTCTAAGGACAGGGATATTTCTCCTTATGTTGGTCCGGCTCCGATTCCGGCGCATTATTTCACTCTTGGGTATGTTCCATATTCCATGTTTTTTTTTCTCTTCATTTTTCTTTAAACAAAACTATCATTACCAAGAAGGGAACCTACGGGACGAGGATTCTGACAGAATTAACCAGAAAACCCCATCCATCGCGCTACACATTTCTCCTTCTACGTCATAAAACCGGCGTTGCTCTCCCAGAGCTCAATCCGGATAGCTTACGCGCCGCGTATGAAGGCTCGCCCGGCGAATTCGGCCAGCCGACGCAGGACATTGTTGATAGGATGAGGTTCAGTACGGAGCAATTCATCGAGCGGAACAAGATGGAAGTCGTAGCGGGGACATTTATGCTCGTTGAGGGCAACGCGAAGAGTGCGGTGAAGAATGCCTCGTTGGTTGCGCAGGGATTGGCGGATAAGATGATGGGGAAATAGATTAAGTAGGGTTGAGAGTGTTTAAGAAAGTAGTTAATATGAGAATGAAATCGGAATGATATATCTGTTTTAGATTGGTTTAGTGGATGGTGGCTGTCTGTAGATCTAATAAAAGGATACTGCCTCAAAAAGGTATGCAACAACTGATATACTGATCTACTTTCTCGACCGAGAGTTCCGTATTTTTCAGAAAAGATATTCGGCTGTCAAGGAATATGATTAATAATGTTTGTACTTATGTGTCTAGTTATTGATGCATCTCTTTTTTGTCACTGAAGAATTTCAGAATTGATATGGAGACATGCTCGGTGGCAGATCCTCAACATGCGTGCCCCAAGAGCTTTCCTTTCGTCCCAGCTCAATCTCCAGCAGTCCCCCTTCAAGGAAGAAGTCATGTGATATCCAGTTCTTCGTCCATTGTTTACCATCCCTTTTGACGCTTTGGATGTAAATAGCTTCGTAGTTGGGATCGAAGTTGACGTTTCGAACCGTAGCAACCTTTCCGGTGGCGCTATTTTTGATGCTGATTTCCTTGAAGAACGGAGGGTTGATGAGGTATACGTCTTGTCCGGGAACTGGCCAGAGGCCCAACATGCTCAGCACGACGAAGGAACCCATGGCACCGCTGTCATCGTTTCCAGGGATACCAGATACAGATGTGTTGAATAACGAGGGAATATACGCATGTGCCTGTTTAGCGGATAATCCAGGTCGACCAGCGTAGTGGAACTGATAGACGGTGAGAAAGGATTGCTCGTCGCCGACGTAGAGCAGGCCGGAGTCGTGGAGGAAAGATAACCGAGAAAGAAATTCATCTCGACCCCCTAGTGTGGAAATAAGTGATGCCATATCTTGTGGGACGTAACTGTTTCAGAGAGGTTAGAATCTTTCACTCCTTTGGTGATCGCCTTAGACATATGTACTCACAAGGTGTATAACCAGCAACTGCCTTCGTACGTCTCATGGCCTTGCGGATTCAGATAGCACGAGGTAAAATCAAGCAATGGGCTGCAGAAGATGGGGTCCTGGAACCCCCAAGTCCCATTCGGATAGCGAGGCTGCAAGAAGCCCGTGAAATTGGTACTGATGCCATTGATCGACGATGTCTGGTTCGCCTTGAACATGTTGCGCCAGTTGGATGAACGCTGCGTATACTTCGTGTAGTCATCCGGATGACCCATGCGAGAAGCCATCTCCGCTATACAGAAATCATTGTATGCATACTCTACTGTCCGTGAGATACTGCGAGTGTGGGTGCCAGTCCCGAGGAGGTCAATGTCATCAGTCGGGATATATCCGAGAGTTTTCCAGCTCTGAAGACCTCCGCGTCCTTCGACGTCCCAATTGGGTGGCTCAACTTCTGCATCTTTCACAACTGCCTCATATGCAGTGGTCCAGTCGATATCAGCTACCTTCTTTAAGAAAGCGTCCGCAATAACAACATCTGCATTCGAACCACCTTGAGTGTACCCCTTGCAGAGTGACATTCGACAGTCGGGCAAATACCCTACATGACGGTATATGTCGATTAGACTGCGGATCATGCGTGACTGAGATAAAGGGTCGAGGAGGGTTAAGAGTGGATGAATACTGCGAAATGAGTCCCATATGCTGTAGTTCACCTGTTAGTCGTCGATATGGGATGGCTACTAGTGGAAGGTAACTAACCAGTAGTAACTGTCATAGTAAGGTTCGTCACTTTCCCAAAGTGGATTCTCTCCTGTGTAGTCCTGTGGGCTAATCATCGATCTATACGCGCCGCTCCAGAAGGTTTCTTGCAGATCTGTTGAGACGCCTGCAGCGTCAACACTGATGACTTCTAGCTTCTGCCTCCATGCAGTTTCAGCACTAGAAACAAGATCGTCGAAATCATAGTCTGGAATCTCGTTCTCAGAGTTGGCGCAGGCTTTCTCGACACTGATAAAGCTGACACCAGCGCGGGCTGCAATCACATTATCTGCGGGAGCAAAGAACTGTACAAATGCGCCTGCTGTAGTATAGGCTGCACCTACAGAGACAGTCTTGGTGTCCGTACTACTGTTATCGTTAATGAATACCCCAGTATCTCGGATTTCAGCACCCTTGAAATCAACACAGAAATACATGTTATAGCTTCCTATCCCAAAACTGGGGTTGAAGGTACCATTTCCGGTCAGTCGCCCGGTGGAAGGATCAACAGACGCCTGGGCCTTTGAGCGAGACCGTGGCAGATCAATGAGGTCAACAAGAATGACAGGACCCGTAGCAGACGCAGTTCCGTTGGAGAGGGGAGCGAAAGAGGTGTTACTGGCTGGAAAGGTGAACCTGTATAGAGCAGAATGATTGGAAACCGTCATTTCAGCATGGATCCCGTTCTCCAGAGAGATATTGAACGAGCCGGGCCGAGCTCTAGGAGAATCTTTAACCCATTGGACCCCTCTGGCTGGACTTGTCCATTCACAATTGTTGAGGTCATCCCCCGGGCATGCTAGTTGGGGGAAAATGGGAAAGTTTCCCATAGAAGGTGACTAAGAATAATCAGATATTTATGAATGAAGTAGTGTATTACAATGCTTCGAAAGGAAGCTACTCACACCACCCGTGCCCGAATCATGCATGTGAGAGAAGCCAGTTACAATGCTCGTATCGTATGCAAAGCCTGCCTGGTTCTCTCCAACAGTATCTGCAACTGCCTTGGCCATGCCTTATTCATTCTCAGTAAAAGATACTTGGTTGAGGACAGTAGTGACCACTCACCAAAAGGCAGTGTTGCGCCAGGGAATACATGTCCTATCCAGTTTTAGCTATATCCGGTTACATCTTGTGCTAAAACACTAACCTCCATTTGCTGTCCCGATAAGAGGATCAACGAAATCCAAGACATCAAAAGACCCAGTATAAGCGTCTTCCGCGTCCGCAAAGAGAGCGAGAAGTACAGCGCCAAGTGCTCCAACAGGGCCCTTCAAGGGAGAGAACGACCTCATTTTTGGAAGAGGACGAAACGCGTCAAAGGCAGGGTACACCAAAGAGCGTCTCTGCAGACGTGAAAGGATAAGATGACTTAGATAGGGATTTCATACCCTGGATGTGGCGATCGAATCGCTTTTTGATGGGCTATCACCCATAACCCATCATGCCATGTGCGGCTGCAAGGGGAAGGCGACATTCCTATCCGTCAAAGTTATGGGGAAGAGCTCACCGGGAAGACAACCCCGCCTCAACACAACGTGGGGTCAGCTTGAGATATCCAGGATTTATTTGTATCTTGAGTTGGCCAACGCATCGGACAGGGTGTGGATTGGCTGCAGGCTTTTTCGAGTCGGGATGCTTGTTCCTACTAAATGTTTAGCGCACCGTGTTAAGTAGTACTGGCCACTGGAAGATCGCCATGTTTTGGCGTCGCCAAGGTAGACTAGGTACTACCCTCAGTAAGTTTGCTAGGACAATCACTCCGTAGGATAAAGCCGCAAGAGTGTCATATCCAACGATGGCGTTACAGACCGAGGGTCAGGGTAGCGTTGAGGAAACAAAGAGAAAGGAATTAAAAATTCCGTTGGCTTTTCCACATGTTCATTTTTGTCTATTGTAGACCGGATTATATCCAGGGTAACTATTGCATTCGCCTGTCCAAAGTCAGCTCCAATCGAGCAACGATTATACCCTGCAATTCGCCGAAGATGGTACTTTTCAGATCATCGTGTTTTCAGATCCCCACTTTACTGAAAGTATATTACCTCATTCAAGGCCACTATATGGCCTCTAAAACGATTGCTTCTTCAGACGAACATAGCATAATATGTATCCCAAGCTGAAAGCTTCATAAATACCTGGAAGCTGCTGAACACAGAAGATCTGCTATCATGATAGGTATTTCAACGGTGTATCTTATATATCGATACACAAGGCTATACCGTTTGCTGTGCAAAGAGGTGTCTGGCAGTAAGTAGAACCGAGCTTGTCATTCGTGGGAAATTTGGGTTTCCTATCATCTTGTTGTCAAGCGGAGTAGTGAACTAATTGTTACATTCCGCAGGAAAAACAATTAGCCGTCACCCTATGCGCAATTGCACTGTAGCGTGGAGAACGGCAGGCCTAATTTCAAGTGTGTATAGCTAATGATCAGAGAACACATAGTAACTATTCAGACTTGAATTCGCATTTGGTATCACGGGTGTTCTTATCTTACTTGATGTACTCGTGGAAAGCTCCATTATATTGAAGACCGAGACAGTCAAAACAAATTGAAGCACCACGATTGATCTTTGATATTGTAATCCCATTGACGTAACGTTAGTTCATAGGTCTATTATCATCATCTATTCATAGTCTATATCTATACCGCGTTGATGCAGTGGTAGTTTGCCCAAGCGACGCCGTTGGCACATGTGAACCGCTACACGGTCGCTGAGATCCTAGTGATCGGACTGATAGGGATGCCGACTTCCACGGAAAGATCCCATATTGCATTTCGGGGGACTTCGAAGTTCGAACACAGATTGTTGATGGCGGATGAAGTGACGGAGTATATTTCCGTATCGGGTAAGACTCTCCACCGGCACGCCGATAAGCGAACCCCAGATTTTCGCATGGGATCTCAAACTCTCAAATGCTGCGACAAACTTCCTGTGCGCTTATATAACGAAGCCCCGGAAATTTCGGATGCAGCGAAGTGAACTTGACAGCATCAACGGTGGGGTATCTGCTGCAGAGAATCTGGGGTATTCTGCTTATTCATCGGCTAGCAAACTCTCTTTCAAAGTCGAGAGCAGGAGACCAGCTCCGCTCGCAGAAGCCGACGGTTAGTGCCGCAATGTAACCGCGGCAAGCTGGCTGACGCAGTAGGGACCGAGGGTAAGATTGCACAAGGCCGGATGCGCGACAGAGGTCTGTGGAAAAAAAAATCACCAGCGGCTTTTCTCCCAGTCTGTTAGATCTTGGGAAGGAATCTTTCTGCTGTCCTCGTCCTGGTATAAGCAGGCTCGGGGAAGAGTGATTGGAGCGCCTTCGTAGGCTAGGACCATCGTAACTGGAGACTGCATCGAAAAGAAGAATCACGCCCTCTGTAATGGGCATTGAGAGACAGAGAACAGTATCCAGCCTTATGTCGGATTGATGAAATCGAGCGAGTCTCGTAGAATTGATTTCAAAACACATCTGAGATGATCCTGTCCCATGACCGCTCAGAGACATCAGGAGGAATCAGAGAAGCAACCGAATTGTTGGAGGAAGTATATGTCCGTGTGGCAGAAGGACTGCGTCGAAGAGAGAGAGCAGGATCGCGTGAAGATAAGCGCGAGCTCAAATTTAGTCTGAGCTGTGAATTTTCTCTTCTCAGCTTCGCATTTTCTTCCCTCAGCGATTCGGCCTCTTTCAGAGACTGATCGCTGGATTCAGCCTGCTGGATGATCCTCCCTAACTGAAGAAGAAAGTCTGGTCGGTAGTCTTGGCTGGAAGGGAGTCCACCGTACTCTGCTAGGAAATCTCTTGCTCGAGTCGTAGGGTCGATATTGGGACGGAAGGGTATGGTCGAATTGGGCCATAGATCGCCCACGTCGGCAGAGAATTGGAGGTGAGGAGTGCTTACTCGACCTGCGGGCGAACCATGCTCACTGTGATTGTGACTCATGGATGCTGTGCGTCTATCAGCTTCGGTGACACTGGGGGAGACACTCCGTGAGATGTCAGACGGTGGTGCGCTTGGGAGTATTCTCGGTGGGGAGATATCCCAGTGCTTCTCTTTGCAGGAGGGACAATGAAAATCCTCGAAGTTCCCTGGCACAGGAGACGCAGGTACACAGGATGTATGATATGACCTGCAGCATGTCTTGCACAAAAGTAGATTATCTGGCTTTCGACACTCGTGGCAGATGAAATTGTGAGGTTTGCCAGCCTCTACATTACCGAATGCATTAGCGTGTCTGGAAAGTATAATGTTTGTCAAGGGAGACTTACTGATCCAATCCGTATAGATTTGACTGTGCTCCCGTTCAGAAATCAAGCCCGTGGCAAATGGAAGTGTAGATACATCCCGCAGTTCTGAAGATAAGTCCCCCGTTGAGCTACTGGGTGTAGCGCTATCATCGGGCCTCCTACGCTTGAGTGGCGGTTGATACCTCTGATCTGGAGGTCTTTGGGGAACGGCAAAGCCCAAGAAGGTTGAGCGGAGCATGATGAGGATCAGACACCCAGAGGACCTGCTCGATGCCCCCAGCGGCACTCTTGCACTCTTGCACCTGAGGATAATGAGGTCGGGAAGGGCCCTCGTCTCGAAGGGCGCGACCAGATAATCATTCTGCCGGAGTACATGCGGGCGGTGAGACTGGCAGCGGGGGCCTCATCGCCAACGGTCGAGATGGGTGATTTGCCCCGAGTTTCTCCCGAATGCCGGATCTCACGTGACCTGAGTTCCTGCCTGCTCCATCCTGCGCGATATTAAAAGAATCTACCGGGTGGCCATGCCAGCGCACTATTGACTGATCAGCGGGTTTCCAGGGGCTAGATATGTTCGAGAATCTTCACAATCTCAAGGATTGACGTCTGGTCAAGCAGCAGCCTGCGGATCCTGTTCAGGGTCCATCCCGTTCACCAGTTGCACCAAGAGCTTGGCATCGCTGGGCATACACTGGATCGTTATTAAGACGCAAGACCAAACAGGCACGTGTCCTGTCTTCTGACCACGCAAGAAAGAAGAGTGAATATCTGTTGAGAAAGAAGACCAAAGGAGGGATCATGCCTGGCGTTCCATCAAACAGAGCTTGTGAGCGATGTAAACAGCGCCACTTGAAGGTCTGCCCCCCTTCGGATGCTGCCGCTATCAAGTATAGCAGCTAAAATGATCTTTAGTGCGATGAGACTCGTCCGGGTTGTCGCCGCTGCGCTTCAGCAGGCATCGAATGCCCGGGTTATGTCCAGACACGTAAGTTCATAGATGAGGGAGCCACAGTGCGTCGGCGATATGCCCCGTATCACAGCAATACTCCCAGGTCAACCACGGCCAGTATGGCTGCAGCGGTAAGTTGCTTCCCAATAGATGCAAAGGCTGAAAACTGACTTCGCGATCAGGCCTCCCGTGAGAAAGCATCAAGTCCAAAACAGGACTCGAGGCTACGGGCTTCTGATGCAGATCGCCATGTAAAGACATCTGCAGTCGATGCGTCTCAGGCACATCAGAATGGCCCAGAGAAGGACGCTCTTGGAAGCGAACCAATGGCCCAAAGCAACAATGATCCTACCGCAGATTCTGCGGATTCAGGTAGTACAGGTGCACTGGAACTTACTGCGCCCACCGCTGGGGATGGTTCCACGAGCTCTGAACTGCCCAGCGAACTTAATGGTACAGTAGCTTTGCCGCACTACGATGAAGGAGACTCTTCTGTGTTCAATAAAAAGAGCATTATTGGGCCATCAGTGGGCTCCTACAGTGCCGCTCTTCTCAGCCCTCTAGATTCGCTCAGTGCACCATTTGAACCCCCAGCTTCGTTTCCTGCTCTCCAGACAAATGTCGAAGTGTCAACCCAGAAGAAACTCGGAAATGACCCTTCTGATATTTTGTCCGAACTTATGATTGGGGGTGAGCACGAAATGGCTTTCTTGTCCAGGCACTTTTGTGAGGTTCTGGGCCCTTGGTAAGGATGATCCCCCCCCGGTCTAGCCAGCTTTGCAATTGACTGACGCCACTGCAGGTTGGACCTTTTCGACGCGGGGAAGCTTTTCTCCGCATTTGTCCCCATCAGAAGCATCAATAGCTCGATGCTGAAGTACGCAGTTGCTGCGGCAGCTGCGAAGCATTTGGGCAGGGTCAAGGGAGCAAAATCACTCGTCGGAGGCGGAATGTTTACGAGTCCCGCAACAATGGAAGTATATCCAAATGCGCCAAGGGTCGATTGGTTCTTTAAAGCTGCCAACTACTATCATCAGGCATTGTTCTACTTGAGACAGTCCCTCCCCGGGTCATTTGCGACCTCTCAATTCTCAGAGCTCGCGGAGAGTCCTGTTCAGATCATTAGTCAGTGGTTGAGCCTGAATCTGAACGCAATGCCCGTCGCATCCGACTTCAAAGTTAATGGCTCGGTTACTGGTGCCAAAGTCTTTGACGAAATTCTTCCGACTGCAGCGATATTATCGGTCTACGAGTTCCTTGATCTACCAGGACCGGAATGGGAGACGTGAGTCTTGACAGTATTCCATATCCCCCAGCTCGTATAGTAACCATGGTCGCAGATATCTGAGTGGTTTGAAGCCTATGGTGGAGTCATTCCAGACGTCACATGTCGCCTTGCAGTGTAACGCTGCAATCTTTTCGCAGGCTACTAGAGCGGCTTTTTGGGTATTCGCCCGCGAAGACTATCTGGCCGCTTATATAAATAGGACGAAAACACAACTAGATCCAGAGAACCTGCCACTTTGGCGAAGCGCGGGGATACCTATCGATGAACAAGGCGTTCTTCGACTAGACAACAGTGTCCCACGCCCTTCTGAGCACGATTCCCTATTGACTAAGGAAGACATTGCGGCAAATGGATTGGTCTGGCTTCTTTCTAAGCTCATCAATTTTCTGGCGAAAAGCAAGGAGTCGCAGTTAGCACAATGGGCGACACCCTCGTCGATGATGTCGAGTGTGGACGAACCGCAAATAGCCACGTCTCCACCAGCATATCCCACTACTACCGTCTGGCTACGACTGTGTTTCGAGTTTCAGACATGGGTGGAAGGGCTTCCAGAGACATTTCGCCCTTGCGTGCGGATCGAACAACCCAGAGACATGTCTGTACCATCTGACACTGCTCGTCTGCCGTTCCCGGAGATATTCTATAGCCTTCCAATTTGTGCCGCAACGATGCAGCATTTTCACTTCGCTCGAATAGCACTGCTCTTGAACAGGCCACCTGATGTTGTTTCAAGTGCTAGCACTGCCCGGGATCGTCTACAGGGTTTCCGTGAAGTGACCAAAGAGGTGGAGCATCGTTGTCGAGAGATTTGCGGAATTGCACTTGGACGACCCGAAGGTGCTGTACGGATCCATATGGTGCAGCCACTGTTTGTCGCAGGACAGTGTCTTGAGAACCCGGAAGAGAGGCAAATTATCATTGATCTCCTGCGGGGCATCGAGGCCGATTTTGGATGGTCGACGGACTATCGGATCAAACAACTACAGGCAGATTGGGAGAGATAGCCTCTCTATTGTTCTCGATACATGAACATCAGACTTGGCTTCAGCCTGAACCATATGCGACGGTTCAACGTCTGTGACCAGCGCCTAATGAGCCATCTGCGGTGGAAGCCGAATGGCTCGTTCACAAAGTGGGCTAAACTGTTCAGACCGTAGCTCCAATCCCTGCGATATCGCATCATTTTCCGTCAGCGCTTCTAGCGGCGTCGATGTTGCTGAACAGCGATGGATCTACTGCGTCGGGCGTCGTAAGAATGGATCTTATGTCGACCTTTTAGTCGCCCGTCCGTCAAAGGAAGACCCCGTTGAGGCTAGACATATGGATCTTGCAAAGAAAGACCTCATCCGTTCTGTCCGGCGTTTGGCATATACTGAGCGGAGCGGAAAAGCTGGTGTCCTGTTTCACAGACTGGCGCTGTCGAGGTGTTTCCGCTTTGTTTGACTACTATCGACTAATCGAATATGGAGTCTGACGGACCATCGTGAGACCCACTGACTATCTATTCAGTAATACGTGCTGCATCCCAGTCGATTGGTGGTCTGTGTTCAGCGCTGAGTGCTCAATAATAATGAACAGCGGTGAGCATGAGGGTAGCTACCGCTATTATTATTCCAATCTAACCGGGCCCCGCGAGAACCTCCACCGACGGATTTAGCATGGGTCAGATGGAAGGGTCCTCCATGCATTCTATCAAGAGCCTTTTTTTTTGACAGCCGGAATTATGTATAGCCGCTATTCCGGTTCTCGTTCTCAAGTATTTTAGTGCCTATCTATTGTACGTACATAGACGGCCCAGACCACGAGTGTAAAATGGAATATCTCTACATCTTGAGTCAAATGCCACTAGTTATCCTTTATGCTTCCTGAGAATTACTTCTCACACTCCATCTCCAGAGAGACTACAACTGGCGGAAACGTCTAGGATTAATTACCTCGCCTTTTAGAATCGGGATTATATATTCCAGAATATGATTGGCTCGCAGCGGATCTGAGATCGATCGGACGGAAGACCCGCTCGGTCCATAATTCCGATCCACCTATTCCATTTCGGGCGATACGCTCCGACGTCAGGAACAACTTGTGAGATGACGTCGAGCTAATGCACAACGTCATGTCTTGGTCTAGATTCAATGACACTGCTTTTACCGTTGATATTCATTGTCTGTACGGTATGGGTCATGAAGTAGTAAAGAGACACGACATGTCGAGGTGGATAAGCTGAGTTGTTTTGTTGCGTCTTTTTACAACTGATTTCAGCGACGTCTAAGCTTCTAGGGACCCGCAAAAGGGGGTCGGTCGGAGACGCAGCAAATGAAGTATCAAGTCATACATTATTATTATTAGGATCAGAGCGGGCGCTTTTGTGTTGGGATTCTAGTGATATTATTTTTGGTTACAAGATACTTTTAGATTATATTATCTAAAGATAAAAGTGCTGTTGCTTATTACTAGGCGCTCTCAGACTGAGATAGTATGAGGAAAAGTAAAGAGGTAAAAAGTTTGTAGATACTCCGTAGTTTATATTATTATTTCCGATGATCTTCCTTTTCGATCGTGTATTAAGGCCGTTGAATTAGATAGTGCGCATAGAATGTAGTTTTCTTTCTATTTTTTCTCTTAATGCATACCCCACCATACTAACTAGGCTGCAGAGGACAAAGACGATATTATTATTATTATTCGAGCACGGAGTACTCCGTAAGCCCGGTGGTACTCGGGCCAAGGGAAAATCATGAAGATATGAGATGAATAAAGGGATAGAAGGATGGTTGTTTGTTTGTTTGTTTGTTTCTTTCTTTCCTTTCATTCTCACGCAGCTCAAACGGCCCCGTCGGCCCCATCTGCCCCTGAAGCCATCCTCCTCCTAGTTCTACTGCTGCATTGGCTCGCACTTCTGCTTCTGGTGCCAAAGTATGCTTCCTCAGGACCTGACGTTCCGGACCCACAAGTGGATGCTTCGGTTCCACGCGACCTTCGTTCACTAGCCAAAGTCTGGGCGAACCGGGAATGCTCGCGGATTTTAGGTCCCCACCAGTAGAATATATAGATAGGAATCGTCACGATGATTGCAATGCATGCCAGGATCGTAGAGGGCCACTCCAAGTGCAGGCGGTGTCCAATGTTCGAATACACTGTCACCGAATATCAATTTCCGAACTGGCACAGCGGCGCATTGTAAAGAACTTACTCGGAGTCGCATACATAGCCGCTATTCCAGCCAGTAGATCTCTGGCGAGCGCATTACCTCCAGTAGCCGAGGCCGAGTAAGGACCGTAGCTAGCAACCATATAGTCTATGGTGGCCATATAGATAGCATACTTGATCACGTATCAGCAATAACACAAAACAACACACTGGAAAACAACACAGGAACGTGCACGTACGTTAGCAACTGCGATCAAGGTTGAGAAGATCATGGGCGCTATCCAGTGTGTGAGTGGAGGTCCTAAGCTTGTCCAGGCAAATCCGAAAAGACCAATCGGTTCAAGTGGGGCAGCTGGTAGCTACTATTAGTCCTCATAGATATTGGAGAATAGGAAGACAGTAACGGTGCTCACTGAAAAGCAGCCAGTAAAGTCGCGCCTCAGGCTTAAGGGCATCTGGATCCCTTTCGCGGACTCTGCAATGTCGGTGAATCCAGGGAAGAAATGAGGCGTAAGCCATGAGATATCCGATCATGATCCTGCAACAGTTAAACGTCTTTTATCAGTAAGGCTGGAGCGAAAGAAACAAGAAATCATTCGGAGCTTACGGGATAAATGCAAGACCTGTATCCACTGGGCCAAAACCCCACTGTTCATAGACTAGTTTGTAGGATGCAAGAAAGGTGAAAATAAGAGCATCACTGAAACCGCTAAGAAGTGATAAACAGAGGACGATGGGCTCGCGGACAAACATCACAAATGGCCGTGCCCAAATGACCATGACATCCTTGATTCCAATGCGCTTCTCTCTGAGTTCGTCCGCGCTCCAGACATTTTCGCCGTGCTTCCTTCTCCTTTTAGCTTCTCGGGTGACTAGGATGCTGCATCGCGTCTCCGGAACCCAGAAGTGAAGGAATTGAACGAAGCCTCCAAGGATGAGCTGTATCCAAAAGTTCCAGTGCCAAGTGCAGTATTTTGTTACAAATCCTCCAATAATGGGGGCGAGGGCAGATCCAGCCACGGAGGAAAGAACAATATAAGCAACTGCATATTGTTGTTCGTCAGGTTCCCACATATCCGCGACCATCCCCAGTGTCACAGAACCGCCAGCAGAGGACAGACCACCAAGACCGCGACATACAATAATGGTTCCGAAATTCGGTGCAACTGAGCATGGGACTTGCCAGATATTGACGAGAGTCAAACTCATCTGCATAATTGGCCATCGTCCAAATTCCTCGCTCCATGGAGCCCAAAGTTCGCTTCCAAATGCGTAGGCGACGAGGAATATCATCTGGCCCACTCTTGCAGCCTGCTCAGAAATCGAAAAGTGTGACGACAGCGGAGTGACAACGTTGGCATAGAGACTTGCATTGAAGTTCATCGAAACTTGGACCGCAAAGATAATGGTGATAATGAGCCATTTCTTCCACTTTGGGAAAGCAAAACCTAGCTTGTCCCAACAATCTTCTTCTGTAAGTTCGATCTTTCCGTCTGGTCTTTCTGACTTCTCTTGATGAGTGGCGGTTCCATCTGGCCCTGGGCCAGCACCATCGGCAGCACCATCGGCAGCACCATCAGCGGTGCCATCAGCAGCACCATCAGGAGCCTCTCGTTTGCCCGCATCTTCTGGACGGGTCCGGGATGTATAATGATGTCCCGCATGGCGGATTGATGACTGTGACATAACGTGGCCTTATCTTGTCCGTAATATATGGATTGTAGAGAGGTATATAAGGTATGGTTCTGATGACCCGACTAAGACCAGGCCATCCTGAGTATACTGAAAATGAAGGTGGATGATGCGAGGAGTATATAGAGACCCACGAACGTCCTGTGGGAAAAGAGGCAAACGGTCTAGAATACCCCCAGATTTCATAGTTTGCAGTCTCGATATCTCCACTGGATGGAATGTCCCAGCAGGACGGTTCTTTTGACGTCACGAGCCACAACTAGAATTATTGTTTCCAGGGGGCTTCTTGAATCCTTCGATGTGGAGTGATTCTCCGGACGCTCCACCTAAACTATCCACGATATCTCCGCATCCCGCTTTTACTTATTCGATGAGCTGAATAAGCGACAGGTTCGCAATCCTCTCCCGGCGTTGACAGACATGGTAAGAAGTGCCCTGGGATGAAGACCATCGACTAGTCAACAGACCATCCCCAAGCATCAAATCGGATGAAAGCGACTCTGTCTGTAATCTAGAAATACCCAATTCTGATAGCCCCCCACTGCTGTCTGTCGAAACTATCCATTGTCTAGCTGTATGCATTTTGTAGTGAACTGATAATTTGAGAGGTAGCCTCAATCTCTGGAAGAGAATGTATCTGACATTTGCCTAGATCTGTTTCTCCGCTGGCGCGTATGTTGACGATGAGTTAGGCAGTAGAGTCCAAGTCGTATTTATCTGCGTGTAGCCGTTTCAAACAGTCTTAGCGCGAGGAAGTTGAAGGATCAGTGATCTCAAGAAAGGGACATCCAATAAAAATCGACAGACTATGATAGGTCGAGAGGCCCAATGAGAAGCTCGTCTAATGCTTTCCTAGTCAGAGCTGGGCGGAAAAGTTCCGGGAGTGTCTTCGTGGCGCGTGAAGGGTGAGTGACGAGCATGACAGCGATCCCGCAGACTAGAACAGCTTCCAACATAGAGCCCGTGGTAAATTGCCGAACAACTGGTCATTGGCTCGGCAATTCGACTCTATTGGTAGACTGGAGAGTCTGAGGCGAATCATGGCCAGATGGACACTGCGGGCAACAAACGCGGGGAGGATATCTCCCCCGTGCGGGATTCATCTCCGTGGGGCTCGCCCAAGTAGGAGAAAGAGAGAGAGCAAAAAGTCACTCATAGGCGAAGCTAAACTCGTTTATATCGCCCGGAAGACAAGCTTCGTCGCATATTGAACGTGTAATCGATGATTCATAAGCTGTGAAGGTTAGCAGACTGTTTAGCATCACGAGATGCTTCTAACATGCAACTCTCCAGGGGTATCGTAACCTGTCCCAGTATATCTGCGCATCTAGAAGACAATGGCCTTTCTCAGGTTTCTATTTGGTCCTGGAGATGGATGCACGAGCGGAGACTCCGAGACCTTGAGATGGCTTGCTGCAGGTTAGAAAAGTGAGGTTCTCCAGACGTCACCCATCTGGCTTCTTATTCAGCGACTTCAGCGACTCTAAGTTGGAGGCTTGCTATTGAAGTCTAGTCCATAGAGTCAGCCATGAGGAAACTTAAGTTGTTGATCCGCTAAATCTTGCGCAAATGGATTGACTGCTGGTCTGAACGGCAATTCCGCGTAGAGAAATGCCGTCTCCAGTATGAACTAGTGAGCAGAAGGGGGGTTTTCAGCATCCTGACGTCTAATCCTCGTGTCGAGAACTGGAGAGATGTGCGAAAATTGGCCAAGAACGCCACGCGTAGTCCTAGCGTGAAGAATTAACGAAGTTTGGGGTTCGGGGACAGCGGGTCCGGGGGAGATCGTGTTTGGGACTGCGATGCACATCCAACCTGGAGAAGGGGATTCTTCACGCCCCTCAGAGACCCGGATAACCAAGCATGGCTAGCATATTGTGGGGTGTATGCGTTCAAGCCCCGGCCAGGATGGCAGACAGACATAGTACGAAGTAGATGGAGGTTTAAAGCGATGGCCAGAATCCTGCTTCCCCGCAACGGTATATACTTAAGGGGCGGACGTCCCCCTGTAAATCGCTTGGAGTGCTTTCTGTCAGAGAAGTGGTCCTCCAACAGAGCGCGCTCTTGCATAGGTTAGATTTCGTGAGCTGGAGGGCTGGCTATTTGCCCAGCATGGAGATGAACTATGACGAGGCGGTAGGTTATCCTCTGCTCTGTGTTTATTGCACAAGTTGCAATGCTAACTCTCGATAGACTCTTCGCCAGTACGTCGACACTCACCCGTTTGAATGTTGTTAAAGCTGACACTGTAACAGGTTGGAGGAGGAATTGGATACGAAGATCTATCCTGGAACAGAAATTATGACAGATGTTGGGACGCATCACTTCGTGAAATCATCTGGGAGCTCAGATCGTGTTCTAGTTCCTCAGCCATCGAATGATCCCCGCGATCCTCTGGTATGATGATCTCCATTCATGCTGTCGAGAAATCAGAATTGACAACGGAGACTGCAGAACTGGAACAAATATTGGAAATTTAGCGCCATGTCCCTGGCAACAGCAGTGTCATTCTCGCAAGGACTTGGACCTCTGGCTCTGGGTCCCATGTTCCCGGACCTCATGAAGTCGTTTAACGCAAGTCTCGCGGATGTAGTCCAATTCACAGGTGTATGTATTCTAATCCTGGGCTTCAGTAATTTTTTCTGGTAAGTCTCCTCCTCTTACCTTGTGACATTCTGTGTCTAACCGGAAGGTTTCCAAAGGGTCCCTGTTCAAGCCACCTTTGGGAGAAGACCAGTCCTTATCTTCTCCACCCTCATATGCTGTGTTAGTAATATATGGCGAGCGAAAGCAACAACATATGGAAGCTACATGGGAGCTTGCATCCTCAACGGATTCGGTGCAGGCCCGGCAGAGGTTGGTACTTCCAGCGGAAAACTCATGTGGACCGCAACGTGACTGAGACATCAATATATAGAGTGCCCAACCGGAAATTGTTGCTGATATCATGTTCCTGCATGAACGAGGCGCTTACAACACTCTATATTTCACTGCATACTTCGGTTCGCTTATGGTGAGATGGCTTCCCAAAGCTTTGATACAGAGTTATAATGACTGATTATGTACTCTTCTCTAGATCGGTCCAATCATTGCTGGAGCAATGGCCCAGCACGTTGGCTGGAGGAGTTTCTTCTGGTTTAATGTGGGATTATTAGGAACTGTCTTCGTGCTTCTGGTCTTTTTCTTCCCAGAGACGAAGTGGCATCGGGCTCATCCAAATGAACTAAAACACAGCCAAGAAGCATCCGTCGGTGTTGTTAACGAGTCAAACGCCAACGAATCCGATCTGGAGAAACCGACGCAGGTGACACAGGAAAATCTCACGCATGAAGAGACAGTGGAAAGAGACCCATATCTGGGACGGGGTTCTCCTTCCAAACGGCAGTTTCACATATACCAATTCGATGGGAACTGGATCAAGACATTGCTGTTGAATTTCTGGATCCCGTGGAAGCTCCACCTATACCCTATCGTTGAATTCGCAGCGTTCATCGTGTCTTGGGGAGCTAGTTGTTACTTGACTATCAATCTTACGCAGAGCCAGGCCTTCGCTGGTCCTCCATATAACTTCTCCAGTCAAACGATCGGATTCTTCAACTTTGCCGTCTGGATAGGTGCTCTGATCGGCATGGTTACCAACGGTCCGCTATCAGACTGGATCTCCATGCGCGCCACGAAGAGAAACCGCGGTATTAGAGAGCCCGAGATGAGATTGCCTGCCATGATTCCTTATCTGATCATTTCCATTCTTGGAAATTTCATTGTTGCATTTGGTTCTGAATACAAATGGGACTGGAGGGTAAGTCCTATACACTGATAGCATCTGATTGTCATATTCTAACAAGAAGATAATGCAGGTAATTGTAATTGTCGGTTATACATGTGCCGGGATTCAAGTTGTGGCGCTTCCTGCGATCGCCAGTACGTATGCCGTCGACAGCTACAAACCAGTGGCCGGCTCGATCTTCGTGACAGTCACGGTCAACAAGAATCTGTGGGGTTATGGGTTTAGCAAGTTCATCACTCCCTGGACTGAGGAGGCTGGATATGTCCCTCCTATTATGCTCAATATGTGCCTTATGGTACTCTGGTGTTCGTTTGGTGCTGTGTTTTATTTCTTCGGGAAGCGGTGCAGGAAGTGGACGGCGAAATCGGATGTGCATACCATGTAATGCTGGACTAGTCTTTGATATCTCAATCTGGAAGCTTAAATGATACGCTCTCTGAAAGGCAATACTTGTGTTAACATATCCTGGTTATATCTCTGCCCCGTACGGGCTGGTCTAGTAGCACAATGCATGATTGTAACAATGGCCCGCGGCAGTGCTAGTCAACATAGGTCTTTGGACAAATATCATTCCGGATTTTATGCGACTGCGTCCATGATTCCTGCGTCTACCGAGGCAGTATCAAAGTTTACAGAAGCAAAGAGGTGCAGGTCTAGATTTTTACCTGACCGAGAGCTTCCTTAGACACTTTTTTTCAAATATCGTCGTCTTCTGGGTCGTATAGATCGAGATCGAGCGTAGCCTTAGGCTTTGGAGGAGCAGCCGCTGGTGCAGCACTACTCACGGCAGTCGAACCCACATGCTCTGCAGCCCTTGATGCCTCAGCTGCGTGATTCCTTTCTTCGCTCTGACCCTGCATCTGCACTGGTTCGGCAATGCCGACTCCTTCAGCTTCCCGCACCAATCTCTCCACCTCCTGGTCGGGATCTATCCCTCGATCCGTCGCAGCAAGCTGGACTTGTGCCATGAGACCCAGTCGAATCCGATCTTCTGCAGGGAAAGGCATCATGTACATCGCTCGCGCCATATTTGCGGACTCGTCTAGCCAGGCAGTTGCGTCCTTCGTGACTGCACCGACGGACCGTGCGTTATCTCCTTCAGCATGGTCTCCATTGACACCGGTCATCTCCACGTCTCGATCCGCTTGCTTCTCTTCCTGTAGCCTCTTCTTGACTAGAGCTCCAGCCGCCGCGTCTGCCGCTGCTTGCTGATTATATCTGCTGATTCGACGGGCAAAGTCAAGCAGTAACTTGTAGTCGACCTCTTTCCCTCGACTGGTCGATGTGACTTTCTTGTCAGCTTCGTCTGACGCGTAGTCGCTGTCATCGTCGCTGTCGTCGTCGGTCTCGCTCTCGTCCTCGACTTCGTCACCGCATACAGTAGAAATTTCCTTTCCCACGCCTTCAATATCTCGCACAATCCCCTTAACCCTTTCTTCCAGTTGTTCCGCCTCAGCTCGAAGCTTTAGGATCTTGGCGTAATTAGCTTGGTGTGTGCGGAGAGTCTCAAGCGCCGAAGACAGCGCGTCATCTGCGTCGATTAGAGCGAGTGTTGCGGCTGGTGCTCCGGCAGCAGTAGGCGACGTCGTCAACGAAGTAAGGACACTATTGAGTCTAGCCTCGAGATTATCGAGGCTCGAAAGGACGCGCGCATCCATCGCGTGCTCGTGCTGGATGTTGTGCGCAGGGAAAGCTGGCAGTTCCTGGCTAGGTGTTTTCAGCAGCTCTGTACCGGTAAAGTCGGCTTTAATAGAGCCCTGGGTAAGATAAAGAAGAGGCCGAGGTGGAAGCTCAATAGCCAATTGAGAACTTGAAGAGCTGTTGTGTATAGAGAAGGCAACTGTGAAGCTGTGGAGAAGGCGACGATGCGACGGTCGAAGTTGCGGCCGTGCGCGTGTTCCTTTTAATCCCCGCCCGCAACCAGTTACATAGTTACAGTAAGTTAACCGTGCTCTACACCAAACCTATTTCTGTTCTCTTAGACATAATTATCCAACTGACAGTTGCCGATATGCTTGCACTGTATGGCCGTATGTCTTACTCGTCTGATTTACATGCTAAATACATTTTGATGGCTCCTGACCCATTGCAGAAATTAACACGCCCAGATACCGAAACACCCTCCAAACAGTTCATCGCTCCAGAAGCGCCAAATCCATACTAGATAGGTAGATCTATGGGAAAAGGGTTTGATCATCATGACTGATCACTGGCATCTGTTCACGCACGTTCCACTCATCATCGCGGGAAGCAAGCATGCCCAGGTACCACAGTCCCAGAAACAGAGTAAGCTCCGGATTCTGATAAGTTCCCCACGTTCGCCATAGTATCGAAGCTGAGAGCTGTAGATCCCCGTTTTCCATTCTTCGAACAGCCACGAGCTCTTTGTCTGTGAGCATGAATCCGTATCGAGAGCCGCGATGGCTCATGTACCAGTTCAGCGTAGCGAGGCCGGCTCGATACGCATGTTGGCCATCAGGTCTCAGTGCGAAGCTGCTGTCCCATTGCCAGCTTGGCCTCACTGCGCCGGGGACTCTATGACGGCTGCTGTCCCTGTCTCCCTCCACTGCATAGAATGATAATTCGGGCTCATGAGCTCCAGCAAAGCTTGTGTAAGCTCCACCGTCGAAAGAAAGCACTGCTCGACCTTTGAGCCCATGTCGGGATTCGAGGTAACTGAATGTCGCTCGCAGAGCTCTTCGTACCCGTGGGACCACATGCTCAGCAAGGCGATATTGCAAGTGGCTCTGAGACATTATCGCAGGGGGAGGCGACTCTGGGAGGGGGTCCGGGGGCAGCATTGTATGCTCCAAGAGCCAATCATACCGATCGAGAATGGTTTCGAGATCGAAATCTAACCATTCCGTGAGATTTGGGAGATCTCCAGGGGCATATGGAGGCATATTGCCCTGGCGGCTTGCATCAGGAATTATGGGGATCGGTGGAGGATTGTCTGTCAAGTAGGTGAGTAGCGATGTTTCGTTCTCCATTTTGGGGAGACTAGGATCAGAAGATGGGCTGTAGAGAAGCCAATTCATCCAGCATGGTATGGAAGCTCACTAGATATATAGACAAATCTTCCGGACTACGGATGCATCAGGGAAGATAAGAGTGTCTCAGGCGGATATTCTTTGTCAAGTTGGAAGCCTTGCAGTGGATCTTTGATTCTATGAGATCTACGTCTGACCGATATAGAGAGTTGTGGTGTCATCTCCAGCTAAGTGGACCGTGTAAAACTGGCTTCCTATCGATCACAAACTGGCAATAAAGAGAAGTGAATGTTTCTGCTGTTCAGTATGCTTCTTTCCAGCAAGGGAAAATGCCTGTCCATACTCAACTTATTTGATCTTGTGGTCCCACTGAAAGGTTATAACAGAAATAATAACAATAACAAACAACCGATGTTGTTTAGCTTTATGCCTAGGAAGAGACATACAGTGTGCGTGATTTTATTACTTTGTTGCTGAGTTCGTGTGAATATATAGACTGCCTAGTCCCACATGTAACGGCCAGATTCAGAGAATGAAGTCTTCTCTTTCAGAAGATGAAAGGCCTGGGCTTTCATCAAAGGACTGCAAAGCTACATAGGCCCAACCAACCAGGTAGCATGGCTACTTTGATACTGTCATTTACCATTTCCTCACAGATCTCTGCAGGTCTCACATGTCAGCCGAGATAGACAGATTTCTGATACTTTTTGAATATATAATGCAAGGGCATTCACAAGATAGATTAAGCGCTGATTCAGGATAGCAATATCTATCCTGGAAATATAATGATGGGCAAGAGTGACCCGAAATGAGCTATGTATGTAGATTTTTATCGTGCACAAACTGTTGGTACCTGGAATTCCTCCTACAGAAAAGCCACCCGGAATCCCTTTTACTTCTGTTGTGAACATCCGGAGCGACCATCTGGGATTTGCAGTGCAAGAGGTGGATGGACAGTGGGTAATCTATGGGCTTATGCAGTGTGGAAGCGTTTGGTAAGTACCTACCTAGTTACATACTGCGATCGAGTTGATCTGGAGAATTCTCCGCCGTGTGTCGCGTGTTCAGCCTGTCGCCCTACCAATTGTTGTCTGCCGCCCATCCTTGGAGTTGGTGTATTAAAAAAATCCTCTGTATCCTCACAGCTCCAGCATGTTTTTTTTGGTGCTTCTGATAAGCATATCTTTATGGACACCGTGAGAAGCCGGTGACGGTATTGTATTGATTAAGTAGTTGGCCGCGAACAAACAGCGCCCAGAGTCTGGATGCTTCCAAAGCACCGCAAAGGGACAGGATCTACCCACAGATCCGAAAAACGTAACTTGCCATTGTAACTCCAACGTTGGCTCAATAATCAGATTGCTGCACAAACCCATGCCATATATGCTGGGATCCAATGCAGAGAAACCTGCCTTGATCAGTGTCTGGCTTCGAAAAATGCCTCGGTGGGATCATCTCCACCGAGCCACTGCCGTGTCCAGCCGGCTGCGCTGGGGAAGAGACACATAAAAATCGGCCCATGTGCTACATGGGAGATCTGGTTCTTTTTTAGATTGCCTATCTTTGAGGCCAGTATTGTACTCCAATGCGTCTGTTCCTCGGTGTGACTGCGCTGTGCTTAGCGCTGGCGCCTCTATGCGTGGCAGTGGCGTTGCCCATTGTTGACTTGGGATACGAGCTGCATCAGGCAAACCCCATCAACGTATGTACATTTTTTTGTCCAAACATTTCTATGATGAGTTAAGAAGGATCTGACCGCATGAAGATATCACAGGGGCTATACAACTTCAGCAATATCCGATATGCTGCTCCGCCTGTAGGCGACTTGCGATTCCGCGCACCGGTATCTCCTGAGATAAATCGCTCAGAGGTACAAACCGGCACCGTCGGCCGTGTCTGTCCACAGGCAATGCCTCTATGGGCTACGGAGATCGCCCCGAATTTTGTTGAGACTCAGCTGCTCGGGCTACCATATAGCGGTCCGTACAATATCAACTCTTCATCCTACCCGACCGGAGCGCAAGACCCTCGGACGACAGAGGACTGCCTGTTCCTGGATGTAGTTGTTCCCCAAGTCGTGTTTGACAGATCCCGGAATAGCTGCGGCTTCGCTGGAGTACCTGTCCTGGTTTGGTTGTACGGTGGTGGCTTCACTACCGGAGACAAGAGCCAATACGATCCTTCTGGGTTAATCCATCGCAGTATGGAAGGTGGAAAAGATGGTATAGTATATGTGGCTCTGAACTATCGGGTAAGTGGTGCTGTTAGAGCCTCGAAAAGTATGACGCAAATAGCGGGCTAACACTGAGCAGCTGGGAGCCTTTGGCTTTCTGGGAGGCTACAGCATTGGGAAAGACGGCACGTCGAACGCTGGATTGCTTGATCAGAGACTGGCTATAGAGTGGGTGCATAAATACATCCACCTCTTCGGAGGCGACCCAGAAAAGATCACTATCATGGGGGAATCGGCAGGCGGAGGGTCTGTTTTGCATCAGATCACCGCTTACGGTGGTGACCAAGGAGTCGCGTTTAAACAGGCCATTATCCAGAGTCCTGGATTCGTGCCCATGACGAACGAGAGTGTTCAGGAAGCAACTTTGCAGCAATTCCTGCGAATTGCTAATGTCAGCACACTCGAGGAGGCAAGAAACCTGCCGTCAGAGAAGCTGATCGCAGCGAATCTGTACCAAGTCGGGGTGAAATCTCCCTACGGTACTTTTACCTATGGCCCTGTCGTCGATAGAACGTTTGCCCCGGCTCTTCCAGGCCAGCTTTTGCAAGATGGGCGATTCGCCAAGCATGTGAAAGTAATGGTTGGCCACAACGCAGATGAAGGGCTAGAGTTTACTCCTCCCTCTAGTCTCAACGACAGCGGATTCGAAGCATACCTGAAACAAGCATTGCCAGATGTTTCGCCTGCCGTGCTGAACGAAATAACGGAGGTGCTTTACCCTCCCATATACAATGGCACGTACGGTTATACAACAAGTGTGCAGCGCTTGTCTTTGGCTATTTCGGATCTAGCCTTCCAGTGCAGCACAGATTATCTCAACCGTGCCTACGACAACCGGACGTATGCCTATTGGTTCACTATTCCTCCTGCTCTCCATGGGCAGGATGTACCTTACACGTTTTTCAACGGGTCGAATTTCTTCACCGGGGCGACCACCGACGTGAATACTACGGTTGCTATTGCTATGCAGCAATACATCACTAGTTTTGTCGAAACAGGAGTCCCAAAATCTTCCATTGGACCCGTCTTCAACGAGCATGGCGAGAAGGGTACCATGATGGACTTTTCGGACTCAGGGATATCGGAAACCCTCGACAACACGGATAATGCACGATGTCGCTTTTGGCAGGGGGCGCCATACGCGTGATCCAGCATCATTGTAAATAAGAGGGATATCAGAAGCAAGCCTGAGTTACGAGAGTGAAGTACATACATAACCAATTGTTGGCCAGTTAATGGGTTTGTGAGCTAACTTAACCATAGTTAGTTAACGTAACCGCTGATCAATATCCTCTGTTAGTTAACTAAGTAGTGTATGAAATTGACTTTCAATCCTTCGTACCGACTTGGATGTGCCGAAATGCCTCGGTTGAGCCGTATGGCGTGTCAAATGCGACGAGACGAAGTACGAAATCAGGATGGAAATGCGAAGCATACGACTCGCAAAGCTAGCAACAACAAAATCCCTCGAAACGAAGAGGAGAATATGATTCGCGGATGGGAATAAGTCCTGATGAGTTGCCGTAATATGGCTGGAGACATACTTATTGAACAACGTAATGTCGTTCGATAATCACTGGGATGCAACGCCTTCAACGTGAGAAGTGAAGACCTAAGCTTAAGAGGCTTATGATTTTACTTAGAGCTAATACTTGCCAAGGGTTTATTAGATTTTAGGTGCATATAAGATGCTAAGAGCTAGTAGTATACCCCGCACTTCTCGCGCCTCTAAGCTTGGGTATTGTGTAGGGATATACAGGCCGCTATACTTTGGGTGCCGAACCGGTGCTCGTGTTCGGGTGAATAGCAAGGGTATCTACCGGATATCTAGGGCACTCCAAATCTGCAATGGCAAAGGGCGTGTCTTTCGGGCGCGCTGGCACAATTGGCCGTCTCCCCCCCCCCCTATACAGGCGTGCGCAGAGATGTTTAAATCGGCTTTTAACCCCTTTGTCGCTATTGCCGTTCAAGATGGGGTAGAAACTTGTTCAAGAGTAAATAGACCGACAGGATAATGGCGGCAGTATCGTCTCCAATTCTTACTTTATTACTTCTGTATCAGCTCTTTTGGGCTCAGCTGGGGTTATCTAGCACCTCTTCCAGTAAGTTCTTGTTATGTGCTTCTCTCGTTTCCGAGTATGCTTGCCAGGACCAAATAGACTGACATTCTATATAATACAATTAGTCACTGAGGACATCTATAACCGCCTAGTCCGGTATACTCGTTTCTCGGCAGCTGCATATTCTTCCGACTGCCGTATACCTCCCGGAGGAGCAACAGTTGTCTCATATATCAATAACAACACTACGGATACGCAAGCTACACTTTTTCGGGATGATGCTCACCAAGATCTGATTATCGCATTTCGCGGCACCTCGAGCGTGCAAGATTTCGTCTCGGATTTCAATCAAACCTTGGTTCCATTTTCCGGATGTGAAAATTGTACGGTATGTATATGATGTGTTTACATATGCACATGTTGATTTTCTGTTCAAGTTTATAAACCCTGTGCCCAAGATACTTATTACTTATGATATAGGTTCATGGAGGTTACTTTCGACAATGGAACTCTGTAGCTGCTGTGGTTACTGAAGATGTGAAATCTTCCCTAGCCGACTATCCAACATATACCATTAGCGTGACGGGGCACTCAATGGGGGCATCTCTCGCCGTATTTGCTGCTCAGACCCTCCATGCTTTATTCCCCGATGACAATGACCGACTAACCACCTATACATACGGCCAGCCACGGACTGGGAACCCATCATGGGCTGCGTATATAGACTCCTTACTCTCCCAACCAGGCAAATTGTTTCGTGTGACGCATGCGAATGATGGGGTGCCTCAAATCCCAAGCACTTCAGATGGATATCAACACCACGAGGAAGAGTATTGGGCAAACGATCCACCAAGTGTGGAAAATACTGTGCGGTGCGAAGGAGATGAACCTCCGGTACAGCTTGCCCGCTGTTATTCCCCCGAAGTACATTTGTATACATGTTTAATTTATTATGATATACTAATAACACTCTTCACAGGATTGCAACCTTTCTGAGCCGGGCTTCGGCCTTGGCAATGGTGGGAAGGGTATCAATCTGGCCCATCTCATCTATTTTGGAATTTCTATCGGCGACCCTGTGGATCCAGGGCTATCGAGCTGCAGTGGATAGAGTTACAGAGACAAGCGGTCTTAATGCATGCGCTCGATGCAGGAATAAGATATCATTGGAACAAAGTATTTTCTTCCTATTAGCTGTATCCATATGAAGAGCTATTCGAATCTAAATCATATAGGTATCTGAGTCCCTATTCACCGTCCGTTAACGGGCCTCTGTTCTCAGTGGCACAATTCTCAATATGACAGTTTCCTGCGCCGCAGAAATCAGTTCCATTGCGCAGACACGAACAATAATAATGACTACATCCGAGCTTAACTTGAGCCTTATGTCTATACATTTGGGTCGAAAATATAGACAATTACTAAAATAAAGGCTAGTGACCAAGAAATTAATGCGATCACAGATAAGCATCCTTGTGATAAGAACACCCAATCAGAATTTCAGGAAACTTCGCCACTTCATCTCTTTCCACTTCAACTCTTAAATCGTCGCATCTTGTTATTGTCATTGCTATTATTATTTCAGCTTCATCGTAGAAATTGTCCGGAGAGGGATATCTTATGCCTCTGGAAAGATGGACGTTCCAATTGCAGCAGACGTTCTTGGAACAATAGGCGCGGTTAGTATCTCTCTGCGGAATTGGTATGACTGACTTGCGTACCTAATCTCTTCATTGACTCTTAACCACGCAGGTCTGTTGGTCGATCCAGGTACGCCATAAATACTGTTCCTTGTCCATATTGGTTCCTTATAGCTGACAATGGCATAGCTGTTGCCTCAAATTTTCATCAACTATCGCCGCCATAATACTGAAGGCTTGCAGCCGGCGATGATGTTGTTATGGGCCGCAGCCGGTGTGCCACTCGGCGTCTATAATATCGTAGAGGACTTCAATGTGGCTCTAAAGATTCAGCCTCAAATCCTCACGACGCTTAGTCTGATCACATGGGCACAGTGCCTTTATTATGGAAAGGTCGGATCAATTTCACCGATTCCTTGTTTCCGATGTGCTTACAGATCGAGTTAGAAATATTCGGTGCTTCGATGCATCTCTGCTGTTATACCCCTTCTTATGGTTCTAGGAGGAATCGAAGTAGCTCTGATCTTTGCACTATTGGCTGCTAGAAACAATGATCTCAGATGGCCTATTGTCTTGATGGCGGTTCTCAGCGCTGCTTTCCTGGCAGCAGGGGTGCTGACCCATTACTGGGATATCTATGTTCATCGAACCGTGAGAGGAATAAGCTTCATATTCGTTGGAATTGACGCTGCCGGAGACTTGTTTTCTCTCGTGTCTGTCTGTAGGTGCATTCATCCTGATAATGGAAGAAAAAAAATCTGCTCACTAACAATATGTCCATTAAGTGTTTGAGCCGAGTATGGATATCCTCGGCATGGTTATATATGCCACTGAGCTGACGCTGTGGTGCGGTGTATTTATTTGCGGTGCTGTCTATAACCTCACGCCTTGGATCAAGCGGCGTTCGAAGAAACGGTGCGTCAACGTGCAAGAGCCGGTCTCTTTGCACCCGATGCCTTCGTCGACTTCTGTGTTTAGAACAGCATCCGGCACGGACGTGGTAACCAGGAGAACCAGACCGCAGCTCTCTTAAAATGCCTAGTCTTGGTTTAGAAACCGAGCGCCCATGATTTGTGGGAAACGATTTCCCTGGGACTGGGGATGTAACGTACGGCATTTTCGGTGTGGGTGGACATTGTATAAGTATTGTGTAATTAGTTCCCTATAATCTCAACAACTACATCGCTGATTCTATCCTAACAGTTGACAAGACCCATAGTCGCGCAGCATTTGTGCCACGACCACAAAGCCGCCAATTGCCGGCGCCCCAAGCGCGAGTAGAATAAGTATGAAACCGATAGTTTCAGCCAATTTGGACCAAAAGTGACCATGGACACGTGCATCCTTGACGAATTGCATCTTCTTCGCAAGAGTATGAGAAGCATTCAAACCTCCTACCACGGATCCTACCGCTAGCCAGGACATGGTCCAAGCTCGTTGCGCGACGGTGCTGGAAGGACCTGCTTTGAAATGAGACATGCCGCCGATGACGGCTAGGGGAAGTGCAGAAATGACAAGGAGTGTGAGTCGATAAAGGATATAGCCTGGTAATGGGTACTGGTCGGGATGGTTTGCAGTCAAAATAGACCGCTTCGCTGTCTCTTTGAACTTGTAGCAGCTTGGACATATGATTAGGCCGCGTGTGGCGGGATTTTTCTCATTATCGTCTGTCTCCGAGGATGACTGCTTCTGATTTGAATGGAATATTGAACCAAACCATGTTGCCGTGCGAGACTTGCGGTTCGTCGTGGTACCTTCCGGAGACTCATCATTCTGCTCTGGTGCTTCTTTCTTTGGCGTTGCTTCCTTCGGCTCAACAATCACGGACGTCTCACTATCGCCGGCAAGCTGGTCCTCTGCATCTTCTGGTTTGAAAATCCATCCATCATCATCACTCTTACTGTCTTGCTCGAATGAACCGGAAAATACAGCGAACTCTGAAGAACTCGGGGGAGCAGACTCCAATCTACCCACCATTCCCTGAAACTGACCACCACGATTCAATGCCTCATCCATCATCTCAGAGTGCACCATGTACATACTAGCATAGGCCGGAGTAACCAGGTTTCCGAGCATGTTGATAAACGACATGATCAGGTATGGAACGACGGTGAAAGCAAACGACGCGTACCCATACTGAGTGACCTGGTTCCCCCGAGATCTGTACAAGGTCACCGACGCATATATGATCTGGATGATGGCGATCACAGCCGACCCCATGCTGTAGGATGAGAAGAGGGAGTATTTGATGTCTGACAACGTCCGAACAAGGGCCGTGGGGGGCACGTATGCTAGCTCATATCCCGGCGGCAAGTGATACGTGCCAAAGATCTGAAAATGTCGTGGCACCACCTCTAGATGGACATCGTCGACAGCTGATGCTACCCATGGTGGCGTCTCTACTTTCATGTCCACCTGAATTTGATGTTGCTTGCTACGAGACACATTATAAGCACATTTCTCGAAAAAGGACAAGGTCCGACACTCACAGTTTCTTTTCATGTTCTGTGACAGACTGAGCATGCTTAGCTAGTATCAGTGTCAGCGCTATGTCTCTGTAGCTTTGCTACTTATACTGTCTGGAAGTTCTCCAGCAATAACTTACCGAGTAGGGTATATCCATTGCAACCGTCCTCATCCTCCCGTAGCTCCTTCGGGACATACGCCAGGGAATGCATCATTTCATCACGCTGCGGCTTCCAATCCTGCGAGCGAACTACCATGCACAGGGCGCGTGAGCGAAGCGCTTGCTGAACCGGGTCTGAAATTGTTGCGGCATGTCTCACGATGGCCACCAGACCGCGCGCTGCACCCATTGCCGGAAAGACAATAGCGAGCGCCATATTCATGATGAGGACGTATTTCGACTCGCCTGGAAAAGATACCACAGTGGCTGCGTGAGATAGGTAATTCCCAAGGAAGAATGAAGCAACATCGCTCCAGGTTGTTGGCACGCAGAGCAGGTGTTTGGCAGCGGAGTATGTGATTCCATCAGGAACAGTAATGGTCACATCTCGCGGCAGGACAGCTGCACTGATTAGTTGGAATAGTCCCAACAACCATGAGAGTGCGTGTAGCATCCACCCTGCCATCGCGTGTATGGGGGATCCCCCGGCTGTCTCTGCTTTCTGTGCCCCGTAGAGCGGAGCAGAGAAAACATACGAGGCGTCAGCGGAATGGCATCCTCGATGATTTTAAGTATTGCTTTTCTTTTTCAATCATCGGGCAGCCAGACTGTTTAGGGGCTAGCTGAAAGAATAACTTGGCCTATTATATGAAAGCTTGGCCAGCCTTATTCGATGATAAGATGTCTAAAATTACTGTGTTTAGTCATCTGATGACTGTTTCTACCTGCCGACTGTTTTTTTAAAAATTCCCCAATTAATTTAACCACCCACTAAACTACCAATATGGATCTTATTTTATTAGCTCTTAAAGATTTAAAGTTTTTAAAGCCTAGTAAAAAGCCTAATTACATAAAAACTGTAAAAAAATATAGTATAAACTAAATAACTCTATTATAATAATATAAGGGCGTCTAGGGCCTGTTAATAGTCTAATATAAAAATTAATAATTCCTAAATATTTAGTAAGAGAAAATACTTATTAAATAGATTAATGGCCTTACAGAATATAGCCTACCTCCCTTATATAAAATATTATAAAATTTTATAAAAGAAATCTCTAAAAAGGAGCCCGGGCAGTAGTAGCCACTATATTTTATAAAGAGATATAAGAAAGACCTTCTATTAGCCTGGGGTATTATTATAAATATCTTACGCAAATAAGCTAATTCTGTATTTAAATATTCCCTATATTTTAAGTTTATAGATTAAAAGCTATAGAAATTTAATATTAAGCTATATAATATCTATAATATAAATAAGAAGGGTTTTATAATTAGAGTCTTAAAAAAAATTAAAAAAATCTTTTTTTACTATTATTATAAGCAGGGATATATTAAATAATTAATTTAAGATAGGAATAGGGAATAGATTATAATGCTTATTATTATTTATATAGATAGAATATTGCTATTATTAGCTTTAATCTATAAGGCTATATTAAAAGAATTATAAAATATATAGCTTTAAATATTTAACCCTAAAATTTATAAATACTTTTTTACCTCCTCTTTTAATAGCTAAATTAATAATAAGATAAGATATTAGTAGCTAGTTAAAATCTTTAATAGGGAGACTAAAGTAAAGGCAGGCAGAGGCTACTAGCTATTGTAGTAGGGAGAATTAGTATAAAGAATATAATTAGTTAAGAGGTTATATGCTTTTACTTAAAGTCTTTAAAAAATCTATAAATAAAGCAGGAGAAAGGAGATAATATTTTTTAGTTATTTAGAATAAAATAATTAGCTTTTTTTTTATTATTGTTTAGTATTAGTTTAGCATTAGATTATTATTAGTTTATTATATTAGTCTATAGCTAAAGCTTTTTTTTTTAGCTTTATTTTAAGCTCTAAAGTTAAATACCCTTCTCTTTCTTTTTAATACCTACTTACTTAAAGACTCTATATTAAGTCTTAATATATTTTTCTATAATAAAATAGAGCTAAATATAGGAGGTATTAAAATATTAAATAGAAATAAGGGAGAAAGGAGAATTAGAAGCTAAGATTAAAGCTAAAGCTAAAGAAAGGGGTAAAAAATAATAAAAAGATAAATAAAATAATTAAGGAAGATTACTACTATAAATAGAAAGAAATAAATATATCTCTTAAATTAATAGAGACAGCAAATATAATATAGAATAAAAATATATATTAATAATAAGAGAAAGGAAGAATTACTAAATATAAGGAAGAGCTTAATAAATATAAAAGAGAAACAGAAATTTAAAAGGAATAAGAAATTATTAAATAAGAACTATTTATTAAAAAATAGAAGAATTTCTTATTATTATTTTTATTACTATTCTTTTAAAAAAATATAGAAAAAAGTATTAATCTTTTTAATACTAATTAAAATAAAAGGACTTTTAGCTTTTTAATATTATTAGGTCTAGAGATATAGACAGCTTAAGTATTTAAAAATATAGGACTATTAATAATATAGCTAATCTAAATTATATTAGCTTTATAAATACTAATATCTAGAAATCTTAGGATATTATATTTTAAAGGGGATAATATTACTTATTATTTAAGGCTTTTTAAAAGGTTATATAAGGCGAATTAACTCTTAAAAGAAAAAAAAATTAAATAATTTATAGATTATTATAGCCTATTAGTATTATTATAGATAAATATTTAATCTAAATATAAAGAGAAGAATTACTTAAAACTAGTAAAAGCAATTAAATAAAAATATGCTTATTATAATAAGTATTAAAGGAAATATAATATTTAATAGCTAAAAAGGTTTAAAAATATAAAATATAATAGCTTTAAGGACCTAAGGGAGTATAATTAAAAATATTAAGCTATATTAGAAGTGCTAGTAATTTTAAATAAATTAAGCTAATATTTATAGGGAGTTTAGTATCTTTAAGGATTTTTAAAGGAGCTTAAATAATAAATAGTTTAAGAGTTAAATATAGACTATTATATTTTATTTATTATTAAATATATTAATTTCTATAAGAAAGTAGTAGATAGGGTAAGAATAATTAAAACTCTTTACTATCTTAACAGCAGTAAATTAGAAAAAGATTAAGATATAATAGCTTTAATAAAAAAGAAGATAATTAAAGAAGATAAAATATAACTTTTTATTAAACTTAATAAAATCTATTTAAATAAGAATAAGAATAGGACTAAATAATAGAGTATTAAAGTAAAGTTAATAGAATAATTATAGATTAATTAGTTAATAAAAGAGTTTAAGAAGTTAAAACTATATAGTATATAGTATATAGGGAGGCCTAATAATAGTATACCTAATGCTAGCTTAAATATATAAGCTAGGGCGCTTTTAAGATTTAACCTAATTAAAGGATTTAAAATACCTTTAAACTTATATAATTTTTACTAGGCTTTTAATTATATTTAATTTTATTGCTTAGATTTAAAAAGCCTCTTAAATTAGAAGCTTATTTATTAAAAAGAAGATTATAAATTTTATTTTAGGCCGGAAGAATAGAATAGAGAAGTTATTTATTTTATATAGGGGAATATATTATAAAAGAAGATTATTAAATAAAGACTAAAAGAAGAATAAAGGAATATTAGTTTAATTAAGTATAATATCTAGTTAATTATACTAAGATAGCCTAAGGATAATTTAAGCTTTAAGAAAGAAGCTAGGGATATTATAGAAAATTATTATTCTATTAATATAATAAGATTAGATAAGCCTTAAGGAGTAAAAAAAAGGTAAAGCAAGATTAAATAATTATATAAAAAAAAGCTATAGAAAGTAATTAAATAAAAATAGAGATTTTTTTAATTAAGATAAACTAATTTAATAATTATTAATCTCTAAGTATAATTAAAAAAGTAAAGATAATTAAAAAAAAAATAAAGAATACGCCTAAATAGAGTAAGGATAAAAAGGTTATTAAGATAAAAGAGAAGTAAAAGTTAAAGAGGTTTAAAGTTATAAATAAGCTAAAAGGGATTATTAATATAATAGAGGTTATAAACTAGATATTAGATACTAGAGTTTAAATATTAATTTAAAATCTTATTAGTCTATCTCCTAATTTATATAAGGCCTTATTTACTTTATAATTGCAGTAAGTAATAATAAAGGCGATATTCTATAATATTAAAGGAGTATAGTTTAATACCTCTATATTAAATATAGAGTATATAGTAAATAATGCAGATTAGTGTATTTATATATTCTTATAATTTAAGCCTTTTAATAAAGATAAAGTGCTATATATAGCTATAATTTTAAAATTGCCAATTAAAATTAATAGTTATAAGAAGGTATAAAATATTATAGTAAATAGTAAAGCTAAAATTAATATAATATATAGAGATATAGCAAATTATTATAAACTTATTATAAACTAGAAATTTAAAAATAATATAATATTAGCAGATAGCAGATAAACCCCTTTTATAAGTTTTTATAAAGAGGTACTTATATAAGTAAAATCTTTTTATTATAAGGTCCCTTTTTTATAGTAAATAATAAGATTAACTATAATTATATTCTAGGACGGCCTTTTAAGTATTAAGTATATTTATAGTATATTGCTTTATTAGATAGAATAATAAAGAGTATAATTTATTCTATAAACTAAAAGAATTAAGCTATTATTTAGGTATTTTTAATAAATAATCTAAGAAATAAGTTAAGGGAAGAGGTATTATATAATCTATTGTCCTAAATATAAGAGTTATTAAACTAGAGCTAGAAAAGAATAATAAATATTAGATTAAGAATAAAAAAGGCCTATAGGAGCTATATTTAATAAATAATATTAGTTTTAGAGTAAATAAAGAAATTAAAAATAAAGGGATAGGGATATTTAAACCTATTAAATTAAATAAAGAAGTTAAAAAGTTATAAGAGTATAAATTATCTAGAAAGTATAATCTTTTTATTATAAAAATAAAATATTTTATTAATATATAGTATAAGAAAAAATATAAAAAGGTTTATTTAGCAAATATATTAAATAGACTTATAATAGCTTTAGGGGGGTTATTAAAATAAAAAGAAATTATTAGGGAATATTATTATAAAAACCTCTAAAGAAATATAAAAAAAATATATAAAGGATTTACTGAATATATCTAGCTAAAAATATTAAATATTAAGAGAGGAATAAGATTAACACTGGACTGTTTAAAGAACCTTATTATAGGTAATAATTTATAGCTAAGAAAGAAAGAATTATTAATAAAAGTGCTTTTTGCCTAAGAAATAGTCTTTACTTAAATCTTTAAAGAGATTAAATAAATATACCTAGAAGTTATATTTTTAATTATTATTTAAATTATAGATTATAAACTATAATAGGTAAAAAGCTTTCTAATATTAAAGGCACTCTATAGTATAGTATAAGAAATAATAAAAGAGAGGATAAATATAGGGATTCTTAAATATAGTTAAAAATCCTACTAAAATTTATAATTTTTAATAAAAAAAAAATAATAAATATTAGCTAATTAATATAGTTA